GGGGGGGGGGAAGAGGGGGTGTGGGTTTAAGTGGTTGGTTGGCTGACAGTTCGGAAGTGAAGAAGTTCAAGAGCAACTTTAACGACTTGCAGTTTAGTAGTTGTTCACTTTCAAAAGAGAAATGGAGTGGAATTAGCCGGATACTCTCTCCGTTCTTCCACTGTCAATTCGCCAACAATTGTTGGAGAAGTTAAGCTCTGTTCCGATTATTTCTCCAGCTCAATTCCAATGCATCCCCCACGCCAAGGCCTGTTGTTTGGCCCCGAGGTTTGTCGAATGACCCGTTGACTCCAGGCTGTACGTTTAGTACATAGTCCATACATTCTTACATTGTACCAAGCATCCATACAAGACTAAGATTGTATATGACGACATAAACAACGGCATCTTTTAGACAAAAATAAAGAAGATATGAGCAGTCAGATGAGACTTCGAAAACTTTGTGAATGGGTTGAATGAGATCTGGTTCTTGTTGAAGCTGATCATCCAGTGTGAGAGACGCCCGGTACTGGGAGTCTTTCACTACAACCTCCTACACTCCCAGCCCATTCCAATGGCCAACACACGCAAACACGCTCACATCATATTCCCACCGGCATAGTAGGGATCTTCCCAACATCCCTCCCTCACTGCCCCTCCTTCTTAAACCTTCAACAAGATAGCCAAGCGCTCCTCCTCGTCCTGGATTTGTCTGTCTGTCTTCAATGGCCGCCAACGATCCCGCGACGCGTGCTGAGCCGTCCTCCACAACCGACCGTAACGTCAAGCACGTCGTACTCGGTAATCTCCTTTTCCAGACCTGGTACCAGTCCATCTATCCGGAGGATTTGGTCAGTAAGGATACGGACAGGTTGTACGTCTGTCGCTGGTGCTTCCGCTACTCGTGCGACGCGCACGCCTACACGAAACACACGCGCCTGTGCCCACACCGGCAATCACCGCCCGGGGTCAAGGTCTACGAGCAAGGCGGATACTCAGTGTGGGAGTTGGACGGTGAACATCACAAGCTCTACGCGCAGAACCTCTCCCTGTTCGCGAAACTGTTCCTCGATCACAAGTCGGTCTTCTTCGATGTCGTGTCCTTCCTTTACTACCTGCTCGTGTACTCCGACCCCAACGACCCCGACTCCAACTACCATGTGCTGGGCTTCTTCTCGAAAGAAAAACTCTCCTGGGATGCCAACAACCTCGCCTGCATCCTGGTCTTCCCCCCTTACCAACACAAGCAGCTGGGGAAACTGTTGATGGGAGTCAGTTATAAGATTAGTTCCTGGGAGCGCGACAGGAGCTTGATCGGCGGGCCGGAGCGACCGCTGAGCGAGATGGGTCGCAGGAGTTATTCACGCTTTTGGGAGGATCGCGTGGCCAGGTACTTGCTCTTACATGGGCGCAAGGCCGAGGATGCAGAAGATTTTGCAGTACCACAAAAGTCAAAGTCTCTTAAGGGGTTGAAGAGAAAACATGCTCATGAGTTCATGACAGTGCAGGACATTGGACTGGCTACGGGCATGTTGACTGAAGACGTCATCACAGCCCTCAAGGGTTTGAGTGTTGTCCAGCCGGCCACACCTTCGAAAAAGCGAAAGTCAAAGGATTGGAATGAAGCTACTAATGCTGGACATGGCACATTCGTAACGGTACGAAAGACAACCGTACTGGAATGGGCGAAGAGCCACCACATGGCCCTGTGGGACCCGGTCAAGGACGAGGGGTTTCATGGTAAGTGGGCTCCAACTGATTCGGACGTGAGCGATGGGGACAGTAATGAAAGTGGTGATGGATAAAAGGTCTCTCATGCTGCTGTGGTTCTCTCTATATGCGCGTCTGTAGAACAGCGCCCTGTGTATTATTACTACTTACGTACGCTACTGACCGTATGGAAACATAATTAATGACTGAAGCCCAATTGATCAGTATTTCGGGGCCTGCAATTTGACAAGCTGATATGCAAGTTTGACATCGAGGTTAGGTACAGTGATAGTTTTTGAAAATTTCGTGGCCCACGAGCCTCTCTATTCCTGTTGCCTGGCCCTCTCTAATACCCAGAATATGATAGCTCAAGGCAGCAACCTGGTGGTGTTCTTTGGCGTAGTTGAAGCTCTGTGAATGATATTCAATTAGGATGTGCCAGGGTTCATTAGTATGGCCTTTTTGAGTATACTATCGTAGAGTACTTTTCTAACCTGCAAACCGATGGAGAAATTCAAGGGAGTGCTTTACATATTCTGTCTTGTTGCTAGATACCACATTACTCGTCCATGCCGCCAGGTCCTGATTGTCTGCTCATTTGGCGGGCCTTCAGTAGCTCGTCACAGAGTAGGAGGTTCGAGGCAATACCCGTGCTGGATGCAATGCAGTTGCGCAACACACGGAAGGAGTCGAAAACACCTTCCTGCACAGGGTCCATCGGCTCACCGGTGGTCAAGTCCAGACCAGCGTTGTTGCCGTTGGCGAGTTCGTCTTGCAGCATCGCCAAAGAGTCCTGGATATCGTGACCAGAATTGGCTGCAAGGGTCTTCGGAATGACCAAAAGTGCGTCAGCAAAAGCTTGAACACCCCATTTGGCCTTACCCTTGACGGTCTTCTTGAAGGCGTCGGATGACAGATGACCGGCGCACGCCACCTGGAACGCACCAGCACCGGGAACGACACAACCATCAACGATGGTGTTGTAGACAGACCGCAGACCATCACGAACAGCATCCTTCACCTGTGCAATGGTGTGCTGGTTGGGACCCTTGATAAGGATAGTCACGGACTTCGGATCCTTGACTTCCTCAACGAAAGTATACTTCTCCTCTCCGAGCTGGTGCTCGTAAACGAGACCAGCCCATCCAAGAACATCGGGAGTCAAATCCTCCACACTGTTCTGTGCAACACCGCCACAAATGAGTTGAAGACGCTCCATGTTCCTCCGCTTAGCTCTCCGGAGAGCCAAGATTCCGTTCTTAACAAGGACATCCAAACTCAGGGGATCAATACCCTTCTGATTGATAACAACGAAGCTCTTCTTAGGGTCGTTGCCGCAAACAAGCTTCTTAAGCTCCACAATCTTCTGTAGCTTGGCATCCACGAACTTGCGCTCACTCTCCACCAACTTGTCTCTCTGCTCGGCAGATGAATAGTAGAAACCCGAGTTGATTTCCGACTTCTCGTACTCCAAGCTGACGTTCAGTGTCAGAATGAAAGCATTCTCCACGCGCTTGGGCATATCGGGATGTCTAGCGCCGTGATCAAGAGCAAGACCACGAATCAGCTTGGTGTCGGAAGAGGTGCGGTGTTGCATAGTCATAATCTCAACCATGTGCAAATCGGGCTTTTCCGGGGCTCTGTGAATAGCGAGAACGGCATCGACGATATCGGGGGTGAGCTTTTCAGCAAGGGCGCTATTCAGCTTCGTGCTCAGGGACGTCCGGGCGACGGACAAGAGAAGTTCGCGGTCAATGGTTCGCTCAATCTTGAATTGATCAAGGAACTGTATAGCATTGTGATTCAGTATGTCTAGCATGTATAAGTCCCTTCTCGAAATCATACCTTGAGAGTCTCGTTCTTCGCGATCTCATAACCATCCGTGATAACTCTGGGGTGCAGACCCTCGGAGATGTAGCGGTCCGCCTGCTTCAAGAGTTCTCCGACCGACAGAACGACGGACGTCGTTCCATCACCAGTAATATCATCCTGAGCCGTCGCAGCACGAGCAATCATAACCTTGTCGGAAATTAGAAAGGAGTATTCGAGACACGGCGGGAAGAGTAGCTTACGGCTGTGGGGTTTTGAATTTGCTATTGCAATTAGACTCTATTCAGAAGAGAGATTTATAGATCAAGAAAAACTTACCATCTCACGGAGCAGAACGTTTCCATCCTTGGTCAATTTGATCTGATCGAGACTCCGTTAGATCTTCATTCCACAAATGGTAGGGAATATTTCATACTCCGCCAGCACCGTCCACCAACCTAGCAAATGTTAGCTCATCACGGATTTAGATTTTATCAGGAATACGTGACGTACATCTTCAACGTTCCGGAAGGACCAAGGTTAGACTTCAAGACATCCTGGAGACCCTCACCAGCGCTGATGTTGACCTTCAACGCCTCCGCTCTCCGCTGTGATCTGTTAGTCTCTGCAAGGCCACTGAGGGGCTACTTTTGGGGGGGGGAAAGAGGGGAGAACTGGTTTTCATACCCTCGACTCGGCCTTGGGGTTGAGTAGTTGCGTCGCAGACATTTCTGCAAGAAGAATGACCGACAAGCAGCAAGATCCTAAGGGGAGGAACAGAAATCAAACAAGCTTGCTGTTGCTACCTATAGCCCCATAGAGGATGCCCGCGCACTGCCAGAAACCTTTAGCGGTGGTGTTTGCCGTGAATGCGGTGAGCCTTTGGTTTTGGCAAAAAGCCCACATTCTGTGTTCGCACTAGCGCCGCTGCGAAAAAAAAGAGCTCCGACGGCTCGACTCTGCAAATCTACCCTCCCAGGCTTTTCTTCAACTCCACGTCGCTCCACGCCCGGTCTACGGTCGCAAATTCCTGGGAAATTGAGAAGCGGGCTGAGTCGCTCGCACGTGAAGGACCTAATCTTACATTTTTCTGGACCTTGATCTCAATTTCACTATGGCCGACTATCTTCTTTGGGAGGGCCCTATCGGCTACTCTCTTTTCAAAGTTGCCCACCAGGGTGACAGCGTCGGCAACCGGTTGAAGGAGGTTCAGGAGGGCGTCGATGACCTTGCTAAGTTTGGAAAGATGGTCGAGTTGGCCAGTTTTCTGCCTTTTGAGTACGTTTTTCGGGTTTTTTTAGGAGGGGGTTACCTTTTTTTCTCGCCAGGATACTGACCCTCTTCAGGAACAACAAGCAGGCGCTCAGCGAAATTAATGATATCTCGGAAGGTGTCGCCTCGGATACTCTCGTCTCTTTCCTTGAATTGAATCTTCCTAAGCCCAGCAAGAAGAAGAAGGTCGTTCTGGGTCTTTTGGACAAGGCTCTTGCTGGAAGCATCAAGTCTGCTTTCGACTTCGTTGACTGCGAAACCGGTGAGACCAGCGAGGTCGTTCAGGATATGCTCCGTGGAATCAGACTGCACGCCACCAAGCTGCTCAAGCAACTCCGTGAGGGTGATATCGACACTGCTCAACTTGGTCTCGGTCACGCCTACTCCCGTGCCAAGGTTAAGTTCTCCGTTCAGCGCGACGACAACCACATCATCCAGGCTATTGCCATTCTCGACCAGCTCGACAAGGCCATCAACACTTTCTCGATGAGAGTGCGCGAGTGGTACTCTTGGCACTTCCCCGAACTGATCAAGATTGTCTCCGACAACCAGCGCTACGCTCAGGTCGCCTTGTTCGTTAAGGATAAGAAGGATCTGACTGACGACAAGCTGCACGATCTTGCCGCTCTGGTCGAGGATGACGAGGGTGTTGCTCAGAGCATCATTGATGCTGCTAAGCACAGCATGGGTCAGGAGATCTCGGAGACTGACATGGAGAACGTGATCTCTTTCGCTCAGCGTGTTGTCAGCCTGTCCAAGTACCGCAAGTCTCTTCACGCTTACTTGGTCTCTAAGATGAGCGTTGTCGCTCCCAATCTTGCTGCTCTGATCGGCGAGATTGTTGGTGCTCGCCTTATCTCTCACGCTGGAAGCTTGACCAACCTTTCCAAGTACCCCGCCTCCACTGTTCAGATTCTCGGCGCTGAGAAGGCGCTCTTCAGAGCTTTGAAGACCAAGGGTAACACTCCCAAGTACGGTCTTCTCTACCATTCGTCCTTCATTGGACGGGCCGGTCCCAAGAACAAGGGTCGTATCTCGCGTTTCCTTGCCAACAAGTGCTCTATCGCCTCGAGAATCGATAACTTCTCCGAGGAGCCCTCTACCAAGTTCGGAGAGGCGCTGAAGGCTCAGGTTGAGGAGCGTCTGGAGTTCTACGCTACTGGTGCCGCCCCGACCAAGAACGAGGTTGCTATGGTATGTAGACACATCGCTACTTTTGAAGAAAACGACCGTTTACTGACATTAATTGCAGAAAAACGCAATGGATGCTCTTCTTGCTGATATGGACATCGACGCCGAACAGAGTGACGATGAGATGAAGGATGCCGAGTCTGACAAGGAAGACAAGAAGGCCAAGAAGGAGAAGAAGGACAAGAAGGAAAAGAAGGAGAAGAAGGAGAAGAAGGAGAAGGGTGACAAGGAAGAGAAGAAGAAGAAGCGCAAGTCAGACGTTGGTGAGGGCGAGTCGGAAAAGAAGAAGCGGAAGCACGACAGCGATGCTGAGCCGTCCAAAAAGAAGAAGAAGGTCTAGAAGCACCATCAAGTCTTGGGACAGGAGGGCGTCATTATTGTCGAGGCGTTGTCGGGTTTGATTAATTCTTGCCATCTATGTTCTGTTTTCCCCTTCATGACGTGACGGGCTGGGTATTTGTAAATTATTCGATTGAGGCCTGTGTCGTTCTAAAATTTCCTTGTAGCTGTTCTGCAAATCTGAATCGGGATATCACTCTAGTTTCCTCGCTCCTTTGTGCCAAATTAGCCAAGTGATTGTTTGAATGGGACCAGCTGCACGTTGACGTTTACTCTATCAGACATCGCTTATTCATTGTCTGCTGAAAGAACCGCCTGGTATTATCCAGGCCAACCAAGCAGTGCCGAACCCCCTCACTTCACTTCACCTTCAAGGATGATCCAACCCTGTCGTGCTCGCTTCCCCTCCCCCTGTCTTCTGACCATGACAACAAACCATTCACAACCTTCTCGCCATAATGGCCTCTTTGATTGTCCATGATATTGCTCGATAAAACGCTGAGCAAAGTCCTGAAACCCATACTAGTGGCGCCCCCGCGCGGTGATGCCCCCACATCCGCTTGCAGACTTCGCCCCGCGATGATGTCCTCAAGTTTGACGACGATGCCCATTAACTCCCCTAAGCGCAAGAGGGCATCGTCAGAAGATACCGACCAGTACAGTCCTTCATCACCAACATCGACTATCTCCATCCTTAGCCTCCAGGAGGCCAGGCTCCGAGAAACCGAAGACTTGGGAAGGTATAGTCCTCGAGCGGTAGTCGCCGGTCGCCTAGGAGAATTGGCCATTCGTGGAGACAGACTATCAACTCCCCCAATTCCATATGGCTTAGACCAAAACACTATCACGCAGTCGGTTCAGTCGGGATGCTGGCCAGCTCTCTATGACTCTATCTTCGGGCCTCGCAAAATGCCCGAGTCTAGTTCCCTTGCAGGAGATCAGCACGACCCAGAAGAGTCGACGGAAAACACATGCCAACTCCAGCCTGACAACCCCGAGACTAGTGTCTCCGCATCGCCTAGGAAAAGGCAGCCAAACTCTAGTCCACGCAGAAAGAAGAATCCATCGGTCACATCGAAATCGCGCAGTGCGAGAAGCTCACCGCCGCTCACCGGCGATGCGCTTGAGAACCCCTTCACGTGGCACGACTCCGAAATTACTGGGCACAATCCTACGGATCCGAGTGATGATGGTTATGGGATAAATGGCATTGGTTTCAAGCCTACGGCGGCAATTGCGTGGGCTAGGTCGCAGAAGAGGCAGAAGCAAGTCGCGGAATGGAAAAACCGCGAAGCTAGAGAAGCACGCGAGAAGCGAAGAGAGCGACGCGAGGGTGCCGATTTGAATAAAATTCGTAGCGTCCAGAGTGGTGCTATCCAGAAAAGGGTTAAATTCAATATGTGATGAAACGGGCTATGTTGCGCACATCGGCGCATGAGTGCATCTCGGCGACGTTTTTGCGATTTGGTCAGAATTTTTCGACTGTTTCTACCAGGATGGTCCCAAGAACCATTTCTTATGCTGAACACTGCTTACTCGTGTCGACTATCAGCCCTAATTCAGCGAACATGAGGACAAGGTTGGAGCTTGTGAATAGAACGATATGTATGTACTGACCATGCATACCACATGATTTATGGTTAATAATATACAATGATATCCTTGCCTTGAAAGCATACTCCCTGACTCCGCGCAATATGCAATTGAGATTACCAGAACTTGTAGTTGGCAAGATTGGTCCAGCTCTTTCGTTGCCTCTCTTCCTCCGCCAGACGGGCGATCTCCTTCTCCTTTTGTTCTTTCTCGCGTTGCTTCTTGAGTTTGAGCTCCTTCATTAGCTCCACGGCCTGTTTCATGCCGTCTAATTCCTGCACTCGCCGTCGCTGGCAGAATTCGTGTGCTGCGAGGGAGGTAATAGCGAAGGCGCCCACGGCCCAATTACAGGCGGTCCAAATCTTCGGCAACCCTAGATGAGAGACGATAGATCAGTCATTGCTCATGCAGTGGCTAGGGACGAGCTGGCGGGATCTGATTACCTCCGAGGACACCCCTCACCCCACCTATACCGAACCCAGCGCCGATGCCGAGAAGCAACGAATCCCGAGCGCAGGGTGCCTTGTAGAAAGACGTAGCATTCTCCAATGACATCGACTTCATAGCTTCGGTAACAGTAATGTCGGTGTGCTTTTTTCCAGACTTGACTCCAGCAGAAGGGAGCATGTTGACAGGCTCTTCGGGATTTCCAAATGCATCCCAAAGTTTTCCGACTTGCGACTGAGGGATCTCATGCTTGAGCTTCTTTTGTGATGTGAATTCTGAAGCAGTGTTTTGCGGGTGCGGATCCGCTTGCTCGCCGGGAAGAGTTGTAGCGGCCCGCGAATTGTCAGCCATGATGTGATGTTTTAATCTCGACTTGAAGCAGCAACAAATAATCAACCATCCAAGTACTGCGGGCAGAACTTCTTCGCAAAGAAACAATAATGCCGCGGGTGATCGGACGATTCCATGCTCCGAAATGCCTCCCCGGCGGTATGACCAAAGCGGAGAGTTTCCCCGGCTGAGGGCGGTCGGCCAATGGCACGCGTAAAGTAGAAACGCGAACGCGTCGAATTGCAGGTTGAAATCTACCGTACCTTAAGTGGGCTCCGCAGCATAGAGTGGATCAGGTCAATTCAGATGCAAACGATATAAGCCTTTCACTCAACTTGACAGCCAGTCTACTTCTCTGTACAGAAATCGTTACTATTATAGCAAGTGCTGCCGGATTATGTGCCATTTCGCCCCGCGTTGAGATAACGAACCCCTACTTTTTCCATGTTGCATCGACGTCCCCTCCAAACCCTGCAGTGATCCCCAGGCCCGGCCGGTGGGCGCGTCGTCGCAATGCCTTCAAGAAAACCTAGCAAGTTTGGCAACAAATTTCGGTCCGGTGCCGCATCATTCAATCCTAGACGAACAAAGACCATCGAATTCGCTTCCCTCAGATCAACGGAAGCTACCTCTCAGGATGAGAAGTTCGAGGCCATCCGGCTTGCAAACAGCATTGACGAGTCATTGGGCTTTCCGCGCTTCGAGGCCGGTGAGAAACGAGTAGGATGGCTCATCAACATGCATAGCACATCGATACAAGATACGAATGTTCCAGGTGGACGCGCTGGTGTCGATTACTACTTTCTCGAAGATGGTGGCACCAGCTTCAAAGCGACGGTCGAATACGATCCGTATTTCTTGATTGCCGTGAAGAAAGGACATGAGACGGAGGTTGAAGAGTGGTGTCGAAGGATGTTTGAAGGGCTCATCAAGAAGTTGACGCGCGTGGAGAAGGAGGACCTCTCGTTGCCAAATCATCTTCTTGGGCACCGTCGGAACTACCTTCAATTGAGCTTCGCCAATGTCAGCCACTTGTTGGAAGTACGGAGAACAATCTTGCCTCTGGCTGAGAAGAACAAGAAGAATGCGACTGCGATGGATGCTTATGTGGAGATGTCAAGGTATTTCTTGGACCCCATGCGTTCTTTACATGCGGGATAAACTAACTGAGACTCGGAAGCGGCAACGCTGGCTTCGATCTCTTTGATGATGAACTAATTAATGAGTCACGATCTAATGCCACTATGAACGCGAGTGATTTTATTGTTGATATCAGAGAATATGATGTTCCTTATCATGTCAGAGTCTCTATTGACAAAGGCATGTTACTTCCGCTGATTAAGAGGATTCCGGGCTAACTTTTATAGATATTCGTATTGGAAAATGGTACACAGTAGAGTCCAAACATGGAGTGATCTCACTGAGCTGTATAGAAGAGCGACTTACTCGTGCCGATCCTGTTATCTTAGCATTTGATATCGAAACGACCAAATTGCCTCTCAAATTCCCCGACTCGGTGATTGACCAGATCATGATGATATCTTACATGATAGATGGCCAAGGTTTTCTCATCACTAATCGAGAAATTGTGTCCGAAGACATCAATGACTTCGAATATACGCCAAAAGCTGAATACAATGGACCATTCATGATCTTTAATGAGCCTGACGAACGAAGCGTCATCGAGCGGTTCTTCGAGCATATCAAAGAGGCGAAGCCGACTGTCATTGCTACTTACAACGGTGACTTCTTCGATTGGCCTTTCGTGGAAGCACGAGCTAGCGTTCTGGGAATCGACATGTACAAGGAAATTGGATTCAGGAAGAATAGCGAAGATATCTACCAGGCCGATCACTGTGTGCACATGGACTGCTTCGCTTGGGTCAACCGTGACAGTTACCTCCCTCAGGGAAGTCGTGGCTTGAAAGCCGTCACCGTCGCGAAACTCGGATACGACCCCGATGAGCTAGACCCAGAATTGATGACTCCATATGCAAGTGAGCGTCCGCAGACTTTGGCGGAGTACTCGGTGTCAGATGCCGTCGCCACGTACTACCTATATATGAAATACGTCCACCCTTTCATCTTCTCCCTTTGCACAATTCTTCCTCTAAACCCAGACGACACACTCAGAAAGGGAACTGGAACCCTTTGCGAGATGCTTTTGATGGTGCAAGCATACCAGGGCAATATCGTTCTACCAAACAAGCACAAGGATCCGCCAGAGGCTTTCTACGAAGGTCATCTACTCGAGTCAGAGACTTATGTTGGCGGGCACGTCGAAAGTATCGAGGCTGGTGTTTTCCGCAGCGATATACCAGTCACATTCAAGGTTGATCCCGTTGCCGTCGATGAGCTTCTCCGTGATCTCGATGCGGCTCTGAAGTTCAGCATTGAGGTTGAGGAGAAGAAATCGATGGATGATGTCACCAATTACGACGAAGTCAAGAAACAGATTTCCGACAAGCTAATGGGGCTAAAAGAGAAGCCGCATAGGGAGGAGGTCCCTTTCATCTACCATTTGGATGTCGCTTCAATGTATCCGAACATCATGATTACAAATCGGCTGCAACCAGACTCGATGATTGAGGAGTCTAATTGTGCTGCGTGTGATTTCAATCGTCCTGGCAAGACCTGTGACAGGCGGATGCCTTGGGCTTGGCGTGGTGAATTTCTTCCTGCGAAGCGCGACGAATACAACATGATTCGTCAAGCAGTCTCGAATGAGAAATTTCCTGGCAGGTATAAGAACAGCCCGATGAGGATGTTCGGAGACTTGAGCATCGAAGAGCAGGCCGGTATCGTCAAGAAAAGACTGCAAGATTACAGTAAGAAGATCTATCACAAGATTCACGACAGTAAAACGATAGTCAGAGAGGCCATCATTTGTCAGCGAGAAAATCCATTCTACGTGGACACTGTCCGCAGTTTCCGTGATCGAAGATATGACTTCAAGGGAAAGCAGAAGGTTTGGAAGGGCAAAACTGAGGCTCTAAAATCTTCTGGCGCATCGGCTGCAGAGATCGACGAGGCGAAGAAGATGATTATCCTATATGACTCCCTGCAGCTTGCTCACAAAGTCATCTTGAACAGTTTCTACGGCTATGTCATGAGAAAGGGTTCTCGATGGTATTCCATGGAGATGGCTGGCGTGACATGTTTGACTGGTGCTCGCATTATTCAAATGGCACGAGAACTGGTTGAACGTATTGGTCGTCCTCTCGAGCTCGATACCGACGGTATCTGGTGTATGCTTCCGGGCTCATTTCCGGAAAATTTCACCTTCACTTTGAAAAACGGCAAAAAGTTGGGTATCTCCTACCCCTGTGTCATGCTCAATCACCTCGTCCATGGAAGCTACACCAATCATCAGTATCAGACTCTTGTCGACCCATCAGCATTCAGATACGAAACTCATAGTGACAATTCCATCTTCTTTGAGGTTGATGGGCCATACAAGGCTATGATCTTACCCACTTCCAAGGAAGAGGACAAAAATTTGAAGAAACGTTATGCTGTTTTCAATCACGACGGATCATTGGCTGAATTAAAAGGTTTCGAGGTGAAGCGTCGAGGAGAATTGAAGCTTATCAAAATTTTCCAGACTCAAATCTTCCGTTTCTTTTTGGAAGGGTCTACGCTCACCGAGACTTACGCTGCAGTTGCCAAAGTTGCTGATCGGTGGCTGGATGTGCTCTATGAGCATGGATCGACACTAGCCGATGAGGAACTGATTGACCTCATTTCTGAAAATAGAAGCATGACCAAAACACTCGAAGAGTATGGTAACCAGAAGTCGACATCCATCACAACCGCTCGGCGCCTGGCAGAATTCCTCGGAGAACAAATGGTCAAGGACAAGGGCTTGAACTGCAAGTACATTATTTCTTCGAGGCCACGGAACACTCCTGTCACTGAGCGAGCCATTCCTGTGGCTATTTTCTCGGCCGAGGAAAGTGTCAAGCGCTTCTTCTTACGGAAGTGGCTGAAAGATGACCCTGGTGATATGGATCCCCGAACGGTTATTGACTGGGATTACTACCTTGAACGTCTAGGATCCGTGGTGCAGAAACTCATCACTATCCCGGCTGCCCTGCAGAAGATTCGCAACCCAGTGCCTAGGGTCGCTCATCCGGACTGGCTGCAGAGGCGTATCAACCAGAAGGATGACAAATTCAAGCAGACGAAGATGACCGATATGTTCACCAAGTCAGAGAAAACTCCCTTGACAGATATCTCGACCAATATCCTGGATCATCGCGTTCAACACGCTGGTGACATAGATGAGGTGATTGGCAATTCAACACAGAAGTTGAAATTCTCACCAGAAGAAGGCAAGGTTTCTCAAAAGCGAAAGCATCCTGAAGGCCTTCCAAAAACCGCCCTTGATCCATTTGCTACTTTGCCGACTAAGATGCCATCGATCAGCGATGATTATGTCGGCTTCTTGAAGTATCAAAAGCAGAAGTGGAAGATCCAAAAACAAGCCCGCACCCGCCGCCGTCAGCTCTTCGGAGAGAGGGTCAACGTGACTACCGATTCATTGAGCAATCTCTTCCGCAACCAGGCGGAGCTGTTGTATATAAATACATGGCAGATTTTGCAGCTTGCTGAAACGTCACGACCTGGCATTGTGCGAGCATTTGTCTTGATCGATCGGAAAGTCCACGCACTCACCGTCAAGGTTCCGCGACAAATCTACGTCAACCTAAAACAGGAGTCTCTCCCTGATGTCGATGTTCCCGATTGTGATGTTGAGAAGGTCAACCATACACTGCCGAATGGACATCCTTCTGTTCATTTGTTTAAGTTGACATTGTCTGAGGAGACCTATCTTCGCGAGGCCAATAAGATCGACATTCTTCTGCAACACCCAAGTGTTGAAGGTGTCTATGAAAGGAGCGTTCCACCCACCGTTCGGGCTGTCCTGAAACTTGGCAGCATTTGCACATTTGACGAGGAGCAGCGCGGCGTTCTCGGTGAAGGCTTGGACAAGGGATTCGACCTCTCAACCCTCTGTCGTACAGATACCGAGCAACCCTATCTCTTGAATGCGCCCATGGCATATCACTATTTGTATCATGTTGCTTCGGGTGATAGGCAGATATTTGCCATCTTCTCCACGACGAAAGTCGAGGCACATATTGTCATCCTAAATCGTACTCGGGATGCCCAAGGCCTCCCAAACGTTGATAAGATCTACGCAGAACTTCGTGCGCGCAGACTGCAGAACCTTGCTGCGGATAGCACTCAAAACGCCTTCGAATACCAAGAAAAGCTTCACTTCAAGACAACACAGGTCACCACAAGACGAAAGGCTCATTTGGAGGTGGGAGATCTGATCAAGAAGCTGAAATCTGAGGAGACTCAGCCCGCAATTATGGTAATTCAGTCTCATCAAAGAAGCCGTCTATGTCACGATGTGCCCATCTTGAAGGATTACCCTATTCTACCTGTGAAGCCCGAGATTTCAGACATGGAGCTTCCACCTTTGGGCTGGCAGACTTTTGTCGCCCGACGCTTGGTCACTCATTACCTTTATCTTTCCGCTTGGGTTCAACACATGACCTTGCTCGCCAGGTATGGTGACGTCCCTCTCTGCAATCTGGAGAATGATGATCCTCGCTTCCTCATCGATATCTCCTATGCCAGGCGCCTTCAGCAGAATAATGTTGTGCTTTGGTGGTCCTCAAAACCCCGTCCTGATCATGCAGGCTATGAAAAGGACGACATAACAGGCCCATTAGAGAAGGTTCCGATGCCGTCTGTAAATATGCCAAACGCATACACGACTGTGTGTATCGAGCTTGAAGTCCGCAACCTAGCGATCAACACAATCCTGACCTCGTCTATCATTAACGAAATGGAGGGGGCAGATACCCTACTGGCATCATCTGGCACATCAGCCGACGCAAATGGGGGGGTGCTTTACTCTGAAAAGGCGTTCACTTCAGCCGGCGCCCTTGTCCTTCGAGAAATGGTGAAAAGCTGGTGGACCGAGGCTTGCCATGGAAACAACATGGCCGATATCATGGTTCAGCACTTGATCCGATGGGTGGAAAGTCCTGTTTCTTGTCTATACGACCAATCGTTGCATCGTTATGTTCGGATGCTATCAAGGAAATCGTTCCAAAGACTGATGGCCGAGTTCAGACGGGTCGGTTCAAACATCATCTTTGCAAGCTCCACTCGCCTATTGCTCCACACGACGAAGACTGAAGTGGGCAACGCATACGCATTCAGCCAATACGTCTTGAAGTCCATCCGAGCGAACCCGTCATTCCACTTTATCGATCTCGAGATCAAGGAGTACTGGGATTACCTGCTCTGGTATGATGAATACAATTATGGTGGTAAAGGATGTCAGGAAGTGGCCGAGTCCGACGAGCAGCCATTGGAGACAGTCATGCATTGGCAGCTTAGTCGCTTCCTGCCCACGCCCATGCAGACTATTTTCCATGACTGGGTTGTTGAATACATAGAACTGATGCATAGTCTGAAACGCCCAGACAACGACTCGTCAACTCCTCGAATGACGCAGATCCCCATCGGACGCCCAAGTGATGAGGAAAGCGAAGAGATCTCGGCTATCCTTGCGGAGAAGTTTTCCAAGCCTTTGAAGAAGCAGATTACGGGTCTTATTCGCCGACAGCGGGACGAACTGCTACACCCGGAGCTGGCATCCGACTATGCCTTCCCTGTCCTGCCCGGTGTGCTCTCAGATCCGAATGACGAGAAACGCAACCCTGTTCTAGAACTTGTCAAGCTGCTAATGCAGGTGCTTAGCCTCTCGAAGATTACTACAATGGAGACACGGTTGTTGCGTCGCGAGCTACTTGCCCTTTTCGAGATCCGCGAATTCAGCAAAGAGGGTCGGTTCGAGAATCCAGGCGCGAGCTTGAAGCTTCCCGAACTCACCTGCAACGCCTGTTGTCTGATCCGCGACCTAGACCTATGCCGAGACGAAGACGTGCTCCCTGATCCTGGCACGGAGTCGAATAAGGCCGCAGTGAAACCTTGGCGTTGCTCATTCTGTCAAACTGAGTATGACCGACTGGCGCAGGAGGAGACACTTATTGGCCAGGTCCAAGGATTCATTGTTGGGTGGCAAACTCAGGACCTCAAATGCTCCAAATGCGGTGGCTTGAAGGTCAGTGATTTCATGGAGCATTGTTCGTGCAGCGGAGTCTGGATGGAAACGATGGACCGCGGCGAGATTGAGAAGAAGTTGCGGCTCCTAGAGAGCGTTGCGAAGTTCCATAATCTAAAGCTGCTGGAGACTGTTGTGGGGGAAGTTTTAGGACAAATCTAATATGATTTTGTTCTTTGTGTTGAGCGTTTGTTGTGACAATACCCTGTTTGGTAAACTCTGATAGGAGGATGTGAAAGCTTTGGATATACCGGCGTTAAGAGGGAGACAGGTAGCATAGCCTTGCGCGTGACTCAAAATCTATATACGTATAGAGACAATGCATTGTACATTATGACTTTTCTCTGATTGATGCTTGCTTGGGCAATGTATGTAATTGTTGTAGAGAGCACATGGGGAAGGGAGAAAATTGGTGCTTATCTCATTTGCACGTGCGCCACCCAAAACAATCCGACCAGTTGTCGCATACTCGCCGTCTCAATCCACAGAGTATCAACAGACAACAGCTGTCTCTTTTCCTAATTTCACAATACAGTCAAAGCTCAAAGGACTCACTCAGCCCCTTTTCGAGTCAAACCCATTGCATCGTCCATGTGTGCCTGAGCTGTTAGTGGCCAAGTTTCCCCCGCGAATCCCGCATTAGGACGCCCTCCCCACCACTGCACCAAGTCCGATCGCGATAGGACGAGACAGCCCCTCCCTCCTTGCTTCCCCTTTACCCCCCAAAAGGCTTGCATGTTCTTCCTGGCAAACAAAAAGCTCGGAAGTCTGTTCCCTTTGTACGCCGATCATCCCCCTTCAAGACTTTTATTCAGGGTCGTGGTTGCTGTTGTCCGCTAACTGTTAGCTGACTGCGGGGCCGCGTTTCACAGGCACTTATCAGCTCACTTTCCCCTCCGTTGAGCTCGTGGCAGCACAGGCTGTTGCTGTCGTTTTTCGGCTTATATATACCCTTTCTCATCGACTTTCCACACTCTTAGACTCCTGCAACGATTTGAATCAATGGCATCGCAAGCGCAAACAACCCAGCGCCCCAAAGTGCAGCCCTGTCGGTACAAGACTGGCAAGACGCTAGGCGCCGGTTCCTATTCCGTGGTGAAAGAATGTGTGCACATCGATACTGGCCGATACTATGCGGCAAAGGTGATCAACAAGCGTTTAATGGCTGGGCGTGAGCACATGGTAATTCTTCTTGAGCTAGTGCAGCCTAGCTGGGTTGGTCAACAGCGATTGCACAGAGGCTAATGGCATGGGTAATCTATGCGTCTTGACAGGTCCGCAATGAGATCGCTGTGCTTAAGAAGGTATCGATGGGCCATCAGAATATATTGACCCTGGTCGACTACTTCGAGACCATGAACAACCGTATGTCATTCCACGGTACTGAAATCAATGAACCAAGCTCCAAAATGCTAATTTACTCTTCAATCGAGCAGTATACTTGGTCACCGACCTGGCGCTCGGTGGAGAGCTCTTTGATCGCATCTGTCGGAAAGGCAGCTACTATGAATCCGACGCAGCGGATCTCGTCCGCGCGATTCTGTCCGCGGTTGCGTACCTACACGAGCATGGCATCGTGCATCGCGACCTCAAGCCAGAGAACCTCTTATTCCGGACCCCTGAGGACAATGCAGATCTTCTGATTGCAGATTTCGGCTTGTCTCGGATCATGGACGAGGAGCAGTTCCACGTTCTCACCACTACATGTGGCACACCCGGATACATGGCACCTGAAATTTTCAAGAAAAGCGGCCATGGAAAGCCAGTGTACGTTTTGACACTTGGGAAATCCTTCATCTTACCGAGCCCTTGCATCCGTTTCTTGCGGTGAGAATAGCCGACTGATTCTTCGCAGGGACATCTGGGCCATTGGTGTTATCACTTATTTCTTACTCTGCGGCTACACCCCCTTCGACCGCGACTCCAACCTAGAAGAGATGCAGGCCATCCTTGCAGCCGATTACTCCTTCACGCCTATCGAGTACTGGCGCGGCGTCTCGCACGATGCGCGGGATTTCATCAAACGCTGCCTAACAATTGACCCCACCGCGCGCATGACGGCCCACGCCGCCCTCCAACATGTCTGGGTCAACCCGCCGTACGACACAGAGGCCGACAACTTCGGCTCGGGCGAGGATCTCCTGCCGACTGTGAAGAAGAACTTCAACGCACGCCGCACGCTTCACAAGGCCATCGACACTGTACGCGCCATCAACAAGCTCCGTGAAGGAGGCGGACTCATGATGGACGGCGTCATGAGCGTCGATCCCAAGCCCGAGCACGTCGTCGGGAACGACGTCTACGAGGAGCAGCAACAGTATCAGTATTCCCACCCTGTTGGCCGTGCCGACCACGATGGGGACATGGAGATCGATGGGCGGAGCAATGCCCGCGGCCAGACAGAGGAACAGATCAGAGCGCAGGAACGGAAGGTCAAAGAGACGGTGGCAGGGTTGTGGAGCAAGTCCGCGAAGAGATGACATGGATAAATTCTTTAGTGTCTGTCAAATGCTTGATATAGCCTAGATACCTCATTTGTTGTCATTGCTTTCCCTTCCCCCTTTTCTTGGCTGATACATATCTATTATCTTGCGGGTCGAGCCACCATACATTGTTACATTGCTGCACACCAGGTTCAAATCTAGATCGAAATAACAAGCTGCGAATCATGATGCCGAGCGGCACGTACGTCCTCGAGATGTCATAAAAAGTGTCTGACATATTTCAAGCCACAAAATTCCGACCATTTCCGTCCATGAAATCCATTATTTGAATCATTAGTATCATCATCATCATCATCATCATCATCATCATCATCATCATCATCATCATCATCATCATCATCATCATCATCATCATTAAATAGGTCCAAATCACGCCATCCCAACCAAGAAAAATGGAGAAGGAGTCTATTCAGGATTCTTTCGCAAGAAAGCAACAAGGCAGGCAGAAGAAAATCATCCAACCAACAACTTCTCACTCCCATCGCCCAACCCCAAAACCCACTGCCGCCACTCCTGCCACTCCGCATAAGTACAACTAGCTCTCAACCCTTGATACTTGACGGCCCGGAAATCCGAGACCCGTTCCCATGGCGGCTGGACCGATGAGGCCCCAGGCGGACTAGCACTACTGTTGTTGTTACTACTATTACTAGTGCTGCCGGCACTGCCCCGGAAGAATCGCCGCGCGGCACTGCTGTTGCTGCCAATGTGACTGGTGTCATCCCAGCCGGCCTTCTGCATCAGGCTCTTGACGGTTTCCTCCTTGGTCCAGCCTTGTTCGACGGCGACGTCGGGGAGGTAGGTGGCGCCGTAGCGGCGGCCACGATGGATGAAGGAGATACGGAGACCGTGGAGGCCGAGAATCCAGTCTAGGGCATTGGTGCAGGGTTCAAAGTTGCCTAGGAGGGTTAGGGAGCAGGAGAGGGAGGGGAGGAGGGTGGAAGGGATGGGGGTGAAGCGAGTGTCTTCGAATGCACTATATTGAGAGTTTCCCTGTGTTAGTAAGGTTTTCTTGATATCCGGGTTTGCGAGGGTTGTCTGGTGGTGGCGGCTGAGGGGTAGAGGGGGGCGTTTGAGGGGTCGTGAGGGAGAGGGTTGTGTAAACATACGAAGTAAGAGCATAGTCTCTCAGCCCCTCGGATAGCTCCTGGGCCTCGAAGGTCCCGATGCACCCGCGGAGAGACTTGTGTCCATGTCGGGAGATGGTGTTCCATGTGACAAAGAGCGGGTATTCCTGGTGCTCACGCGGCTCGCGGCGATGGGAGGAGCGTCCAGACACGGTGTCGGAGAGGGAGGCGGACCCCGGGGTGGTCAGCGTGGTGGAGGTGGTCAGCGTCGAGTGCGATGAATTGAGAGACGAGGGTCTTGTCGTGGAACTGGAGTCGGACTGCAATCGGCGGACACTGGGGAGCTGGATCCTGTGGCGGGGCTCGTCATCGTCATCATCGTCGTCCACGCTGAGCGAGTCCGTCTCTTCGGTGTTCTGCTGCAGCGCAGAGAGCTTCTTGAATTGTTCATGACGTTCCCAGAGGTCTTCGACGGAGGCAAGATCGATCGGGTCCTTGCGTTGGTAGGAGGCGGCCAGGCTCTCGAAGCAGTAGTAGCAGTGAGCCGGGGTTGCCATCTTCTCTCTCCCTCTCTCTCTCTCGCCCTCGCTCTCTCTTCTTAGCTTTTTCTGTTTACCTCGTGACAACCAGCTAGGTTCGTTAATTTTATTTTTCTTTTTGTTTTCTTGTTTACTCCTGTTCAACTTGATCTCCTTGGGTGAGGCAGACCTTTGCTCTCTTGCTATTATCTTGGTAAACAGATGTCAACTGCGTCCGACCCGGTGGAGATGCGCGGCGGCTGCCTGAGATCACCCGCCTCGACGAGGGTCTTATTGTCGGGATGTTTGTTGGATCTGATCGAGACAATCGTGTTGGAAACTGGGACAGAGAGAAAGCCAGAAAGCCAGTAGAGAGCACAGCTAAGAACCTAGAATCCGCCCGAGAATTGAGTCCGCTGGAGGCCAAAGAGGGGTTGGGGAGAGGGGAGAAAGAGGGGGAAAGAGAGGCTGATAAGAAAGACATTATCCCACGTGATTGCAGGGCGCCGTGACCCGGAGCGGGCTTATCCGTAATTCTACAGATACATATTCTCCTTCGGTCGAAGCACCAGCTGGACTAATTATACAACTTCTATACAGTTGGAATCAAGAACATATTGTGTAGATAGTATATATTGATGCATATAATGCGAGAAGCTCCTGCCTCGACAGTGCTCTCCAGTTTGCGTACTAGCAGGACTTCGTCGCTACTATCACTATATATTTTGCAGGTACTTCTACACCACCAGACCATCTCTCATGACGAGAAGCGATAGAGGACTTCACCACTTACTCCTTCACTTCCATTGCTCGAGTCCTGATGCATTGGACTCGGGCGAGATGCTCATGCCCAGTGCTAGATAATTTTGCACAAAAGTTGTACGTATTTGTGAATGTCTTCCGACTTGCACCCGTCGCCGGAAGCCGGAACTGCCCGCTTCGTAGCCACTTGGATTCAAATTCAGGCGGAGAGGCATATTTCGGTTGTGATGAAGACCAATAATCCAATGCAAGACCCCATTGAATCAGGGACGCTTTGAGCCGAAAATACTCAGCGATGGCGATCATCCTTTGGCATCTTGAGACCCATCATGGAGAGCATGTTTCCAGCCGGCCCGGCAACACCAGCCTGACCGTGAAGACTCTCAAGGAGATTCTTCGCAAGGTTGATATCAGCATCGCCCTCATCTAGATCTGGCATCTCATCCTCTTCTTCCTCACCCGACTTGCCCTCTCCTAAAGTTCGTTGGTCTTGAGCGGCCTTAGGCCGGCGGTTCAAGTCGAGAACTCCGGTGCCCCGAAGCTCCGCCTCCATTTGTCTCGACAAATCCTTGATTTGTTCAGTATCATCCTCGGAGTCGTTGTCCAGCTCTTGTACTCTGTTGTGCGGTGGATGTCCGAACACGCCCCTCTGACCATGGCCTGAGCCGGACGGCATTCCCATCATTTCCGCCATCATTCTCGAAAATTCTTCTTCATTGAACGAGGCTTCTTTGTCCTCTCCCTCATCACTCATTTCGTCATCATCGTCTTCCTCATCCTCGTCCGAGCTGAAGTCGTCGATGAATTCTGCTCCTTCAAAGCCAGCTGATTCGTCGTTCAGGAACTTTTCAAATTGTGCTACGATGCGTTGCAGATTTTCCTGTGCATTGGAGTCTCCGAAGGCACCACGTGCACGTGCGTTGTCCTCCGTACCTTTTCCCTTGCCTTTCAGTTCCTGATCCAGATCCTCAAAGCTGATATCCAGCCACTTCTCGTCATCCTCCCGTTGATCCCAAGTCTGAATTTCTTCATCTGTTGGTAATTGCTCATCTCCAGTTTCCAGGTCTTCCAAAACGAGTTGCATCTCTCTCACTGTTGCTTTGTCCTGGTTTTGAGGGTCATTGAGCAGCATCTCAAACCCGCAAGCCAGCTTCATGCCTACCTCTGCTCGTCCATATGCTGTTTGGTCTTCCTTTGACGGTAGGCTCTCGGCCCAGGACTTGGGGATGGGGAAATCTTGACTCTTCAACTGCGCGTAGCCGACCCGCGTGAAGCGCACGCTGACCGTTACGAAATCCTCCGGCTTGAAGATGAAGCTGCTAATGTCTTTCGAACGTAAGGGACGCAATGCGATCGGGTCTCTGAGATAGAAGGCCTCGACAGCCGCGGAAATATAGGCGGGTTTCTGGTGCAGCAAAAAAGCGACCTTGCGCGGGATGGTGACCAATGCAGAATGAAGATTTTCGTTGATCTGTTTAGGGTAATTGCGCAAACGGTAAAAGGCTTCCTCTTGAATCATGGTCGAACGCATGAGACGTGCCGGTTCATCCATTATAATCTTCTTAGCGTCTGCAAAAGTCAATTTTTCCGTCACCCTGTCCTTCTTATCATTTTTCGGCTTGATGATGACGAGTTCGCCTTTGTTGATCCACACCTTGAGAACGGTAGAAATCTCAGTATTTCAGGTATGATACAAAGAAGTTAGGGAAGGAACAGACCCTATTATCCGCGACTTCAGGTTCCAGCCAGGCAGGCAGCGTAGCAGCGGCCTCCACAAGAAGAAATTGGCCGTCGCCATCGACCACTCTAGCCCATATATCCTTGTGCTTCTTGGTCAATTCGCGCAATATGTACACAATGACCCATTCGTCTTCAATCGAGTCTCCGAAATTAGTGCGCCCGTGCAGAGATGTTACCCCTGCAGTCTTATCAGTACCGGGCGCATCGGCGGGCATGGATGAACGGGCATCACCTACCATCATCCTTGGTAATTTCCAATCGGAAGCCTTCCCGCTGCCATATATAATCCTTCAAAAGCTCTTTTGTGAGCTCCGCGGCAGTCCGTTGAACTCCGACCAGTCGCGCTCGCGTTTCTGCAACCTCATCGACCGTGGCGGGGGCGGGACGAGAAAGGATGTGATATAGTGCATAATCAACGGTATCATCGGGTATCTCTGGTTTGGGAATGGGGTGAAAGGTGGATTTGAACCACTCAAGGTCCTCCTGCGACATCGGCGCCATGCTGAAGACGAGTTCACCACAAACTCGTCTCGTCGAGATGTGGGCAACTCGAAAGATAACGAAGTGGATGACTTCATACCTTTTTTGCGGGACAAAAAGCAGCGGCGAATCCTCCGGCCCGGATAGCCTGAGGCCAATAACCCTAAGCCCGATATGGCTAGATGTCAACAACACCTACCGGACGGGAAACTTGAGTTGGGTCTTCACCGCCCAAAACACGTCCATTGCAAGCACCCCGTATCGCATCGTCGCATCTCGCTCCCCACCAATTTTCCCTCCCAGCGGGAAACCTCGTCGCGTGTTTTGGGGTCCTTGAATGATTCCGACTTTCTTGGAGATGGTCTTGCTTGGATGGCACTCACTCCTAATCTAGATCAGCCATCTATCCGCACAAAAGTCGCGTGTTTTCGTCGCCAATAACCGAAATGCCGTGGCCGTACATCGATACTCCGCGCACCGAAGTGGACGGAAACGCGACTTATCTCACCAATGGCTACCGCAGCGTAGGCCGACCGAATTTGACGGCACTCGACTCGGTAGAAAACTCATTTCATACACCTTCGAAAGAGGACGAAGTGCTCAAGGGTTTTGGGGGCGCCGAGCATCGGCGACAGTCTCCCGCGGGCTTCAAGCTCAACACGCCGCGAGCGGGATCCGGTCCGAAGGCCAGCAGAAGCGCGTTGAACAGTCGACACGGACTGCCAACTACAGCGATTCCCAAGGGGGAATTTACCCCCTTAATGAGAAGTGCGACCAAGAACAATTTCCTGAAGAATGTGTCCACAACGCGAAGGCACGGCTCCAAGACACCGGGCTATGGGCGAACGAGCTCGTTGAACGCAGTTCACACCCCTGGACTGCCGTCAATGGAAATGACGGACATTGATGAAGAAGACGCGACGGATGACCAGCGTACCCCATTGCCTCAGGACAGCAGCATGCAAAGCACACCGCTCCCGGCGCTGTCTAGGGAAGGAGGCATGGACGGGCAGCAGAACATGATGTCGTTAAGGGAACAAGAGAAGGTCATTCCCCGAATACATATTCAATCTCGTTACATAACCCCTTACTGATATTTACCTATTTCTAGATGATCGATCAACTCGAGAAAGACAACTTTGGATTGAAATTGAAAATCCATTTTCTGCAAGAGCAACTAGAGAAGGCGGGTCCCTCACATAATCAAGCAGCCTTGAAGGAGAATACCGAACTCAAAGTCTCGAAATTGACGATGCAACGCGATATATCACGATACAAGAAGAGCCTCCAGCAGGCCGAACGCGAGCTAGAGTCGTATCGTATCGAGTTCCAAGAGCTGAAGGAGAAGTCGCGAAGGAGGCGATCGGACGACACAATACAGCGCGAGATGGATCTGATGAGGGAGGAGGTGGAAGCGAAAGACAACCTGGTTAGAGAGCTACAAGAAGAATTACGGGACGAAAAAGACAAGCAAGCCCGGGAAATGGAAAAGGTCCGAGACGAAGTTGAGGACCTGGAAGCATCGCTAAGGCAGAAGGATCGCATGATCGACGAACGTGATGAGGAGATAGAAGAATTAAAAGATAGAGACGGTAAGAAGCATGATGCACTCGCTGAGCTGGAAGCCGAACTCCAACGTGCGAAAGAGCAGATGGAGGAACTGCAAGACTCGTTGAGCCAGGCGAAGCTTGAAGCGAGAGAAGCGCGTGACGCCAGACTCGAGGCCGTTAAGGAGAAGGAGCAGGCCCAACACGACCTCCAGGAATTACATGACGAGATGGCGAATAAATCCATCAGCACGAGTGGGCTTACTCGCCAGCTTGAAGAGAAAGCGAACAAGCTTGAGGAAGAATTACGGCTCCTACAGCAGGAGAACAACACGCTCAAGAGAGAACTCGACAACAAGGCCCGCAACGAGGATCTCCTCCAAGAGCGGTACCGGGAAGGTCAGCGGAGCTTGGATGACAAGGAGCGAGGATTTCAAGATGATATCGCACAAGCAAGACGGGACCGTGACCTCGCTTGGAAAGAGCGCGATAAATTGGCAGCCCAATTGCAGGAAGCACTGGACGAGATTCAGCGCAAGTCTGACGAGAAAGAACTGCTACAGACCCGACATAGCGCCCTCACTAATGAGTCGGCGGGCTTACAACACGACTTGGCCAACGCACAGGACAAGATCCGCGAACTACAAAAGGCGGTCGAGGAAGGAAGGCACCATGCTCTAGACCAAGCAAACATCATTCGTACCCAGTACAAGGAGGAAGTCGAAAGGCTACAAGAAGAAATCGAGGCCTTGCAACATGAAATTGAGGACAAGGAGGGCCAGTTTGCGCTCGAACAGGACAGATGGGAGAGCGCAAGGCGAGCCCTGCAACTGCAGAAGGACAGGGCAGAGGATCAGGCGGCTGGCTTTAAGCGTACGATTGAGAAGCTTGAACAAATGGAGCATACTCTTTCCGGAAAAGAAATGAAGCTCCAGGAGGTTATTGACAGCGAGAAGACACGACATTTCAATTCAGAAGCTGTCCTAAGTCGACAGGTGAAGGAATTGAACGACGACCTGACTTCGAAGCGAGAGGTGATTGACGAACAGCGGAACGAGCTATTGTCTGTCAGAGAAGAACTGAGACTCGCTAAACGCGCAGAGACGGCGATGAAAGAGAAGGTTCAAGCGCTGGAGGACGAGATCGTTGTGTTGCAAGCGAACTTGGAAGAAGAACAGGAGTACGCTAAAGGTCGCACGCAAAAAGGAGCCTCGGAACAGGATGTTCAGCTGCAAAAGCTTATCACGGAAAAGCAAAGACTTCGAGATCAACTTGCTAATGCCCATGTTGAACTGCACGATTTACAGACTTCTCTTACCGAGGTTGAGGCGGAACGCGACGAGCTTCAAAGCCAACTCGAACAGATGCAAAACCAGGTCGATGACACGACACGCTTTGACAAGGAAAAACTCGACCTCCGCAAGTCGACTGTGCGTCTCGAAGCCGAGCTCAAGCGTCTTAAAGAAGACAAGTCATCTCTTCTTGAGGCGAAAGAAACGCTAGAGAAGCAGCTTAGCAGTGAGGTTGAGCGTGCTACGTTGGAAGAGAACCGTCTTGCAGCAGAAATTGACCAATTACAAGACAAGCTCCACACAACTTCTGGTGGCAGAGAACGTGAACTCGCTCTCGCTAAAAGCAAGATACAACGCTATGAGAGACGTATTCAAGAGCTCGAGACGCTTCTCCAGGAACACCCGCTCAATGAGCCTGAGCTTTCAACTGCCAATGCTGATCTCTCGATGCTTCGTCAGGGGCTTGACGAGGCACGGAAACGTGAGAAGGCCCTTCTCCAGCGGGAAGCCGAGCATAAATCATCCGTACGGGCTTTCAAGGCACGAATTGCCGAGCTCGAGAAAGAACTACATGAGTCCTTGATGAACAAAATTGAAGTCCGATCACCCTCTTCATCACCCTCCAACAAGCTCCATGAAGAGCTTCGCAACATGCGAAAGCAGTTGTCTGAGGCACACCGCACACTGAGGGAAGTAAAGCAGAAGAATCGCGACCTCGAGCGAGCAGCGATGAGAGAAGAAGACCAACGTGACCTGCATGAACTGCTCAAATCATCAACACTCGAGGCAGAAGCTCTCGCCCTTAAGGTAACTGAACGTGACTCCCGCCTTAACGAGCTCAAGTCTCAAATGCGCCGGATCCGCGATGAGCGGTCATTTTGCGCGCGCAAAGCCGAGACGTCCCTCAGGGAACTCGAGGCTTTGCAAGATCGTTATGACCAGCTCGTTGAAAAGCTAGGATCCAGGAGCGAAAACAAGACTCGACACGACAAGGAGATCCTAGGCCTCGGCAAGGAGATCATTTGGCTCCGCGCTCGTTTAAAGCGCGAGGAGAAATTCCGACGCGATCTGGCTTGGAGTAAGGGATTGATGGAGCTGGGCGAGCGCGTCCGGGTTGCATGGTACGTATTTATGTACTCTTTTGTTCTTTGACTCATTGCTCGTCAAACGACTGACTCTTTATTTTTTCGTCATGAAATAGCAACGAAGCCGACCTCCGCATGATCTCGGACATGGGCATCAAACCCAGAGACCGCACCACCCTCCGAACCCCGCAAGCGAAGCTCAAGACCGCCATTTCAACGGTTAAGGCCATCGTCCGCATGCAACGACTAAGCCGAGAGTGGAAGAAGACCAAGAAGGTCGGCGAAGGGCTAAGGCGAGCCAAGAACGAGGTGATGAAGAGAAGAGAATCCTCGAACAAACAATAGAGGAGAGGAGAAAACAACCCTTGTCGTGAACGGAAGCTAGACATGGAGCTTCGCCGGCTCTATCAGCTTCCGCCCACGATCTTCGCATAGATGTCCATTTTTATTCTCTCCCCATCCAAGCCTTTCCCACATTTCCCATCCATGCACCCTTGCTCTGGCTTGGTTATCCGTGTGCTGTTTCCCATCCGTACCCTAACATTCGGCCAAGAGCGCCATATACTTCAGCTTTTGTTTTGCCTTTCCCTTCGATATTCTGTTCCTTTCGATGATAAAAAGATTCCCCGACGTGTTTTGATTTCATGAGCCTTGGTGTAGTCTCATCTGGCGTTGTGTTGCTTTCATGTTTTGTCTGACTTGCTTTGCTTCGCGTTCCTGATTGACATAGGTTAAACGGACAGGATGGATCGACTTGTGTGACTGACCTGGTTGATTCTGCTTGACTACATGAACCACACTACCTATACGTCCTTAGACAGTTTTGAAACTTCAGGCCCACTAAGCTACGATGTTCTGTCCAAGTGCCGATCCTCAGCAGCAAATAATCCGGGCTTTTCCATTTTGGTACCTCAGTGAAGGTTAACGGGAGATGCTACCCTAGGTAAGATGCTTTCTTGAAATTGTACCGGTAAAAGAGACAATATCTGCGAGGTATGCTTTTGTGGCGCCCAAGGGAAGTGGAGGAAAGTAAAATCATGGTAGACTTTAGCTCGAGATAAAATAACATCAGGTAACGCCTCGCCTTGCCACGAATCCGACTCAAAACAAGATATGAAGAAAGCTCCTAACACCGAGGTCGTGGTGAGAAGGTTTGCAAAGAAAAACTAATAAATCACAGAGAGCATAAATAGGGCAGAACAAAGACGCAAGAGAAAAAGATGTATGTATAGAAGGCAAATAAAACAACAAAGCATAGGTCGTTCCTTTCGTTCATCCAACTCGGTGAATTGTGGAGATTAGAGATCAAATCGACATTTTAGTGCAAAACCAACGGGAAAACTAAGCCCATGTAAGCTTGACTCTATATCGGGATCATGGTTTAGAGACGTAAATGAGGGGTTGGGAGGGGGGAGGAAATGATTATGAGAAAACAACACGAAGAGCTCATGCACCTTCGCTACCGAACTCTTGCGTCCATTCGGAGTTTCTTTGCAGATCCTCCTGGCTGACGGTTGGTCTGGAGTTGCGGACGGCCTTGATGAAGTCCTTGAGGATGAGTGGTGGTTCTAGGAGCTGCTCTGCGTCTACACTTGTCCATGTCATCTCAATGGCACCCTGGTCGCCGGGCGAGCATGGCGTGAGCTTCTCCGCACCGTCGACGATGACCTATTTGTGGTTAGTCGAATGCAATGATTCTAAGTAAAGAGAGGGGGCAGTACCTTCTTGTAGTGTGTCGCGGTCTGAATCTTCCGAATGGGCTGCATCAGCGCATCCTGTACTGCGATACTGATGTCACTACCCGAGTAGCCCTCGCTCATCTCCGCCAACGTTCGATAATCGGCTTGCGTCATCTCACATGGCGTAGAACCGACGGCTAACATGAACATCTTCATACGGGCGTTGATATCGGGAAGACTAATGTGAACTCTCCGTTGGAAACGACGACGAATGGCAGCATCCAATTGCCATGGGATATTGGTCGCGCCCAGGATTAGAACGCCCCTGGAGTCTTTTCCCACACCATCCATCTGCACCAGCAATTCAGTCTTGATACGACGGGACGCCTCGGACTCGCCCTCTCCACGAGGACCACAGAGGGCATCGACCTCGTCAATGAAGATGATAGCGGGTTTATTCTCTCGAGCCATGTTGAAAAGCTGCTTCACGAGCCTGTAAAAGACACTGTCAGCGACCATATTTCAGAGTCCAACGGAGCAAGCACTCGTACCTTTCACTTTCACCCATCCACTTAGACACCAAGTCACTGCTACTCACACTGAAAAAGGTACTATTTGCCTCCGTCGCAACCGCCTTGGCGAGGTACGATTTACCCGTACCAGGCGGACCATACAGCAGGATACCCTTCCACGGTTGTCTCTTCCCCGTGAACAGATGCGGAAACTTGATCGGCAAGATGACCGCTTCCTTCAACGCCTCCTTTGCGCTCTCCAGACCCGCGACATCCTCCCACTTGACGTTGGGTTTATCCGACAAGATCGCGCCTGCCAGAGCGGACCGTAACTTCTTCGCATCGGCGTCCTCACCATCATCATCCTCTTTCCTGTAAAAGCGAAACCAAGCCAATGTCAGCATGCAAACCGCAAAGCCCAAGCAAGAATATGAGCAGAAGAGCAGAGGGACATAGCGCGCCATATCCTCTTTTGCAGTTCTAGCCAAAAAAAAAAGAAAACATACCCTCCCTTCCCACTCCCTTGCGCTACCTTGCCATTAGCGCCCACCGCGCTCGGCTTTTTCCGACCTTCCTGCGAGGCGAGATGGTTCTTGAGCTTCTCAGCACGATCCATGTATTCGCCGGTCTTTGCGCGGATCATTTCCTTGGAGCGGGGGTTCTTCTCCCATTTCAAGGCGAGCATGAACAGCTCCAGTGCGGAGTAGTACAGCTGATAGGCCTTCTCGTATTCGCCTTCATTGTCGTTCTCGATGGCCTTTTTGACGGTGTCAATTGCCCGGCCAAGGAAATCGGTGTTGCTCATGGCTGTGAATTGAGGGATTCTGCGTGGAGAGCGCGGGGGGTGGAGAGGCAGGGGGCTGTTGTTTTTCCCGCTACGTAATGGAGGGTTGGAAGGAGATAAGTTAGATAGACAGGGAACGGAGGGACGAAAGGCGGGGAGAGACTAAAAGAGGGCGAGACCGAGGAGTGGCTGGTTAGGTCGATCGATTGGTTTGGTTGGTTGGTTGGTTGGCTGCCTCGAGAACGGTGATATCGCGTCTGAGTGAGTAGAAACGTTTGCCTGGCTGGCAGTAGTAATGCAGGAGTGGATCAGTCGCTGATTTTCTCCTTTCTCTGATCTGTCGTTCTGAGAGGGCAATTTGCGAGGGATGAATGTCAAGTTGAGATGGCAACAAGCAATGGTTGTTTACCGTCTTGGGTTTTCTGCCGGCCGCTCTTGCCCCTCCGAGCCGCCGCCCGATGGTTATTCTCCTTGGAATGTGCCCCCCTCCCCCCCCCCCCTCACTAGATCCTTAAAGCTGCTTATACCACCCGGTTGAATCATGGCGGACGCTCAGAAGCACATGCAGGCACTCTCGGATGAGTTCCAACAGTTGCAGACTGGTATGTACCCTTTCTGCTTGGCAGATCCCCGAATTCGATCTGTTCAGCGCAGCCCGTCATTCTTCCGGGCCTACCTGCTAATGAGTCCCCTCACCTCTAGAACTCGACGGTCTCGTCGATGCGCGGCAGAAGCTCGAGTCCCAACAGCAAGAGAACCTGGGTGTGCAGAAGGAATTCGACTCGCTCGATGACGAGTCCAACATTTATAAGCTCATCGGCCCGGTCCTGTTGAAGCAGGATAAAACCGAGGCTATGATGGCTGTCAATGGTCGTTTGGAGTTTATTGAGAAGGAAATGTATGGCCCCTTTCCCGTGCTGCAGCTACATGGAAAGGATGATCTGATGGATAGTCTATAGTCAACGGATCGAGGGACAAATCAAGGAGAACCAGGACAAGGCGGACAAGAAACGTACCGAGGTAAGCTTTGGTCAAGGTTGTGAGAGCTGATACGACAGAGGATTCTGACGGGTCATACAGATTGTGCAGTTCCAGACTCAGCTTCAGCAACAATCTGCTGCAGTTTCTGCTTAAGTGGTGATGGATAAAAGGCTCTGGACTGCCGATGAACGGCAATTGACCCTTCCCTACCATCGCAGCGATGTGAGCATCAGTACCACGGACTAAACATGCACTTGCACTGTCAATGGCATCGCGGGCTGGTATCACAGTAACACACGATTGCATTAATTCATATGGCAATGCAACGGGACGGCCGATAGAATTCCTACTGTCGGACCTTTATAGCCTACTCGTCACAATTGTTGAGGAAAGTATATGGTTTTAGATACCCTTGCAACGATTCAGCTTTTGTGGTTTCTTACCTTCTCAGCAATTGACCATTAGTGATACTGTCACGTCACATGCGGGACAGCTGAAGCCATCATCTATCGGCGTCTGTCTAGTATCCTAGCTGTTGGACATATGCCAACAATCCTGCTTCCTGGTTCACTTTGATGCCCTTTGGGCGCTCCATTAAAATTCATCGCTTCATAAATCGCCGTATCTAGAAACCTGAACTATACTCTATACGCAAAATCTATGCCTTGACCAAAAGACTGCGTCCAGACATCTCCTCAGGCTGCTCAACGCCCAAGGCAGCCAGGATAGTGGGAGCAACATCTCCGAGGACACCGTCCTCCTTGTTAAGGCTCCAACCCTCAGGGGCGTTGGCCATGATGAAAGGAACCTTGTTAGTGGTGTGGGAGGTCTTAGGGGTGCCCTTCTCATTGAGCATCTCCTCGGCATTTCTAGACAGGTGGTTAGCGCCGTCGTGGTAACATGAATGACATAAAAAAACTCACCCGTGGTCAGCAGTGATGAACAGAACGTAACCGTTCTTCTTGCAGGCCTCGTAGATGACGCCAATAGCCTTATCAGTGGCAGCAACACCCTCGATGGCGGCTTCGTAGACACCGGTGTGGCCGACCATGTCGGGGGGAGCGAAGTTGTTCATAACGAACTCGAAGTTGCCCTCACCAAGACGCTCGGCCATCTTCTCACCAACCTCCTTGGCACTCATCTTGGGGTCAAGGTCGTAGGTGGCAACCTTGGGCGAGGGGATCATGTCGCGCACCTCACCATCGAACTGCTTCTCGATACCACCGTTGAAGAAGAAGGTGACGTGGGCATACTTCTCGGTCTCGGCAACGTGGCACTGCTTAAGGTCCTTCTTGCTGAGCCACTCGGCCAGAACGTTACCCATGTGCTGGGGAGGAAAGGCAACGGGGAAGGTGTAGTCGGTCTTGTACTGGGTCATGGTGGTGATATGGATGTCCTTAGGGTAGGGGAAGTCGGCTTTGGGGGAGCGGTCGTAGTCACCCAACAGCTGGGTGATCTCACGAACACGGTCGGAGCGGTAGTTGAAGAAGAATAAGGTGTCGTTGTCTATCGCACATAGTACATTAGCAAGTCTGGTCATCTCGCGAAGAAAGGTCACACCTACCCTGCACGCGTCTGTCCTTGCCACCAACAATGATAGGCTTGAGGAACTCGTCGGTTTCCTTCTGCTCGTAGCGCTCGTTGATGGTTTTGACGGGATCCTCGCTGTCCTCGCCCTCTCCGGTGACAATACCCTTCATAGCGACCTCAACACGGTCCCAGCGCTTGTCGCGATCCATGGCCCAGTAGCGACCAACGACGGTAGCAATTTCACCGATGCCAATCTCCTTGGTCTGGTCAAGCAGCTGCTGCATGTACTTGGCGGCACTCTTGGGATCGGTATCGCGTCCATCACCGAAGAAGTGGATGTAGACGTGGGGGATCTCCATCTCCTTGGCGACCTTCAACAGACCAACCAGGTGAGTGATATTGGAGTGGACACCACCGTCGGAGACCAGACCCAACAGGTGCAGACGGCCATTGCCCTCCTTAGCCCGCTTGAAGGAGGCGACAACGTTGTCGACCTTGTTGAGCTCGCCCTTCTTAAGGGTCTGATCGATGCGAACACTGTCCTGCCAAACAACACGACCGGCACCAATGTTCAAGTGACCGACCTCACTGTTGCCCATGAGGCCCTCGGGCAAACCGACAGCCAAGGATGAGGCATCGAGCTCGGTGTAACCCTGGGCAGTCTTGGAGTCCTTTTCAGCGAAGCCGGACATGAAGGGAGTCTCTGCGGCGAGAATGGCATCACCGTCCTTGCGGGAGTCGGGGCCGGCGACACCCCAACCATCAATGACGACTAAGTTGATGTGTTAATTGATTGCTTTGAAAAGAAATATTCTGAGAGCAATGGCTTACTCAAAGCGACCTTCTGATCAACCTTAACCATGGTGAAGTAATGCTAAAATGAATCCGCTGGTTAGCACAGTCGACGGCGGGGCAGAGGGGGAGGGGCAGCTACGTATAGTTCCCAGCATCGTGATTGGGAAGAGCTGGAATGGTGAAAAGAGACATGTACTTACTTCAAATCAAAATTTGGGATGGAGAATAATAATTGAAGTAAAAGATGGGAAGAAATAATCAAGAAGAAGAAAAGGTGCGAAGGAGGAAACACAGGTGGAGAGACCGGAGTAAAATGGCTGGCCGGTGAAAACAACTTGTTGCATGAGGGGGAGGGGCGCCTTTTCCTTTTTCTTCCCGGTGACGCTTTGGGGTTGTGTTTTTCCCGACGTCACTCGCCGGCTCAGCTTTAGTTCTTTAGGCACTCCGTACCTTAGTTATCTTCTCCTGCCGGTCTTGTCCGCCCGCAAACACTCTCTCCCACTCTCTCTCCCTTCTCCACGTTCCGACTCTTCCCTAAACAATTACCCAGTTCCCGAAATAAGGGGCCCCATATTTCGCCTGACTCGGTTTCCACTTCTGTCAGCCTTTTTATTCTGATTCAAGAAACACCAGGCGGCTCTCGCTGTCCTCGTTGATTTCTCGAGAATGGCGTCCAGATCCCCAACGGCCTTCACGCCCTTACCGAGACCAACCTCCGTGCCCGAGACCCCCCTCGTGAAGGACACCCCCGTTACACCTCAGGCAGTTCCTTTTCCACCTCCGCAGACTTTCGACATAATCCCACCCTTGCACGGTCTTCTGCTTCGCCTGCTCGCGTCGCCCGGCACAACTGGCCATGGCGTGAGGGCCTCAGAAGTCACCAATGGAGGCTCAGGCCCTGTCGGACAACCCACCAGCGCTCCTGGGCAACCTCACTCGCAACCTGGGAGTGAGGCTCACGGCCAGCCCGGGGTGTTGGTGACAGTCCCTTCTGCAGGGCCTGGACCGGTTTCTGCCTCGGCTGAGCTTGCAGCCTTGGGGTCGAATGTACCCCCGCCGCTCGACATCAAAGACCTCCCGACCGAGGTTAGCTCGATCAAGATTCGAATTCAAAAGGCGCAGGCAGTGGTAGAGAATCTGCCTGATGTTGATCGCTCTGTCGCAGAGCAGGAGGAGGAGATTCGAGAGCTTGAGGACCGGATCGCAAAACTCAAGACAGTTATCTCTGACTTTGGCCGCAGAGCTAGTCCTCGCAGTGCGGGAAGGTCAAGAACCACTGAGCCTTGAGAATCTGGAGGGGTGGATACATATTTGGTGGTGATAACGGTGTACTGCCATAATCTTGGCTCGCAGTCAACGGAGCAGGACAATTTTTCTGGGAGGCAACTGGCCTTAGCTATGTCCTGCCAGCCCTGAGCACCTTGGAACATTCAAGCGAGTTCATGTCGATTGTATATCGACTAGTATCTCGAGCTTGGTTCGAATAGATCCAGCACGTTGCAAAGCAACGTATTGGAGAGTCCCTGCCCGCATAGACCATTTTGGCGCTCAGTGTGTTGTTGAATGAAAGCTGGTACCCATGAAGAAGCTTGCAGACTTCATCTGAAGCTGCAACAACTCAAGGCGACAAGTCGCCATTGCTGTTGATCAACCATTACGGAGTACAGCGACTGGAGTAGGATTTGGCACTATGGCTGCCCTGTCTCCTGACCTACATTTTTTCCATGCTTGGGTGGCGTGCACGGCTTGCGAAGCAACGAACATGCAATTAGCGGAGCGTCAATATGAAGAACTGCTGAGGAGAATCTTGCAGCTGCGAACTGATGTCTATGTGTGCTGAACGACCCCGCTCCAGCTCCCACGGTCCTCACTTTTACATTTAGGCGGGATTGATTTGCAAGGGAGAACCTGCGATTTGCAAAGTCGAGGAAGCTTTCCAAACACTTTATTTATATCCTCGTTATTTTGCATGGTTGCTTGCATGGCCTGAGATTTCAGTTTTGTATTGCTAGGCAAACCGCTACGTAACTAGATTCCCATACACATTGGAAGGAGATAGCTCCTTGCTCGGCGAGCAAGCTCCAGTGGATCACTACTTGCAGCAATGAGTCAGAGTGTTGCTGCACGGGAGGATTTTTTTCTTCTGGATGGAAACCATTATTGTTTTGAATCCAGACAATCAATTACTTCGAAATCTTCGTATTACAGCACCAATCAGGAAGAAGCAATGCGAAATCCAGCGGGATTGACTTTGACGGAGACGAGAAATTTCCCAGGGATTGTAGCAGGCAATGAATAATAGCGGCGACTAACACGGCTCCGATGTCGTCCCCGATGCTACTTTTTGCCTCCCGTTGGTTCAACTGCTTTCGGAGGGCGGGGCTAAAATTATTTAGTGTCCTAAGGCAACTTTTTTTTCCCAGACCCAGTTCCGGTCCGCCTCCCTCCTGCCCCCTCCCCCCCCCCCCACCCCGCCAGTACTTCTTCTTCATCTCTCTCCAGCTTTCCTTTTCTCTTTCTTTTTCTCCTCTTCATCCTCATCTTCTTTCTTCTCTTCCTTCCTTCCCATCCCTTTCTTCCATCTTCATATCACACACAATGGCCACCTACGCCCTCCCCCAGTCCCACCGGGACGTAAGTACTCTATGTTCTCGCTGAAACGAGTTGAATTGGATAACTGACTCATTCGTGCAGCAAATGGAGAAGTCCCTTGTCGAATCTGACCCTGAGATCGCTGAGATCATGGTACGTGATCTCAATGACACCGTTTTCTTGGGTATTTGGGGGAAATGCTAATACTCGAATCTACAGGAGAAAGAAATTCAGCGTCAGCGTGAATCCATCGTCCTGATCGCTTCGGAGAACTTCACCTCCCACGCCGTCTTCAATGCTCTGGGCTCTCCTATGTCCAACAAGTACTCCGAGGGTTATCCCGGTGCCCGTTACTACGGTGGTAATCAGCACATCGATGCCATCGAGCTTACTTGCCAGGCTCGTGCCCTCAAGGCTTTCAACCTGGACTCTGAGAAGTGGGGTGTCAACGTTCAGTGCCTCAGTGGAAGCCCTGCCAACCTGCAGGTTTACCAGGCTCTGATGCGCCCCCACGACCGCCTCATGGGTCTTGACCTTCCCCACGGTGGTCACTTGAGTCACGGTTACCAGACTCCTTCCCGCAAGTACGTCTCCAAGCTTTCCTCCAGCCAGCTTTCCATGCCATACAGCTGCTAATGCCAATTCTTGCAGGATCTCCGCTGTCTCCACCTACTTCGAGACACTCCCCTACCGTGTCAACCTTGAGACTGGTATCATCGACTACGATACCCTCGAGGCCAACGCTGAGCTCTACCGCCCCAAGATCTTGGTCGCTGGTACCTCCGCCTACTGTCGTCTCATTGACTACGAGCGCATGCGCAAGATCGCTGATAAGGTCGGTGCCTACCTCGTTGTCGACATGGCCCACATCTCCGGTCTGATCGCCGCCGGTGTCATCCCCTCTCCCTTCGAGTATGCCGATGTTGTTACTACCACCACCCACAAGTCCCTTCGTGGTCCCCGTGGTGCCATGATCTTCTTCCGCAAGGGTGTTCGCAGCCACGACGCCAAGACTGGCAAGGACATCTTGTACGACCTTGAGGGTCCCATCAACTTCTCCGTCTTCCCTGGTCACCAGGGTGGTCCCCACAACCACACCATCACTGCCCTTGCTGTTGCCCTCAAGCAGGCTGCTTCCCCTGAGTTCAAGCTGTACCAGGAGCAGGTTATCAAGAACGCCAAGGCTCTTGAGAACGAGTTCAAGGCGCTGGGCCACAAGCTCGTCTCGGACGGTACCGACAGCCACATGGTCCTCGTCGACCTCCGCCCCAAGAGCCTCGACGGTGCCCGTGTTGAAGCTGTTCTCGAGCAGATCAACATTGCCTGCAACAAGAACTCTATCCCCGGTGACAAGTCTGCTCTCACCCCCTGCGGTATCCGCATTGGTGCCCCCGCTATGACCACCCGTGGCATGTCCGAGGACGACTTCAAGCGCATTGCCCGCTACATTGACCAGTCTATCAACATCTGCAAGCAAGTGCAGAGCGAGCTGCCTCAGGGCGCCAACAAGCTCAAGGACTTCAAGGCCAAGGTTGCCTCCGAGACCGTCCCCGAGATCCTTGAGCTCCGCAAGGAGATCGCCCAGTGGGCCAGCACCTTCCCCCTCCCCGTCTAAGTGTGATCACTGCCCTGGGGTAGCCACCAATATGATACCACATCTTCTTTTTCTGATTTTGTTTTGGGTTTTCGAGTTCAACATCTAGCCGGTGTGTCGCTTTTCTACAGGGGTTTTATACAGGACTGCTTTTTCAACCTTACGCGGGTCATGGGATATGGATATGCATGAGCATGTGTGAATGATTTGAGAGGAACACAAAAATAAGCTCTAAGGTGGGCTTTCTTCAACACTTTCTTCAACAGGACCAAAAAAAGTTCGTGGTTGGAAAAATCAATGGCTTTAACCGCCTTGACTGAGTCTATGACCAGATAACTCAGAGATAATAATTTTATGAAGTTTCCACTTCTCCACTTGTGCTTCACATCGTAGTTCAATTCGGTGATGATACTTTGATTCATGGGATCATGGTGTAAGATTGATATCCGTAGCATATCTTTCTCGGGTTCTTCGACTTCTTGGTTATTACTACAACTCCGACCTCCCGTCTCCGAACTGACTGAACCCCATCGACCACGCTTCCGCCTCCGCCTTCTCTCTCTGCTCCTCCCACCCCTTCACCATCAGTGCCGCCACGTTCTTCCCCATCAATGCACTGGTCTCCATCGTCGAGATGAAATTCTCGATGCCGCCCGTATACCACACGTGGGGCGCCAGCGCCACCTCCTCGAAGGTCACCCGCGGGTAGACGTATGGGTAAGGCTGCCATACCTTCTCGTGAAACCAGCTGATATCCTCTTTGGGGAGGTCTTTAATGGTCGAGGCGGCGGTAGTTTCCTGGTCGTTCTGGTTGTCCACGAGCCCGAGGATCGAGCGTAGGAAAGCCGCAGTCGGCCGTTCGGGGGAGAAGATTTTGTAGACGTAATGCTGCTGTGGTTGGCCGTCATCGTCGTCTGGCTTGCGGCTGGAAAATGGACGATGGGGCGGGGCAGCCACGGTACGGAGGGTACTGATGCTCCAGAAGTTGGCGGGGCCGACGCCCTTTTCGGCTTTGTCTAGGGCAGGGTCGTGGCCGTGGGGGAGGGTGGTGAGGATGGTTTCCGGGGTGTTCGGGCCGGGCAGGTGAAAGTAGGCCGGCGAGAGACGGTGCGGAGAGGAGAAGAGTGTTACGTGCAGGTTCACGAAGGGGACTTCATCGGGGTGCGTCTGGAGGGGTGGAGTGGTGGTGATGTTGGTGAATTGGAAGGGGGCGGCGATGACGATCTCGTCAAAGTCTTCTTCGACTTGGTTAAAGGAGGAGGAGGGACTGGCGTCCTTGAATGTGAGGGTTGTTGGGTGGTGACGGTGATGAGAAAGGTATTGGGTCTGGCCGTCGTTGTTCTTGTCGCCGTCCCAGTTAATGGATGTGACGGTGTGGTTAATGCGCACTTCGGCCCCGGAGGCCTTGAGCATGCCGTCGAAGATCTGCCAGTTGCCGCCTTCAATGGCCATGGCGCCGTCGGTGGCGAGGCAGACCATCGTCTCGAGGCCGTGGATGAGGCCTAGGTTCTGCCCGTAGTTGACGCGCGTGCTGGCCTGCACGATCTCGCGTGAGAAGAGATCCGAGATGCGGTTGAGTCTCAGAAACTCCAACCCGGGGACGGCGACGATGTCCAGGAGCCCGACGGCCTCGGTGGCTAGAGTGAGGGACCGGAAGGGAAACAGAGGCCCGTCATAGAGTTGCAGGAATTTGTTAACGGTGGACTTCATCAGTCGGTAGGCGTTGACTGGGGCCAGTCCGTATCGCCAAAGCAATTTGGCAAGGTTCCACCAGCCCGAGGTATCTTTGAACACAAATACCATCTGTTTCCCATCCCAGATGCCGATGGTGTCGTCGGTCTCTCTGGATCGTTCATAGTTGGCACTTTGGGCGGTCAACCCCAGGTCCCTGGATGCGTTGACTAGATTATAGTTGACGCTGACAAAGATGGATGCTCCCAGTTCAATCGGGTAGGCCGGGTTGTCGAAGACGTTCACCGTAGTAGAGCGGCCACCGACATATGAAGAGCGTTCGAAGACGGTGATGTTGACGGGGACATGCTGGGTTTCAGCATACTTGCGAAGAGAATATGCAGTAGAAGATCCTGCAGCTCCAGCACCTATCCTAGCGATCAGTTCTTGCGAGTCGACCATCAGGGAGTGGGAGTGATTTACCGATAATCGCAACTTTCTTCGGAGCTATCTCTTCGGACGAGCCCAAAGGGCGTTGTATAGCAGCATGGCTGCTGGGGACCAGGCACAGGATAAACAAATAGTATATGACTTGTGCATATAGAACAGAGCGGGCTAGCAAGATCCTAGGATAGAAATTCATGATGACAAGTTTGCCCTGATCAAACGAGGTAGTCAGATGATAGGTTCCGTGCTGTCACCAGGGACCGATCACCTAGTTCATGATACTGGGGAATTCGGAAGACAGATGGCGAAAAGGCGCTCAATTACATAAGAGCAGCAAGTATAAAGCAAGGAAGACAGACAGTGATAGCAAGACGAAGATTGAGCAAGAAGGTAGATGCAGTGATGTGATGATGGATAGTGCAGTAGTCAAGTGCAGTGCAATGACGCCGATGGATTACTTGATGCGGTGTATTTCCATTTTAGGAAAAGCGTCTTTTCAAATGCCTCTAACTCTAGTACTAAGTTACATCTTCAGTAGTTATACTTACTTCGTATACATCCCCTTTACCTGGACAACCTCACTCTCAATATGCCCTCTAGGATTAGACTGGCAGCGGTGTCCTCCATTTATTGGCGAAACCCAAATCATTGTTTATACTGTCATTCGGGGAATAGATCTTCCAAGTGAGCTGAGAACAAAGAATCTTTGTTTACAAATAGCAATATATCGACTTTGAGGTGTCACGTCATTCTGGCACGCAGTCTGAGAGATTGACAGGGCAGGATGTCTCAGGGAGTCCCGGCTCTGCTGCAGACAGCAGAAGGAATGATCTGAAGAGAAAAATGTGAGCCTTCATCCTAAAGATCAACCATAGCAAGGTGATGCAACGAGTTTGAGCTCGGCAACAGAAGAAGAAAGAGTTGGGTTGGGATAGAGGAAGAAGGTCTTGCTAAATTTGCTTATAGACTGACTCGTGCTTGTATCTTGTTAACCTTTTGCACCTTTTGTTGCTGAATTGATTGTATTCATTGTTTAACTAGTTACGCGGTAAGATTTTATACTGAAATGTTTAACTTATAGAATGGCGCCAATCCGTGTTAGGCTAAGGTACCCGTGTGGGACCCCCTACTTAGGCTCCTATCGCCTATCGCTTTTCGACCGGCTTTTTCTTCCAGCTGCCCCCGAAAATCATCGCTTCGCTTCGCTTCACGCTGCCTTTGCCTCATACAAGGCACTCCTGCAAATCGCACTGTGCTTCTAGTGCAGCGCTTTCTCCCCTTTTGAACGGCGACATTGACCATCTAACCATGGACCCTTACGACAGCGACTCTTCCTTCGACGATGAGGGGGATTTCACCGAGACCGGCGTGCTCTTGGGCTACGCCGCAGATGAGATTGTAGACGACACAATCAGCCACCTTGGAGGACGTCCGGTAAACTTCGCCATGATAAGTCCTGTCTGAAAGATACGCTCACTAACCATGGTCATGAATCCCATCCACAGACCTGGCTCGACGACGCTACCCCGCCTCCCGGCGAATTCGCCAAATGCAAAGTCTGCAACTCGCCTATGCTTCTCCTCCTCGAACTACATGGCGACCTTCCCGACGACTTTCCCGATGATGAGCGACGTCTGTACATCTTCGCATGTCCCAGGAAGCCCTGCAACCGCAAGCCCGGCAGCATCAGAGCCCTGCGCGCTACCCGCAAGCTGAAGAGCGAACCCGCCCCCCGGCCCGCAAAGGAGGAAGTCAATGAGATTCCGACCGAAGCCCCTGTGGAGGAAGAAGAAGAAAAAGAACAGAAGCCAAAGAGCGAGGCCCCCAAGCCGGATCTCGGCGCAAGCCTATTCGGTTCCTCCTCCCTGACAGGCAGTGTCTCCGCCAACGCCAACCCATTCTCCCTCGGTGGTAGTGGTAACAGCAACCCATTCTCCAGCAACAACAACAGCAACAGCAACAGCAACCCATTTGCCGCCCCCGCCCCCTCCCCTGGCCTAGCCGTCAAACCATCCACCCCGGCCTCAACGACCGCCGCTGCCGCCAATTCTCTCTCCGATTCCTTCGCCGACAAAGTCCGGGTTTCCTCCCCACCCCCAGCAGCAGCATCTCTTCTCAAGACTCTCACTCCGCCCGAGGAAAGCCCCAGCCCCGCAACCCCCTGGCCCGCCGATTCCGACTTCCCCGCCCCCTACCCGCAATTCTACCTCGATGCCGAATACGAGACGCTATCGCGGCCGTCGACGCCCACAATCCCCGACAACGTGACGATCGACAACAGTGAAGACCCCAGCGGCGGCGGCGGGGCCGACCTCAAGGACGCCTTCGAGTCCGAGCTCGACAAGGCCTTCATGCGCTTCTCCACCCGCCTCGGTCACAACCCGGAGCAGATCCTCCGGTACCAGTTCCGCGGCACCCCGTTGCTCTACTCCCACACCGATTCCATCGGCAAGCGCCTGCACGAGGTCATCGCGCACAAACCCGCCAACACCAAGATCGCCACGACGGGAGGAGCCCCATCTCTCTCTAGCTGCATCCCGCGCTGTGAGTACTGCGGCAGCGAGCGCGTATTTGAGTTCCAGCTCGTGCCGCACGCGATCAGTGTGCTCGAGGACGGCCGCGAGGGCGTTGGCCTGGGTGATGCTGGCATGGAGTGGGGGACGATCATGTTGGCGGTGTGTAGCCGGGACTGTGGGCCCAAGGAGATCGGAGTCGTGGGATACCGTGAGGAGTGGGCGGGCGTGCAGTGGGAGGAGGCTGCTAAATAGATCTTCACGTCTTCCTCCTCGGCCTTTCCACCTCACTGCTACTCTCTGCCTATACCTTACGCGTGACCCATGATGTTCTGATATTGATGATGACCAGCTATATACACATACTCTTCCATATTCATAGACACATACCTCGAGCTGTTTTGCTCCTTGAAAATGAAAAGTTTATTTTATTCGATATAAGACAGACAGACGTACACTACCTACAGATTCTAAGAATGATGTGATTTCCTCTTTTTATTGTTCTCTTGCGGCTTGTTCCTTTCATTTTTACACTGACAGGATATCTTGAGGCTAAGAAACGAATGCTTTGGTTGGCACCGTTGCGGGAAGGCAGAGACAGATCCATGAAGCTGACGATGATGATCGTGATGAACAACACTCACAAGCAGCGACGCGAAACTCAAAACGCCAATTGCGCCAAGTTCCTGACCACCCAGCCTTTTTCTCTCTCTGCATTTCCCTGCATGCTGGGCTACCCCGAGTCCTTTCCTATCCCCGGGGGTTTCATCATCGTCATCATTTTATTTTGGGGGCTCTATAGCTCATAAGTCATAGATAGAGTTCGGATAATGTCTGTATCTCCCTCTACTTTCCTCCTTCGTTTTCGGCCTATCTTTCACAGTGTAGGCGAAAGAGGAACTGAGGAGAGAAAAGGAGACACTTAATGGAGTCAACGGAACGGGGTCTGAAGTCCCGGATCCACTTTCAAGGCAAAAAGAGAAACACGAGTGAAATGAAGTATTAGCAAGAAGGGGAAGGACGGATAGCGGGGGTCCAAGAAGGGAAAAAAACGGAATTTGAGAAGACGACATGGTTGCGGATTTGGTTGATTTGAGAAAAATAAAAGACGCGATTTATTTCCTCAAAGAATCTTAGAAGACTCCCGCTCATGCAGCCTGCTCGAAGCCTCTGCGGATGACGCGGCCGAACATATCCACACCAACACGCTCGCTCTTGACCTCGCTGCGGGCCTCGTTCTCCTTGTTGGTGGGGACCTTGATGACGTCGCCGTTAACCTCCCAGCTGCAGACCTCAGCGACGAACTTCTCGAGAGCCTCGCGGCTGCGGAGGTCGAGCCACTGCTCGAGGACCTCGGCGTTGACCTCACGGAAAGCCTTGCCAACTTCGACGGCGATGCGAATGCGGACCAGCTCCTCGAAGCCGGCAACATCGGCGACCAGATCGGCGTACAGGTCGTCAGAGTTCAGGGTGGACCAGAACTGGGCGTACTGGGCGGATTCCAGGAGGGTGGACAGGCGAGCAAGCTTCTGGACGGACTCAACGAAGTCGGAGGTCTGAGCGGCGGCTTGGGCTTCGGGGTTGGAAGACTGGAAGGGCTGGGTGTGGGCGGGGAGCAGAGCAAGGCAGAGGGAGAAGGCGGGAGAAGGGAAGACGGTGAGAGCCTTGACGAGGATGTTGGTGACGGTCTCAGGCTGGAGGAGGTGGGGGTTGAATTGGTAGCTGTTGAATTCGAAGACAGTTTGATGATCATATTAGCCATGACGAATGCCACGAAACTTTGGACGAGAAGGAGACGCAGTGTGTCACAAATAGAAGCTTGAGCGGCTTTTATTTCAGGAGAAATGGGGTCTCGACATGCCCCATGACTGGGTGTCAGGTAATAGGAAACGTGATTGTAAATAAGATTTTCTTCATCATATAAAAACCATTTATTCTTATCCCCGCGTCGGAGCGCTTGATTCTCAGGAAAGGGTGCAGTGTGTAGGGCAGTTGGCGCATGATAGCAGGAGCAAATAGGGGGCACTTACAGCTTCAGCAGAGCCAAGTTGGCATAGCAATCAAAGGTGCGGTCTTCACACTGCTGAGTGACATAGTCCTGGAATACCGTGGTGGTCTCCGGGTTGTATCGGTCGAGGCCATTGAGGATGGCGTCGATGTTGGCCGGGCGGGTCTCGCACTTGTCGAAGGTGACACCCATTTTGACGGAGGAGAGATTGAGGATTGGGTCTGGTGGTAAGGAGAAGGAGGAGGGGGAGTAAGTGGAGTGGAGGGAAATGCGGGATTGAAAGTGGCCTGGCTGATGGTGGCTTTCCTCTTGCGCTCCGGGATTTTGGTGGGTTTTTCGTGATTGTCTCGCTGTGCGGCGGACATACGCTCGGAAGATTCCGAAGACGGACAGTTTCTCCGATAGTACTTGATGCCCGGACGGCACAAAGCAGAGCTCTCTGATGCTGGCGAGGAAGTCAACATGATGAAGACGTCCATTTTCCTACTAGGGCCTCTTGAAGCAAAGGGAGAGACAAAAAAAGAGCCCCAAGGGTGGAATCCAGCGACCGGGATTTTCCTGATGAAAGTAAAAAAGTATACTTGACAAGAGTGGGATTCGAACCCACGCTCTTTCGAACTAGTGTTTCGGAAATTCCTAAAACTAGCGCCTTAGACCACTCGGCCATCTTGCCATTTGTTATGAAAGTGGTGCAAAGTCAGGAAGATATACATAAACTGTGCTATGCCATTTGTCTAAAGTGACGACGTTAATTCTTCGAATTCATTGGGAGAATTATTGTTTCTAGCCTGTATATACTCTACAAGGCAGTACTAGCCCTCGTGAGACTGCTGTATCTCATATTTGCTACTGCCAAACGACGGAGTTTGGCGTGCCCTACGGTATACATATACTGGCGCTTGCAGCTGCCCCATGTCGACGTATGCTCCAGAATTCTTTACCAACCAGTAGTACCCACCTAACACCAGATAAGGCTCCCATACGGGAATGATGCATATCATTAGTACCACGCCACCATCACGGCCCCTAAATCTCCAAGTGAGCTGTTGCCCGGTCAGTGGCCTGATAAGAAGAGCCGGGCTCCCGTGGTAGGGAATTCCCGCGGTAGGGAATAGCCGTGTAGGGATTCACCGCGAAGTAGGTAAAGCCCGTATATAAATGGAAAGGCAATCTGCAACTCAATGACCGACTCTGCAGAAGCCCTCGTGTCCCTGGATAATTAAGATTATCTGCAAGGAACAGGATCCGAGGCATTGTCCTATAAAACACTAGCCCATCCCACCTTTCTGGTACGAACCAGCCCTAAGAGCAATAACCATCGCCAGGATGGACGTCCTGCTCGATATCCTCGACACGTTCGTCTTCGACCGAGTCTATGCCTCGGTGCTCCCGATTTATGAGCTCTATCCTGGCAATGCGACCATTGAAAGTCAACTCCCTTACAATCAGCACGTTGGCCTGTACTATCCGCTGCAAGCGTCTCAATATGCCAATGCGAGCCGGTGGAAGCGTGACCACCTCCCTAGACAGGCACTATCATTGTTCTTCACCATGTGGTATAAATTTATCCTGTAGACCTTCGTGATTACCAGTAGCTAACCGAAGTCATCGTGGCATAGGGTATTCGGTGTCCTCATGTACCTCATCGGCAGCACCATCCTCTACCACACCGTGTTCGACAAGTCCCTCATGAAGCATCCTCGCATCTTGCACCAGCAGGTTCGACAGGAGATCAAGCAGGGTCTATTAGCCATGCCTCTGATGTCCATACTGACTGTTCCATTTTTCCTTCTTGAGATTCATGGATGGTCGAAACTATATGACTTCGCGAGTCAGGAGCCCTTCCCTGGATATTCTTATCTTCAATACCCGCTATTCATATTCTTCACGGATACCGGGATCTATTGGATCCACAGGTGGGAGCACCATCCTTCCGTCTATCGCTTCCTGCACAAAAAGCATCATAAGTGGGTCGTCCCGACACCGTACGCCAGCTATGCGTTCAACCCGTTGGATGGATGGGCCCAGAGCCTGCCCTACCACATATTCCCGCTGCTGTTCCCCTTGCAGAAATGTGCCTATCTGGGGCTTTTTGTCTTTGTCACAATGTGGACCCTTGCGATACGTATGTACACCTTCTCTTAACAATCGATGGCAAGACGATGACTGACCGCTTGATCAGACGACGCCGAATGCCTTTCGCGGTCTGAAGTGATCAACGGACCCGAGTGTCATACGTTGCATCATCTGTACTTCAACTATAACTATGGACAATTCACCACGTTCTGGGACCGACTGGGTGGCACATATCGCAAAGCCAAGGGAGACGAGCTGAAGCATAAGAACGAGTAGGAAGGTGGTTTCGGATGAATGGTCCGGAAGGGCTGACTGACTTGGTATCACGACGTCAACTGGTATAATCCGTGGCTCTTGTATGCTGTACATAGATGTATAATATGAGTAAATATTAATATGGACATCGCTCACGGTGTTCTTTCGTCCGTCGCAACATTCTGTATAAACTCGTTCAGCTTGCCCAAGTCGTCAGTAGCTGTGGTGTCTAGGTAGCGAGGACTCTTGTCACGACCGCCAGTATAGTCGAGCGTAGCATTTAGCAGCCACCAAAGTTCTTCTGCATGTTTGGGATAACCTAGGCTCTGGGTCTTCTCCTTGTCGATGATTTTTCCCGTTGAATTCCAAATTCTTCTCCAATTATCAGCAGCCAGCCTGATAGCGCTTGGTGATATCCACCCAAGTAAGCCAGTCCTCGCCTGAAAGGCTAAAGAGTGCATCGCTGATATACCTGCTTAGCAAATCCTGTCAATCAACAAAGTCAACTCTGCACAAACATACCGTACATCAGCATCAGAAGATGCTCTGCTGCAAGCGACTGGCTCCATGTGATCAATTCATCAATATCTGTATCGATCAAACGGGCAATGAACTGTCTTAAAGTGGGAAGCGGCGACCGCGTGGTGCTGGCTGAGGCCACTAGCTCATTGAACACGGATGTACTTTCAGCCTCGAATAGTTTAGAATCCCAAGGGAAGTCACAATCCATTTCGAAGATGGACATTGCAGGATGGTTATTGAAACAGACTGTGAGGAAGCCATCCGCTAGGAAGGCCCAACAGGCGACCCTACGCATCTCAGTAAATGTATTCCACAGTGTGCATCATCATGGTTACGTACCGTACAAGGACCTCATCCGCGACGAGCTTTCTCCAGGTGGGCTCATCGCAGGGTTGGGAAAATATACTCCGCTTAGATTTGAAAATGTCCACTGATCGTATTGTGGAGATCACACACGGGTGCCTTGCAATCCGAATGCGTCGTCTTGTCTGCATATCCCCTTGTCCAAACTGCAGCATCTCTATAATCAAAGCTGCCTGCACAGTTTCTAGTTCGGAGCCCAGCTGCATAGGCTGGCTGGTATGGATGGATGCTGTCGACAGAGTTGCCAAACGCCGAAATATATACTCCTCAGCAACATCGATGAGTCCAGATGGCAGTATAGCCCCATCTTGAGAAGTCGAATATGTCGCCCCAGCAAGAAATATTGATATGAGAAGAGAATTTGACACATTCCCCGGGTCAAATGTAGGAAAATGTACAATGGGCAGGTGCCAGTGAAGAGACTGAAAGTAAGCAGAGATGAAAGTTGATAGATTGGAAGCCGTAAAGAGTGGAGTCAAGTCGGATATATCAAGCTGCCTGCTCTGGGCCTCACATTTGGGAACCATTGAGTTTGATGTTGTCACTAGCTCTACCATCAGGTCATTCAGTTGTTTCGCAAGTCCCGTAGACCAGGCGTACTCAGACGCAAGGTTAGGGCCAGGGTACTGGCTTGCTATGGACGGAGGCTGGAAGAACATATCCACAACTGCCGGGTCGTTCATGAACGATTGCATAGCGTAAAAAGGGCTTAGTGCGTCTTCGAGATTGAGGTTGAGAACATCCAAATTCCTTTTAGTGGAGCATCTTGCTGTTTCGGCGATTGCAAGCTTGTCATTGACCACGGCTGGGTCGGTGAAATGAGACAGAAAGAAAAATGGCCTCTTGCTTGCTAGTGACTGTTGCAAGGGTCCTGGTGAATGTGGGGCAGGTGTCAAGCAGGGAGTTTCTGTGGGCGAAGACGCCACGCTTCCGAAAGAACACTCTCGACCCAGTGATCTACAACGAGAACATGGAGTCTGTGAGTCGCAAGCTGATTTGGCGTAGGTACACTCATCACAGGAGCGTTTCTTCCGGCCCGGCTTGGATGGTGGCGGTAGAGGTCGGTTGTACTTTCTTGCGCATACCTTACTATGTCTTCGCGCAACCTCTCTAGTCCATGTCAGACAATTGTCGTTGTTGTGAACGAGTACCATAGAGAAAAGCTCACTGCTTCTGAAATGACTTATTGCATATCGGGCATACTGAAGGGGTAGAACCAGTATCTGGGCTTGTCAGCCTCATCTGCTCCTGGTTCACCAGGCTCTCTTGGGGTAGTACGTACGTGTCGCCTCGTGCCGGAGCAGGTGGCTCTTTCTTCGGTAATATTTGTCGCACTGGGAGCACTGAAACATGGTGCGATTGCGAGGCACAGTAGGAAATCTAACATCGCTGTTGATCAGGTTGCGTTGCTTGTTTGGAAAAGGGAGATCCATCGGATCGATCCGTCCCGGTTGGGAAAGGCAGCAGCCGTGATCAGATTAGTCATCGTCCCTGCCATTCAATGGACCAACGAGTATAGTAGTAATGTCACTAGGTCTTGATGGAAGACTTGACGGAGCTGATAAGGTCAAACCGCGAAGGAAATGCTCATGGCTGAGTGCTACAAGCAGGTAAGTCTACCGTGCTACCAAACATCCACGAAATGAAATTAGTATAAGCAGATAAGGACTTATCGTCGCGGGCAGCAATGCTATCACCCCATATCCAACGTCACTACGAGATGGGGGGAAGATGCAACTGAACCACTTTCCAAACCTCCTTCCGATTGTCCCGGTTTTGCATGAGCGTCAATTCCATCTCAGTGGCCAGCTGCTGCAGTGAGTCAGGGATAGCTTGCCATGTTTCTCCGCGTTGATCTCCTGCATTCCCCTCTCCGGCGGGGGATAAAGACAAGACCATTTACCCCACAGCGTTTCCCCTCATCCCAGCAAGTCAAGACTCTCCAGTGCTGCCAAATATGCGATTACTCCATTACGATCTCTGTCACCACTTGACCGCGCTGTTATGTGCCCTGTTACCGGCCATTGCTGCTGCTCAGGAAGATTACTCTCAGTATGTAAACGCTCTAAATGGGCTCAGAAGGGCCTTATTCAGGCAAGGGCTATGGAGGAGGAGATATCTTCGTCGGCGCAGCCCGTCCTTTTGGCGTGGCGAAGGTGGGTATCGACACGACGGCTGCGAATTGGAGCCTGGCAGTCCTCAACGGGGGCTGGACGCCCGATGGGAATGTCACGGCGATCAGTGAGTGGAAATCGCTACTTGACCACCGGTTTTGCATCATTGACAAGTGTTTCGATTCATCTAGCGATGATGCATGAAAGTGGTACGGGAGGTGCACCCAAGTATGGGATCATCCCCCAAATGCCGCTCACATCCATTGCGCCTCCGGTGAATCTGCTCGATAATTTGACCTACTCTTAACCCAGGGTACGCTTCTTGCAAAAAGGCAGATTGACTGGCGTGACTCATGACTAGTATAACAGGTTGGTAACGATACAGCCAGTGTGGGATACTTTGCCACGAAACTGCAAAATGGCGTTCAAATTGAGCTCTCTGCTTCTCGCCATGCCGGAATCGTTCAGTACGGCTTTCCCGAGGGTGAAAAGCATGTACTGGTTGATCTTTCTCACGTATGGTTCTTTTTTTGAATACATGTAGCTGCAAAAGACAGAAGTGCTTACTTCGTCTTAGTATCTTCCTGGGTCTCCCAAAGACCCAAACGGCCAGTTCTACGTTGCCGGTGAAATTCAATTAGAGGAAGAAGGGCAAGCATACACAGGCTATGGGACTTATATCGGGGGCTGGAACAACGGTGGGCACCATTACCCTCCAGGGGTCTTTTTGGAGATTCTGAAGGGAAACCAGGAGCTCCGTTCACGGTCTACTTCTACGGCGAATTTTCCACAGCTCCAGAGACAGCCCAGACGTTTTCCGGCAGGAATACCGAGCCGATGCCACGATACCAGGGATTTGCCAACGACGCCGTCAGCGAGCCAGTATATGGCAATGTGACTGATAAGAAAGCTACCTCTGGGCTCATGAATGATCGCATCGGTGCGCTTTTCAGTTGGGATATCACATCGAACGCACAGATCTCTTCGAAAATAGGTATATCATTCATCTCTGTGGAGAAGGCTCGCGCCTACGTTGAATCAGAGATCCCTTATTGGAGTCTGAAAGACACGGTGCAATCAGCCGTGGAAGAGTGGAATCGAGATGTTTTCAGCAGGACCCGCGTTGCACTGGACGAGACCGCAAACCTGACGCATGTGCGGCTGCTCTACAGTTCTCTCTACTTCATGCATTTGATGCCATCCGATCGGACGGGCGAGAATCCGCTTTGGCAGTCAGATGAGCCGTACTGGGACGATTTCTATACTATGTGTTAGTGGGCGAAAGCGCTCTATTCATATGCGGTCACTGATGCCTTCGAATCAGGGGATATTTTCCGCTGCACAACCAGCTTCTACCATATATACCAGCCTGACTACTACGAGTCTATGATTCGAGGTCTGATTGATATCTGGAGGTATGATATCTGGACATGAGCAGCCCTGAAAAGCTAGGGAACAGTTATAATAACATGGATTATCGAAAAGACATCAAGGCTTTCTACCAGATGGGCGCTCAGAAAACTGGAATGGATTGGTCCAAGGCGGTTCCAATGCTGATAATGTACTGGCTGATGCCTACGTCAAGGGTCTTCGCGGAGCGATCAATTGAACCGACGGATATGCCGCTATGAAGACCGACGCTGAGGTGATTCCATACAAAACGTGGGACCCCACAGACCCCTCTGCCAGCACCAAAGAAGGACGTGGGGCCCTAGGTGACTGGCTTGAGCTCGGATACGTCTCGCAAGATCGCAATACAAGATGTATATCCAGAACTGTGGAGTACAGCCTGAATGATTTCGCGTTGAGCCAGGTCGCCGCCGGAGAGACGCCTAGTGATCAGGGAAAGTATCTGAACCGTTCCGCTGGATGGCAGAAGATATGGAGCCCCAACGTCCAGAGCCTGAACTTCACTGGATTCCTGGCACCCAGGTTTTCCAACGGCACATTTAATAGCAGTGCTTATGATCCGCGCTACTGTGACGAGTGCGAATGGTTGGACTACACATATGAAGCTGTGCCCTGGGATGAGTGATCTCCACGATGAGACAGAGGACTTACTTACGCTCTTCCGAAAGAATACTCTTTCGTCATCCCCCATGACATGCAGACTCTCATTGACCTCATGGGCGGCGCGGACACATTCGAATCTCGACTCGACCTGATGGTAAGACTCCAACGCCGCCTGGTGATATTGTCTAACTCCGCAGTTTGCACCCAACATGTCCGTCCAAGATCTCGGACCGAACGGAGCAGGCATTACCACGATCATCAACATTGGGCACGTAATCCCTTGAGCATCTGACAGGGCAAGGAGCACTAATGGTCGTGTTTAAGCAACGAGCCTGACTTTGCGACACCGTACCTATACAACTACATCAACAAGCAAGCAAAAAGTGTGCAGAGGTCCCGGGGTCTCGGATACCAATAGTAGGCGCCATGTACCCAAATCTTCCAGGCAACACTAACCGCCCATGCAGTTTCAACGACGCACCTTACGGGATCCCCGGCAACAGTGACGCAGGAGCCATGAACTCATGGCTGTTGTGGCAGCTGATGGGAATCTACCCGGTGGTTACCCAGCCAGTCTATCTGATTGCCTCGCCATGGTTTCCGGAACTTAACATGACCATCAACGGGAACCAGACCCTACGGATCATTGCGAACAATCTGCACGAGGGCTACTATGTGCAGAGCGTGAAGATCAACGGCCAGACCTGGACTAAGAACTGGTTCGAGCATGAGGACATCATGGCACGCGGTGGCACGATCGAGTTCGAGCTGGGCCCCAACATGACGGCTTGGGACACGGGTAGTGTGCCCCCTTCTCCGGGACATCGCAGAGTGTGAAAGATGATCGCCTCGCGCGCGTCTCGACTACTCAAGCCACATGTGGGTGTCCGCGTTGATGCCTATTTTTGGATCCGTACTCGGGATATGTCGTTCTCGTGTATTAAGCATTTACTAGTGATTGATGGCTCGCCTAGTGAATGCTCTAGTCAGATAGTGGGGCCCAGGAGGGATTGCCGAAATGATAGTGCACAATCAAGCGTCTTGCCGCTTGGACGGGTCCATTCCTTACCTGTTTGGTGTTGTAGCAGTAGCTCAAGGGCAGACTCAACCTATTTATAACTCCCCAGGGATATCAAATAATCAGTTACCAAGTAGATTTAAAGACTAAGTGGTCCGTTGTTCCTACATCCCTCACCCAGGCCACTCTTATCTCCCTGTCGAGTCGACAAGACATGACGAACAACTTGAACCCACTGGTTTGGTGGGATTGATACTCAAGTGGCACGAGACAGAGATCGAGGCGGTGGGGGTATCGCTCAGCATGATCGAGAAAGTCATCGGGGTAGTTGTATAAGGGTGTGCTTGCGTAGTACTGTAAGACCCAAGCTTTCCCGATGTCAAAAATTGAAGCCCTTGATCTCGAAATAAAATCCAACACAGTCCATCAGCCGCGGAACTTTTAGCTGGCTCTAAGTAGTAGTCCAAGCTTCTATCGATGCGCGCCATTGGCGAATTTCATAATCCGACCGAGTCGGGGATCTTGGCGCTCGCGTGGCACGGGGGGTCCATATTTCCTGGAATTATCGATGAGCACGTCAGACTTTATTTCTGTTCAGCAACAGAAGCGGTACAGATAGGCTCACATGCATAAATTGTTGGTCTCTTTGCGAATCTCCTCCTCTGCCGATAGTTCCGGCCGTATGAATTCGAACTCCCAGCCATTGGGCATGAGGGGAAAAGTGCTGTAAGGACCATGAAGTGAAAGACGGAGAGGTGGAAGTGCAATGACTTCTTCCTTCTTCCCAGTCGTTTTTTATCCTTTAAGTTACTGGAGACATCCCTCTATCTTTCTGTACACCCGCTCTGTGCGTGACTACCCCGCGCTCCGGGCTGCTTGGAGGGAAAGTGGGCCAGACCACTATTTAGCTCTAATACAAGAATCTAAATGATAATCGAGGTAGAAAATGAAAGCTGTCTAGAATTTGACGGAACCTTGTCGGACTGCACTACCGTGTAACTTTTGTAAGACAATCAGACATACTGTGGCATCTCAGAGCGACGCTGATATGAGGTAGAATTCCGCTTTGCTGATGCGGGGAAGCGCAGCAGCAAAATTGAGATCCAAGCCCTCGAAACTGCGCGATTGACACATATCTTTTTAGTAGTACATGGACTTCGCTCTTCAAAATCAAGGCGCAAAGCATTATTACGCACTACGAGTCAGTCCGAGATCTGGCCAATAATGCGAAGCGAGGCATCCTGCGTCATCTCCACACACGCGTGAAGTGACAAGCTCTTTCATGTCATGCCTCGTGAACAACACTCTGTGCAGGGAAGATGCATGCAGTCTATCCTATTGGCAGGCAATCGAAAGGATAAGCATATCCGCCCGCCCGTGGACGGCATCAATCAGGATCCAGAAGCCAAGCGACTTCGTGAGAGGAGGATGGAGGAGGGGTATTCAAGGCACAAGACGTACGGTTGACGTCAATGGTTCACACCAGCCGCGCGGGAAGTTTGGAAGGAGATTTTGGTGAAGAAATTGTAGTTGAAGAAGCCGATGATGATATATGGTCATTCTCATCCCCCGTCCCCCTTCTGTTTTCTCCCGGCAGCCCTGCAATTGACCATCGAGAGGTACTGTACAATACAACATACTTAACAACTCACCCATGGTAAGTCGAGTCTTGTTGTTCCGTGGATCTTTTGTTTGTGCGCGGCGGCCCGCGTCTTCCGAGGGTGGATCAAAATGTTGAAATTGACACCTGATTTCTTTCTCTGTTCTTCCTCAGGCACCAATCCACCTTCTCCAGAGTCGAGATGACTCCAATTGCCCCAACTCCATCTCCGGCGGTGGCATCGCAGGCATTGTCTTGGGTACAATGGCAGGGACCCTTCTACTGCTCTGGCTGTGGAAGTTATGCGCAATGAATCATGAAATGGAAAGTGAGCCCGATTATGGCGAGACCAACTTGCCTACCAACCGCGCGCGCCATTGTCACCGGCAGCGACGGAGCCCATCATACTACTATGTCGAGAAACCGAGGAGCTCAGTGCGGAGACCGGCGAAAGTCTATCTTAGTTGAGTGGGAGAAGGCGGGAAGCAGCGGAAAAGAAGAGGAGATTTGCAAGTGAGGGGACGTTTTTCTGTTGGGAGTGATATCACCTATAGCTTCATGCCGTTATGACCCTTATATAATCAAATTCCTGCAACGCCAACCATCCGACCTAAATCATGAACTTTGTCAGTTGATCTGCAAAGTTGTGGTGTTCTTGGTTCTTTTGCGCCTAGTGGGACGGTTCCGTTATTTTCCAAATTTATCCTTCTTGGTCTTTATAACTATCTGCCTATCTGGGCCGAGTGGGGAATTTGGTACTGGAAATTAGACGTTCGTGTCGAAGCAATCTAATGTGCTCATCCTAAGGGCAGTGACATTAACAATGTGCCCTGTCAAGTGTGGTCCTTTCAGATGAACATCTGTTCATACCGTCATGAGGAGTGGCGGGCATGGCTTGGCATAATTCTGGCTGCACCGACTTTCTCCATGTTTCGAATTGAGCTGCAGTTACGTTCCCTGCCCTTGGCTCTGGGAGATCGAACAAACCGTTGGTTGCGGGGTTTTGAGGGGGCGAAGGGAAGATTGATTGTGTGTGTGTGGATGCGAAAACAATCTCAAACAATGTTGGAGAACTCTGCTCCCATGCCCTTGTTTGCCCCCCCTTTTTTCTCTCCCCTCGCGGGTTGATATCCAGTGGCCGTGAGTGTGCCGCAGACCTGATTGACTTGCCACCAACCAATCAGCAAACTCAAGACAATGCGCTGAACTGAGACCAATGATGGATCCTCTCCAGCAGTGCCAGAAATAGTCAGGAAGAGTGAAAATCCAAGCCATTTGTTGTGCATGTGATTTATTGTGTGAACAGTTTGATTTTCCTTGGGAATCTGTGGAGTAGTTATATGTGCCTCAGGCATCGGGGAATGCAAGGTCCTGGAGTTTGACAGTGCGGCAGGTACGATGCACGGAGTTGGTTCTTCCCGTGTTCTGTGGTAAGGAGGACCTCAGTCGTGAGTACCATTCCAGCTTGCTGATGATCCTCTCAATTAGTTCGGTTTGCTGCAGCTGCGTTGCGCGTATCATGTTTTTCCGTACTGAGTCTCCGTACTCTCCTGTTCTCCCACAGCATCTCAGCATCCATCTCAGGGTCCCTGCCATCAAACAGTGAACCCCTTGTTCTCTTGAAAGAAAGCCCTGATTGGCCTACCGATTTATCTTCTGCCCCGTCTCATCCAATCATTTTCGCTCAGGGAACAATCCGAGCTGCAGGGCACTATACTGTATACAGACTAGTGCCAGGGCCAGGGACCACGCTAACCAGCCGAACCAGGGTAGATTTGTGGCATACCAAGCCCAGCCAGGATTAGTCTCCTCCTCATGAGTCGGGTGATTTCCTGTTTCGAGCAGCCCCTGAATGATTAGGGCCAAAAACTAGTGACATTGAAGAGAAACATGCGCTTTTGTCGGTGTGTCCAACTCGGAGTTATAAATAAAGAAATCAGTGTTAATCCAAACTATTATGATCGGACCACAAAGAGCAAAAAAATTGGTCTCGTAGTCATCGTAATTGGGGTGGGTTAGTAAGTGATTAAAGGAAAAAGCACTCGCCGTTATAGATCTTGTCTCTTTTCTTCCCCTCTCTTGTCCGTTCTTCCTCCGCATCGCATCAGTTTTCAGTCCCTCTTTCCATTCATCCCTTCTTGTGGGTGGTCTCCCAATCCCCTCGTGCGACTCGATCGCACTGCCATTCTTTTGAGATTTGAGACGCTCCCTTTAAACCCCCTCCTCAGGCTATCGTTCTCTCTCCTTTCGGACCTTTTTCGAAACGTTCAGACAATTCCGGGTGCACTGTCAGAAACGCCCCCTTGGTCAACGCCTTATCTTGCCAGGAAGCAAGCCTGTGAGACCCGCAGTTGTCCTGACTCGCCTCCGCTCAGCGAGATACGATCTTTACAATACCAAGGGGAAAGTTCTTCCTCGATTGCTGGAGACTGTGGTGACCCTGAAGGGCGTTACCGTCCAAAATGTCTTTCCTTAACATCCTGGCCCTTCTTGTGGCCCAGATATACCTAGTTGCTGCACAGACCTCGACCACCTGCAACCCCCTCAACAGTACATGTCCATCAGATCCCGCACTGGGCACATCGTTCTCCTGGCAATTCAACCAAACGCTCGATTCCAAGATTTGGGAAACCACAAATGGTCATATCGCCATCACCGATGCCGGCGCGAACTTCACCATCGCCAAGAAGCTGGACTCGCCCACCATCAAGTCGACCTTCTACATCTTCTTCGGCGTGGTTGAGTCCTGGGTGAAGATGGCTAAAGGTGGCGGTGTGATCAGCAGTATTGTGTTGGAGTCCGATGACCTCGACGAGATCGACTGGGAATGGGTAGGCTACAACACCAGCTCGGTCCAGTCCAACTACTTCGGCAAGGGTAACGACACGTCCTTTGACCGCGGAGGCTTTCACTATGTCCCCAACGCCGACACCGAATTTCACAACTACACTACCTACTGGACCGCTGAAAAACTGGAGTGGTGGATCGATGGGCAATTGGTGCGGACACTGAAGTATGAGGATGCGTTGGACGGCAAAAACTACCCGCAGACTCCCTGCACGCTCCGCTATGGTATCTGGCCAGGTGGTGATCCTAGCGAACCCCTGGGCACCATTGAGTGGGCGGGTGGAGAGATCAACTACACTGCCGGCCCGTACAATATGGTTGTCCAGAAGGTCCGTGTGCAGGACTTCCACAGCGGAAAGGAATACGAGTATACCAACCATACGGGTTCTTGGGAAAGCATCAAGGTCGTCACGTAAGTTCTCCTGCCAAGGCCAATGGAACACTTCCACCATGGAGTACTAACTCGGAATCCTAGTGGTAATTCGACGGTTGCGGAGGAGTTGAACAAGGCGCCCGAAAAGACCTTGGCTCAGAAATGGGCTGAATTGCCTACTGGGGCTAAAATCGGTGTTTACGCTGGTTCTGCAGCGGTTGGAGCCATGCTCCTTGCCGCTTTCATTCTCTTCTTCGTGCGCCAGCGCAAGAAGGGTCGTCTCGAGCATGCATTGGACGACGCCAAGTGGAACAGCGAGCGGACAGAGATGGACACCTTCCAGGAAACTTGGAAACAGACAGAATGGAGAAGTCGATCGGGCTACAAACCGGTAGCATAGCCCAGCCCCAGTCATCTGAAACAAATGACTCCCTCTGTTCGACGACTCAAATGAAGGTTTACTTACTGCACACTCCATCGCGTTCGGCTCCGTATGCAAGGGTTGGTGCGCGCCTTGCCGCCCCGGTCGACAATACGGACCAGCCTCGCTGCTGCTTTGCTGGCCAAGGTTGCGTGCGAGCCGTTTCTTGTCCTTTGAAGCTACTGGCGAGGGTGCATCTATTCCTGCCACGAACTTCCCGGACCTTTCTTGGTCCCTATTTTGTTTCTTTTCATCCTGTACACTTTTGCGACGGTTCTCCATTCTCCTTATTCTGGTTCATTTACATTGCCCTCTTCGACCCATCAAGGCCCACGACGTCAACAACTCTTTACTACTTCCTGTATATATGAATCTATGTTGCGTGTGGTCTGAACAAGCCATGCCATTTTCTTCACTCTTCTCCATGGACGCGCAAGGCTTTGTATAGGCGCAAGCTATTGTGGACCCTACTCGTCAATTTCTGATAGACCTGAATAGACTTCCAACTCCTGTTATCTCCTACCTATATCCGGGTCTGGCCTGGCTGAAATATCTTGAAGTCATCTTACGTCCTGACGGTATATTTAATTGGGTCTACTGTACATCCTCACGCCCCAATCCCTCTTACATCCTGGCAACTTTCTACCAATATCATACACACGATATATCCTCCTCATGCTGGTGCCGGCGGGCCCCTCCTCCACCGAAGTGAGCAACGCCTCGGGCCCCCAGATCGGACCACCGGGGCCAGGGCGGGGCCATGCCCATGCTACGACCTGACCTCAGATTATCTAGATCGCAAGAGACTGTTGGAACGGGCTTACCTGTCAGCTGAGCCGGCGGGATGACGGGCTGAACCGCTTAGGGTGTAGCAGAGCTGCGACACTGGTGTAACTCGTGAGTGTAGGGGCCGGCGACGACAGATCGATAAGCCAGCGCCATTACCTTGTCTGAGATGAACCCTGGGGCAGTCCTGCTGGAACAGGGAGGCTCAAGGTGCTCGATGTCTAGATGATCGACCGTCATCATCCCTGTAGGCCAAAAAAGATACTATGAATCAACGTGCTAGCTGAAGCGCACAACTGGCTGGAAAGAAGTGATCCGGCTCGGACGGAATCGATACGTTGAGTAAGACCCAAACGAAGAAGCACCTAAAAAAACGATCCCGGTGCGACTCGAACGCACAACCTCTAGTACCGGAAACTAATGCGCTACCATTGCGCCACGAGACCAGTTGTTAAGGTGTTTCCTTCTTTATATCATCATGACCAAATTACTTTTAGGACTAGCGATTGATATGGCTCCTGGATTGTGTATGCACGTTACCAACCTTCTCACCCTGTGCGTGCGTAACTAACAGACGGATTTACGTTGATGTAAGCCCCAAAAGTCTGGCAGCTATTTGCTACTGGGCATTGAATTTGCCTTCAGGTTTCTCTGGTGGGATGCACCTTTGGAGTCAAGGATTTAGTATCTGATCCTCGTACGTATTCAAGGCAAGTCGAGGTATGTATGTCCTTCTACTTAGTTACAAACGAAAGTCGATGAACAGACTCTCCCTAGTAGGTTGAAGCAGATTGAACGCTAGCCGGGCAGGGGGGGGTTTGGGTTGGGTGAGTCACAAAGAAGGCTTGCGGCATCCCGAGTCCCGTAGTTACTAGTCACGATGTGGTCATCATTCCAGGTAGAGAAAAAGACGACGTGCGATCGAAGGCTAGTTAGCTTTATGATTCAGGTCCTTTTTTTCCGCCGGTAGTCACAGGTCAGACCCGGAAAGTATGAGTATCCAAGATTTTAGACTTACTGTGCCTTTTGAAAGTGACAGTATAGCTCATCCTTGACTATCAATCTGACTGTAAACTGACACGTACAAAGATGTCATCTGGGCGTGTTCCGTACTAGTATGACACACTGCAAGAAAAGTCTAATAACCGGCATTGTAAAAGCATTATGTAGCACTATCCACCCCACCAGAGAAGGAAAGAGGAATATTGATGGAGGGGAAGAAGGCCTATCACGGGAAAGAGGACAATAGGATGGATATTGACCCATACTACATAACCCCCATAACTAGTGTTATCAGAGATAACATCACCCTCTACTAAGCCTCCCTACAACTCGAGGAATAGTCTACATCCGTATAGTCACTAGTGACACTTCCAAAACTGAAGCAAAGCAAACACCATTATTATATTTCAAGCAGCCAGAACACCACCGCTAAGCAAGCATCGCTCAACGAGCGATAATATAGTAGCAAGACCGTACCAAACGCCGATCTAGAGCCCCAAGAACAAAATAGCAACAGGCCCCTAAATTACCCGGCTCATGCCAATTTACTCTTCCCAACAAAGAAGACGCCCCGCTCAAATCAAATCACATCGGCAGATAACCCGAACCACTCTCCGCACTGAAGCCGTTCGTTGTCGGCGAAGAATCGGGGTCCATACCCCTGAGAAATTCGAAGAGGTGATCATTGGGGCGTCGGTCAATCTCCTCGACCCATTCACGCAATGACTTTAGTTCTTGATGAATATACTCGAGCTGATGGCCCACCGCGGTCGGCAGATGAGCCAGCTCTTGGACGATAGAGTTGACATCTTCTGCCTGGAGGGCAAGGCGCTGCGTCTCGTGGCGCAGGACTGCGAGCTCGTTTCTCTGCGATTCCGATGCTTGAATGAGGTTCTTAACCTGTTGGCTGAGGATGGCGTTCTCCTGGTTGAGAGTAGTGATGCAGTCGGAAGTCTGTTGGTAGAGGGTGTTGAGCTCGACTTCTAGTCTACAGAGGTTGGTGGAGATATGCGAATCCTGCTGTTGTCGGACGGTGGTTGCAGTTGTCGCGATGGTGGAGGTGGGGGTGCTACTGCTGCCGCTTCCGTCGACGCTGTTGTGATTCATGGCGCGGTTGCGTTGGGGGCCTCGATGGGCCCGAGTTCGGGGTTGAGCTGCATTTTGAGCGTAGTTGGACATGATGGGGGGTGTTGGTGATGATATCTTTTGACGGAAACAATGCAGATGGAACAGGAGGTTGGCAGTAAAGATGATAGTGAGATTTGAGATACGTGCGTGTGCGTAAAGGTGGGTGATACAAGGTTGAGAATGGGAAAAGGAAAAGGTTGTCGGTAGTGAGCAAATGAGATTGAGATGTTTGTTCCTACGTGAGGTCATCGCTGGAACTGCATTCTCCGAGAGGAATAAGTGCCATGATACTCAGGCTCTAGACCCTACTCAAACCACGTGCCGTCCAAATGTGTGAAGAAATCAATGCAAGTCTCCTGCGGAGGACGTGGTATTCGAAATGCATGTGTCAAGCGAAGGCGTATTTCTCTTGACGACTCAGAGTCCTGCTAGCTAAGTCTCGCAAGAGATTGGAAATATGTCAAGCTATGCCTATCACGTCCACTTGATATCACTTATCCATCAAAAGGGGTCTCAAAAGGAGCTTCAGCCTGTGGCGTGATTCTGGCGAGGTGGCGTCTTTGGCCATCCGCCCAGTCGAAGAGTGCACTATGCGCGGCCACCCGGTTCTATCATAGTCAGTCCCTATCCTCCCTGTATACAGTACTCTGGAGATACTTACATCCCAAACGACAACTGTGTTAGGGCGCCAGCGCACCCGTGTTTGAATGTCTGCAGATAGCGCGATATGGTCATAGAGAAACTTCAGGAGGAAGTCTGACTCTTCCTTTTTGTATCCGACGATGTAGCGGGTGACTGAGGGCTTGTCAGGCGACACTTCTTGCATGGTTTGTTAGGACTTGTAACTCACACTGTGGGTTGACGAACAAGGCCTTCTCTCCAGTGACCTAAATGGCAGATTAGTACCAGTGGATTTCTCTACTTCAGCATTCCTCAAGTCAACTTACGGGATGAGTTCGAACAATAGGATGCTCCGACGTGATTGGATCCCGTCGTGCAATACCGCCCTTGTTCAGGCTGTTGTTAACCTGCTCAATACCAGAGTGAACTGCCTTCAGCCCGTGCAGCCTCTTCCGGAACTCCGGCGAGAGGCGCCGATAAGCCTGTGCCATATCCACGAACAAGGTGTCGCCTCCAGTGGAAGGCCCATCCAAGAGGTACAGGAACGTCGTACCAGGGGGCTGCCTCTCGAACGTTACATCAGAGTGCCAAGTAATGGAGTTGGTATGTGTCGCCAGAAAGTCGGCACCACTCGTGTCATCAGCTCCGCGGTGAACGAGGTGAATCTCCGGATAGCCCTTGGGAGCTCCAGATGTCTGATGAATATGGTGCCGGCCGAAGTAGCCACCCCATTCGAGGGCTTTGTCGATGGGAAGATGCGCAAAGTCCTGGTCACGGAAGGCTGAACGAGTCCCAGCATTAGTATATGGAAGGGCAGGATAGTGAATCACTGAACCGAGGGTTACCGCTTACCCACAACCTTCCGTTGGGCAACGAATCGAGCCAACTGGTCTTTGCCTTCCTTGGTCAGCTGGCTCAGCTGGATGCCACGCACTTCGCTGCCAATTGTGGGAGTGAGGTCGTCAATATGGACTTTGTCCTTGGGCAAAAGATCCGGAAAAGAGAGATCCGCATCCTTGCCGTGATCATAGTGCTCAAATGGTTGGAGAGGAGGATATCTGCGAGGGTTAGTTTGGGGTAAGCCGAGGCAGGGATGGATGGATGGGTTTAGGGGTTGAGGACGAACCTTTCTGTCTCGTTGTCCCAAACAGGGAGGTAGTTCGGGAACGTCGCGGGCGGCTGCTTCTCTGTGCCTTTGACTTCTCCGTCATGCTTATAGACCTCTGCATATCCGATCGAGTTCTCCTTGTTGTAACCCGAATCTGTCTTCAACCCGGACACAGGCTTCGCCCGCAGGGAGATGGTGGCGGTCTCGGTGATAGATGGTGCCATGATGTTGGTTTAGAGCACAAGAAACTAGCTTTGGTTTGCTCCTCCGTACAACAGATTTGGGTCAAGGAAGATATCGTTTATCTGACATACTCATATATAATCATCACTCCTCTTACGATGACTTGGTGCGCCGTCACGCAATCCCTGCGGGGTATGCATAACCGAGTGGAAATCCGGTACTTGCTGGCTCACAAGGGATGCAGGGACAAGGTTGGGAACAAGGTTTCAAATGATAACGACATAATGAACTCCGTGCTCGTCTCGAGGAGAGAAGACGGGCGTTGATCAGATAATCTTGAAAGTGGCGTAATGGTCGATTGTTGGTGTCTCTGATTTGGCAGTGATTGTCGTATAGATAGAAACCCTCGCGAAAGGTTAAGTTGTACCTATTGGACTGACTCGAGTGCTGCGTAAACATTCGTACACAACTAAGCAGTGTATTCGTAACACTCTAGCAGTGTTGAGGGCGACACCACGTTCCACATGGTTGACTGCTTGACGCTGGTTGAGGCAAGCGTGGTTTAGTGCAGCATGGCGTGATAGCGATGGTCCCTGGCGCAACTCAACCCCTCCAAGGCTCAAACAAGCTCAAACCCCATCGAGCCCCACAACCCATTCGTGGAGATCGCCCTCGTGTGAGAAGAGGAATTGATTTCACAGTATTCTGTTTGGTCTGGGAATTTTCCGCGTTGTGGTGCTAGATTAGAGACAACATAGCCCCACCCCCCCCGGCGTTAATTATCGCTCGCACTTTGCTTGACTTTCAGTTTATTGACTTGAGATTGACCTTTACCAGTTCGCAGAAACTTACATCGTGCAGTTTGAAGCATTGCAGTACTTGCAATTAGGCTTCCAATCAGCATAGACGCAGATGTTGTCATAACGCAGGCAAAACATATCACCATCGACCAGTGTGATGGTGAAATTGCGGAAGCAGAAAAAGCCACCGTCTATCATTACCGCAGCGGAGATCGCACTAGCAGAACTACAATCTTCTGTTCTGACTTGTTCCCCATAACGTCACTTATGCTTCCTTTGCGTGATCACCCTCTTGAGACCCGATGAGACTGCACTGCTTGGAGATTTGTATCATTCTCCACAGCTTGACACTCTGACCTCGACGCCATGGCTGGCTTAGTATTCTGCCACACGATATCTCGCTCCATCGCCTATCGCCCGAAATATCCTGACTATGCTTGAAGCATTACGGTCATGCGATGATTGGCCACGTCAATCTTTCCACAGAATATCAGCTAGTAGCTAGCCTATCTGCCTACTCTTTGCCCAGAGATTGCGTGATGAAGCTGTGGATTTGCCTGCTTCGCGATGTAGCATATCAAAAAGCTCAGTCTGACCTGCGAGATCCTTCGAAATATCTTTAACTGTCAAAAAGACCGAGCAACCGTTTCTTGCCTCTAGCAATCAGGTTATCTCCATTGGCAAAATGGGCTCGGATCACGTCCACGATATCCCCGTGGACACAGCCTCCGCGGGCGATGACACCAAGAAGACGCCCGCCACAGCAATTGGGTCGGGCTCGTCAACTTCTTCTCTCGAAATCTCTGCTGTGCAGAGGGTAAAAGGGGGCGCTGCGTTCGACACCTCGGAGGATCCTCGCTACTACAAGCCTATCCCAGAGTATGAAGGCATCCATCGTTGGGACCCCTACTTCGAGTGGACAGAAGATGAAGAGAAAGCCCTTATACGAAAGGTGAGCCCCAACACCGCACCTTCAATACACGCATCGGGCTAAAAAGAGACAGATTGACTGGCGGATTTGCACATTTGCATGCGTGACGTTCTTCGCGCTCCAGCTTGACAGAGGCAATGTCGTCCAGGCTAATTCCGATACCATGCTTGAGGATCTGGGGATGAACACGAATGACTACAACAACGGACAGACTATCTTCCTTCTCACATTCTTGTTCTCCGAGCTGCCGTCCCAGTTGCTGTCCAAAAAGGTCGGGCCAGACCGCTGGATTCCGTTTCAAATGGTTTCATGGAGCTTGGTTGCTGCATGCCAGGCCTTCTTGAAGAATAAGACTGGCTACTTCATCTGCCGTGCTCTCTTGGGATGCCTAGAAGGTGGATTGTGAGTTGATCTTAGGTCTGAACTTGACGAATGTCGGCTAATATCATTCCCAGCATTGCCGACACAATCCTCTTTCTGTCCTTTTTCTACAAATCCAAAGAGCTGCCAGTCAGGCTAAGCTATTTTTGGGTCTCCTACGAAGCTACTGCCATTGTTAGCGCTTTTTTGGCCGTTGGGTTCCTTCGAATTCACGATTCTGATGGCAGAGGCGGCTGGCGGTATCTCTTCGCATTCGAGGGTCTGATCACTGGGGTAATCGGAATCATCGCTATCTTCTGGATGCCCGCATCACCGACACAGACTAAGGGCGGTTTTCGAGGAAAGGACGGCTGGTTCAACGAGCGCGAGGAGAAGATTCTCGTCAATCGCGTGCTGCGTGACGACCCCAGCAAGGGAAGCATGCACAATCGGCAAGCTGTATCACTCAAGATGCTCTGGACAGCTCTCTGCGACTATGATATGTGGCCGATCTATCTGGTCGGTTTGACATGGATGATCCCCAACACACCTGCAACGAACTACATCACTCTGGAGCTCAAGTCTCTTGGCTATGGTACCTTCCAGACGAACCTTCTAACCATTCCTGCCTATGTCATTTTCATTATCAATCTTCTCTTCTGGACTTGGATCTCGGAGCGCTTCAATCAGCGGTTGCTGCTTGGCCTCGTCATGGAGTTTTGGTGCTTGGTTTTGCTCATTGCACTGGTAGCCCTGCCGGACAATGCCAGCACGTGGGGACGATGGGCCATTCTCGTGCTGCTGATTGGCGCGCCCTATGTCCATGCCATCATTGTCGCCATGACGTCCAGAAATGCAGGCTCGGTTCGGACGCGGACGGTCGCTAGCGCTGTTTACAATATGATGGTGCAAGTGTCTAATATCATCGGCAGTCAAGTAAGTACTTTCGTCTCCCTCCCTCTGCGGTAGAGGTCAACTAACCTTTCTTTCAGATCTACCAAGCGAAAGACAAGCCATACTACCGCACTGGCAATAAGGTGCTGATTGCCATTGCCGCGTGGAGCATTCTTGTGTTCATTGGGGCCAAGCTCTACTACGTACGGCGCAACAAGTATGTGGTTTAGCGATCAACCCATCCAGTCCAACACTAATATCTTATTTCAGACAGAGAGCAGCGATATGGGACGCCATGTCCAGCAGCGAGCGAGAGGCATACCTGGCGGACATCGCCAATAAAGATCTTGGAAACAAACGGTAAGACTTATAGCCTTTTTCCTCTTCTAAGCCGACTTTGGTTCTAATTGAAACGCAGTCTTGACTTCCGCTTTACCCATTAAAGCATCCACTATTTCTCATATTTTACGAACCACCTACAGTACTTATGAATCCTCTGCTTTGAGCGGTTGCACCAACTCTCGGAGGACTTAATGATCTAAAAATTGATGAAGGATAGAACAGCGTCTCATATGCAGAATTTCCTCTGGTCTACGTCATGTATAGCTTTACTTTTGACATGTAATGTAGCAATGGTCAGAGAAGTCATTCAAATTACCACTAACTACCTAGTACAGTTCGCTTGAGTAGGACGAATCAAGCAATAGCTGATTAGTAGAGCCGTTAGGCTAAGCGGGGAGGAACCGAAAGCTGATAAATCATAGATGACTTTCCCCACCATGGCATGCCTTTCGCCGCGTCATATCCGGCATAGTTACAAAACAAAAGTGACTACTGTAGTTGTCTACTGCCCAACCCGCGAGAGACATCGTGCTTACTGTCCACCCATCAAAGCAAAAGCCAGAGAAGGATACCTATTCACTATGTCAACCTCCACACCTATCCACTTCTTCGACATAAAGTCGACCCTCACCGGCGCCGCCCGGTCATGGTCGCCCAACACAATCAAGACCCGCATGGTCCTCAACTACAAGGGCCTTCCCTACACGCAGACCTTCATATCGTACCCGGACATCGCGCCGCTCCTCTCGCACATGGGGGTGGCTCCGCAGCCCGAAGGCCGCCCCTATACGCTGCCCGCCATCTGCCACCCGGCCAGCCTCCCCAAACACCCGTCCGGCACGCTGATGGACTCGTTCGCCATCGCCACGCACCTTGAGGAGGCCTTCCCGGGAACCCCGTCGCTGTTCCCGTCCGGCGATGCCAGCTACGCGCTCGCCCTCGCGGTCAGCAAGCTCATGGGCGCCGTCTGGATTCACGCTGTCCCGCTGGTCGTGCCCCGCGTCGCCGACTTCCTCGACCCGCGCGGCCGCGAGTACTTCATCAAGACCCGCTCCGCGCAGTTCGGCAAGCCGCTCTCCGAGGTCCGGCCGCGTGATCCCCAGGAAATTGAGCGGGCGGTCGCTGCTATGAAGCGGGATATGGCTGTGCTTGTGATGATGCTGCGGGGGCGCGCTAACAAGGCTGGCGGACCGTTTTTTGAGGGGAACACGCCCGGGTATGCGGATTTCTTGGTAGTGGCGGTTTTGGCGTGGTTTGAGAGGATAGATAAGATGGTGTGGGAGGAGATGTTGGGGGTGGGTACTGGGGAGGTCAGGGCGCTGTGGGAGGCGTGTTTGCCGTGGGTGGACGGGCAGGGGGAGGAGAAGAGCGAGGCAGACTGGATAATCCCTCATTGAGGTTGATGGGAAGGGGGGGAGGCTTGACGCTGGTGGGTTTGAGTCAGAGGTCTGGGGAAGAATAGGAGTATTTGAGTGCGCCTGGGGCCTGTAATAGCGGGTAAGGTGAAATAAGAAGAGCATTCCATTTCGCGCCTGGTTCTTGCAAGATAGTACATGATAAGGGAAATGAGAATATGAAGTACAAATCAGAATATGTCTCCTCTGCATGATGCAGCCTCCCCGCCCTTTGCTCGGGTTGTCAATACTGTAACAAGTGTGAGTCGTGGTCTGGACAGTACTCGGTCCAAACATAAAGAGACAGCGCCCCACGGAGAAAATTCGCAAATCGCCCCAAATAAATGACACACAAGTATAATTTACAGCCCGCGCAGGAAGTTGGCCTCTCTGATGGCCTTTCTCCGTGCGTCTCTCGCGCTTCTGGTGATTTCGGTCCGCTTCTCGATACTCTCGGCGGCAACAGCTAGCGAATCTTCGGTCTCGGCCTGGCCGCGGTTGTAGGGGGCGGGGGTGATATCGGTGGCGTGTTCGTGGATGGGGATGACGGGAGGGAGGGTCGCGGCGCGCGCAGCCATCTTCTTCTCGTAGCGCTTGCGCTGCTTCTTGTTCAGAGCTGTCAATGGAAGAAGCAGATTTGCGTTAGCCGAGGGAACTCATTAACCACCAAAACTATGCCGTGTGCAAAACAACGCGGACATGGACTGAGGGAAAGCACGTACTGCTTGGGTCAACGCCGCCCTGTTCGGCCTTGCCCTTCTTTTTCTCATCCAACAATCCCCAGAGCCAGTCGGGATACTCCGAGTCCTCCAGAGCGACCACATCGGGCTTGTTCTTGAAGTAGTTGAGGCCGTTCATTTTCGTTCCAGCGACGCAGATACTCGCGGGGCGCTTCACTTCGGCCTTCCGGGGCTTTCCGGGATGGACATCGGAGTGGACGCCGTCCGTGGGGGTGCTCAATGGTTGCGATACTCCAGGGGTGGCGGAAGAGACGGCGGACGGGACGGTCACATCGCTCACGCCAGGCTGTCGAGGCTTGGGCGGCGGCGGTGCGGCGGACACGGTGGGCTTGCCCTCACTGTAGTTGCGGAACTGAGTCCGCTGGATAGGGAATAAAAGCTGGCGTGCGCCGGCCAGGGCAGACGACGTAACGGTCTGCTGCTGGAAGCGAGACAGGATGCCGGTCCGGCATCGTTGGCAGATCATTTTGGGGCGGAGGAATGGCAGATTCCGGTGGTGATCAAGACAAGTTTGTTGTGGAAATGTTTGACGCCGTGGGGCTCGAATTCTGCCTTTCTCAGTTCCGGTGAATGTCGTGCACGCTGACTCGAATGCCGGGTAATGGGATCTCGCCGACCTATACGCAGTGCTCTATCAAGAAAACTGCGGCATGAATTTGATGCCAAGCCGGAGGTGAGCGGACACGTGACCGTATCGCTCAACATCTGGAGGTGCGCCGAGTCCCGTCAACTCCTCCGCCTAAGCTGTCCATGCTGGTAGTTAGTAGCACCTTCAAACTACCCGGATTTAGGGAATCTCCTAGAAGACCAAGAGGAAAGGTGAACCACGCGTGGCTCATCTCTCAGCGGCCATGGCGAGACCATCTTAATGTCATGTGATGCTAGTGACTAAGCACGAGCTTGGCGATAACCGGATCTGGAGCCTACGGCTCAATGGTGAATATACTTCAACTTCAACTCAGACCTTCTCAGGATGCAAATGCTTGATGATACCACTACAGAACACATCATTCTGCCTCAAAGTAAATTATGAATTTACTTCTTTCTGCTCAGTATACTCCTACATTTTCACTACACGAGATCATAGTATCCTAATCCTCAATCTCTCCAATGAAATGCTTGATGCGGGGATATATGATATCATGTCCACGGCATTTTCAAATACACATGCTTCATTAAAGTTGCACCATGCACAGGACACTCTCTCTGAGATCTATTTTCTGCTACAGCTGCAACAGAAAGGTTTCATGCATATAACCATGAGGTCTAACGTGACATCCGACGGATAAGGTATCCGCGCATGTGCCGAGTGGATTCCGGCCAGGTTCGTCTGCGGCAGTAAAAACTGACACCCATGCCAATAATGGCTAGATGCCTGTCGATAAGATGCTACATCTCTACTGAAGAGCTATTACAAGCCTTAATCGGTCAGCAGTCCCGTTATGTCACAGCTGGTCCTTCGCGGACAACTTCCGCAAATGATCCTGGACTTCCCTGCCGATAGCGACCACATAGGAAATGTCAACGAGCATTGCAGGAACCCGACATCATGCCATGCCGAAGTTCCTTATACCTCGTGCATTATCACTCGCATCCCATGCGTGTCAGTTGCCGTCTATACCTGTGGCGTCTTGTCAAGGCCTGCAACTCCGCTCAGAAAGAAGCACATTACTGGAAACGACGAGCAAAGCTAAGGCAGGCTACGCAATCTTTGCTGTATTCTCATATTGCTTGTCTATCTGCTAAGCCTTCTATTGGTTCCTACAGATTCTCCCCGTCAGCGCTAGTCTCTAAAGTTCATCTCCGGGATGATCGTGTGAGCGGTGTTATCTAGCTTCGAACTTCTGATAAGAAGGTGATAGCCTCTCCTGGGATCCCTTCCTTGCTTGACTGCGTCGGCTCTCAACATATAAAGAACAGAGATGACCTGCATAGACTGCATCTTGGGGAAACGAGAAATTGACAGGCAGTCTGACTAATTATTAGCCGAACATCCACTGTTGTCGCTCTTATGATTGTCTTGCTTCCTTCACCCCCCTCCTTCTTCCTCCATCGTCGTCCAAGGTCTCCATCTCTGCTCGCCTATGCGTCTCTTATGCTTGTCGACAGCAGTATCAGGATACATGCATGTTTCAACGTTGACACGTGCTTCATTTATGAAAGCCACTTCATACACTGGTAGCATGCTAATGTCTTGCGGCGATCTCGAGCACATGTCGGGTCTATCAAGCGACACAAGGCACAAATCTGCTTATGTCATTCATTTAGGGACATGACTCGCCCCATGTTCGACGATGATCCCTCAGTCCCCTTTGGCGACCAAGTGAAATGTGCAGTACAGTGACTCAGATGCATACTGAAGGTTTGGAATGATTATAGCGAATGCGTTTGTGTCTATCATGCAAGATACCATGAGCTGCTTCAGGCCGTGGAAAAGCACGAACAAGAATTAAGGTGAGGGGGATATACGGTAGAAAAAAAGCCAACCAAGAAGAAATTATGACAGTCACAGGATAACATTCGAGAGTCGTGAAATAAGAAAACCCATACCAAGCGCCACATAGATGAAACACGATGATTAAAACATGATTAAAGCCTATGAAGAGAGGCCACTGACATTAAGGAAATTACACAGGCTCACACACGCGTCTTTCAGCGTCTTCTCAGTTTTCCACTCGAGCTCGTTCTGTGACCTAGTGGCCACTGCGACACACGAGCCAACATCGCCGGCACGACGCCCGGCTGCTTTTCGGGGAATAGGCTTAGAAGACACGCTTTCCATGGTGTTCACAACCTCCATCACCGAGTGACCGCGTCCCGTACCCAAGTTGAAGGTACGGAAGTTCTCAACTAGCTTGCCCCCATTGGCGGCACTGAGGGCAGCGATGTGCCCTCGGGCGAGATCGGTGACGTGAATGAAGTCGCGGACGGCTGTTCCGTCCTCGGTGTCCCAGTCGGTGCCGAACATTTGCAGCTCCGCATACTGCCCCGTCATGACCTTCACAACGACCGGGAGGAGATTGGTAGGTATTTGGCGTGGGTCCTCGCCAAGGAGACCGGACTCATCGCAGCCGATGGGGTTGAAATACCGAAGAGCCACGATGGTCCATTCTGGGTCGGAGGCCGCGAGATCGGCCAAGATGGCCTCACAGATCCACTTGGTGCGGCCATATGGGTTGGTGATGCCGGTGCACCCGGGCTTGACGAGTTGCTCAGATCCATTGTGGTCCTGGAAGGTTTCCTCTTTGTGGACACAAAGTTCCTCTTTCAGCGGCAGACCGGAGGTTGCTAGTGTGCCATAGACAGTGGCAGATGAAGAGAAGATGAAGGTCTTGATGCCATAGTCACCCAGGGTGGTGGCAAAGTCAATGAGACCACTAACGTTATTTGCATAGTACTTCAGAGGGTTGCGGATGCTCTCTTCCACTGCTTTGTAAGCAGCGAAATGGATGACGCCAGCGATCTTGGACCTGGGGGAACCCCAACGGGACGGGGCCTGATACTGATCGAGAAGCTCGCGGAGAGCAACAGTATCCCGGAAGTCATGAGCGTGCAACTGCAAGGAGGGCATGCATGTTCCTTGTTGCTCATGATGCTTGGACGCCAGCTGCTTGATGCGGTCGAAGACGTTCTCGAAGGAGTTGCTGAGATTGTCGATCACGATTACATTATAATTGGCTTTGAGTAGCTCCAATGTTGTGTGACTTCCGATGAACCCGAGACCCCCTGTCACGAGGATGTACTGATCAAGGGGAAAGTTGCGCAGCAACTCTTCAAGATTGCCATCAAACAACACGGATGACTGCGTCGCCGGCGTATCCACGAAGCCCGGGGAATTGGGCTCCACTGGAGTGCTTGCATCAGACTGTCGAGGGCTCTCCATAATTGGCGATTGAGCAGGAGGGGGTGTGGTAGCGGAAGATGTGGAAGTACAACTTGGAAGGGTGAAGCAGAAAAGGGAAGCTTTGGATCAGATAATGACAAGGAAGTGAAGGACTTTTTGATTCGAGCGAGGGTTTGATGATGGCGGGTGACTCCGAAGAGGATCTGATCTGATCAGAGACAGGAGTCCACAAATCTTATACTCCTTTGGAAGAACGAGTGGCGGCCCTATGCGATGGTTCTCCGATGTAACCACTGCTGAATCTGGCCAGCTGAGTTGGGCGAAGAAATCGTGATCGGTGACTTGCTTATTTACAACCAGGGAACATGGCCATGCGAAGCGAATGGATATCAGAGACAGGAAGTCAGACGAGAAGTATGAGGCAGATGGCGAAAGAGAAAATTATCAATTATAAAAAAATAGAAAAAGAGGAAGGAAGAGGAAAAAAAAGGAATAAAATAAATTGGATCGGAATCGGTGGGAGCGAACGATGGGGACCAGAGGATCTGGAGGAGGCAGAAGACAAGAGAGAAAGAGAGCAAGGGAAAAAAAGCAAATATAAAGAGTCGACGATGTCAGCAAGAGATCTTATTGGGATGGAGTAATCGGGCCTAGAAGGCTGACGGACTGATTGAATCAGTGTGAGAGAGTGAGTGAATCTGTTTGACTTAGCCTTCAGGTTTGTTTTTTTTTTTTTTTTTGGTTGTTAATTTTCTCCTTTTATTTTTTGTTTGATTATTATTATAGTTATTGATGACACTGGAACTGGACTCTTCGATCGAACTCTAGACACCTTCACTGAGACTTGCAGCAAGAATAGCAAGAGTCTGAGTCCGTGGAAGAGCAACAGCAGTCTCGAGTACATCATACATCATACATCATCGGATATCCGCCGACTCGAAACAACAGAGTACCAGAGTACGAAGGAACGAGGGGAGACCAGACCAATCAGAGGGGAACTCCACTTCAGAGTAGGGTAAGTTTAAAAAAAATATGAACTTATGGGGAAGAAAGAAAGAAAGCAAGTAATTTTGGGGGGGAGGGGGAGGGGAGGAAGTAGGGGCAAAAGCCAGAAATAGGAATTGTCCCAATAAACTGGGACAGACAAGAGAGAGAGAGAGAGAGAGAGAGAGACAGACAGCACAAGAACCAACAGTACAGTATGGGATTTAGCAGTAACTACGGAGTACCGCTGCTGGCTGTTGCTGCTTGCTCTTGCTGCTCTATTGCTGCTGCTGCTGCTGCTGCTGCTGCTGTTACTGCATGGACGAAACCCTGCCGCGCTCTATTTCGGGGTTTTGGTGCTTTACTTGCAGTATTTTTTTTTTTTTTATTCTTTGCTTTTCATCTACCTTCATTTCCCCTCTTCCCAACAATATTCTTTCCCTTACTTTTACTCTCTCTCTCTCTCTGTCTGTCTCATTCACTCAATTGTCTCACTCATCATCAATTTCATTTAGTTACGTTCAGAAGGCTGACTACTAGCTACTTCATTCTAGTCCTTCAAGGCCCGGATTCTGGCGCGACTCCGCTATGGAGCAGCCCACTCCAGCCCACATCCGCTAACTACCAAGTATCAACTAACTAATTCACTGCTAGACTGCTATTAGCCACTATCCACTCTTCCCAATACTAGACTGGATCGCCCCGCCATCTGGTGCGCACGGTTTCAAGTCTGAACTATTCTTCCCTCCTGTGATCCATCATGATGGGGCAAGAAAAACACGTGAGAGACCGCCGCTGTCTCCCCAGCACTCGTTCACGAGTGATTTTCGCTGTCTTTGTTTTCATCGCCATCCTCGCCGTTGTCATTCCACCAGCCGTCGTGGTCACTCTTCACAAAAAGAACAGCATGGGTCCTAAAGCTTCGGTATTTGTGCCGCTCTATGTGTATCCTGCTCCCGGAGCCTGGGATCCGCTAGAAAAAGTGTACGTTTTCTCCGGTCTTCATGCTTCTTTGAGCGCCCATCCCCCCCCCCCTAGTCCCATTTTCCTCCCCTCTTTAACCCCCCCCAGCCAACCATACAGACTCTTTCCCTGGTCCATGCTGGTTCACCCCGTGGCATGATACGGGTAACCTCGATGTATGGCGTACTCAGCTAAGCGCCACAGGGTCTCTACGCATCCCGATGTCAACTTCACGGTGGTGGTCAACCCCGGTAGTGGCCCTGGGCCCAATGCGTTGCCTGACGCCAACTATACCCGAGAGGTCCCTAAGCTCGCCTCCTATGACAATGTTCGTCTACTAGGTTATGTCGCTACCACGTATGCCAATCGCAACATCTCGTTGGTGCGCCGCGACATCGAGACCTATGCGGCCTGGCCGACCAACAGTTCCAACCCCAAGCTTGCGGTTCGGGGCATATTCTTTGATGAAACGCCTCAGCAATACGATGCGAGCACCTTGGCATATCTCCAGGAGCTGACTGCGGTGGTGAAGAATCATTCAGGCCTTGGGCCGGATAATTATGTACGTTTTGAGACGTTTCCTTTCTCCCGTATTTTTCATTACCATGCCGGCGGGCCCTTCCACCTCCACATACATGGTTTTTTACTCAACTTACCTACCCAAAAAAGTTCCGTTTTTCGGTATTTCGGAAACGGCTCCACTCCTTTATGATTTTCCTTGCTCAAGGGTATAATTTTTTTTGCCCGCTGGATGATTTTTTCTCCCCCTCTTTCCATGGAAGGAAAATATGTCGACAACTCATTATGCAATCTCCTTTCCCCCCCTTCCCTATGTTTCTTTGTATCCCGAACTACCATCTGGTCCGGACCGGATCGCCATTAAGACTGTTCTCTGCTGTTTCCTCCATGGAGGAAGATGAAGCGGAAAGAGGAGAGAAAGAAACTCGGCTATTTGCCAGCTTCGGCTCGAGCTTTAGTTTAGCCTAGCCCAGCCGATCTGGTCCTTCCGTACCCTTCATTGATATCGCTACCACTGACATCTCTTGTTCTTCTTTTGGGCTGACATCACAATTTTCGCCGCTTGTTGTCCAGGTCGTTCACAATCCCGGCGTGATCCCTGACTCCCGGTACCTGAGCACAGCTGATTCGACCGTCGTCTTCGAAGCGACCTACCAGACCTTCCTCGACCGCCAGGGAGCTAAGCTCTTCGAGCAGATCCCCAACAGCACGCGCCAGCAGCTCACGGCGGTCGTGCATTCAGTGCCTTCCAGCGTCGAGGGCTCGTCCTTCCGCAACCTGGTGAAGCAGGTGCGCAAGGTCGCGGATGAGATGTTCATCACCCATCTCGACACCAACTACTATGCTAGCTTCGGAAGCCAATGGGAGCAATTCGTCGATCTGATGGCGAAGTCCTGAGCTGTTCTTGACAAGCACTGTGATGTGACGGCTGGAAAGAATGGTCTAGTCTTGCTATTAATTGATTCTTTGAATCTTTTCTTCTTCGCGTATACATTTGGCGGCCAACTCTGGTAGTAGTATATACATCGCTTTCCCTATTTTCCATGTTTAGGTGTCTTCTTTCGTTTTCTTTCTTTATCACATAATAGGATCACTACTGGCTACATTACTCATTTGGATGAATGGAATGAAGCTGGCAACGTATATAGTACACGAGCGCATTGGTTGTCCTGGATTGTTTGATTATAGATGTGAATGACGTATTTACGAGCGCAAAGCGAGAAGCGGAAACTCAATTTCTGGACGAATGTCAGCAGCATAACAGACTGGAATTTCCACTAATCCTGATGTAATATAGTACATACACGGCTGGATATTCAGGCAGCATTCGAGCTTTTTTCTTTCTTCATTTTCCCGAACTAAACCAGGAATTCTTGCTAGCTAGCCCTGCATGGCATTCAGGCAGAATAAAAAAAACAAACCAACTAACAAACACAAGAAAGGACCACAGAGCGGCTTGCAAAAATAAGACAACCAAGTCAGGGAAATCGATCAACAATTCTCCTATTGGGTCCCTGGATTTGTGGGGGGGGGGGGTTTCGATTGATCAGTTTCTAAACATAAACCCTACAACCTCTCTCCCCTCCCTCGCCCTTGGAATGTAAGAAGTCAGGGCAAACGGCAGGTACGGATGCCGTTGCTGGTTCCCCTTTTTTGGGTTCGGATTTTCGAGTACGATGTATTTACGTGACGTTCGCCCCGCCCATCCGTCCGTCCTGCTATGCACGAAGGATGGTTAGCCTTTCGGGGATAGAGTAAGTAACGGTAATTTTCAAGGCGGACTCCACAGTAGGTCAGAACGAGAAAGATTTGAAAAAGGCTCGGGCGCTTAACTAGTTCTAGCGCCATGTCTATACACCTAGCCTCTTTGGGTCTAGCACCAACCGATCTATGCATCTACCTGGTAGGTACAGCACCTATGATGGTATCGCTGCTCTGCTTTTCGTCCCAAAGTGGCAGAAAAGAGACAGCAAGACGGACATTGAACCCAACTGGCTAGGGCCGTATTGGGAATCTCACCGGCCGGTCTTGGCCTTACCCGGTAAAGTGAAGAGCGAGGGTGACTGAGCCCATGACGGAAGCAGAGCAGATTGGACTAGGTGCATGCTAAGGTGCTAGTGACCTGCAGAGACCACCCTAAGGGGCTGTGCGGGGCTCCAAGAGTGTGAGGCTATGAGTTGAGTTCGAAATGCACTTGCATGCTGTCGAAGGGTTCCAGCAGTCTAGACTAAGCAGAGATCAGCCGGGGCCACGGGGGGTGGAATGAATGTGCAGTGGCTGAGAGGTGTTGAAGTCGCTTGCGTGCGCCTCTCCGAATTTGAACCTTAGGAATCAGAAATACTTGCTGCCCAGAGCATGAGATGTCCTTGGCAATGGTGCCTTATGCGTATGGTTGCAAGATAATGGCCAATCCTCAGAATTGGGAACGGGTGTATTACCTGGTCCACATCGGCCGGTACTCCTGATCTGAGACTGGGAGTGTCTCATACGGAGTACCTTGCATATAAGTACTGCTAGATATTTACGTACGCTTCTAGATATGTGAAGCCGGAGATTATATCATGCCATAGAACGTTCTGTGTTACGTGAGAAGCATTCGGGTTGATTCCGCCTCGAGCTGTGGTCAGGGGGGATGAACAGTGGCCTGAACTTGTTGCATGATCATAGAAGAACTGGTGAGAACGATTCAGTGGCAAATTTACCATGGCCCAATCACATTGTAGTTTCAGAGTCCCGGTCTCGGGGTCAAGCGCTGCAATGTTGTGGGAACTATAGCAGACTAGTGACCTTGCAATCGTGGTTCCCAGGATGGGTCCAGCTAATTGTACCGAGATCGAACATGTAGCAAGAGTGGGTATGCCAGGTGTTCGTGACCGTGCATCCTAGTAGGGCTGGTTGGCTGGGTTTTTCCGACAGCGGCGATCCGAGGAGAGACCATGCGGAATGGTGTATAATGAAAGACAGAAAGCTGGTAGCACCTGTCGTGATGAGCCGGACTGCCAAGCCAGTCGGAGAGCTCGATGCAGTATCCCGCAATGGAGACTTGATCATTTGACCTGTAGATGAGATGACTTGTTCCACAAGCTCCTGTTAGATTGAGGTATTGGCAAGTGCAAGCTGATGTAGTCGGGAATGACGGAGGTGAGAGGGTCAGTCAAATTGCGGAGGTAAGAAGTAACACCGGTATGGTGAACTTGTCTCCATCCATGGGAAATGTGCAGGATGTACCCTGCAGGGTGGTCGGATGTACACCGTGGGCTTCCAAGCCGGTTGGAGGTTACAAGCGCAAAAATCTCCGCTCGTTGGTCCGGGACGGGGTCCTAGTCAGACATACATAACGAGCATGTATCATCCATGTCCTTCTACTGGGTGTGCGGTACAGGCCAAGATGACGCTGTACAGTAGGGATTGAAGCGGGGTTTTATTTATAGAGTCGCGGTCTTTGAGATCGGATGTCATCCAGCATATTCTCCGCGTCTTCCTCGCATCCCGAGCCCGACGATTCACCGATCATCGTATGTCGGGGGGTAAAGAGCGTTTGAGCTTAGCTGAAGCGTAATGCAGTACTGTAATAACTGCTTTCCTTTGTGAACTGAAGGCGGACCGCACTGACGAGTGTAGAACACGAGCAAGTCTCGTGATATCCTCAGTCATGTCACCTTCGGAGTAAATTCCTCATGATTCTTTGTCTCTCCTCGCGATCCGGGTACCTGAGGGTACGTTACACTAACTCGCCTTGACTCCAAGTGAATGATATCGTCCCATGACAAACACTGACCTCTACAGGTACTGCTGAAACAATGTTAGTAAAATAAAAGATGCTCTCGTTCCAACAAGGCCGCACGCAAGTGATTCTCAAAGGGTTGCAAATCGCTCCGGCTGTCAGCTTGCCGATGGAAATTTAGGAGTTAAGCTAGGCTAGCTCCACCGCCGATCGCACGGGATTCGAAGAAGCGGCATGAGATCTGAATCGGACCAGCTCCGGCGGAGAGCTGCGAGGGAGGGTTCTTTCGAGTATACACAATCGGCGGTGGGACCTTGAGAGATGAAGCCAGCATCTCAGGGAGTATCTGGCAAGGAAGGCCCGAGGGACCGGAAAAAAAGGGTTATAGACTTGGCCGGTGCGACCATTTGGGACCCGTTTTCGAGTTGGATGGCCTATGGACTGCTCGTCTCCGAGACTACGGAGTAGAGTGCGTTAAGTAAAGTGAAGATTGAATTAAGCAGAAAGACAGATCATCGTCTAGTGTAGCTGTGAAGCAGGTTTGTGAGGAGTTATTGTAGAGTGTACGGTAGAAGGAATACCCTGCCTGACAGGGAAGGTCGCACCTGAGGCGGGACCCAGGCGCTAACGTATTCGGTTCCTGAGGCATCTTCCCGCAGAGAAAATCAAGGAAGGACCTTGGAAGGGAAACTCGGCTGAAACTGCCCAAGGGTCAACTGTTATGTTAACACCCTCAATTAAGCATAAATCAGAAACCTCTATCTCTACAACTTGTCTGACAAGGCATGGAGCAGAACATTCAACCTGCTACAACGGCAGTCTCACCACGGAATGGGAAGAGAGGCTGTCAGTGTCAGTGTCAGTGTCAGTGAGTGACTGACTTGAGGGTGAGAGATCAGTTCTGCAGCCTGCCGTCTCTGACGCTACCCCCTCCATAGCCAAGACCGTGACGACCATGCACTGACCGATAGGATTTAGTTGCATACACTTTCAAGCACTCGGTCCAACACCACTGATTTGAAATCATCTGCCAAGCCGATGCCTAGCCGCACTCGCTCATCGGTGCTCTTCGCCCTCATCCAGAGTTCCCTCCCCAGCTGTTTGCACAGGCGAGCAGAACAAAATGGGCATCATCTCCGATGCGAACCAGCGCACGGGCGACTGGAAACTAAACAGACTTAGTGGCGTCAAAAACATGGACGGAGGATTCGTGCCTGGAGGGTCTGGCCAAGATCCACCCCAAAGACCCCCTCTTGGCACGCCGGTCGATCATCTTCCCGATCTGGCCAAACCAGGAGATGTTGTTCCCTCGGCATTTCATCTCAGTGTGGATCAGATACCCATAAGTTGGAGATTAGGGTTCAGGAACAAGGCACACCAAACTCAATCCAGTAAATCAAGTCTGCGATTCAGGAACAGCCGTTGATTCAGATGAGCGGGAAACCCACGTTTCCCTCGCTATTCCTGGAAAAGTGGATTGGTGACTAGGTCCCAAATTTGAGGATGACGGCAGAAGAGAGGCAGGCAGGGTTGAGATTGAGAGTGAGAACAAGCTGAAAAAGCAAAGGCCGCTAACAAGCAAAGGACCGTACGATTCACAACTCAACCAGGATCCTAACTCTATCAAAACTTGAGCTAGATCGCTGACCGATCATTCCATTCCATTGGGCAAGATTTGTGTACGGGCTCCCTTTAGCTGTATGCATATCCTGTATCTACTACCCAGGATTGCCACGCCACCGATCTGAGCAACAGCTAGCACCCATGACTAGTCGATTTACCTCTTGATGATTCACGGAAGCCGTTGTCGATCGAGTTAGACTTGGAGCTCTTCAACCATGGTTCATGATCTGATTGTTTGTATCAAGGTTTTCTGGTCCTGCGATCGATAATACCCGGAACCAAGATCGGGGAGGGTTCTATGTTTTAGATGGGAAATGCCAAGTTGAAAATTACAGATCGGGAATTTATCCAGCATTGGGTGAGTGGTAAGAATACCAGACGGGGCCGGTTGATACGCACTTGAAAGTACGTAGTAGGAATGGACCAAGTCTCCACGAGGCTAACCACAACCGAGCCGCGGCTTGAACCGAGCGAGCAAGAAGGAACACCAGGAAAAGAAAAAAAGAGAGTGTCGGAGCGACCCCCGTTCTTGGTCTAAGCTTGCATGCTAGTGATTCGTCCGCTCTTTTCCCGTCGCCAGGAGCTAATTGCGTTAGAGACTCTGAAGGATTAGAGAAACAGCTCGTACCCGCAAGTCAGAGGAAAAGTCCACTTTGGCGCTTAAAGTTGAGTAGTTTGCTCCATTGCGGCGACCTGAGGTTAGCGAAGTGCCAAAGCGGTTAGCGGCCTCTGACCATTTCAATCTTGAAGTTAATCTTATTTTCGTCTAATTATTTGGCGGCGTCGAATTATAGAACGGCAGGAAGGCAGAAAAGAGGTCCAAGGTTACAACAAATGTGCAAGTGGTCGGAGTCGGACCTCCCGGACCATAACCTGAAGAAGCTCCCCGGAGTTAGACTTGTCAATCTATCTGGAAAACACTAGCGAAAGATGACGGGGAGGAATGGATAGGAGAGGGGAAAACAAAGAGACTGAGGCGAGATCGATAATCACGAAAATCTATCTTTCGGGATGGGAGATTCCCGAGTCATCGTAACGTCACATTCCCACTTGCCCAAGACCACGGTTCAGTAAGTATGGCTTAGATAAGATGGTCGTTGATCGCGTAGATTTCTAGAAAAGTGACAAAGAAACTGATCTCCCTCCTCCCCCCCGCTGTCTCAACCAAGGATTCAAGGGCAGACTGGAGCTCCATGCCTTTTTGCCTCGGTTCGAGCCCGATCGGGCTGCCTGTTGTGCCTCATTTAGGTAAGATGATACCATATCCAGATCCGAAAATAGATGAGGCGAGAATGAACAAAATCAGAAGGGGAAAGAGGGGAAAGATGGCGATGGGTGATGGGGGGATTTTGCACCATCTCGTCATCATCATCATCACCATCATTGTTCGTACTGTACAGAAATTTTCTGGGTTTGACTCGTATATACCCCTTTACTATGTGAATCTGAGCGCTCTTGGCATTTCTCCCTGGTGAGACATCCGGCACTGACCTGATGAGCTGGTAGGTTTTTAGGACTTTTTCTGGTATAGTTACCGGAAGCCTAAACTCCGTACGGTAAAATTATATATGATCAAAACAACTCGAAATAGAACCTTGAAAATTGGTTGTTGTTGTTGTTGTTGCCGCTATCTCCGGTCTTGTTTCGTCGATGCCAAGTCGTGGCGCCACGGTTTGGCTGTGAGACATGGGCTACAAATGGTGTGTGTGTGTGTGTGTGTGTGTGTGTGTGTCTGTGGGCGTTGAGCAAAGTACGGAGACGGAGTAGTAGTGTGTAGTGCTCTCAATTATGGGGGATATCTGCCCCAACGAGTGTGAAGCTCTTCAGCCTTTCTCATTAGAGACAAGATAATCGAAAAAAAAAACTCGAAACAAAACGGAGGTTTGGGTTTATGTTTCTCGTATTGTTTCTTTGTTTTCCTTTTTTGAGGTTACCATATTTAGTATCAGTATCTACCATCCATTGCTTTTCTTTTTGGGGGCGTTGGGGCTTCTTAGTGGGCCAATGACCTGGTGAATGAGACGAGCGAGGATGAGGTTGTTCTTGGGATGACGGTGGTGAGGAGGAGGAGAGATGTGGGATGGAGGTCAGGTGTAGGAGGTACAACCGGAGTACAGGAATGGATTGGTGCACCTGGTGGTGCCATTGACGGTGGTCTGGGGAGCAAATGACCTGTCCAATTTGCCCTCGGACGAATACTACCTACATACGCACTAACTACCGTATATGAGTCAATATGCATCCATCTATCAGCTGGGGATGAGATGGTCGCTGATGAGTAACTAGAGTTTTAACTGGACTGAGACATGGGCGTTAAGAGGATGTCTTGCTCACAATGGCGCTGTGCTGCACGTGTTTGCTTTCGCAATGAAGGACCGGACGATAGAGGATAGAGCCAGGCAGTATAGCGCTTGGGGATTCTCTCTCTTCTCTGGTTGCGCTGCCAATTACTCAATTCAGAAGATCTATCAATTCTTACCTCTCGTGAGCTCGATGAGAGAAGCGGAGACCTTCCTTTTGCGCGTTCGAGACGCAGATGACCGTCGGTATTCCAATGTCAAATCACTTGCATGAATGGCTAGCTGTGCTATATAGCGCAAGCAAAAAAAAAAAAAAAAAAAAGAAAATACAATACATTATATGTGAGTTTGCGTGTGTTGCGTGCTTTGTGTGTTTGTGTGTTTGCGTGTGTATGTGTGGCCATGATTTATGCTGACAATGCAAGATATCCCCAACAAAAACTCCCTGGCGCCCATGCTCAGTGCAAGATCAAAATTTCCCTCACGTCGTCAAATCCCGAGACAACCGCAGCGAGCAGAGGTTCCCGCCTGGCCATGCGCAAATCCGCCTACCTCTCTCTCGAGTTAGCAGACTTGGATCCAGTTGTCCAGATCCATGTTCTTAATGACAGTTGAGAAGTTGCCGGACCCGGCGAAATCGCAAGCACTGTCCTTCTGGCTGGTGGTGACATTCTTATTGTTATTGGTTTTGTCTCCCTTGGGGTACTCGATGTGGAACACCGGCTTGCCCGCTTGGGTGAAGGCGGCATAGGTGTCACACTCGTCATACTCTGCGCACTGCTCGTTGACACTCCACTGCATGTTCTTGATGACCGAGGGGATGATGGACCCTGCGTTCTTCAAGCCGACGGACATGTTGCGGGCGTGCGCCTCGTTCGCCAACCAGTTCACGTAGTTAATGGAATCCGCCTCGGTCAGATCCAGCCCGTTCTCATTGTCATAGCCATCGACATTGTCCGGGTCGACCCCGTCGCAGCTTTTGTTCTGCGCCATGTCCAGCCGCTTCTGCATGATCTTGCGCACATTGGACGAGCTGATGTTGAGCCACTTCTCGCCGGGCCAGCCATCGAGGTCTTTGCCCAGGTCCGCGGACTTGAAGTCGTCCTTGTCCGGACGCCAGTTCTCGTAGCTGCCGGCCGAGAAATAGCAGATGACCTTGCGGCCCGCCTCGTGCAGCGCGTTGATGATGGATTGATTGTTGTTGAAGAGGTCAATGTCGTAAACGTCTACGTCCACAGAGGTGTCGTTGAGTGTGTACAGGAGCTCGATCTGCCAGGTGGTGCCCACCGCAGGCTGCCATTTGGCGGTCGTATAGTTGCCTGTCGTATTGGTGGGAGGGGAGGGCTCTTCCTCACCACCGCCACCACCGCCATTGTTCAACCCGACTCCCAGGCCCACTCCGAGAGCAACTGCGAGGACCACAATGGCTCCGAGGATTGAGCCGATCACGATGAATTTCTTCTTAAGCGACCACGCCTTCCATCCCCGCGCAGGCTGACCCTTGAGGGCGGCTTCCCCAGCAGAATTCATGTCAAGTAGAGAGAGGATCTGGGCAGGGTAGATGTTGAAGATAGAAGAGTAGAGAGCAGAGTTGAAGTGATAATAATAATCTTTCACGGGTAAGGATTAGATTAAAAGAGGGGACCGAGCAACGAGGGCGATCCGGGGTGATAAGGAGTTCAAAAGGTGGAGCGAGGATGGCTCGTGTCTAGTGGAATCTTTCAGCCCGGTCGCAATCAATTTAGGTGAATGCAAGCGATGAGCGAGTGAGTGAAGAGGAAAATAGAGATGCCTAAGGAGTTGAGGTTTGAGAAAGCTTCATTGGGTCACACAAGACTTGGGCTCATGTTGTTCAGCAGTGACGCTGAGATAAAAGAGGCAAAAGAAACAACTGAAGGGCTGATGCCGATCAGGGGGTGAGAAGGAGATGATATTAACTATTGGGAGAGAAAGAATAGTGCAGTGGGATTCGGCGGGTAGTTTAAAGATGGACCCTGAAAGAGAGAAAACGAGAGGGGAAGCGCCACGCTTTGCCGGCTCTGAGCGGATTGTCTGGACCCTGTCAATCCTACGATTACAGTACTTGCTCTACTCTGCACAGTACTCTGCACAGTGAACACCACTTATCAGCACTGAGAGAGGAAGGAAGAAATGCGAGATTTAGAACATAGAAGCCTAAAATGACCCGAACACACCATTCATAACCGCCAGTGTTTAGTTCACTGTTAGTTGTTGCAGTGAGACGGCGATTCGGCTCTGAAGTCTGGGCAGGCTCCTCTTTCTGACTTGCCATTGGATCTGGATTCATTTGTTCACATTTTGTGTCCAACTGACCGTGAATAATGTGAACTCCTCTCACTGGATGCGTTTGACCTGATTTTTGAGGAGAGAGGTTGAGCACAGCACATTGCACTCATCCATTGGATGATGTCTTTGTCTGCGGCAAGCCACACCGGGATCGGCTGGAAAGGGTTAAGCCACTCCGTGACCTCCCCACAGTCACCGATTTGGCTGCTGTTTGTTTGTTTTTTTGGTTACAGTCACAACCAGAACATCATGCGGTGGGCGGCAAAACTACGTGCCCAGGAAGTTGTACAAAGTCAGACTTACGAGGGAGGATCAGCTCACTGAAATAGAGCGGAGGAAGAACAATCAGGTCCAGACCAAGCTGAAAGGATGATGGACAGGAGATGAAGGGCCGAGTTTCCGGTTGCCAGACGATGACGGTGGAAGAAAAATACACAGCTCGATCAAGTCAAGCACGCTATAGCCGAGTTGTTTTAAGGTTTCGCAGAGAGTCCGCTGGGTTTCTGATCGCTGAAGAAGTTAGACAGAGAGGGGCCGCGGGAAACCCAAGCCTGGCAAGCCACCATGGTTTTCCTTTTTTTTTTTTTTTTTTTCTTAGTCCGTCCTTTTTCTCTCTCAGTACTTTTTGTGTCCTCCCATCGGGCCGGAACCTTGCCGAACATCCCTCGTCGCCAATCGGATAGTCCCAGCAAGCCACGGACGCTAACCATTCCTTCCGAGATCAGGTACGGTAAGGGCATGAATTGTTATTTACAGTGGGTCAAGAACCGGTATCAATTCATGAAGCTCTGGTTTTTTATGGTAAATTGGAAAAGTTCTGGAAAGTCCTCATACCAACCCATACCCTCCCAAACATACCACAATCATCCGGCTTGGCACCCCTCATCCGCAGGTCTTGCCAAGAACCCAGCTGCGTTGGACCCTCCCCAAAATACCCTAAGCCAAACCAGGACCACCAAGACAACTAAACCCCCCAGTCCGCCTCCTGACCAATTCTTGCATCTCATTCCCCTCAATTCCTAAAACAGCCTCGGACTTAGACTCCCGAACAAGTTCTCGATTCTTTTCTTCGTAGTTGCCCCTACCCGAGCCAAAGGTGATGCAATCAACAACCGTCAGACTGCGGCGCTTACTTGTTCTCGTATCCCTCCATCTTGGCACACCAGGCGAGACTCGCTGACTCGAGGGAAGTTCTTGGCGCGCATGGCATGGACTGTTTGTGCTGTCTCCCACGTTTCGGTGGCGGAGAATTTAGCATGTTGGTTGTGAGGGTGCTACGGATGTGATGGATCCGATCAAATTCCATCCTTCATCCTCCATCATCGGACACTTTTCGTGCGCGGATTCCAATCCTCTACTGGTCTACCGCTGATTCTACTCCACTACTACTAGCTCAATAGCACACACACACATACACGTCTTTCGACCTTAGTCTGATGTACGAAGTGTACTGCACTCGTCCTCCCTTTCTGTAAGTTGTTAAGTTGTAACAAACAACCAGCCCAAGAAGCAACTTGGCTTGCCTCCGACCTCCGACCCCCGTCCCTGCAAACCCCGGTTACCCGGCCTAGTCCTGGCTGGTTGGATTGGCATGGCAAGGTCTGCTCAGCTATGGGGCATTTGCTCTGTGAGTGTCTGTTTCTCTCTCTACGGAGTGAGTTTCTCTCTCTCTCTCTGTGTGTGTGTGTGTGTGCCCTTTCGACAACACCACCCGACTGGTCAAACCGTCCAATCCTACAGGGATATTGGCTGTCGCAAATCTGCTGACATGGATGCAAGAATTTTCCTTTCCCTTTCTCGCCTCGTTGCTTTTACCGCCGAGGGGAAATCCTTTACTGAGGCAGGACGAAATCCATGCCGCCCCAGCCACCGACGGCCGTCCCCTGACCGACCCTGGCAGGTGTCAACCTGAGCTTGACCTGCAGCAGTCAGGTAAGGGATTCGTCGGTGCTCAAGGTAGGACGGTGGTCAGGTCTGTTTGAATTTTTTTTTGGCCTTCCTTTGCGGCGCGTAGCACAGAACCAGAGAAGTAACCACAATGGGGCTGAGCAGCGTGAAAGGGGGGGGGGAGCCGGCGCTTCAACTTGAAGGCAAAGAGGTAAAGACAAAGGTAACGGCAAAGGTAAAAGAGGCGATAGTTACATATTCGTGTAGGCGATTTCCGTGATCAGACGAAGTAGTACGGATACTCCGTACGAAGTAGATCGGTAAGTGTTTGAAACTGTCCTTCTTTTGTACAAGCTGGATTGGCATCATGACAACAACAACAACAACAACAAGCAATGCAAATTTACCAGCCGAAGGCGATCTCCGTAGTCAGCTTTCGATCTTGTCGTCTTGAAGTCACAGTAGGTAAGTTAAGTCTCTGCGTCTTACTCCCTTTCCCAGCATCCCGGATGGTTGTGGGTACCTCATCATCTGGCCATAGTCGGGTCCGGGGAGAGGTTCAACACCATGGGAGTCAAGTTGCGAATGCGATGCGATGCGATGCCAACTCACAATCTTTAATGAATACGAGTACATAGTCTCCTCCCTAAAGAAGGAACTCGTTTCGCGAGAGGGATTCAGACATAGCAATCGGCATGCCCGTTAGCAACTAGTATGAAGACATCGGTCCTCCTGCTTGCTTGATTGCGTCTCCGCCGAGCTCGGCGCGTCGAATCATCAGGCTTGTTGTCGAGAAGAAGACTAGGCATGAAGGGAATCTACAGAATACAGCCTTGGCAAACTAGTTGGACTCATCTCGGATTCGACTTGCCTTGCTTTATTGCCATGGAGTTTTGTCTCTCTCAAAGTCGTGAGGTAATCAATTGATGCTTTTAACTAAACTAATCAACTAAGTTAATTAAACTTGCATCATCATCATCATCCTCCCCTAACTCCAGGATGAAGAGGCGAGCGAAACAAAAAGTAATGGGAACCCCCCTCCCCATGTAAGATGCATGCAAATACGAGCGACGCTAACAAAGCTCCAGACCCCGGAAATCCAAGATTGAAATTTGACAGGACCATCCGCCGGCCGGCGGGGGGGAAGGAGGAAAAGCAAGCGAAATAGTCTCCACATGCATCGGCTAACTGACTCGGAGCTAGTTTAGTGAATAGTCGATAGGTAGGTAGGTTTACTTTTGAGTCTGACATCTGTCGGAGTTTTGGATCCTGGTTGTTCGATGTCGGGGTCCTTTAATCTATTTTGCCTCCCGCGTCTGCTGGGGGGGCTGTTGTTCTAAGTGTTCCTGCAAGTCAGAGAGAGGTCTGAGAGTGAGGGTCTTGTGGGGAAAAAGCAAGTCGAAGTTATGTAACTAAAGTTATTAGGTTAGCTAGTATGGTAGTTACAGATCCCTGCGTCGGTGGCCCCCCCTTCTGCTGACTTAGTAGCTAGTCATTATTGAGGTAAATTAAATGTAGCATATCGCAGAGCTGCGAGTAGGGTCCAGACAGCAACACTAGCTTCATGCAGGTAGGGAGTGATGTCTGTTTCTTGGTAACTGGTAAATTTTCCTGTCTTTTCGTTAGGGGTTGAGTTAGTGTGGTGTGTATAGCCTCGTTGTCGGATCCGACGTTTGGAATGACCACACCTGTCTTTCTGTAGGTAAGTAATTAGGTGAATTACTTGATACTTGATAGTTGATTGACTAGCCGTTGAGTCAACTGATTTATCAACCACCACAAGGTACAACCTGACAACTGCTGTGGGAGTAAAAATAGGCGACTCCCTTCCCTTCCCTTCCCGTCTCCCCACTTTCTCCCCGTCCCCTCCCCTGATCCCCACAAAGTCCCATCCTGTCATAGATTAAATCACTGGGTAGTATCAATTCCAATAACTGTAACCCCCTCATATCCAAACCACCCTACAAGAAACAGAAACCAACTAACAGACCGAATGAAACTTCCTCCCCCTTCAAAAAACATCTGATCAGACAACCCCAGGCTAAATCTCCCATCCGAGGCAATCGAAAGGATGTGATTCCTTACACTTAGTGCGTGCGCCAAGATCGACCGGCAGGATGCAGACACCAGAGAGCAAAGATGCGCTGTCCTATCGCTCTAAATCGACAGGGGCAGCAGGCACAAAAAAAGGAAAAAAAAAAAACGGATGAGGGGTAAACATTTTAGTTTAGTTCCAACTTCGCCGCCCCGTCATCCAAATCCTTTCCACAATTCCCAATTCCCCTCCAAAGGACAGTAAAAAAAAAAGAACACTGGTGGAAACGGCGTGGGGGGCTTTTGGGAAATGGGCCCACTACACGTCAGTTGTTGTTTTCAGTGAACTTCTCATGTAGACTTTTGCTGAAGAGCTAAAGGAAGAGGAAGTACCTCTTGCACCCTGGGGTTATTGGATAGGTACCGCACAGGTACAACCTCCCAACTACCTTCAAGCTGTACATGGACCCCCTCGTCTGGTTGGGTTGAAGGGAGGTGGTTGTGCCTCACCGCATGCCCTTCCCGCTGTTTCCCCTCCCCATCTTCAATCCTTCTCATGCAGGGTTTGGAATATCTGGGGGCCCCGTCTGCGCCTTCCCCGGTGGTTGGACCTCCGCGGACCCTGAAATGTGTCTCTGTCTTCAGGTGTGGGTGTGGGTTGGTCTATGTGTTGGTGAGGTTTGGTTGGATAGGTTTTGCATGGTCGCAAAGGAAGGAAAAAGGGGTCTTCGCAAAGCAGAGGAGCTCGTAGAAAAGTAGCGTCATGAAGACGTAAGAGTGCACTCGAGGTAGGATTGCGGCGGTTTGGGGGGGTGTGGATGGATGATTTTGCTCACTGCTCTGTGCGGCTGGATCGACCGGTACAAGGCGCCCGCGGTATTCGCTGGGATTGGTGCCCCTAATGCCCATACATCATTCGACTGGTTGGGAGAGGTCCATCATTTTACACGTACTCCATACTCAGGCGTCAACATAAAACACTAGCAATTGTCTTCGTACCCTATCTCATCCTAGTGATAAGTTACTTATATCGTCTCGTAGCTATTCTACGAAGTATATCCATGATGTGGCCATTATAACATTACAGATTATGTCCAGAGGATCAGAATCCCGTCAAGCAAGCGAATGTGTCCCGTCCACGCTTCACAGCGCGATCGGAGTCGAGAGAGTGAAGGTCACCGGCGAGCCCGAGAGCTGCACCCACACGGTCAGGGGGTCGCTGCCCAGCTGCTCCGTGGTGAAGCCCTGGGTGCTGGTCGGCGCCACAGGGAAGGTGACAGGCACGGGCTCGCTGCAGGTGTTGCCGGTGGCAGACACGGTCACCGCCGTGATCTGCTGGTTCGAGATGACGTAGCTGAGAGCATAGCCGCACTGGTCGCGGTTGTAACGAGCGAGGAAGCCAGCAGACATCTGAAAGACAAGTTAGGAACCGAGCAAGGGCGGGGGTAACATAGGGAAGTGACTCACATCCTGGTGCTTCAGAGTGATAATGGGCCAGTCAGCCAAGCGCACAAACTCCTGCACAACGGTCTCAACCCAAGCCTGCATGATGGAGTACTTCGCCGACACGCCGTTGATAGTGATCGGGTCAACATCATAGTTGCGGAGGTTGGCCTGGTGAAACATGTAAGGGTCGTGGTAAAGACCAAACAGGTGACGCATGGTGTCAGCCTTCTCCGTGGACAGAAGAGTATCGAAGTCGCCGCTGCCAGCCGAGGTATCAATCCACTCCTGTACAGTGCACGCAGGAGTGTCGCAGTTGTAGTAGATGCGGGTCGCCCAGCGGGGGTTCACTTGCATACCGGCAAAGCCATTGGCAGCAACGGTGGTGAACAACGGCCACATGGCATTCTCCGTGTTCAAGAGGACGGGGCGGGTGTTGTCACCGACACAGTTGGTAATACCGTTATCCCACCAGGCCTGAAGAGCATCGCCGTTGTGCAGTCCAGTAATAGCGGGGGGGATGATACCGTTGGAGGTGAAGTGCTGAGCGGCATCAATTCCCGTCTGCTTCAGCCACGCCTGGTTGAAGGAAATCTCCTTGAACACATCCGAGTAGGTCGAGTTGTTCTGCTCCTCGTGCGTGAAGGTGTGGGAGATATGACCCCACGCGTTCAAGTTGGAGGAAGTGGTCCACCAGTTGAGAAGGTCATCAAGCTTGGTGCAAGCGCTCGACCAGTCGTACGTGGTCGGGGTCGCAGGCCAGAGGTTGGTACCGGTTCCCAGAGGCTTCTGGAACTCCAGAGGAGTGTCAGCAGGGGAATCATACTCGATACCACCGCCATTGCACTCATCATAACCAGCATCACTGGTTTCGGCGGCCGCCTCAATGTTGCCATTGCCGTTGTGACCGACCTCAACGAAATAACTGCTACCAGAGGGCATCTTGGCATTGATCTGAGGCACCCAACTGGTGATGCCCGCCAAGTCATTGGTGGTAATACGGAAGGTAGTTCCATTCGGGTAGTAAATGTCCGTCTCGAGGAACATGTCGTCAATCTGAGTGTTCAGGTTAACACGGCGGTATCCAGCATAGAGACCGCGCGTGATCCAGGTAATCCAGGCGTGCTGCAAGTAGTTGGAGGTAGCACTCCAGGTGGTATCGAAGGAAATGAAGAACGCCATTTGCTCACGGCCAGAGAAGTTGTTGATCACCGCAGCAGTCGTGTCACTGGTCACGACCGAGTTGGAGGCAAACGAAGCAATTTGTTTGGTTGTGTTGGTATCGCTGATGGTAGCAGGATAGTGCCAGAGGCCGCTGGTGCTGACACCGGCACCCGTCTTCAGGCCCGAAGTGGGGAAGTCGCTGATATCGGAGAATGACACCAGTTGTTCCACACCGGTGTCACAGCATCCGTCGCCGACGGCACTGGCACCATAGCTGGGGCCCGGATAGACGTCGTACTGTACCATGCGCACACCATACTCCAGCTGATAGGCATAGAGTTGGTTCCACTGGTCGGTAGTCAACGCACTTTGATAGCCCGAGGTGCCATAGTCATAGCTGACCTCGCTGGCAACAACAATACCTCCGAAGTTTCCCCCGGTGGAGCTGTTGAGCGCAGGCAGACTGGCTCCAGTCTGCGGGACAACAAGAGTGGTGAAGGGAATGCCATAAGCATTCAGTCCAGAGGACGCAACACCGGCTGAGGCAGTGTCTCGAGCGATCACGAGAATGTTAGCCGCGACAGACCCCGCACTCACCGCCGCGATGGAGGCGGAGGCGGAGGCTGCAGCCGATGAAGCAGCCACAGCGCTCGAGCTGAGAGACATGGTGGCAGATGTGTCGACGGAGACAACCGAGGAAGAGGAGAGAGATGAAAGAGAGGCAGAAGAAGACTCAAAAGAGGAGGAAAGAGAGGAAGACGAAAGCGATACAACGATTGTAGCACTAGAGCTGAACGAAGTGACTAGAGTAGTAGGCGTAGCAGTGGAAGCCGACGAAGCGAGAGAAGCAGTGGTAGTAAACGAATGAACAGTTGAAGTAGTGCCAGGAACAATTGTTCCTGAGACTCCAATGGCAGAAGTTGTCAAAGGAGCTGCAGTGGATGAAATGACCGTCGCACCCTGATCAGGCGAAACACCTGGGGACGTATGGCAGGTTATAAACCCGAAGAAACAGCCCACATTGAGCAGCCAGGATGGAGTCATGATTGCAATGTAGTCTGATCAACCGATCCTGCGCAGCACGAAAAGGAATGGCAAGCCGACGAAGGCGAATGATAGCGAGTGACTGGGTGGCTTGGACTTCAGGACCCCTGGCGAAATCGTCAGCTGTAGACTAAAGATCAGCGGCTTGTGTTTCTGCGGGCACAATCACATCCTGTGTTTATATTAGCTGGCCGGGGTGCCTGCTCCCAGAGCTCGTAAAGCAAAAAGCTTGATAGCCTATCGTTTCACGCGGTTTCTCAGGGCCAGGTACGTTAAGTCCGAAGCCGAAGGTTCCACGATTTACTCAGATATGGGCACATTTGGTTTCCGCTGGGTACTTGCAGCCCCGCTTTGAAAGAGTTCAGGTCCCTGGATAGAGGGGATTCCAAGCCAAAGCGGAGGCGATGGATCGATTGTGACTACGGTACTCCATAGTGGGTTCATCGTATCTGAGTGACCCAGTTGGCCCTGGCATGCGTAGGTGGAAATTGCCCTCTGAGACTTTTTTTTCCCCGAGGAAAAAGCTCCATCCAACTCAAAGAGCATCTGGGTGAATCAGAATGGAGAAAAAATAGACGAGCCACCGGGGAAAAGAGTCATGGCGAGGCAGTCTGGCCATCGAACAAGAGGCTCGGCGCACGGAGATGGATTTCCCAGTTCAGCCCCGAGCCTACTGAAGAGCGCTAAAGCATCAGTAGAGTTAGCATCAGTCAAACAGTAAGTTCAGAGTTGGTCATCCAGGATCCGAAAATAGAGAGAGACTCAGAGCCTGGATCGAAGACTAAGGGGGGCGGATGGCCCAAAGGAATGGAGACCATGAATCTTTGGGTAGATGGAGTTTGTTAGTTGGTGTGGGGTAGGATGATAAAGGATGGATGATAATAGTTAAAGAAGTAGGAGATGATCGACTAAGCGGGATAAGTAGAACCAGCGGATACGAGACCTTCGTTTACTTATTACGAGACTGTGTAACGGTCTCAAAATTTTATATAAAACAGTGGTAATACCGTACTGTAATCACGGCTGAATGTTGAATACACAACTGTTGTGTACGGAAATTTATAGATACGGCACTAAGCTTAATCTAGCAGCCGCATCAACTCCCGATTTTTTCTCCAATCTTTTTCTTTCGGAATTTTGGTTCAACCAGTCGCGGTTCGTCGTTCAGGCTCCCAGGACAGTAGACAAACCGGCTGGTTGTCTCTGCAATACCCACTGCTTCAACCAACGCAAGGAAGAAAAACTGGCAGGCTGGCAGACTGGATTTCCCTTCGAGCCAATGGCATATGCGATGATCTCCACTCCCTTCTCTGAGTTGACCCCCCTCAGACTCTCAAAGTGGTGCAACAGTCGGCCATGCATCAACGATGACCTCTCTCTCTCTCTGTGTGTGTGTTTGTGCTGCCCACTTCCACACCCACCCCCCTCTCCCCCACTTTCACTGAGAGAAAAAAAAAGGACAAAAAAAAGGAACAAGAAGGAAAGATAATTAATTCCTGACTCGATGGTACCGTTCCTTCTACCTCTTTCCTCCGTTCAATGTGGTTCAGATCAAATGAAACAGTGAATGGGTGCCACGCTACCGGGCTGATCCCATGGCCATCCCCATAGCATGGCATGGCATGGCATCTCATCAATTACTCGATATGGAGCTGTCCCTTTCACCCTCAAACAGACCTAAATGAATAGCGTCAAACTAAGTCCCTAAGACTTTGATACGCTTTACTATTTCCGTCATCCTTGAGGCCGAAGCTACGTTGGGCGCCACCGGTCCTGATTGCATCAGACTATGTGGCCCCCGATCAGATACTGCCAACATTTGCTTTGATTAGAGTGGTTAAAGTGAATAAAAATAATTCTGGAACTGACATCGTGCAGTGGCTGACCTAACATCCTGCCTCCTGCTCAGTCATCGAGTCAGACATACAGGAGAGGCTGGCTGTCGGCTGCTTGATCACACTTCACAGGCCTCTTCTTCCACCTCTATACCTAAGCCTTTTTCCTTTATTCTTCTAGTTTTTTTTTTTTTTTTTCCTGGCTCGCATATTCTCCTCGCATTTACGCTTTTCTAGCCTTTTTGGCCACCGTTCGTTCGACCCTTCAGAATTCTTTTCTTACGCATAAGCATAGGTTCTTGCCATTCGTTATATTAACAAAGCATTCGTCTCTGTTTCCTTCTCTTATTCCCTTGTTGAAGCCCGGGTGCATCTTACGCCACATCCAAAGAGACTTATTAGAATCATGACTTAGGGCATGACGTTTTCCTCCTCGGAATATACGAACCTATATTCTTAATAGTAATCGCCTTCGCTCGCTGCTTTCTACTCACGATACATGTCCTTCATTGCCGCGCCGTTTGTGGTGACGCCCTAATCTTTAATCGAGATGGCGAAAATCCTCGACGTCTCACCCGTCGGGTGGGATGGGATGAAGAATCACTGGTGGCAGTTTGTACGTCAACTGTGTGCACGGTGTCTTTGAGAGAAGCTGGAAGGTTTTACCATGCTGATTCATCATAGGTCCTGATCGGCATTCTGTTGGCAAGTGTCACATGTGGGTGTCTCTATCTCACATACTCTGGATTCAATAGATTTACCAAATGGTACAAGGTAAGACTCATTCGCGGACTGACATGGCACCTGAAAAGCGCCGGTCTAATACGCTCTCTAGTCGCGACCTCGCAAGGAGGTGGTACCTGCCAATGTAGTCCAACAGTTGGACAAGCTCGCGAATCAACAGCTTGCTCTTACTACTGCGCACTATAAAGAGAAGCCCAAGGAGAAGCCATCTTCTGTGGGAGTCTACCTGGGGTCATTCACTACTCCCCTAGACGAGACTCACCGTCAACTGCTGGAACGCTGGGATCTCATCATCGTCGATCCACTCAAGCCCGGCGTGGTACCTGCAATCACCCAAGTGCGAGGCAAGCAGTTCCTTGGTAGACTTGATCTTACCCTGCTTCTCAGTCAAGAAACGACTTCAACCGCCATCGGGAAGATCGGCAATGTCTTGGCTGGCAGCTTCCGCGAAACGGCCTTCGATGGTGTTCTGCTTGCCAATTGGGAAGACAAGTTCTCCTCGACGGTACTTGCGAGATTGTGTGGGACGATTAGCGACCTTGGCCTGGCCGTCTACCTGGAGACTGCTCCCCCCAAATTTCTCCAAGACCCTGATATCTTGCAAGCGACTGCTATTTCCGGTCTGGTCATCAAGAATGCGAGTATTCTTCCCGATGGCCAGAAGCGTGATTACTTTCAACTCGAAAAACTACGTCCGACGATCAAGGCGTTCGTCTCCGAGGCGTGCATGCGTGATTTCTTGGTAATAGCCTGGGAGACCATTGACGACAATGCATCGCTCTCCAACGCGGTTATCCAAAGATCAATGCAGTGGTGCAATTTCTACAGCGCAATCCCATGGATTGGTCGCGCGTCCGCTCTCGAGAACGCTGCCCTGAATGTCAAAATATTGGAGCCTCTTTCCTCCTTCACATGGTTAAAAGATGCCGACATCATGAAGGCTCATGATCGCTGGCGCACAAATCTTCACATTGAACGCCAGTCTGTCCAGAATGGTTCCTGGGACTCTTTGATTCCCTTTTTCCCGACCTTGGAGAGCCTTCTCTCATCATCGGAATACGAGGCGCAACTCATCGTCAGGTCAACCGGGTCTCTGCGCGAACCTCCAGAATGGGTTGCTCAGGTTAAGTCGCAAGGTAGCCCGTTATCGATCTCCATGGCCGGCGCTGAATTCAAGGAGCTAGGATGCTTTCCTCTCGGCTCAGAAGCGACGCCTTTGGCCTTTGCCGAAATCCTGCAGTCCCAGCAGCGACTCAAGTCGCACAGCTTGCTTCACCCTGTTCCTACAACTAAGCTACAGAGCATGGGTCTTCTCCTTAGACAGTTCCATGATAGTTTGAACTGCTTGGATTGGAGCCCCTCTGAACAGCTTGCAGTAGCAATCAAGCAGCTGGCGTCGTTCGCCTCCTCCGATCAATTGCGAGTATATCTTGGATTGGATTCTGGTTTACGCAAAAGTACGGATGTCCGGTTTTGGGGTGTCTATCAGATGGATGCAGATGGGATTGATGTGTTTCTCTCCAAAAATGCGCAAGGTCTGACGGGTACTGTGTTGCACACATTTCTGTCGGCAAGAGGCTTCCCACGGCATCTTTGCTTCGAGGCTGAAACCGCTTTAGCGCAATGGTCAAAAGATTGTGTCGAGGCAGTCGGCTTACCGCGTCGCATTGTACAGGATATTGACGCCTTGAGTCCTGAAGAGCGACTCCTCTTGTTGCAACATCTTTCCTTGACTGACGCAGCAAGCTCGATGTCGGAGGAGATTTGCGCCTATATACGCAGACAGCTTATAGATATGCCTTCGCTCGCCCAGCTCAAGGAGCTGAACACCACTGCCTATCTCGAGGGATTGGCTACCCCGGAAATGGTGGTAGATACCCGTATCACCTGGTACAAGGGGCAGGGCTGTCAGTTTCCATCGCCGTCACTCTGTCTCGCCTTGTTTAAGGAAGCCGAATCTGTCCTCAACAACATCCTTCGAGAGCGAAGAGAGCATGACCTTGCTCAGATCTCTCAGGCCCTGTGCCAACTTGTGCAGAACTCCTCCATCGATGCTTATACTGACATGATGACTCTCGCTCTGTTTTGTGCGGCAAGAAAGGGTGCGTTGGACGAGATTTACACCGAGGTCACTGACCGAAATCCGCTTTTCAACAACCAGTCCGACCAGGCAGCTGCCTTCGCCGAGTCCTTCGCCCTTGGCTCGCGTTGTGAAGCTTACTTCGACCTGGTGCCCAGTGCTTTCGGAAAGTTGCTGTCCAACCGATTCCGCAAGAGTTATACAAACGACAAGCTGCCTAACTGGATCAATGGTGCTCCTGATATGGCTACATCGTACGCTGGTGCACAGATTGATGTGAATCCCGCCGATAAGGTCAAGCCTATGCGTGGCTATCAACGATTCACGTTTCTGAGTGTCTTCGCTTTCCCGGCGCTGATCGATATTATCTTGCTTACCATTATTGGGCGAGGCCTCTATCTTTCTGCTTTCATGACCTATGCCGAGCAACAGAGTGCTACCATCGCCTTGATGATTTCTTTGTTGTTGTCTGGTGCCATCGGGACGTGGATCGCATGTGGGGGTCCCTATTATTTGATCTCAATGGCCTTCGCTGCTGCAAATATGTTTGTCCTGATTCGACTGATTGCTGGAGTTGCGTTCACGGTTGCTGGAGGTCTCATTGGATTCATTGCGATCTCTGCCACGGAGAGCGCACGGGCTGGAATCATTTTTTACCTGTATCTGATTGCCTTGACGATTTACTTCTCGTCCTTTGCCTCCCTCGCCAGTTTCAGCTATCCCGGGTCGACTTTCCTCTCAGGTCGCAAAATCATCTTTGCCTGCGTTCCCATCCTCTTCATCTCGCCCATTGTGACGACTTTCACTGGCCATGATTCAGCCATCTACCTTGCAGTCATTTATGTCTTCATCATTGTCCTGCTCATTGGTCTCCGGTCTATTGCCTCTAAGTGGGTCACTTGGTACCAGAGCTTGAGAAGGACAGATGACACAGAAATCCGCAAGTGGTATATTGCTACCTATGGTAACGGTGACGAGAAGGTCTTTGGAACCCTCAGCGATCCGGCCGTGTTGAAGCTGTCTAGAGAAGCGCTTCTGAAGGATGTGATGGCGGAGAAAAACCGTCGCTTCTATCAGAAGTCCACAACAGACACTCTGGTTCTTGAATTAGCCAGGGACTGGGATGCCACCAACTTTCTCCTGGATTGGTACTGCAGGTACGCTGACGTACCCAGGCCCATTCCGTTCAGCTCGTCCTGGAACATCCAAACCAAAGTCGGCTTGGATGTGCTCAGGAACTCACAGAAGGGTATCCGGTTGCACAATGCTTTCATTCAATGGCGGCAATCGAGCAGGGAAATTGGCTGTGGTGTTCTATACTTTGTCGTGGCTCTTCTGGATAAATGGGTGCAACTTCTCTCTGGCGGGCACGGCGTGGGCCTTTTGTCTGCTGCGGATAACGAATCCCAGAGAATGGCCGTAGGATTCGGCTTGGCTTATTACCTCATTGGAGCTGTTCTGATCGATACCAAGGCTCAAGAACTGCATGATCTTGTTGGTCAGCAAACAGCTGTGGCTGTGCCCATGTCGAAGGACATCCGCGCGACGCAGAAGCGGGATGTACGATTCAAGAGGAAGATCTACTGGAGAACGCTTTTCAAATTCCTTATGTGGCATGTGTGGAGTCTTGCACTTGCGACAGCTCTTCTGTGGACATTCCAGTCTACTGTTCAAGCCATGATTATGTTCTGCGCCTATGTCTTGGCTTATACTGGATTGCTCTGGTACCAATACACCAAGATCTTCTCCGGCCCTCATGCTTTCAAGACCCTTCTTCTCGGATGTGCTGTTGGCTTACCGGTGGGAATCGCCCTCAGGGTCTGCCTGCCGCACTTCCTTTATTCCCAGGTCATTGGGCTGGGCTCAGCTACTTGGACAGTTGCCTTCCTCTCGCTTTTCTCGGCGAAAATGGGGATGCCCAAGAAAGTTGACTCACCTGTTGAATTGGGCAAGACATTCCATGCATACACGGCTCCGTGGTCCGACCCTGAGTGGTCACAGCAAGAGCTGCAAACCTTCTACGAAAGACTGGCACAGATTCCATCGGACGCGCGCTTGAAGCTAGGGCCCCAGAACCACCCTGGTGTCGAAGTCAGGGAAATTCTGCTCTCCCGCCGAAAGGAGCCTAGAATCGAGGAGGCTTTTCCAAGGGCAGAGGAGTTAATCAATCGAGCCCTTGCAGCGTGGGAAAAGGGAGAAATCACGGTGGAGCTTGTTCCATCGGGATCGCTCGGCCCTGGCATTCATGCTCTCAGCTGCAGCACAGCGACACACCTGGGAATCGCCATTGGTGTTGGACGTGGACTGGACCAGCGCATTGACGTTAGTGCCAATTGTCAAGTCATTGCTGAAACACTGATTCATGCCGTCGCCGAATCAATGCTGCACATCCCCCACGAGTATGCTATTCTTTCTGAGTCTCTTGTCACGGCAGGGGTGACCGAGACCATGGCTCGCCAACTGCGAGCAGAGCCCAATACCGCAGTCGTTATCCGGTGGGCCAAGAAAGAACTTCTCAAACACTTGTGTCTTGGCTTTGAATGCAATGCCCACTGGGAGAAGCTGCCTAAAGACATTAGAAACTCTCTGCTGAACCGTTGCCTGGGCCAGCATTCGCAGCTCTCAACCGAAGATCAGAGATGGCTCGAGGAACGCCTCTGCCGGTTCGACACAGATGATCTTGACGTTCATGTAGCGCGCTGCAATCTTGGTGCCGCTACTGCTGTCAGCATCCTAGACTATGCACACTACGGCACGGGCGAAGCTGTTGTCTTCCAGGATCCAGAAACCCCGGACTACATCCCTTATGTCTCCAGGAAGCTCCCCGCGATCGTTCATGTCTTTGCGAAGCCCTGGTATGCCTTCTATTATTCACTGGCGGCAATAATCAAGTTCATTGTCGTTGCTCTCGTCGCGGACCCTGAATTCCAACGAGAGTTTGACCATGTCATCAGCCGTCGTCATGCTATCATCCGTATACCAGCCACCCTGGTATTGAACTCGCTTTGGTCATATTCCAGGGCTGTGCAGAATTTGGGGCTTTCGTTCTTTTTGTTCCACGGTCGCAGCAACGTAAAGCAGCTCTGGAATGAAACTAAAGGAATGACCATCAGCATTAAGAAGAGTCGCTTTGTTATCCAAAGTTTGGATGGAACATTCTCTGCCTTCAAGCATGACGAAGCTGATGGAGGGTTCAAAATCTACTACTACGCTGGACAACACAAGACTGAACCAGAAGGCACGAAGAGTCTTAGCTATCTCTGCGTCTATTCCAAGGATATGTTGCTCATGGTGAGGCAGGAATTCAAGGGCGGAAAGGTGATCAACGAGTATCACTATGATTACCGTGCTCCATCCAAGAAGGGATTCTCCTTGTCCAAGCTGTCCTCTGCCAAAATCCCATTGGGCCGTCGCTGTGTGCGCGGAGAGAATCACCTTCAGAGTGTGCAATACAACAAGAAGGGTCTCATCGAAGCAGGGTCCTACATGAAGGATGGTAACCTCATTCGTTTCAAGTACCATTATCGCAAGAATCCACGTTTCGGAGACGAGTTACTTCGAGCGGAGTTCGCTCTCTCGCATATAACCTGTACAGTCTCATGGTGTGCGCCACCTCTGCGTCATCCCCAGAAGATCGATCGCTGGATCCCTCATTCCAAGGTTACTGAGGCGTCGTTCGTTCAGGGAGCAGACGTCTACGAATCTCGCTGGCTTTACGACCACAAGTTCCATCCCACAATTTTCACCACTCTGAACGGGCAAAAGATACAGACACCGCCAATGATCGAGCATGACTACCTCGCTGTGCTTGCCAAACCCCGGTACACCAGCTTCGTGCACGACAACCCTCTCGTGTACTGCGACCGCCTAAGCTCAAGTATCTTCACGCGGTTCTTTGGCTTGACAACGAAGCGCTTCCCAGTGTCCACTTCGCGCGCTCGCTCGCTGATCTGGAAGGCTTGGAAAGACCGTGTCGACTTCGATGGCATCATTGTTCGGTGGATGGATGAACGACTCTTGAGAAGAGACAAGACGCTTACTCCTTATTGGCGCAGTAGAGACCGCGGTGATCTTACTGCGGCCAAGAAGTATTTGGACCTGCGCGCCGATACAATCACGGCCAGTGCCGATCTGGACGACAACATCTCCAGCTGGACTCCATTGGCTGTCAAAATCAGTGATTTGTTCAACTTTGGGCCAGGCGGCGATGCTGTTGTCAATACGAGATCCAAGGACTTCGGCTCTGATACCGAGAAGTCACTGCACGTTATGGCTGCCGATACTGGTACTTGGCCGAACGAAGGAGGCGGTGTTTCTGCTTGTCGCCGTGATATGATCAACTCCCTGCGAACAATTAAGTGGCATATGATTTGCGAATCTGCAAACGACTTTGGGGTTCCCAAGCATCAGACCGAACAAAACATTCTTTCGCTCAAGGTGGTCCCTCTGTGGGGTCTGGACTTCCTCACGCCCACGCATGGTCTATTCAAGAACAAGCTCGATGCCGAAGTGGAGAACGTTACTTCCGCTAGCGAGATGGATATCAAGATGAACTTCATTCCTATCCTGACGGCTTTGGTCAAGGGAGCCCGTGCTGTGCACCTCTCCAAGGCTGATGTCCAGCAAGCAACTCGGGCCTTGGTGAATCTCAATACCTACTTCCAAGACTCACGTCATTGGACCCAAATCTGGGACAGTGAGATCGTCAAAGAGAGCTGGCGCGATCTCTGGCTGACTCAAGAAATGCCGAACGCAACTCCCTCGTCAGAATGGTATGAAACTGAGCTTCCCACATTGGGATCTCTTGACATCGCGCTTGAGCTCTGGTATCGCTACTTGTTCATTTTCTCCATCCCGATTCCTGAGAAGATCCCCAATGTATTCCAGGCATCACACCACAGTGTGAGCGCTTCGTACGGAGTTGTCTGCAAGATCAAGAGAAACTGTACATTGCAAATCTGGGACCATGCCATCAGCTGGCGCGAGACAAACCTCTGCCTTTCTTCTGCCCTCTGCAAGCTCTCACCTTTTGTCCGCAACGCTCTTCTGGGCTTGATGCGAGTCACGTCGGTCCTCACTTTGCACCACGCCGATATCATTCTGCCATGCGCCGACTTCTTCAACCCAGGCTGGGAAGTCGAGATCGGTACCTGCCAAGGCACCATTGAGCATCGCAATGTCTTCCGCCGGAAGGTCGATCCCGTCGTCAACGGAATTACCGACATGCAGAAGTTCGCCCCAGTCAAGGAAATCAAATCGCAGCGTCCTACAGTCACTATGCTGTCGCACGTTTGGTATGCCAAGGATATCAAGACAGCGCTTCTTGCGGCAGACATCATCATCAACCAATGGAAGTTTGATGACTACCATCTCGACATTTATGGAGCCATCGACAAAGCCCCAACGTACTCCACGGAATGTCAAGAGATCATCGCTTCCAAGGGACTTCGTGGCCGCGTCACTCTGCGCGGTAGCGCTGACCCCATGAAAGTGCTCGAGAATACATGGCTTTTTTTGAACTCGTCTCTGTCCGAAGGTCTGCCGCTGGCGCTCGGAGAGGCTGCTCTGACTGGTGCCCCTGTTGTCTGTACCGATGTCGGAGCATCCCTGCGTGTGTTGAGTGATCCTGATGACTTCTCCCGCTTCAGTGCTGTCGTTGCACCAAACGATGCCTTGGCTCTTGCTCGAGCACAGATTACCATGCTCGGACTTCTTGGGGAATGGAGTAAATATGCTGATGATACTGAAGCCCCTCCTGTCTTGACATCTTCGCCTACCCCCGAAGATGTCGCCAAGATCACCCGTCGCATGTACGAAAAGAGCGAACATCGCCGCAAGCTGGGTATGATGACTCGCAAGATTGTGCAGAAGTCCTTCAGTGGTGACCGGTATCTGCGCGAGCATGAGCAGATGCTCTGGATTGGAAAGTCGGCCAAGATCATGGCCAATCGCCCGGCCGCCAATCTCAGCGAGCCCGCGGATGTGGCCACTGCTCTGCAGCAGACTTTGACCATTGACGAAGAGGTTATCACCATCCCACGCAGCGCTGTCAACTCGTGGCGCTCGTCCGCTACGTCGGGCATGTCAAGCTTTTACAGCTCCGTGTCCAACTTCCCTATGCTGAGCGCAAATCAGCGCCCGTCATCCATGCGGTCCAGCCTGAGCAATGCTTCCACCGATGCTAGCTCGTTCCTCCCTCTCCCCAGCAATGCCTCTCTGCCTGTCTTTGCTCCCCGGCAAACTCTGTCGTGGTCCGGACTTACGGGCAAGTCGAACAACGGTCACCTTTCCCCGACGGGCCGGCTTTCCCCAGTTCTTAACCGCAGCGGACACCGCTCCCGCACGCACTCATTATCTACGGCTGGCCGGGAGCAACTGCGTGGCCTCCAACGTGAGGACCTACGGCAGTACCGTAACTCGGATGTGAGCTTGGTCATGCGAGACGAGTTTCTTCAATCCAGCTATTTCCGTGGTCTCGACGGTGGCAACAATGTCTGATTTGGTTCCATCCCACTTGTTTATCACCGCTGCACCTCGAGCCTATACCCCTCTCGCCTCTGGCTCGATGCACGTACCTCTATTTGTCCATATTTGTCAATTTTCATCCTATGAATATCCCTGTTGAATGTACATATGGTAGCCACATGATTCTTGTTTTCTTGCATTGCATAGCTTCGTCCTTATCACCCATACACATTTCTCTCTTTTTTTGGAGATGATGTTGCGATTTGACCATACTCAGATATGCTCGCTCCAAACCTTCAGCTCATGGTTGCATAAAAGGCCGTGGGGAACTGGAAATCCTATTGGCGGAGCCGCGGCCTGTCCTTGATAGACCAAGATTTACTTTTAGTCCATCCAACGCATTCCCACTGATTGAATTCTTTGAAGCCACCTGACATTGTAGACAGAGACCACCATCAATGCATGGACTGCTATGTCGCACAGCAAACACTACAATGAGTTCCCCCCTTGTCCCGGAAGACAGCACGTGACGTGATGCGCTGCCGCAAACGACGTCATCGCCAGGTACCCTCAGCTCCAGCCAAGTCAAGGAGAATCAATTCCCACACACACACACAAGACCTCTTCCACTCACGCCCGATGTTTACTAACTGACGAAACACGAAGCAACAAAGCATACAATGACGGCCCCAGAGTCCCAAAGCTACCCCATCGGCAGTCCCAAAGAATGCGAACGCATGGTCCGAGATTGGGGATTCAGCCATGTCTTCACCTGGTCTGATGGGAGGTAAGCTAATCTTCTACAAGTTGTAACTAGCATCTCAACGTGACTTGCTGCTTGATGGCTTGATTGACGGTGTCTTTTGTCAAAACCCATCACAGTAACGCGCACTACCCGCCCCATTCCCACGCCGGAGTGACGACACATCTAATCCGCAAGGGGAGTCTGACCATCACGTATCCCGAGGATAATGCTACGAGGCATGGAGGCGAGGTCAGGAAGGAGACGCTTGGGGTGGGCGCGAGGCTGGATGTGCCGGCGGGCAAGCTGCATGAGGTGTGGATCGGACAGGAGGGGTGTGAGTATGTTATTGGTGAATAGGAACTGTGAGATTGAGATACAGCACGGAGTATGTGTGTGTGTGAGGTCTAATGTGAAGGGTATTGGAAGTTTGGTGTATCCCCTAACAGCACCTATTGTATCAACTTGGTGATCAGCGATTAACCGTTTGAAACTACCCCACCGTGTTTGGAGTACGGAGTACGGAGTACTTCACCGCTACTTTCATGGCAACTGGGTGGGCTCTGAGCATGTTTCTTTGCACGGAATGTGGATGCGCAGACTGGACTTTTCTGCCTGATAGATGCAGCTGACAAGTCAATTCGTGAGAGGATGGAAGAGGCTGAGAGGGGTTATTGTTGATTGTTGGTGCATGAAAAATGCCCCGCATTGGTATGGGAAGGCAGCCTTGCAGCGCTCTAAATGCCTGACTGGCCTGCTGTTTGGATCGTGGAGGTCAAAGGTAACTACAGTACAGGAGATATCAACATAATCCTCCTCCTCATCTGCCTGGAATGACGGGGGTGAAGTGGGTTGGTTGCCTTTTAAGGGCCCCGTCAACAAAAGTTGAAACCGAACCCACCCCACTTCACGTGGAGAACCACAAACTCAAAAAAAATTTAAAAATAAAAATAAACAACAGACCGGAACTTTCTTCCACTTTGCCTGACTTTCTGAATCCTGAGTCCCTGACATCTTTGTCCTCACATTTCATCTCATCCATTCCCAGTATCTTGCGGCCCCCGCATTGCACGAACAAGCAGCGGGCTATTTTTGGTTCATTCCGATCGATACAGCAAGTTTGTTCTAGATTCCGTTCAATTTATTTCCTCCCCCCCACTCCTCCAACCACGGCCCGCAAGGATCATACCCAGTCGGTGTGGACCAGGCTACAATCAAAACTGGGACATCAAAAGAGGAGGAACACCACCACCACCATGGAGGGCGTCACAAGACAAACCAGTCATGTTACGCTGTGCGCATCATCATCACACTCGGTGAACAAAGCAGGGACTACTGGCTCTCGTAGCTCCGCGTTTTCTCCTCCGGTGATCACATACCTGGACAAGCTCTACAGCTCGTTGATCGCATCGCCGCAGCCGTTGGATTTCCTCCAGGAGGTGCAGCATGAGGAGGCTCCTCGCGACGCGGCCACGAGCGGCAAGGCGTCGGCCAAAAACCCCCTGGCGTCGTTGGCGGATTTCTACGCTTACATGGCCAGTCCGGCCGCCGATGCAATGAAACCCGCCGGTCAGCCAGATCTGTCGGCGCCAATCACTGATTACTATATTTCTTCCAGTCACAATACCTACTTGACGGGGAACCAGTTGTACAGTGATGCGAATGCAAGTGCTTACACTAATGTACGTTGCCCCTTCGATTCCTTGTCTTTCCCTGCGTTGCGTCTTGTTCTGTCCAAAAACCGATAGGGCGTTTACGCTGTGATCACTGCATGAGAGCATTGACATAAGCTTTCTAATGATGTCAAACATTCAACCCTGCACAGAAGACACTCCTCAGTGGGCGATACAAGACAAACGTAGAAAGCAGGCGGCTGATATGTCTTAGGTATTGCTTCGCGGAGGAAGATGTGTCGAGATTGACATCTGGGACGGAAAAGCCAGCTCTGATAGCTCGCTAAAAGAAGAGACCAGCAGTAGTAGCAGCAGTAGTAGTAGCGATGAGTCGAGCTCGGATGAAGCAGCCACTAGGCCTCAGATGCCTCGTCGTCGCAAGTCGAAGATGGAGAGACTCAGGAAGGCTACCGAGAGCCATCCGCGTCTTCACGCGATTTCTGAAGAAATAGGAAGATTTGAGGGTTTTCTGGGTCATCACCGATCGTTGTCGGGGTCCAAGCCCCCGGCGACGTCGTCTGAGCCTCAAACCCTGGAGGTCTCAAAGAATTCGCCTGAGGATTCCATTCAGATACCTGCGCGCCCGGAGCCTCGGGTACTACACGGTCATACTCTCACCAAGGAGGCCAGTTTTCGGGACGTATGCTATGCCATTCGTGACAGCGCATTTGTGACCAGCGACCTGCCGGTCATTGTGAGTCTGGAGGTGCATGCCTGCCATGAGCAGCAGCATGCTATGGTTGAAATCATGGAAGAGGCATGGAAAGGGATGTTGATCGAAGTGACGCCCGAAGTCGTAGCGGCAAGGACGCCGCCGCCATTGGAGGAGCTGAAGCGGAAAATCCTCATTAAGGTGAAATACGTCGCTCCGGACCACGAGGATAAAGACGAGGACCCAGAGGAAGAAGAGAAGCAAGTATATTTGAAGCATGTCCAGACCCTCAAACAGAAAGGCGATCTCTCAAGTCCCACGAGCACGGCTGCCGAAGCACCCGACGCCGCAGCTCCAGCTCCTCATAAACCGTCGAAAATTGTGCAGGCTCTGAGCAAGCTCGCCGTATTCACCAAAGGCTTTCACTTCAAGGACTTCACGCAGCCAGGTATGTCCGGTTCTAGCCCACAAGTTCTTGTATGGCTCTGTACTGAATTGGAATAGAGGCCAAAGTGCCGAGCCATGTATTCTCGCTTTCCGAGAATGCGGTACGCGAAGCCCATATCAAGGACCCTAACGCCTTGTTTGAGCACAATCGACACTTCTTCATGCGGGTATATCCCAAGGGATTACGTGTTGGCTCCTCCAATATGGACCCCGGATTCTTCTGGCGGCGCGGGGCCCAAATGGTGGCACTAAACTGGCAGAACCTCGACAAGGGAATGATGCTCAACTCGGGCATGTTTGCAGGCGAGCCCGGCTGGGTGCTCAAGCCTCCCGGCTATCGGAGCTCTGACGCAGACTCGGTCATCGTTCAACGAAGACAGCTTAACCTGTCTATCGAGTTCGTCGCCGGCCAAAACTTGCCACTACCACCAGGCCAAACGATTGACAAAAAATTCCACCCCTACGTGTCCTGTATTCTCCATCTTGACACGCCCGACGATGACTCCGGCGATTCAGCGAGCGATGATGAATCAGATTCAGAGAAGGCGGGCTACAAGCGAACTACCAAAACTGCCACAGGGTCGAACCCCGACTTCGAGAATCAGAAGATCGAGTTCCCACCCGTGCCAAACGTCGTGGAGGATCTCAGTTTTGTCAGGTAGGTGCTCTCCAAAGAGTGTCTTTTTGTGTTTCCAGGGCTGAGCAGGACTAGGTTCAAAATCAAGGATGACGAATTCTTCCGTGATTCGCTTGCTGGGTGGGCGTGTATACGACTGAGCCGACTTCAACAGGGGTACCGACTTGTGCACATATACGACCGCTCGGGAGCGGATACTGGTGGTGTTCTGCTGGTTCGGATCACCAAGACCATGACTTGATTCGGCATATGCAGCAAGCGATAGGAAGGGCGTTAGTGGTAGATAGGCATGGGCTCTAGCACAGACAGCAATGCACGTACGAAACAATCGGGATACCATGAATTAAGAGAGTTTATCAACTCTATATATCAGTACTTCAACGTAAGATAGGCTTAAAATAGATTTAAGAGTGGCTCTACTGGTCATCAGTGGATATATAAACCAGTGTAGAACTAAGACCGATTGTCCGGCAGGATCAAAAAGGGGAAAAGCTGGGGTAACCCCGAAATGGCAGTTCGAAGCGCCAGCTGGTTTGACGATATTGCAGCCCAAGGGACGAACAAAATATGCGGAAAAGGCTGCGATGGACAGTCTGGAGAGGAAGCATCTCACTTGGGCGCTCATTTAGCCAGCACTGAAGCTCGTTCCAGACACGAAACCAACGGGACTGAAATTGCTCGGTAGTACATCCGTTATCTTCGCCCAATTCGACGAACCTTGTACGATCCTAAACCAGCTGCGTCGCTTCCAGACAGAGATATACCGCGTGATTTGCGTGCATGTCCGGAGTCTTGACATTTTGGAATAGTCGATATGCATCCTCTTCTTGACAGCCTGGAGGCAACCATTTGGACGGGTGTAAAACTGTAGTTTGCGTGCCATCAGAGATAAGCGCACGGCAAAGGTCTGACAAGTCATCAGCAAGTCTTGTGACAGTTGATATGTTATTCCTTCCAGATAGCTGCACTCGCTAGAGGTACAGAGACTCACCCATCCTCGCATAACACCAAAATACTGCCTGTAACACTCCGGACTGAAGCCTTGGATACCAAATGCACTGAATAATGCAGCGCAACCCTCCAAGTGACGGCGCCAGTCTTGTGCCCTGGCCGACATCATCTCCAAGCAGCAAAGAAGTACGCAGGCCGCCACGACCTTTGTGTCGTGCACCTGGAGAAGTGGACTCAGTCGCCGGATGGCCTCCTGATACAATTCAAGACTATTGTACCAATTCCGGACACCATTCTTACGCTCGATCTGTCTTGTTGAGAAGGCATGGAATGGCATTAGAAAGAGCCGGAAACCCCTGGGCGAGGGCTGGGATTTGATGGCGGAAGGTGCATTCTGAGTCGAACATGTCAAGCTAAAGAAATTAATCGGAACCTCATCAGTCTATCCAGCACTTGAGCATTGTACGCATGATTGAATGCGGTTTGACATACCCATGGTACCACTTCACTCACATAAATCTTGAGATAGTAAATACGCCTCCCCTCAGACAGTGGGGCATGCCATGAATCCCGACCGTCCTTGGTCGAGGCTTGAGACAATCGTTCCAGCTGAACTCCACTGTCCACCGCGTCGGGGCTGGATGCCCGGGTCGGGACCGCTGAGTTCGCCAGCGAAAACAGAAAACATCGCAATTCCTCCTGTGACGCGAGGAAGTTTGGGTCCTGCGAAAAGCCATCCTGCGTCCAGCTCCCAGCCGCCGGAGATTGGAATAAACTACACTCACCACCTGAGTTTGGGGAAGTGTGAAGGTCGGCGCCGTTGAGGTTACATGAATGGTCATAGAAGTCCCGAGGAGTCAAGGGGCTAAGACCAAGCTCTACTTTAACTGGCGGTGGTTGGGCTTGCTTCTGCTGAGCACCTGCTACAGCATCGAGCCGTTGCCGCTTCGAGGGAAGCTCAGTGACTGGCAGGTCTGGCATGACTCGCCTGTCCATCTTTGAATCCTTGGTTCAGATCAGGTCTCACCAATCGAGATCGCCCTGACAACCGATAAGGGATGTAACAAGAGATGAGAAGGTTGGTTCCTGTTTGCTGTTTGCTGGTTGCTGGTTGCTGGTACCGGAGGGGGCTGGAAGAGCTACAGTACGACCCAACGTGGGAAGAGGTTCTCTGGTGTATTGGAAGGGTCTCGGCTCTTGTGCAATGGCGACACCTCTAGTTCCCCAGATCGTCGAATCCCCTCAATTATTTCGCGTTATCTCTGAACCAAGAACTGGGGTGATTGGCAAGGTATCATGACTCGAACCGTTCGGCAAACTGCCGATTGCGGGGTTGAAGCAACACTCCGGGGTAACATTCGCTTCTATTCCAGTTGCCGTAGCCTCCCCTTTCCCGATCAGGAGTATCCCGTGACTCTTCCCCAGCATATCATGGCACCTCAACTTCTCCCGAGACATCAATGACGATATCAACATCTCCCAGCAACGCGGGGATGAAACGATCTTCATATGCCCAGCGATCATCATAATGTTACCAAACGACTGGTAACCAAAGGCCAAATGAGCGTTCTCTCGAGGAGGCTGGTTCAACCATATATACCACTCATGCAGCCACTCACACCAGGGTCAAGACAGAGCATGATGCTCTGTCTTGACCTGTACAGCCAGCGATCAATATCGGAACATCATGACGCGCATACCTATGTTCGGGAAAGGCTTTGCCCTCCAAGCTGCCATATGGGCTGCATGTGGGATGGCCTTCATACTCTTCGGTAAGTCCCGTTTAGATAGGAAATCGAACCAGACATCTAACCCAGCGAGTGCTTTACTCCCAGGCTACGATCAGGGTGTCTTCTCCGGCATCGTGGAGAACGATGACTTCCTCGACACCATGAACCACCCCAACGACAGCCTCACCGGCATCATCGTCTCCATCTACAACCTAGGCTGTTTTGCCGGCTGTATCATCAACTTCATGCTAGCCGATTGGCTAGGCAGACGCCGCGCAATGTGGTTTGCCATGGTCTGGGTCATCGTAAGTGCAAGCTTGCGGCTCTCGTCTTCTGATTCATATGCGTTGTCCACACAAGGAGAACCTGGCTGATGATCGTCCCTTTAAACACAGATTGGAGCTACCCTGCAATGCTCTGCCTTCTCCGTACCGCATCTGATGATTGGTCGCTTCGTCACAGGCATCGGCACTGGAATTGAGACGTCCACTGTTCCCATGTATCAAGCAGAGCTGTGCGAGGCCAACAAGCGCGGGCGGCTGGTCTGTAGCGAGCCCCTTCTTGTCGGTGTGGGAATCGTCATCAGGTTAGCGCCCCCCCCCCCCCCCCGCCTCACTTCCCAATGTCCCACTCACACCTTTAATCCAAAGCTGACAGCAAGGTACCACACACAGTTACTTCTTCGATTATGGTATGGGATTCGTTGGCGGTCAAATCGCCTGGAGACTTCCGATTGCATGCCAGATGATCTTTGCGTTCGTGAGTGATTTACTTACTTGCCCAGCTGGACATGACATCCCAAACCTGATAAAGACTGACGCTTTGGAACTAATAGGTGGTTGTCGTTCTCGTTTTCGGGCTGCCCGAGTCCCCTAGATATTGTTACAAGGAAGGCCGCCACGAAGAAGCACTGCAAATTCTCAGTGATGTCTACGAATGTCCCAAGGATGATCCGAAGATCATTGCCGAGCAGGAGGAGATCCTGAAAGCTATTGCTATTGAGACAGAGCACGGAGAGTTTCAGTGGAGGTATGTTCTTTGTGATGTGGCTTGAGGATATCGATCAACCAACCAGCTAACCATGAAGGAACATCATAGAAACATTTTCAAATACGACCGAGTCTCCACGGGTCATCGAGTGTAAGTAAAAGTCTAAACCCACCATAGAAATGTCTAAGATTTGACTTGTCGGTTGAAGTCTTCTTGCCTACGGAATGCAGTTCATGAACCAGGTCGGCGGCATCAATCTCGTTGTGTATGATCCATCCCAGACATCATTCCGAAGACTCACTGTTAACGAGGACTCAGGTACTTCATTCCCACCGTGCTCAACAGCAATGTCGGACTTAGCAAGAACCTCTCCATGATTCTCGGAGGTTGCGTCCAGATCATGTTCGTGGTGGGCAGTATATTCCCAACCTTCTTCGTCGACCGGGTCGGTCGCCGGGCCCCCATGATCTGGGGCTCACTCGGCCTTGGGCTCTGCATGATGATGGTTTCCATCCTGCTCAGTTTCAAGGGCCACGCCAATGAGCACGCGACCTCTTCTGCAGCGGTAGCCTTCTTCTTCCTGTACATGCTCATCTTTGGTGCCTCGGTGAACTGTATTCCATGGTGCTATGTCCCGGAAATCTTGCCCCTTCATGCGCGCGCGAAGGGAACAGCTACCGGTATCTCGTCCAACTGGATCTGGGTAGGTTCCCGTGCTTGTCTAATCGTGAGGGAGCCTAAGTGGATGCTGATGGTTGCTATACAAAGAACTTCTTCGTCGTCATGATCACGCCAATCATCATCAACCGTTTACAGTGGAAGGCATACCTCATCTTCATGTGCACGAACCTGGCCTTCGTTCCGCTGGTTTACTTCTGCTATCCCGAAACTGCGAACCTTACGCTCGAGGAAATTGACTACTTGTTCACCAATCCGAAGAAAAGCGCAGTGCAAGCGTCCAAGGAGCTAGTCACAGAAAGGAAGAGACACCGAACTGCGCCAACCCACGTCATCCTCTCGCAAGTGAGCGGTGTCGTGCCGCCCGACAAGGAGAAGGGTAAAGCAAGTATCACGTCCAGGGTTTCCGATGAGCACATCGAAGATGCTTGAGGTCGAGACGAGGGCACTCGGCCGGAGTACACACTCTAGGGGGAAGGTATTGAGTACCACCTGGCTACGTCAGTGTTGCCTTGCTGACCATGCGTTTGCGACTGGGAACAGCCATGCAGCCACCATCACTGGTAGCGGTTGCAGGTAGCGGTTGCAGGTATTGTGGCCGATTTGGGTGACAAAGGACTTGATCGGGAAGCACCCCGGCGAGTTAGGTTAGAAGCGTGGCTATCAATCTTTACCAATACATAGACGATAAGCATATGCAGCTCTTCAGGCACTTTTTCCACCGAGATGCACCGAGATGTAGAATAGCATAAGCTGCACACTTGCAGCTAGTATTGAGCGTAAAGCCACATTCTCAGCGCTGGCCAGTCAGCTTCAAAAGTGTAGAGGTCCACGAGCCACACCGGCTCATGGTACGATAGCAGGCTCAGCAAGTGTAGGTAATGGCCGAGGGTGTTTCAAAATCCAGCAGGCAGGCTATAGTGACTCGTAGCTACTAACTAGTCTGTCTGTCCCGAGAATATCATGCTTCATGGGTATACCGGGAGCGTCAGGTGCCGAACCGAAGATGTGACAGTTATACAGACACTCCTCCCTCTCTGCATGACAGCTCTTGTGCGGCAGGGGTATGTAGGTGGTGGTGGTGGTGGTCGAAGTCAAGTCAGCCTTCCCTTTCGGGGTTAACGCAAGACGACGTCCGCCCGCCCGCTTTCGACTCCTTAGTGTTAGGACAACTAGAAAGAAAGCATGCATGCATGATGGAGAGACGTCAAGCGCTAACTTGTACGGAGATGCAAGATGCAATTTGCAATGTTCATCAGCCACCAGTCTCATGATTTGGAAATTTTTACACGAATACGCCCCTCCCAAGACTCATTCACATCTCCATTCGAGGGAAGAGGAACTGAACTTGGACCAATGATGCAGGCGGGCCCCTCTTTCAACTTTTCGAGAATGATACTCCGTTTGCACTGAAGCTGGGGGAGTAGGATAATGCGGTGTGGCGCCTCTCGAATACTGTGTAGAGTAAAGGCAGTGTGGGAACAGTGTCCGAATCGAATTGGTGGTTGCTTCTGTTGCTGCTTCGGCGCTAGTTTTGCTACTCTCCGTCATCTACGGCACAAACCAACGGAGTATCGCCGCCACGAATGAAAATGCGGTTTTTCCACCAGTTCTTGCACCGCGAAGTTATATCCACCGTCCTTTTTATATCGATGAAATCTACGGAGTACTTCTTATACAAACGAAATAACTAGTCATAGTCATTTTCATCAAGTCAACTATCTTTCTCCACTTAGCAGATTGATAGAAGATGATGAAGAAGAGGAGAAATAATTTGAAGCTCTAGATAGAAGACTTTTAGTTGATTGTTTCTAGGATTATCGGAAACTTTTGGTGCGGAAAGGCCTTTTGTACAGAAAAATCTTGAGTATATAGGACTACTGGAAAAACATCTTTATAGAGCTAATCGATTCAAAAGTCTTCTATATAGAGCTGCCAGCTAAGGACCTTCTTTCTTTCGAGTTTAGAGGTTAGTTAGCTTAGAGGCTGATTCTACCAGCAGAATCACAGGAATATGAGAAGTGAAAACCGCTTCTTTACATCTTCAAAATGACGGCTATAGACTGCCGTATTCATCGATACCTTGAGCAATGAGCGCTGCGGGCTGATAGACGAATGGAATGGCTCAACAGATCTTACCCATACCCCTCTTCGGGCGGCGGGGGAGAAGAGACGAGCGGGGGCATGGATGATGAAACTTTTGCGTGCGAGATAAATACGAGGGAACCTGAAAAAAAAAGATGAAGAAATAGAAAGACCTTGAGAATGGGAAGACTCAGAAGGAGGGGTAGACGTATTGTGGCAATGGTGATGGTGAGTAGTCAATTGCTTGGGGGAAACGCAAGAGGCCACCAACCCGCCGTCAATGGGTTGACCGCAAAGTAAAACAAAGTGACAGGTCACATTTGACCAAATCGAAAGTGCCGCTTCGCGGTTGGTCAATATCGAGGGATTGCCGGCCTTAGTGTGACAGGCAACTTAGTCGCACTGCCCGACCAACCTGATCGAGCCACTCAATGTCTGGAGAAGACTTCTCTTTGTTGCTCTTTGTAAACTGCCTTCCAATGGGTGGGGACCGCCTGCGCCGTTTGCCAAAAAAAAAAAAAAAAAAACAACCCAGATTGAGGTACAACCGAAAGACCTCGATCGACGATCATATCCTGTCATCCGCCGGGCCAAGCAAGCGAATCAGCGAACGGCTCCACATTATGTATCCGATTGCACTGAAAAAGCACTGCCCCAGATAAGCGGTAACGCCTGGGCTGCGTAACGCCGCTCACGCATTTCGTCAACAATCACTGGTTGATAGTTAGACGGATCAAAGTCTGTTGTGGAGTGCGAGAAAAGCGAGATTCCCCGGGTACGATAAGATTTCAATTCCAATTGTCAAGGCTCCACAAACAAGCACCGTCGGCGGGATGCAAGACATGGCATAAGATCGGTCATTTTGGTTTTCCGTCTCCATCAATCGCTGGACCGACTTCGATAACGCAATTAGGCAAAAGAGCCAAGAGGACAAACACGACAAATAAAAGGTTGATAAGAAGAATGCAATGAAAAGGAAATTGGAGTGGGGAAGCCAAACAAAGGAAAAGGATAGAGCGGACGTTGAGACCGCAGGGATTCAAAGGCTAGGCACTTCCCAGATACTGTATAGAAGTGCGAAAAGTCCAGGGTTCCCCCCCCCCTTTCTCGCCCCAACAGTCTGGTTGTCTAAAGTGGCTGATCCGTTTCGATCATTGGCCCATCTACCCGCGATCTTGTCGATTGATTCTGGCTTGCGGTGATAACTCGCAGGGGCCGAAGGACGACACAGACGACAATAAGCAAACAAACAGCGATAATTGCTGACTCTAGTAACCTCACTTGTCGAATGCGCTACCCTGGGAAGGGGAGATAGCTCAATGTGAAGCACCGAACTTCTCTCTGCTCGGTATTCCCTGGGTTAGGCGCAGTTAGCGAAAGCCCGGCCCTCAATTGTGGACCCCCGGTGTCGCAAACCCCAGTCTTGCCCGACAGCATCGAAAATCTGACCTAGCGTGAAGAGGTTCTCAGCCCCCGACTCTCTTCGTCATTCCCAAATCAGTAGAGCGATCATTTCAATCATATTTGCGAAGCAAAATGATTTGGCTCCTGTGGAAGGAAAACGGTTCCATTGGCAATTGGCAAAAGTCGTTATTCGTCTCGATTCACGCTTGTAGTAGTAGTAGTAGTAGTAGTAGTAGTAGTAGTAGTAGTAGTACCGAATATGAAAGTACAAAGCAGCTGCGCGGCCATGGTAGCGATGCATCGCAACCGGGCGCCATGTCTCTAATTTAGACACCTCGCTAGCTCCGAACATCAGATTTAGATGAAGTGTGACCTATACACTATCAGTTATCGGCGGTCAAACACTTGGTTCTCATCCTGAATTGCAACCCCCGGCGTTGCTGGATTTTTGATGGCTAAGTATAGGTTGTTTCTGAGCGGGCTGTTAATGTATTTTGCACCAGTCACAAACCAAGCGCAATCAGAGTGGAGTAAACCAACTACCGAGTTTCCGCTACTCCGTAATATCTGGATGCATTAACGGTTGTTCAATTCGCGTTTCACCAGTGGCGTTTTTTTTTTTTTTTTTTCCTTTTTCTTTTGGCTGGAATTATCATGAATTTGGCTTTTTTTGGGGCCCGGCCTTCCTGCTAATCACTAGTCACATCTGGGATAGCCGAAGCTGTATCTATCACACATCGCAATGTTCCCAGCTGAATTCGCTCCCAAATGATGTTCTCATTGGCCGGGTTGCGCGATGCAAGACATGAACGGGAAGATCCGAGTAACCCGAATCGTCAATGCGGCCGACCTGACATGTTTGTTGCTCACCCAGGGTCCATGTAGATTGGTACCTTGGATGCATAAATTTTCCAAGCTTAGTTGTGTTTCCAGTCGACAGGTCTGAGCTAAGGTGCTGATCTCCCGATGGATACACCAAGTGTTCCCGGTCCGGTGGATGTTTGGAGAGAGTTGAGAAATTCTCCATCGCAAGGTATAAAAAGAACGGGAAAGCACCTGGCGTTCGAAGAGGATATTCATCAGCAGAGAGCACACACCTCACACCAGCAATTGAAGACACATTCTCAAACCTTTGATCAGTTGGCTCTGCTTGCCCTCCACCTTTTTCTCAACTATACCCGAAGCAATCTTTGTCTAGTATTGCCTCTCGCAATTCATCTTGCCATCATCACGCACCTCTTTTAAGACATCAACCTTGCCTTTCCATCACAATGACTGTAAGTTTCCCGCAACCAACCCATGAGATGTGCATGATCAAGCCTCTAACACCATCTGTCATCACATAGATGCCAGGAGCGCGTTGCCCGACCTGCGCCAAGCAAGGCAAAGAAGTCTGGGTTATCCCCGGCAAGAACTGCCACATCTGCGGCACCGCTGTTGGCTGATATGAATCAGGTGAGCGAAGACTCTCCGACAGTTTCCGCTGGTTGGAGGGAAGTTGACTTGCTAACGCTCAAAGATTTAGCCTTCAACCAAGAAACCCTAATTTCTAAACCAAATTAACGGGGTCATTTTCTTTTTGTTCTACCTTTTGGGGATAACAGAAGAGAGCCAGGGAGAGGGAGGGAGACCGAGAGAGAGGGAGAATGAGGAAGAGAAGGGAAAACAAGAGAGCTCGGAGCCGCCCATACCAGGTGGTGGATATCACAATCCTTTTGATCTCGGGTCCCTCTCTCCCATGTCATGCTCTCTACTGGTTTCGGTTTTCCTTGAGTGAATTGAGAATTGATGGGCCAACGGCGCAGGGTGGGCTGGAAGGCCGGATGGGAGGCCGGATGGGAGAGCCTTTGGCTGATGAGGAACACCGAGCGCTCCCCTTCAGCAGGAGCAGGGAAGGTGTTCCTCCAGCAGATTTCTCTTTCTCTCTGTCTCTCCTCTGCGGCAGAATCGGGCGGCCGGGATTAGTGGGGAAATCTCTCTTTCTCTCTCTCTCGAACTACTGTACGATAGTAAAGGATTAAATGAATATGAATTCAGTTGCAGAAAGAAGTGTTGCTGGCCTACAGCTACGAGGTTGGACGGTCTTGCGTACATGCTTCCCAAAAAAGGGGCAACCACAAACTACATATCTATGGCCCGAGGCAGTCTCCCGCTCAATTGCTCGGGGGTTAATAACTAAAGCTGACCTACAGATCAAAAATAGAACCCATCTGCTTCCACATAGGTTGGAAACTATATCCGAGTGGAACAATCTCGAAGCAACGAAGATCGGGGAACGGACTCGGAACTCACTCCAGTTGCCCAGCAGAGACTGGAGACGGAGGCTACGATCGTGACCCAGCAAAGATAGGCGAGATGCAACCCGGCGCGCGGGTAGCCCTCGCGGGGTTCGACTGCCTCCATCACTTTATCTTGGGACTATCGTGACTCAAGCCGGGATCGCTCCTGGAGGATCAGCATCTGTCAGGCCTTGGCATTCCGACTGGCCCGCCTGTGTGTCGGGCCCATCACCCTCGGACCACTTGCCTCTGGGTGGCGGAAGTCCCGCTAAGCACAGACGGCGCCGACACTGCATGATGAGTCGAGCTAGTGCCAATGATACGGACACGGGAGTGCAAGGATAGTGTAGAGAGCTGAAGAAGAAAAATTTCCAGTACAGAGCATGTATATACAGAGAAAGCAGAAGAAGAGATGTAAGGTATATCCCGTGAACTTTGAGTTCTACCTCAATGTGCCAGGATGGGCAACGAGCGCTTGATCCGGCCCCACATTGACTCATCCGGGACGGGATGGTCGATACGATGCCACTCGTCATTAAATGCATTGATGAGCCAGCTGGAGAGACCTGCAGGCAAATTAGCTTTCCTTTCTCTTTTTTTATGTCAAAGTACGATGCCCCGCAGGCTGCACGCGATCAACTTACGCTCATACACCATAGTATGCGCATTATGGAATGCAATATTGTGGTCTGAATCCGGATAAACATGCAGATCATAGTTCTCAACACTAGCCAAGTCCAGCTTATCAACCAAGACAAGAGTGTTCTGGAGATGGACATTGTCATCCGAGGAACCATGCATGACAAGGAACCGCACAGTTTCCTGGAGAGCGGACATGTCTGAGATAGAGGAGTTGTCGTATCCGGTGGGATTGTGGTCGGGAGTATGCATGTAGCGTTCCGTGTAGATAGAGTCTAGTTGGTACATTGATCAATACGAGAGTCTTCTTCAGTCTCGAACCTGGGATACTCACCGTAGAATCGCCAGTCAGTCACGGGTGCAACAGCCATGCCGTACTGAAACGTCTGTCCGGCGTCTTGCTCGAGGGTCTTCAAGGTCATGAATCCGCCATAGCTCCAGCCCCAGATCGCCATTCGACTTGCGTCCACGTATGTCTTCTGAGCCCAGATCTTGGCCGTCGCAATCTGATCGTGAGCTTCATAGTAACCTATGTTGCCACGGACGATACATCGTGCTTTGCGACCAATGTAGCCCGTGCCTCGGCCGTCAACGGTGACGACGATGTAGCCCAGGCTAGAGGCGATGTACGCCTGAAAATCGACTGTGAATTTGCGATCGACTGTCTGCGAGCCAGGCCCACCGTACAGGTAGAAAAGGACAGGGTACTTCTTGGCCGGGTTGAAGTGGGGAGGGCGGCGTTCGACGACCTGGAGCGTGAAGCCGTCAATCGTGACATTCTGATAGATTTCTGTCGGAATGGCGTAGGTCTCGACCATGCGAGCGAGGCCGGCGTTATCTTCGATGGTCTCTTCGAGAATAATTTCGTCTGTCTCCGTGTTGACAATTGCTTGCCATGGGATGGAAGGACCCTTGTAACTGAGCAGCGCATACCCGGTACCTTGAGAAAAGGAAACATCGTAGTAGCCTGGCTTGGAAACATCTGTGAGAGGCTTGAGATTGGAACCATCGAAGTTGACTTGGTATAGATGGCGTTGAGTCGGAGCTTCTTTGGTAGCAATAAAGTAGACGACGCCACGATGGGGGTCAACGGCAGCAGGCGCTTCGACCACCTCCCATTCGCCTGTAGTGAGCATGACTGGCTCGGAATTATCGAGAGGCGCAAAGTATGCGAGATGGTCAAAACCATTGTGAATCACAGTGTCAAGGTAGCCATCGTGAGGCCGGCCATTGCTCGGATCGGCAGGGATAAATCGGGTGAATTGAGATGGCTCAACCCAGCCGCCGTCGATGCTAGCAACATCTTCCGTTCGAACAAGTTTACCACTGCGCGCTTTGGTGTCAATCAGGAACACTTTCAGAATATCACTCTCTCTATTTGTGGTTCGCACGATGACTTTCTCCGCACCAGCCCAAACCACTTCGATAATGATGCGATCTTCATCGCTGAACTCGTCGGGAATGTCAACTGTGAACACTTGCTGCTTCTCAACATCGTAGAACTGCAGGTTGACAACAGGATTAGGAGCACCCGGCTTGGGGTACTTGATCTCTCTGACCTCCGGATAATTTTCGAGACCTGGAAGCGGCTGTTTGCCAGATGGCCTCGAGAGGTGGTACTGGACGGGAAACTCGGGCACAGAGGACTCGTTGGTGCGAAGGAAAGCGAGGTACTCGCCACCACTCGACCACCAGGTTACACTATTGCCGGAGATCACTTCCTCTTCATAAACCCAGTCAGGGACCCCGTAGAAAAGGTCCGCACCGCCGTCCTTTGTGATCTGGATAACCCCAGCCGACGACAACTTTCGCAAGTAAAGGTTGTTCCCCCTGGCGAAGACCACAGCATCGGAAGCCGGCGACCAGACGGCGAGCTGGACTCGTCCGTCGAGGTCGCTGGGGTCCAGTGCCTGCGCCGTTTGGGTATCGACGTCGAAAATCCAGTACTTGCCCGTGTATGAATGTCTCCAGTTCTTCTCTCGATCGGATAAGAGCAGTACCTTCTTGAGATCGGGACTGGGCCACGTCATGGAGGGGACGATATAGCGCCCATCTACATACACAGTGGGCTTCTCCATCAGTACGCGACTTTCCTGGCTGTTGATATTCTTCTTGCGATTGCGAATGTCCTCCACGCGCAGATAAGCCTCGCCTTCACCCTCTCCCCGTTCTACCAGTAGTCCATCTTCTCCATCGGGTCCAGCAATCCAGGAGATGGCATGGGACATCGGCTGCCATTGGCCCGTGAGCACCTGCTCAAGCGTGACCGGCTTCCCGGAACTCGTGCTGTCCGAGAAGGGGCTGAAGTCGTGCGACTGCAGTGCCTCGGAGACGCTAAGGTCGCCGGATCGCTTCTGAGCCACGAACAGCGCCAATCCCCAGAGCCAGCCCGCCACGCAGAGTATAGCCAGTCCCCAGATGATCCGCGAGGTTCGACGTCCAGACGCAGTTGACTTCTTCTGCGAGGAGGGTAGAAATGGCTCATCAGGCTGCGGCTCTCCTTCCTCCACGTCTCGGTATCTCGCATCTTCCCCTGAATTGGAGGTTAGGGGTTCGGTCGCGTGGGCGGTGTACTTGGATTCTTCGGGGAACGGCGTGTCGACGGAGAGGTCCGAATCGGAGGATGACTGCGACGCGGTCCTCGAGCGGCTCATGGGCAGGAACTCTTGGTTACCGTCATCGGCGTATGTCCCCATGCTGGAAGAGACAATTGTAAGCTGGGTATTGCTAGGCGTGGGAGTGTGACGACACACATGCGGTGACGAGAGGAATGTATTCCTGACAGGACAGATGGTTGGGGTAAGCTCGGAGAGACTGATAAGATCGAAGGATCGCTATCGGCGGAGGTGGATCGGCATTCGTTGCGATCGAGAGGTGGACGACAAATCTCAGCTGAACTCGAATTTGTGTGTTCGTAAGTGATGTGGAAAAGTCCTGAGTTGATTAGACAGAGTCCACGACAAATGGAGGAATAGGAGGTCGGAGGGGGAATTCAGTACGTGAGGGAGATTCGAAACAGGGGGGGGAAACTGATCGTATCAGCGGACGGCCTTGGCGGCCCGAGGCATCATTGAGGATCTATTCAGGCGATCGCCCGCCAGCTATTGACGGCCTGTTCGGGAGATTGATGAACATTAGTGCCAGGCAGGCTCTACTACTCACCTGTGCTTACTGCTGATTGGCAAGCTCAAATTTCAAACAATAACTACAATCTAGTAGTCCCAGAATCAAGAAGGGTATCATCATTTATAGTATACTACGAAGATTCTGTAGCATCCCCTCACCCTCTCCGTTGCAATCGATGTAAAATCCCCACCCTCCACTCCCGAAACTCTCTCGCCGACGCCGGCAGCATCGCATTCCTCTCCTCTACCACCTCCTCCAGAGCTCTATACGTTTCAACCGGCAGCCTTAACTCTTCCAGCGCCAGTGTAGTGGACGGCTTCCCAACCTCCGGGTGTAGCGTTCGCTCGACATCATCAAGACGTTGGAAGAACACCTTCATCGCTCGTTGAGCGGCGACGCTGTGGTCGACACTGGAGTTGGAGTACCGCATGTCTGGATTGAAGACCCAGATCTGGTTCTAGCTTTAGCATACAAGCCAGCACTCCGGATGACTGAGGATTGGTTAAGGGGAAGGGAAAGCAGTATCATACCAACAATCCGCCTTTCTGTCCGCAGTGAACAACGAAGCGGCGGGCACTTTCTCGCTCGACCAGCTCCAATAGCTGGGCTGCGACGATGATCTCTATGGGGTGGGTTTCCCACTCTGACTGCTCATCGTCAATTGGAGATGATGTCGAAGTAACATTCGCAGGTGTAGCAGAGAGTGCGGTTTTGAAGAGCCTCCAGCCTTTGGCAATAGGGTCGACTTGGCCGAGTAATGCATTACAATTGCAACAGCGGATATTCTCTGCGTCCAGCTCCTAGAGTGGGTTCATTTCATCTATTAGCATGGCGGTAATGACAAGACGAACAGACATGAGAACGTAAGAGGCACGAATAGATGTCGCTTCACAAAGAAAAGTTGGCATAAACTCGAGTTGCATGTTCTACGGATCTAATCTAAGGGTAATATAGAACACCATACATGTACCTCGCCACGATCACGTCGACTTCCCATGGAACTCGGGACCAAAAGGCAACGAAGGAACTTTTCGCGAGGCGCAGCCTTGATCCCACGAGAGGAAGCATCCAGGTAAGATTCCAACCACTAAACAAGTGAGCCAGTCCCACGAATGATGCTGCGAAATCCATCTCCTGGAGAAGAGGATGACTACAGCACCATATGTTGTACCACTCACGCATAGCTATCAGTCTCGTCCCTTTTCTGCTCCTCTTGCACCGTAAAAGAAGGATTGGGGAAACCAAGGCCCAGAGATTATTATCGGGCAATTGTATCGGAGACCATGCCATGGAGGAAATAGGCGCGAAAGGTCTCCTTCTTGTTGCCCTCTTGCACTGCGATCCCAAGCATTGCAAAAGGTGTTCATCTCGGTAACAAAACAGGATGAAGGACATCAAAAATAGATTCTCTTACCTTCATCGCACTCAAGCAATCTTCAGCCGCTACCAAGAAGGTCGCAACATCCACCAGAACCGTGCCCAGCGTAGCCACGACCTGATTCGCAGCCCCATACCCTTTGACCGTCGCATTGGGATCTTCCAGCCGACCACCCGCAGCTACTGCGCCTCGCTCCTCCTTCTCACTCTCACCATGATCATGATGGCCATGATCATGACCATCCTCAGGATCCGGTTTATGACAATGCCAAAAATCCATCATCTCCGCCCAATTCCCACTGGGTAGATCCTTCCACACCCAGCCTCCTCCCCCCGATGCTGCAGCCTTTCCGGCCTCACCTTCACCGGCAGGTGATTGAGGTTGATCCAGGACTATCCCTTGACATCCCCGACACCTTACCCTCGTGCTTGGCCCCATATCCATCGCCCTCCACGGCACAAACCCACCGACCAGCTCTTCGTCCCTCCCTATGTCTTTCTCCTTGTCCGCATCATCGTCAACCTGCATCCGAAACGACAATTCCCGTCGACCCTCACCAGTGGACTGCCACTGCCGGGAGCGAAGCACATATCCTGCGCTCGCGGTGACCCGCGCGGGAAGCTTCATCGTTTCCATTGCTGCTTCGATACCCGCATCAGTTTCTGCCTCCGTTACCGCAGCATTTCCCCTGTCTCCCCGAGTTGGTAGAGTAGTAGTAGCAATAGAGCGTGTGACGGATACCGATACCGCACGGCGGGACTCGGAGAGTGCGATATCCACGTCATCGTTCTTTCCCTTCACAGCACTGTGTGGAATTGCATGGGTTTGAGCATTGCTATCCCCAGCAGAAACAGAAATTTGAAGTGTAATATGACGAATGTGCGGAAGAAGTTCGGCGTGGAGGTAGATAGGAGCGTTCTGGGCCTCGGAGGGGCTTAGGTTTGTTGACGGGAATTGCATTTTGGGTTCTTTGTGTACTTCTCTCTTTCTCCCCTGAAAAAACGCGTTCTTTCTTGTTTGTGCTGTGTTTGAGACCTCTTGTTGCTTCTGGATCTCTACTTAGTTAGTAAAACGAATTGATGGTGGTAGTGGGGAGCTTATTCGCTCGGCCCTTAGTGTTGGGGGAGGTTTGAAGGTGAAAGTTGATGCAGACAAAGCAGCGCGGGCTCTGGGCTCTTTCTGCCACCGCCCTCATCTTTCGAACAGTTTCGCGGACTGGAGACCTGGCGGCTGTTATGTCTTACCTCCGCTTATTTCCGCGGTTTTCGCCTCGAGGTCCGGAGGATTCTGCCGCATAACTAAAGCATCCGTTCCAGCTCAGATGGATGCCTGAGGCCTAAGAAAAGAAGAGGCCGTGAAAACCGCAAGCACGATTTGTCAATTTGTTGGATAACGGACAAAAGACGATCAGAGCGTGACAACACATGAATAAGTACAGATGAGATCATTCTCAGGAATATTAGCGCCAAGCCGATGAATCCTTTCCCAACCACCGGCAACCAGACTGCCATGCAACCAAAAACTCACAACAATTCCCGGATCTCCACACCCTGATCCTCCTTTCAAAACGCCCAGTCATCGAATTCATCAGCGAACCGAACAGCTGCCCGTAGGTAGTAGCCCTCTTGATCCCCCCATGTGTTGGCCGCTTCCCTCAAAGCCCGGATAGCCTTAACGTAATGTGCGTCAGTCGAGTACTGCCCTTTGACAGCCTTGTGCGCCGTCCACTTCCAGTCCCGACCCTTGAGATCGTATCCCTTAATTCTCTCGAGATCAATCTCCGGCCGCAGCCCCGCGATATACACGCTCAACGTCATAAGCCACCACTGCCGGACTAGAGCCATCTGGAACTTCCCCGGGATGAGAGGAAGCATAATCCGCACGGCGTGGCTAGTCGTGAGGATGTGCACGAGAAAAAAGTCATACTTAGGATGAGCGGGCGAAACCGTGGCGGTCAGCAGCGCTGCAGCCGCTTCCTGGCTCTCACGGAACTGAGCAATGGGATCCTGAATCGTCCACGCATTCCAATGGTTGAGGAGGGCAGCTTCGTGGTTACGAAAGAGCACTTCGATGTTATCCTCCTCAGACGTTGTGAAGAGGTCATTGAAATGCTTGTCAGCTCGCACCTTGGCGAGAATTTCAAAGAGAGAAGTTGTGTGGTAGGAGGGCTCGGTTCTCGAGTAAGAAGGGTCGTCAAGGTATTTGTGAATACTACCGTAGCAGGTGGCGGTCATACCCAATGCCTCCATAGCTACTTCACGACTAGACATCTCGAAAGCGTATGCGAGGTGAATAAGGGGATGTCCAACTACGCCACGTCAGAGAAAATCAGATCAGAACTGTCTGGAGGTGTCACCCACGATCGGCAACAAGAGAGCTGAACAATGGCTCTTTCCCTGATAACAGGTACTGAAACACCACTGCTTTCCAGTCATAGCCATGACGGACAAGTTCGTCCTCGAAAAAGTCTACGAACGCACGTTGATATCTGAGTCAAACGAGTCAGCGAGATTGCACATTGTATCAAGGACTTGCTACTGACTCTCGGCGAGAAAGATAGTCTCGCCAGTCATATGTACTGATCTCGCCGGGAGAGTCTTCCCATGGATCTAAGGATTTGGACTCATGTTCGTATATACGATTCAAGTCATCCGCGTCTGCACCTTGCAGAAAGGCGGAACCAAGGATCTATGCCTGTCAGTAGGCTAACAAGCCATGTCTTGACCAGCGAGCGACAAACATGAGGTGCATGGTTGTGAAATTTGCGGTCGTTCCACAGGAACGCGTGGTTGGCGTGATTCAGTTTGAGTAGATGCTTAAGGGCACGAGCGGGCTTCTCTTGGGCCGTATCAATCTCATGCACTTCAACCGGAGGGATATTGAAGGTTTTGGAGTCGCCCCATAGTCTCCATTGACCAAACGAGGGCAAAAATGAAATCATGTCCATCTTTCTGATGGAGAACACAATAGCAACCAGAAAGTATTGATTAGACAGGTAAGTCGATTGATAAAGTCAAGGGAGCGGCCCAATTTGTGTCCGGTGGTGGGTCTTCAACGTTGAGATCAGGCGATACCTAACGTAGTTATGCGATGAGCAAGAGAGATCAACTCCAGAGCGAGGTGCTAATCCTCAAGCCAATTCCAGGTATAACAGCTTCAACCTGCAGTCTGTGATCAGACATCGACAATATTCGAGTATAATCAGTAGTATGCGACTGAAAACAATAATTGGTTCAGTGGAGAAAGAAACATCCCAACCGTCCGCCAGATGATGCCGAATGATGACATCGTTTATGCCGCTCATTTATGCTAGCTTACATAATTACCAATGTCAACACCACTAGTTAACCACGCTCTCAACAAATACAGTATACCGGACTTCACCAAAGTAGGTCTGGAGGAGAAAAAGTTACTATATTTCTTCAACCTGGAGACTCCAGGTTCGGAAATGCTACAAACACAGTTCTAGTGATATATAGTCAAACAAATCAGGTCCTCGGCACCAGTGCTCAAAGACCAATTCCACTACCATCTAAATGCATATCTAGTTCATTTATCATGGGGTATGCCATGTTCCACGGCATACTCAGCAGGTTCGCCACCAGTGGCAACCTGTCCCGATATCACAGCCACATCCATCCGAGGTCCGGAGAAGTTCTTACGACCGTCAACAACCCATTGAACGACTGACAGGATCGTGACTACGCCCACGACAACGATACAATAGTCTGTCATTGTTAGTGAATTTCGGAGAGTAATACTCGAGGAGAAAACTCACTCATGTTGCTGCCGGTCACGGGACGATCAGGAGGGAAGACAAAGAGGACAGTGGTCATCGTGATGTAGGCCAGAGAGATCTGCAAAATTGTCAGTATTGCGGATATATAAAATTAATCTTGATGGACGTACTATGTTGGCAATCCAGCCGAAAAGGTTGGGCAGAACAAAAGGTCTTTCAGGCAGCATCCTCCGGCCCCGAGCGCAATTTACGGCGATCGGAATGGCATATGCAATGTCGAGCAGAATAACAGATGAAGACAAGATCGCGTTGAATGCACTTAGTATGTGTTAGCGAGATAGTCCCCACCCCCGGTCGCCAGACCCAAAAATACACTTACCTGGAAGAACCGAGGAAGATACATCCAAAGACAATGCAGAAGAAGCTGGTCAGGTACAAAGCGTTCAAAGGCAACTGTAGTCTCGGATGAACTTTGCTGAAGAAGGGCGAAGCTGGGAGACCGCCGTCTCTGTCGCAGAAATTAGCTCATCTGCAGCAGTAGGCATCAAGTTGAAGTGGAGAAAGTCACCTTGCGAATGCATAAACCATGCGGCTGCTTGTCGTCGTGATGGTCACAGCGGCAAAGAGGACACAGACCAGAGGGAAACTGAATCGTTTGTTAGCATGGAGCAGGTGAAACTATCTAGGACGAAGCTTGCGCACATCAAAAGACAGATAGATCCAGCATTGCTTTTCGTGGCGTCATAGAAAATCTGAAGAAGGGGGGTAGCCGCCGAGCTAATAACGTTGTTGATGTCCCCGGCAACGAAGAGCAGTACAATCAAAAAGATAGTACCAGTGAAAGTGCCGATGGCGACACAACCGATCATAATCTTCGGACCTACTACAGAGGGGTTCGGAATCTCTGCTGATGCTTAGTGTCTGTTCAAATTTATCTGGGGCCATCGCAATAATACCCTCAATCATGTGCGCAACTCCATCCTGTCCAAAAGTCAGTATTAATTATCAAGTAACAAGCAAGAGCCACTCACAAATCCAGTGAGTCCAAAACCTCCTTGGAGGAGCTGTCGCTCGGTTAGTGACGGAATGCAACTCTACATCGATTGCAACATACCCCCAGCAGCCAAGCGAGACCATCGGGCCCTATATGTCATTAGCGATTATCTTGAGTAAAACTGACTAGTAGGGCTCATCTTACAGCCTGTCTCGTTGATGAAGTCGCCAAAGACGAACCTAATCTGGTCAGCAGTCTTTCATTTAGATGGTTATCAATTCCTTACTCTCCAGAGTGATAGTTGGGCGACGCGCAGGCTAGGACAGTGATGCAGATGACAGCAAAGCCCATGAGTGACCAGATGACTGCGGCAAATTAGCTTTCTCTAAAACCTTCTTCCATGACAGACAATAATTTCCACATACAGGCACCCTTAGTCAATCGTGGCAGGATAGAGTTCATGAAGGCATTGATCAAGAACGCGACGAGGCAGAAGCCGATGTAGACGAGAAACTGATGCCACCGTTGTGATTCATAGGTCTGTGAAAAATGTCAGCTCGCTCGTAACCAGGTAAGCAGATACAAGGGTAGCCTTACCGGATGCATCAAGGAGATGACGCCCAAAACCAATTCACTGCCCAGGGATCCGCCAGTAGCAGCCAGCGCAACCTAAACCAGTCAGCATTCCATAATAGAAAATAGATGAGGCAGCATGCTTACCCATCCAGAGACGTTTGCCCAGCCCGTAATCCACGAGAGAACAGGCATGTATCTCTCAGGAGCAACTTTACCCACTTAGCAACGTTCATAGAAGGATTTCGAACATGTACTTACTAACTACAAACAAGGACAATCAGCATCACAACCATCATAAACTAGACCAAGAAAAAGCAAATCAATCTTACCTGCCACCCAGTGATATTGTCCACCCGCCCTGGATTTCACCGTCAGTCTCTAGCAGGGAGAGTGGTTTTGGCGAACAATACTCACGTAGGATATGCCGACAAGAACTCTGCCAAAGAAGCCGCCATGCAAAGGTTGCAGATACCCGCCGTGACCAATCCTGTAAGGAGGGAGCAACCAATCAATCAACGTATTCAGCCAGTAAGAATTAGGTAGGCAACAAAGAGCCACACAACCCTCGAAGTGAGAGGCTTATGTTCCGGCAGAACATGGCACTGATAGAAAGATTGAATGACCTACCCCATACCACGCTTGCGCTCCCGCCCGACGGCAGACTGATGGATAAACTTGCAGAGAGAGCAGTCCATGACTGGAGCGGAGGTTAGTGTCAATAGCGTTTCGTGCGAGTGTTTGGTGATCGGTGCGGGCGTGGCGCCAACCACACACGGAAATTAGGACGAGAATTGACGAAACATACGTTCAGAATGGCAAAGGCTAAGCCTAACATCGACCTAGTCAAATTAAACCGAGAGGCATTAGTCTACTGGCCACGTGCAAGACGGTTGTGGGACGAGCGATCGAGGGGGGGGCAACGTACAGCATCGAAAAGTTCCGATTCAATTCAGCCTTGTGGCCCAGGGCTGCGAGCTGTGCGTCATCGTCTCCCGGTAGATCTTTCATCGTGGTCAAGAATTGTCGAGTTTCGGCCCAAGGACAGGAGTTTGGCGGGCGAGAGAAAGGGAAGTTGGTTTGGATGGAGAGTAAATTGGGGAGGAGAAGTTGGAATGTCGAAGACAGCAAGAGAGAGGAAGATGAAGAAGAGACGGAGGGGGAAGAGGGAGGGAGGGAGGGAAAAGAGATCTACTTGACTTGACCTCACCCTGATTAACTCAGGGACTTATTACTACATTGCCTCCACGATTATTTCCGACAAGATATTACTCGAACCACCACTCACCAAAAGAATTGCGGGGGGAGCAAGTGGCGGATTGAAACTATTTTACCTAATAAATATGGGGTAACACACGGTGCTAACCAAAACTTATATCAAAGATAATCATGGATGATAAGCTACGCGTTGATAACGGCATGGGCCAACATGTTCATTGGTGCATATCACCGAGCAACAAGGCGCCGACAGCCAGTGAGAACCACCCCCACACAGGGGTTGGGGCAGATTTGAAGCTTAATTTGAGCGCCGGTGAAAAACAGAGCCGATTCCGATACTCCAGCTTAGAAGCCGGTTTGACACACCTCTACCGACCGCGGCGTGATAAGCATAATGCCATAGTTACTATGTATAGAGTAGTAGTAATTTAGCCGCCTCCTCCGGGAAGCAGACCTTCTCCGAGGTGATCACGCCGACGGAATAGAACATTCCAATGCTTCTCTGCATACGGGGTACTGTCTAGACTGATCTGTTGATTATTCCGGTTGAATTGCTGTACATGCTCAATGACCTCATGTAGCCACCGCGGATTCCCCATCCGCAGCCTATCAGACAATGCTTGTCCGCTGACAACAATATACAGAACGCTCAGGTACAATCATGGCAAGGCTTCTTATGTACAATACACACACACGAACAAACCGTACAGCAATGCCCAATCATGAGGTCGCATTTGGACGCCACGCTGCCCACCCCTCTGACACTCGGTCGGAGAAAAGGAAAGGCCAATCAGGCCCCTAATCCAGCGGTCGGAGCAAGATGGTCGGTTCGCACAATGTAGTCGTCCTCATCGCCGCTTTGAGCGATGCCGTCTTCCACATGGTCCTCTTCATCCTCCCTAACATCGTCGTATCCGCGCGAATCTCTTCGATCCGCTCGCAGCCCAGATGTGGGACCGTCAAGGGAAGAATCGGAGTCGCCGATAGGGATGTTAACAGTCTTGTTCTTGGATTTTCCACCGGGCCCCGCTGGACTCTTTCCCTTGCCCTTGCTACCGGTTGAATGGCCACTCGCAGTTCGAATCATAGACTGAACCTGCTTACCCTTTTCTTTGTTGACTGAGGCGGACGAAGGATCTCCGTTGGTGATGGTCTCGCCCATGCTGAACTCCAGTTGCCCACCAAGGTTCAGCGCATGCAGGGCATCTTGAATTGTCTGCGCTGGCCCTGATGCCCCGTTCACCGACTCCTGCTTCTGCTTGTCGACGGATTCGAAGGTCTGTCGAATCCTCTCGAAATGTTCAAGCTCCTTGGCACTATGCGTTATTAGCGATGCAAGAAAATCAATACGAAGTATCTGTGGGAGCGTACCTAACACTGGGAACAAGCTCGTCTTGGGCCTCCTGGAAGTCGTCTTCTGTGACCACCACCGCCACATCTTCTGGTGTAGCAAGGTGGTCGAAAAAGTATGCTGTGCTGACAGGCTCGCCTGGGAGGTTCCTAATCTTCTCGTCCACCGCCGTCGCCTTGCGCGTAATAGCTTTCAGCATTGAGTCCGAACACAAGGCGTACAAGTCGGCGCCTGTGTAAGTGAGAGGGAGCCGATCCGCAACACGGGCCAGGGAAAGATTCGGAGAAAGGACAAATTTTCGAGTTAGCGCCTCCAAAATTGTCCTCTGCTTCTCGTGTGTGTCTGAGACACCAAGATAAAGCATCTTATCAAAGCGACCTGGCCGTAGAAGCGCCGTATCCAGTAGATCAGGCCGGTTGGTCGCGCCAATGACAAAAACTCCACCACTGTTTTCTTCGCCACCGTTCATTCCGTCCAACTCAGCCAGAAGTTGACTCACAATGCGATCCATCACGCCACCACTGTCACCTTGGTTGCCTCTCTTGGGGGCCACGGAGTCCAGTTCGTCAAAGAAGACAACACAGGGACGTGCATCCCGGGCGCGTTGAAAAACACGTCGTACATTGGCTTCAGATTCACCGATGTACATATTCAGCAGCTCAGGACCTTTGACGGAGAAGAAGTTCAACGAGAATTCGGTAGCAATGGCTTTCGCCAGAAGCGTCTTTCCAGTACCAGGTGGTCCATAGAAAAGTATACCGCTGCGTTTCTTCATGCCCTTGGCGAACAATTCAGGCCGTTCAAGAGGCAGCTGGATGGTCTCCACAAGCGCCTCCTTGACATTAGACAAGCCACCGACGTCCTCCCAGCTGACATTCGGGATTTTCGGGGCTCCAATTGAATCTGCAAAGTTTTTCCTTGCAGCATCCACAGCAGCATCGAAATCAAGCTTTGTGACGCCTCGTGCTGCGTCGCCGCCAGAGATAAAAATATCTTGAATTGTTATCTTCTGGTTCGACTGTTTGCTCGACGTTTCTGCCAGTCGCTCCAGGCGTGCGGTTCTGGCAGCCGAAGCACGTTCAACGACGTCAACCAAATCACCAGCGACCAGAGCAGCAGTCTTCAGCGCCACCGATCCCAAGTCAACATCAGGCGAGAGTCGAATACCACGTTCGGAGACAGCGTTGCGAAGGATGCCTTCGCGTTCCTTCTCCTCTGGGGCAGACATCTCGAATTCATGGGTGAACATACTTCGAAGGCCCTCAGGTATTTGTTCAACGTCCGTCGTAGTGGCGACCACAACCCGAGCATCAGCCACAATTTCAGTCATGGCGGACACGATGCGATCTGCGGTCAAAACTTCAATGTGTTTGATAAGCAGAGCAGTACAGTCCGGTCCGCAATGGAAGGCGCGTTCGGCTCTTGCTTTCAAGTATGCTTCAGTCTTGACATCACCACCATTAGCGCCCCCTTCCGTAAGAATGTCATATGCATCAATTGGGAATGTATGAAGGCCAATATCAGCACACGCACGGGTTGCAACAGTGGCCTTGCCGATGTGTCGCTGTTGGGATCTCAGGAGGATGACGACCGGCTTCATACCAAGCTGGATTGCACGAGGACTAGTAGCAACGGAAATAAGTTCTCGGAGGCGCTGCTGCAAAGGCGAGATGAATGACTGCGGCACGTCAATCACCAGGCCATGACTCGTTTGCCCTTGAGTGATGGCCCTGGGTACAGCTTTAACCCCAAGCCAATATTCCCAGCCATTGTCTGTCGTCCCTGGAACTCTGCTTATATCGCTACCAGCTTGTACCATTCGGGTTGTGGCGGTGTCAATAATGGCCACTCCTCCCCAGTGATTGTCGCCCGCCTCATCCTGGTCATCCGGTATACTCGGGACGACCTGGCCAACACGAAACCATGCAACTCCAACCTTTTTAGAGCCTTCATTGAAGTGGGAAAGCTGTCCTAGTCTCGTAGTCAGGTCGTCATCTTGAGCGCTACTGTCGCTGGTCGCAGCCCCTTGGAAGACGGCTCTACCGAGACCTTCGTCGATGCTAATACCCACAAGGTCCCCATCTTTCACAAGTCGTCGCCGAGACTCAAAGTATTGTTTGAGACCAGCGAATAGAGCGGGCTGAAGGACACGGTCCATGGACAAAGGAGTTGAAACTTTGAGCAGTGTAACCTCCTTAGCCAAAGGCGGACTCCGAGCCGAGCTGGATTTCACCTGGTGGAGGAGGTTGGGCTTCGCGCCATTTAAGGAAGCGTAAGTCATTGGAGAGATGCGTAGATACTTCGGGTTGTCGAGATTGTTCAGAAGCAATGGTGAAGCGAAAACTGAGGTCATGCGCCCAGCAGGAAGTTGAGAGACACTGGAGCGCCTGTTTCCCGTTTGGTTAATCGAGTATCTAGGCTTGGGAGCCTGTAAGCCCGGCAGGCCATAAATTTTGACCGCGCGCCAGTCGCCCGTGTCCTCCTCGCGGTCACTGAAGCTCCCGAGTTTGATTGAGGCGAAAGGATTGTGCTGGGGCTCATCCGTAGTCTCAATCCTTACCCAATCACCTGAGAAACAGCCTATCTTTGCGAGCGTTCCGATATCCACGAAGATGAAGGACTCAGCGTCATCGTCTTCCCGCGGCCGAGGATGCAAAAGATCGCTAGGTACCTCACGCAGGAGACCTTCCGCCTTGAAGACTTTGCCACCGCCAGCCCGACCGGGTCGCATGGTAGCAGAAGTGAAGTTCGATGCGACCGATCCAGGAGTATGAGTACCATCCGGCCGACGCCCTCCGGCACGTGGCGTAGCAGCAGTCATGGCAGACATCACGCCCGATGCCGGCTGGGGAAGCTCCGGAGCGGTCAGCGAAATCATGTCCTCCAGAGAATCGTCAGATGTGTCACTCATGTTACCCGCCGATGCATCCGTTTCTGACTCGTCGGCAGTAGTGCTACCTTCCACCTCGGTGCTGCTCTCGATCGGTCTGTCTTCGGCCGCAGAGTAAAACTGCTCGTTGGAGGTATCATCGGCTTCATCTTCCGCCACTTGTTTGAGAAGACCAGTACCTGATCGTAGGCTTCTCTGCATCCGGTGGCCATGAGGCCGCGCATGAATCAGGACCACTTTAGTTGCGGGCATGAGTAAGCCCTGGGAGACCGGTTCGCAAAGCACAATACGAGCAGGTGGTGATGGAGCATAGGTAATGGGGTGCGGTGGTAATGGAAGCGGCAGCACGTCACCTGTGTGCAGTACCTTGACCACTCCCAGAGCCTCGCGCACGGCCGCTGTGAGTCTCTCTTCATCTTCCGCTGCCGCCTTCTTTGTATATTTTCTGACTTCGATCGCCTTCCCACCCTTGGCCCACCCACCATTGGATGTGGCATTATTTGAACTGAAGCCCCCACCAAATTTGGTCTGCACATCATCATGATTGCGAAGAAGGTTCCGGTCCACCGTCACAAAGACTGTATCCAGAGGTAAAGGCACGGCATCCAACACCCGTATCTCAATCGCACGCTGTGACTGAAGTGCATGGCGAGTGGGATCTAATTTGCTCAGTTTCTCCAAGAATGGTTGTAAGGAGAGGGCGGAGTCGGGGAAAAGGACAGTGGAGTGCGGAATTGGCGATTGATAAGAGCGATCCTTAGACTGCGGTCGCACGGGAATGATGGTCCAAGACAGGTCCTCCATCGAGGTGCAACCTGGGAGATACGGTGAAATTGCCACATAATAGATCCCTAGATCATCTTGATTGTCCTCTGTAGTAGTATAGGGGTCGTTAGATTATGACGAGTCAGACCAAGCGGTTTGTTGAGTGCAGGACTTACTGCTGAAGAGGTCGCCGACCAGATCATCGGAGACAACGCCGATATTTCCCCGCAGCTGATGATCCAAAGAAAGACGGGCAGAGATAGGAACTCTGTTTCGCATGCGTCGGCGCAGGACATTCCGTCTTTTTCGCCTGGATTGCTCAGAACTGTGATTGTGGTGCGCGTAATCCATGATGGAGAAGGGCGCAGATGGGGCTTCGTTCGGAGCGGGGAAGCGAACGGGAGACGGAGGGAGGGGAGGGATGGGAAATGCTGAATTAGGATCCGCGGGTTCCAATGATAGAATATCAATGAAGCATTCTCTAGTACCGCACGATCGAACAGGTGAATTCAATCCACTGGCAAGACCAGCCCCGAGTGTGGTGGTGTGTAGCAAAGATAATGGCTGGCGGGAAGCTGGAGAAAGTCCGGGGAGGAAAGATAACGAGGCCGTGCCAGCTCGGCACCGCCCGCTCGTTCTGCCCGTTTCCGATGCCGAGGTTCCAGCACGAGGGGGAGATGATGCCTCAGTTTTGAGAACGAGACATGACTTTCAGCCTGCATTCTGGGTATCTCGTCGAGTTATCTCGGATACTTGAGCATTTTTCCTGATGAAGGGTCTCGATGCTAGGTCTGCCTTGGAAGTCCTTCAATTCGTCCAAAGCACAAGCCTGAAAGAATTCTTGGTCTCGATTATATAAAAGCATGAGTAACGCGGAACATGATAAAACCTTCTCAACGTTCTGTATTACGAGCATCTGAACTTCTTCAAGTTGCCGAGGCTCTTACTTTCAAGAAAAGACCCGTAAACCAGATTCTTTGACACTTCAATTCATGACACACTTTTGCTCCCAGCCAGACGACTAAGCATATAATTTCAAGCCAATGCAGAGATAGGCATTGACCACCACAGCACATCAGCCGGATAATCAATGCAAGCTGACTATTTAGGATAAAGTAGACTAGGTGAAACTGAAGGGTTGGAGGAAATCTTCGTCAATTGCAGAGCAAGCGCCAGTAGAACCAATCCAGTCGCATCGAATCGTTGTAGCCTTGACAGCTTGCGTATGCAAGCCATCGTTATCACAATGAAGCTCATACTAAGCGGCTCCAGGGCTCCAGGGATACAATCTTCAGGCTTTGCGTAGGTGGCTTCTTGTGATTGGGCCTGGCATACCCTACACACATGAGGGTGAAGTGGCATTCGTGGATTCCGCCATGCTGAGAGGCAGACTACTGGCTTAGGTACTCAGATGGCCGGGAGTCGAATTGACTTTCCAGGCACTCCGCCAGGGAACCTCAAGCTACTTCAACGGTGGTCTGCATTGTATTAATTGAAGAACATGGCGATCGTCCCACTCGAAAGGGTTGCCGTGGTCTCGAGTTCAACGTGGCCGAGTTGACAGTGGTCTGGATACCGGACATGCAGCGTGCCAGCGATGACATCTCCGACCGGAAGCGATAAGGCTGACGTGGAGAACCTCGTTGCTGGTTTGGTTCCCTCGGTGTCAGTAACCCAAGAGGGTTGGAGAAAAGCAGATCACAACGGCATTTCTCTGCTAACTCGAAGTTTTGAGAGGAAAAGAACTCTTGCGTACCAGAAGATATCATGGAGAATACCATAAAATGCCTCATCGTGTCCAAAGGCGCCACGCCATGGTCGCTCCTCCTTATGGAAGGCTACTGTAGTGCATAAGGCTAAAAGCATGTTGCCGGCAATCCCAAAGGTCTCTCTGATTACAGACCGCGCGCTTTCGGAGAGCGCCCAGGGGCTAGACTGGAATCCACTGGCAGCAGGATGCTGACATCTCCTCGTCATATGAGCATCTGATGGTCTCAAACGAGTTCATTTTGAACTTTATTCTTGCATCCCAGTGGCAGTGGCATGTTTTCAATTGTGTGCTGTGCTGTAGATTAAGAGCAAGAACTGTTGCCCTGTCCTCTCTCAGATCACGCCTGGACTAACCAACCTAACCAACCTAACCAACTACTGACGGGCGAGAGAAGCAGAAACGGTAAGGAGAAGCACCAAAGAGGAAAAACTCCTCATCAATTTAGAGGATCCTCATGGGGTCATGGATGGATCGAGGATTCCTTCGAGGGTCCGCAGGCTATTTTCGGAAAGGCCGGCATCCGCGGGAACCCGCCATGAGAGATTCACAGGTGTCTGGTTGGCCAACGGAAAGGGCGGAGCAAACGGGTCTAAACCGCCCCGAAACCCCAATCCTCGTTGGGATTGACTTGGAATACGAGTATGTCACTGGTTATATTTCACCGTCACATGTAAGATTGGCGAAGGAGATGGTCTTCCGGCGGTAACAGTCATGACCGTATCGCCGGCCGAAACAAAAAGCCGTGGCTGTGGAGGAAATTGAAGCCAATCATGGACTGACAGTGGGGGCTGACCAGAAACTTAACCTCATCGGGTTTAGTGTGTCTCGTCTATCAGGCAGACATCCAAGAAGACGCGGACTGAGACTCAGCCCGGTGGAAACAGCCTCATTCTTACTACTCGTATGTTGACTTCTCCAGTCTCTCCCCCAGTCTTCTTTCTTTCTACCTCGACTCCTTTCCCACTCTCCATCTCCGCTAGACTATTATTCATGAATCTGTTCCCTTTTGGCCTCCTCTCCTAAACATAGCCGAACTAGAATTATCACCTGAATCCACTACGGATACCCTCGTCAATAGTCTCTTGTTGTTCGGTTGCCGAAAGGGGTGGACCTTCTTACTTGATTTTCGTTTATCAGCCTGGGGCATTCCATCATCCGCCCCCTCCCCTTTCTCCCCTTCTCTCGGGGCCGCTTACTTGGACCTGAGAACTTCGTAGACCTGACATCTCTTTGACAAATGTATGTGCCTGATGGTCACTATCTTCTGGTGAAATCGTTTCAGCAACTGACTCCCCCTCTAGCAAACGCCATTTTGACCTCCACGTTGGCTCTATACGTCACTGCGACTGCTTCGCAGTTCCGATTCCCGACCATACCCAGACATTCACACAGTAAGTCTGGATGGGAATGGGGTAGAAGTGACGCGGTCTAACACCTCAGAAGCATCCATACCTCACAACAACTTACTGAATTCGTTCGACTGTCAACAACAATGTCCGCTCCTGAAACAATGACGTCCCGACATCCCCGTCGGGGGCGGGTTATCAACTCACCCCCTCCATCTCTGCTCGCTTCTCCAGACGGCAAGTCAGTTACACGGCCCCGTCTTCGTTTGAAGAAGGGACAGACCTTCCACCACACCACCACTCCGCCTTCAGACGACCTACTCCTCGATATCCCGCTCTTGCCTCGTTCCCCGACTTCTCCCGGAGCCCTGGAGGCTATTGCGGCTGGCCAAGAGCGTATGTCTAAAATTCTAGGTCGCCTCGAACTCGATTCTTTCCGTACGCGTAGCCTGCTTGATGAAGGTGACGAATTGCCCGTTCCGAAGGGCCATATTGAGAATCATTTGCAACGCTTGAAGTTGAGCAAGGAAGATCTTGACAAACGATTTGCGAAGTCGAAACGCTCTTCACCTCGAGAGTCCCCGTCGAAGACTCGCAGGACACACTGCCACGCTTCCGATAGTGGCCTAGGAACCTCGATCAGCAGCCGCCAGTCCACGTCTGCTCGAGAAGGTCGGTCGTCATCCATGATTGCTATTTGTCGTACACAACTGACCCATCACACAGACAAAGCTGGAGAGTCGTCCTTCAAGTCCCAGAGCCAGTCTGCCGTTACAAGCTCCATCGTTGTTGGTGAAGATGAGGCCACGCTCAGGCAGAAGCTTAGTTCAGCATCATGCCTGGAGATTGAGAACCGTATCTTGAAGCCGCTCTTGGGACTGGAGCCATGCAAGCCCTTCCGTCACATTGTAGAGGGTGCTCGTGAACAAATGGAGAGCGATAAGTTTGGCACTCTACGTGATCTTGAGAAAGCACTGCTCTACGTCGCCGCAGTACGTCTCTTGCTTCTTGATTCTCTGGATCTATGCTCATGCTAACGTCTGCCCCCAGGATGTCGAGGTTGAACTCAGCTTCTACTATCAGTTCTGCAACTCAACTATCCTGTGCCTTCACGAAACCTATCCGACAATTGACCCTCGTGATCTGTGCATGCCGACAGATCGTCCTTATAGTAACTCCTACTTCCTCGATCTGACTGCTCAGGTTCACCGTTTTAAGGCCATGAGAGACGAGGCTCGTAAGAATAAGAAGGAGATGTGAGTGGTCCCTGGATTGACAATGTGACAATCGGCTAATTCATTCTAGGCCCAAACTTGTTGTGGAGGGCGGCATGGCTGAGACCGGACGTCCCCTTGAGCTTGTTGTCGAAAAGGATGGCGAGATTATTTCGCTAGAGACAGGAAAGCCCTACGACGCGGATACCGTCCCTCTCGTGAAGCGGACTTTGAGCCTAGGAGCTACCGATGAGGGCGCTAGGCGGTCCATGGCTCGGCGCAAGAAGAACGCCCCACCCATGAACATCAACACCAAGTGCTCCCACTGTGACAAAATCTTCCAAAGACCGTGTGACTTGACGTTAGTGTTGATCTTTCTATACGCAGATGATGGATGCTGACTTGCTCTCCAGAAAACACGAGAAGACTCATTCTCGACCTTTCAAATGTCCATTTGAAGGGTGCAAGTATTATGAGCTCGGCTGGCCCACCGAGAAGGAAAACGAGCGCCACATCAACGATCGACACTCCACTACTCCTCGCATGTATGCATGCACCTTCAATGGCTGCTCGTACAAATCCAAGCGTGAGAGTAACTGCAAACAGCACATGGAAAAAGCCCACGGGTGGAACTATGTGCGTGCGAAGAACAACGGACGAAATGCCAAGCGCCGTACCTCCCCTGTGCAAAGCAGTCCTGCCCAGGAGACTATCGCCCAGCCGAGCCCGCAGCAACTTAGCCCTGGTCAAACCAGCTCCGTAAATCTGGCACCGTCTCAAATGACGCCTCTGCAGATGACCCCTGATCACATGAGCTCACTTCCGCTGATTCCAGACCACCTGGACCCCTTGCAAATGAGCCCGGAGCACTACAGCCCCGAGAACTACAGCCCCGAGAACTACAGCCCCGAGAACTACAGCCCCGAAAACTACAGCCCCAAGAATTACAGCCCCGAACATTACACTTCTGGGCAGTACAGCCCAGCAAATCAGATACACTCCGTACAGTTGAGCCCTGCTCCAATGAGTGCCGGCCAGCTTAGTCCGGCCCAAGCAAGCCATACCCAAGCGAGCACTCCCGCATCAGGCCCAATTCAATCACCAACTGGGTTCCTGAACAATTACGCGCAAAGCCAGATGTATCAGATCCAGGATCCCTTCACTCAGCTAAAGAATGAGGACTGCCTCTTGTACATGGACAACGACTTTGCCAATGATTATGCCACGTTCAATAACGGAACGTCTGGCTTCTTTGAGGACGCCTCCTTCGGCTACGCTGACCCTTTGTACCAGCCGGGTCCCGTCGACATGAGTGCCCTCGAAGCTTTGTGCGACGACCCTTACGTGAACAATATGTTCTTGGACACATTCGGTCCGGGGGCTGGTACGGATGAGAGCATGTTTCCTCCTTTTAACCAAGGAGGCATGCCCCCATTTTAGGTCCTTTCTCATGGATTTTGTGGTTTCGCGTTTCAAAAAGAATGAGCAATTAGTCTTCTCTCATATCGAGCTACTAACTTGCTTGGCCCTTTCTATCTAGCCCTTCTAGCCTGCCATCTGTTCATTTTCTCTTCCTAAGTGGTTGTGTTTTGTATCATACATCTGAGATTTGTTACGATTCCTTCCTTATCTTTCTCTCTCATACTAGTCACGAAAATAGTTGAGATTCGAGAAAGAAACAAATTTCAAAATACATATTCCTCTCTGGATTTCCACAATACTGATGTGTACTGTACTTATGAAGACAAGACTGTCCGCATCATGACTGGCCACGGTAACAGTCTATTGGCAGTAAATGATGACCCCGCCCACCCTCGACCTGACAATATGTATGCATGCATGACGCTGCTGATATGTGTGGAGGACGGAAACCTTGCAAGCGTTTTAGAGGAGCTGCGACGCGCGCCTTCGTACACTGTCAGAAAGCTAGAAAGGAAAGGCGGCGTGATTCCGCACTCTGTACCTGTGGAATAGGTTTGGATCATGTCCTCTCTTCTTGGAGCCCTTCTCCTGTGACCCGGAGGAGATGAAGTGGTGTATTGCAGCGCATCTTTGAGGCACAGATGCTGTCTCTCTGGGTGCTGATATCCTATGCCCAAAGGCATATACTGAATAGGTCGACTTGTGGCCTGGTCACTTCAGATTAAGCATAATCAAGGTATTGGACCCCGTCAGCTCATTCCGTCCCCTCACACATCCTGAGGATAGATGGAAAATGTAAATTGAATTGATTTTCGAGAGAAACCGAAGGTCTCATCAATACTGAAAGCACCAGCGGAAAAGCAGGAAAAGCGTGCAAGCGAGTATGCTGGATCACCACGCCAAAGAGAAACGAGACTGCAGAATATGTTTTTTTTTTGGTTTATATCAAGCCTCCCACCGAATCTCATGCAATAGGACCCAACCAAAGTTCAAAGGAGTAAGTTCTTGTGAAATACCCAGACGCCCGAAGCTCCTAAGTCTGTCTCAACTGCCAACGCCACAAATAACCTAGACCTTGTTGATGTTGATGGCACGTAGTATATCTTCCAAGGACCAGCCAGGACCCCCGGGCACAATCTCCGCCCAGACCTCCTCAGGAACTGCATCCTCAGGATTGAGTAGGCTCCAATTCGGGCTCGGCTCGGGCTTGATCCATTTAAAGTCTTCAACCTCACTCCAGCGGTCCTCATCGTCGGGACGATCGTGGTTCAATGTCTGTGTTACCGTGAGTGATTAGGATGGTGTTTACAAAAAAGGCAGGTGGCTCTGATATACTTACATAAACGCGGGGGATACGGCCAAACCGGATGTTGGTACAGTCTTCGATGATAGGATTGCTGGAAGCGCTCAGGTAGACGTCCACGTTGGAGCAATTATGCATTCGGAATTGGCGACAGTCCACCACCACAATACTATGCTCCACATCGGTAATGTGAGCAGGACCATTGATTTGGCCGCAAACTAAGAGGCTCTCCTTCACATTCTTTGCTGTAAGACTAGCATAGGGCTTGCCGTTGACGGTAGGTATGGACATATCGACAACGCAATGGCGTAGCGAGGTGATAGACGCAGGTACGTTCGCTGTCGACCCGGACGCTGGGAGCATTATATGAAGATTATGATGATTGTTCACTGAAACGGAGGTTATTGCTGTAGCCGCAAACCCATGGTTCTGCTCGGGTGGTTTGAGTTTATCATCCGCTCCCTCGTCGACCGGGATGGCTGGAATGGACGTTGGGGCAATTTCCGGTCGTTGCAAGAGGTGGAGCCGGTTATCGGGCTCATTCAAGGGAGTAGACGGATACATCGGGGTTTGAGCGGCAGACGAGTTCACGGAAGACGATCCAGGCGAAGCAAACCCGGGTATACTGCGAACTTGCGCAGCCATTTGTGCCGCATCAGAAAGGGAGATAGCCGACGCATTCTTCTTGGTCTTGAAACTGAACTTGGGGCGCGGCTCGACTGCAGCTCGGGTCTCGATTAATTTATCTTGTAACGCTTTGATAGCCTGCAAGATTGTATTGTTGGTCAGCCTTGTGCTTCCACCGCCGACGCAAGGTGATGGCTTACTTCTGCGTATATCCGCTGGTCATAAGTCGGGATGTAGCTAGCCGCATCCTTGACCTCATTGGACAAGCGCGCAATCCCGGCCAGACAGTGATCGGTTGCATCTGCCCGCTCTCCTCCGATCAGGGAAGTGTCCGCCAATCGATCCATTTGTTCCTGAAGCGCTGCAGCAAGCACATGTGTCAGATCCTCTTCCCCTGCCACCAGGCTGATTCGCAAGACATCAGTTAGATTGGCTTAGCCATACCGGTGATTTCATGCTGGAAGTAGCGAAAGAATCGTTCTTTCAACGGTATCTCAGATTTGAGGATCGTTTGATTCTCGGCCTGGGAGGGCCGGCGTGAGGTGTCAAAATCGGGCATAGACATCGTGGGTATAAGGAGATACAAGTGATGGAAAGAGAAAGATGGAAAAAAGGGACGGCGAGACAGAGGGGTAAGGGGCCCTGGAAAACCAAGGGTCACAGCAGGACTGAGGGGGAAGAGATCCCTGTAGGAACCGGAGACGGTAAGAGAAAATGTATTGATGACGTCGACCGATCTTCGATTTCCCAAGCCGGTTTGGGATACAGGAGGTTTTGTAGGCCGCTCTCCCAACGCAACCGCTTGAGAGTGAAGTGATTTTGGCAGAGATTCAATGCAGACAGTAGAGTCTATGATCAGGAGAGCAATATGGTCAGTTCCAGAGGGGACTCAAGTAGATGGCAGGCAGCTCGTCAGTCAGTCCACCTTTGACCGGGCGTGTGGTCTTCTCACGGCCGGAGTCGATCACCCGCCGCGATCCACTAGTGGCAAGCTAAGGGAACAGGTACAAGGTCTAAGTGGAATAGCACCCACCTGGACTCGGAATTAGAAGCAAAGATAGTGGACTGTGTAGGCACCAAGCCGAAGCTGTTAGCGCCTTTAGCTTTTTTGATGGTCTGGGTGTGTTGTTCTGAGTTCGTTGTCCGATGAGGAGAAGAAGGAACAGCTCGAGGTGGTGACGTCGCTTACATTCGGGGCTCGGCGATTAACTTCTCCGCCTCCGCCTTTCCCCGCACTAACCTCCTTTGAGGGCATCCTTAAAACATGAACCATTACTGTAGTCAGTACCTCATTATTTTATTCGTCACACATAAGTACATATATAGGACATCATCTGCAGTGTTAGTAGCAGCTTGATGACCAAACTTCAGTCCTCCCCTCCCTGTCATTGTTCTATTAGGTCGACGATAATTCAGGCAGGTCTGGCCGAGGAACCGAAGGTAGACCATCGATTTCTGCCACCAGCTCATGAGAGAGTAATGAGTGCCGTCGGCGTTGAGTATGAAAGTCAGCGACAAGCGGTCTCTCGACTACCAGCCGATCATAGTCGGGTCGTAGATCATAGTCACTGACACTTTCAATGCCACCCTGCATTCGCACGGTCCGTAGCATTAATTTGCCCGTCTTCACCCAGAATGCTAACATCTCGTACTCCTGGGGAAAAGCAAGCGCAAGTTGTCCAGGCCGAAACACCGAGGGGTTCATTTTGTACGACGCCTTCTTCATCCGGGAGCGATTTAAGCCCCCGGAAGGCTTCACATCGCAGAGATAGATATCGCACATGCCGTTTGCAATCACAAATCGTGTTCCAGATGGGGACTGGCCTGCATGTACGATTCGCGTGCTAAACGGATCGTTGTTGATTTTGTTGTCGGTCATGGAAAAAGATAGGGGATATTCTTTACCAAAGAATGCCGTTAGTAGTACCGCATGATGGGAGCTATCATAGTATACACCAGTCAGATCCCCATCGTTCGTCGTCCACTAGTAGGTGTCAGCATGCCAGAAAGTACCATATCGAACCGTGGAGATACGCACAGGAGGAAGCTTGAAGGATTTTGAACTGTCGGGGACTATGTTCCATTGCTGAAACGTGCAATTCCAGACATCGACATAGGCGTAGTGATCGCCCAGATGGGTGGCTATTACAAAGTGTTTGCCATCAGCCGAGAATTGAAGCTTCCTTTCGATGACCGCCTCTTGTCGTTGCGCCTCGAAACCAGACTCTTCCGCGCCAGAAAAGGTTCGCATCAAAGACCGGTTGCCCAAGTCTGACACTCGGTCCATTCCACTGCCGAGGGAAACTCTTTGAATGGTTCTAGTGCAGATTTCGTAGACGCGAACTTGGTCTTTGAGCGTGAAGGCGACATATCGATCATTACGAGACATGACCATGCAAGTGATAGGTAATGACTGGTGATCGGTCTCGATCGTCATGTAGGCTTCTGGGATATCACTGTCGTTCTCAAACACAAGAAGCTCGTAATGCTAATTTCCGTCAGTACTGACTTGAGAATAGTGACGCAAGCAAGCTTACCTGTCCCACCGAAGCAATAACAGCACATCGTTGATCTCCTGCTGCAGCCTGTTGTACGCCTGGAATGTCATACTTTTGCCTCTTTGGTTTCTTGCCCTCGCCCTGGCCCAAGTCAAATCGCATGACCCAATTACTGCCGGCACCCCAAAAGAGCAGAGAGCTCCCAGTGGCTGAGAAACAGAACCGGGGCTGACGAGGCAACTGCTGCCCTTTCGACGAGTTCCTCCGAAAGAGTGAGGTTCCGCTAGTGAAAGGTAATTTCACATTCTTGAGATCACGAGAAAGTGTCTTGATGGCCTGCTTGTCAAATGACTGATCGGTCCGACTTCGCGACAAGACAGGGTTGAATATTTCTGATGTGGTGACACTAGGAGTCTTGCCATTCGCCTTTGAGACGGCCGGGACAGGAGTCGTGGGTGAAGTCGGGCTTTTGACTACCTCGACAGAGTCGAGGCGGGACGAGTGACTCGTAGAATGACTGAGCGAGCTGGAACATGAGGTGGTCGCTCGGGAGGCAGAATCTGGGAGGGATGGCTGCCCCTCACCGTCCGAGTCCGAGAACAGATGTAGGGCGTCGGAAACTTGTTCGAGAGGCTCGATCATACGAGCATGTTGAATGCGTGCTTTCTCAGGACAGAGGGGGCAACTGATGTCCATCGTTAGGAACTCGGGACTTCCTTGGAATTGCTAAGGGGAAATTAGTTTCTGTGTCGACTCCTATTTCGGGCAGCCGGTGTGGCATTTGCCTACCTCATAAGCCTTCCGGTCATGGATTCTCAGTTGTTCTTCCAACATTGCCCCCGGCACGGGATGCACCGCAGGACAGTTGACTACGTAAACTGCCGTGCTGGACCGGCCTTGTTTGCTCGGTGCGGTGGGATCGAAGTCAGCAGCTGATGAGTTTTGTAGCCATTGGGTCAAATGCTGTTGATAGTCGTGCGAAAACGCTTCAAGTTCACCATTGCAATCCCACATCTGCACCCGCCTGTTGATGAGCCAACGCACGAATTGTCCCAAGGCCCGCTCCCATGATTCTCGAATGCCACCCAGCTGTGACCAAGTGTCTCGAATCCGCCGAGTTTGTAGCGGAGGCGAATCGTCGGCAGTCTGGGTTAGGATGGTGGTGGCGAATACTTGCAGCGGCGCCGTGTTGAATTCATCATCGTAGGCCGCCAGTACCGTTCGAGTCAACTTCTTCTTGACCTCTTGCGCCTGGGTGAAGGCTTCGTGTACCTTAAGCGCCGCGGAACTCGTGTATCCTTGCTCCTGAGAGATCCGACGGCGATCTATGTGGCACTGAATGAGAGCAGAGTCTACTGCCCAGAGAATGTCGAGAAGCAGGTTGAAGGAGACCAACTGGTCGGCATTGTTCTTCATCAATCCCGTCAAGAGGTCTGTGATGAGGGTCTCCGGTGCTCCTGAAACTGGGTACTACAAACGCCGTGAGCCTCTGAGCTTATTCCGGTGCAATATTCAACGGGCGCACTTACCAACCCTGCAGCGAACGACGGCAGGTAAGGTTTCCCACGGTCGAGTGTAAGGGTTTGAGTAGCTGACAATTCAGTCGAGCCAAGGAAATCAATCGCTTTGGGAAGAAGGTCGCTGATGAGGAACCGCTCAACATTCGAAAGGTCAGAATGCCGCCATGCAGCCCGCATTGCCTTTTCGAACCGAAACTTTTTATCAGTCTGGATGGATTCTCCGCGCAGCAGCAAGACTCGAATACCGGCGAGTAAAGTATGCGCAATGAGATGTCGGTACCCTATGAGCTCGGGATCGGTCGATCTGTTGCATGGGAAAAGTTCTAGCTTCACCTTGAGCAAGTACATCAATGTCGAGAAGACAGTCTCCGAAGGCAGCAGATAAGGCAAGAAGTAAGGGTGACAGTCGTGGACACTTGTTAGGCCTTGGAGATAGGTACGTTGCGCATCGAAGATGGTTTTGATCCAAAAAACCGATCGGGTCAGTGGCTCAATGGGCGCGGATTGGCCGTCCGGCTGGGAGACCGCGATGTCCAGCACATGTTCGCCGATGATCTCGCGAAGGATATTTGTTAGATCACGACGCCCTAGCTGTTCCCACACGGCTGCCACCAGTGGATGTGACATGGAGGAAACAGGGATGGCAGTCCGCGGACATAAGAGCGAGCAAGGCGATTCGAATTCAAGCGGCACGGGATTTCAGGCGACTGGAGTTGAAAACGGAGGCGAAGGACAGGATAAGTGTCGAGGACAGCAGCGGGGATCAGATCATCGAGGACCAGGCGCAATAGAAGAAGGGCGCCCGGACAGGGTCTGAAAATAGTGAAGAAAAAGAAAGAAGTAGAGGGAGAGGATGAGAGAAGGAGAGCCAGAAGCACCGAGAGACCGACAGAAAGGAGCAAAAAGGTGCAGCGGCCGTCACCCACTTTTGCCAGGTGACCGGAACTGATTAGGACGAATCGCAAGCAGGGCTAGAGCCAAAAAGCGCCTTATGTAGGTGGTGCAGCTGCAATTTGCAGTAGCCAGGTTGAGAAGATAGTCTAGTAAGGGTTCCAGCTTATGAATGCATGCGAGGCTGCGTGTCTGTTTTACATGTGGTTTGTCCGTTGCCTTCAGGCCCGCTAATGGCACGGGCTACAAGCGCCCCAGCCTCACGGGCTGGTGCTGGTGCTGGCGGTGTCGTTCAACTGTCGCCGAGCTAAAACAAAAGTGGCAGTAGTGTTTCCCCAGAGAAGGTCACTGTCATAACGAGCTCAGCACGGAGCTGAAAGAGTGGGATAGACCAGTGGTAATTTTTCGAAGAGGGAGACGATCATTCAGTTTCCGGATCCTCGCAGTGGTGATGTGTGGGTGAAGGCATGCATGCAAGAACTAGTGGGAAAATCATCAGAGGTTTTGCATGGAGACTGTGAGGGGGAGGAGGGATTGATACCCCAGTGGCGCTGAATTCTTGGGTTGAATGAGCTAAGCATGATCAATCAATCTATGAAGTTGATAGCGGCGTTCAGGGACACCCTTGACACTTATTAGTATGGTCGTCCATTGGTCCCAGATCGCTGGACGCGTGTGGCTAGATGGGCCATTTGATTGCTGTATGGAGTAGAACTCATAGAATGGGAGTCACAGTAAGAGAAGGAAACAGCCTCATGCCTCGAAACAGAGCAGTCAACGAAAAACTGGTGTGACACTATGTATGTGTCAAAGATGGACCGGTCTCTGTCAGCCCCAGCGGATGAGGAAGAGCCCGTGCCTGAGCGGGTGGTTTGTTTCCCGGTCCGTGCCAAGTTTGCCAAAACCCCCCACCACTTCCATTCTTCCCCTTAGGTTCACTTTTAACTACTACCAAACAAGTATGTATCCTTTCTGTTTCTCTTGCTTTTCTCATCTTTGACTGACTCTACAGCTGGATTTTCAGGGGCTCTTGCTCCTCTTGAGAGAACAGACTTTGGGGTCCAAGGCCTGTCATGGTTGCGGGAGGAAAACTAATGCACGCGTTGAAGCGAGAAAACATGCTGACTCGAGTAGGGGAAACCGGTCTACCCCGCCAATTTATACCTGCATCCGAGATCCTCAGTAGTCTGTGTATCTCCTCGGTCCTCATTCCTCATCCAGGCACATCATTGCCGTTGATTTTTCTTTTTTGGACCCCACAGTCCGTTTAGCCGGCCTACACTTAGTGGCTCCTACACTGCCCAATGTTCTCACGGCCTCGAGGACCCATTATTTGCTTACTGACCCGCTTAGCACCCGCCAAAGGAAGTTCTTGACATGGCTCGCTTGATAACAGATGACACCCTCTGGAATGCAACATGCAGCTTGACGGTCCGACGCGCATCCACAACATACGGAGTGGTTTCGGACAGTGAGGAAGAAGATCTGGTGATTGTCTGGTCCGCACAACCACACCACGACTCGACTTGACAATGTGAACCTGGAACTAAATAGGGTTGACGGCCCCGTTCTAGGCCCTAGTCTCGCGGCGGACGGATCACTTTCCGCTCGCAAGACCCACTAGCATAAGCCCATATCCGGTGGCTCCGCACGGAGCGTGCGTGCTCCCAGCGTACGAGTGAATGAGATAAGTACTGTTTTCTGTTGAGCACTGCCAAGCTGTGGAACAGAATGGTTTAAATATCGATTCTCTCGACACGATGCTGTCGTGAGTGCCGCAAGCTTTCATGAATTTTCGTACCTCAGGATCTGTCAACATGTCAAGCTTGCTTCATCAAATTATTCCGTGATCATGTCGCCGACAATACCAAGCTGCTCATGTAAGATCGTTAGATGCACTGACGCCACTAATTCTTAACCTTTCCAGCATCTCTCGGACCGTAAGCGGCTGCATGTCAGGAAAGCGCTCGTTCGGAGAGCCTTCACGTGTGATGAACGACGAGCCGTCCGCTGCGAGCAGTTCGAAGATTGACATGAACCACTGGAAGGCTTTCTTTGGGAAATGCTCGTACAAAGTCTGGTGTCGAGGCAACTCGATTATTTCGAATCTCTTGAGTTTTTAGCACGCCGTCATAGTGAATCTCAAACTGACATCCTTGTTGCTTTAATTAGACATTGCTCACGAGAGAGTGATAATCATACTTGCTGCGAATTTCTTCTGCTTTCACAAACTCATGCCAAGTGACAGGATCACCGACCACACGGCTTTCTTCGGGCCAGTCTTTCACATCGAGCATAGCGACAACGTACCGAGCCAGGTCAAAGGTATAGGTAGATGTAACAGGAGTTTCACCATCTCCGGAAGACCCTGCTACTCTGTTCTCCCATAACCACAACAAAGTCATTGGCTTTCAAGTATGATTTGGGCTTCGATGGCCCAAAGTAGTCAAGAAAGATTCCATTGAGGAAGACGGTCCACTGCAGGTCAGACTGTCGAAGAAGCTCAATTGCCTCAAAGTAATTCTTGAGTTGCGGCAGCTGCTGTACAGCATTAGGGATAATTAGCTCATATGGCATCATGAGCTATGCGCTTGGTTTGGTGAAAGATACTCCTGGGGATACGGGATCGCAAAACCACTGGGCACAAAACGCCGGGTGACCGTGGAGTTTATGGCAGCCTGGATCAGGTTCAGTTGCAATATGGCCAGGGAATCACCCTCCACGGCGAAACAACAGATCACCGTGTGGATATCATGTGTCTCTAACACGGAAACCAAGTTGTCAATGCTTCCGTAGTCAACTTGGACGGAATCGTGTTTCTCGCAACAAGACTACTCAACTCTGTCAGTTGAGGCACGCTCTGGATAGAACGGCACGAGTGTGATTCTTGATTCTCACCTTGCGGGATAGGACCACAGTCTGGTGCTTGGGAGACACTTTCAAGACCTCCAGGATTGTGCGACCAACACCGCCGTAACCCCCACCCATAGCAACTGAACCATTTTGTAATCCTACTTGCATTCAAGACAAGTTTCATTGGAAGGGAACAAGATCTGATTTATAGCTGAGATTCGGTTTTCATAGTTAGCACATCCAACGGCTACTCCACCCGGCTCCAGTGTTACTTTATCTACCACCAGCTCTGCACTCCTCCCATTTTTCAACTGTTCTCAAGAGTCAATGAGTGCCGCACCTGGATTAGGGAAATCTCGTATCAGCTTGGCACCTAAGAGGCAGTCCAAACTGCAAGGCTTAACCCGATCTATGCCACCGCGCTTCTCTTGATCATGGTCTCTTTCGCTTCGCATCGGAGATTACCAGACAGCTCCTGGGTGTTTCACCCCACTGCAGAAGCTGGTGTGGATCATCTTAGCTGACCGTCACTACAATGCGGGCTAGGCTACTGATCAAGGGCAATGCAAAACAATGCACAGCAAGGTTTCTGGCGTCTCGAAACCACGAAGCCGAAACAGCCTGTGCTCGAAACGCCGCTCGCTAGTCGGCAAGATCTGTCTTTCCCCCACGAGGCTGCGCCACACCCTGGAAGACCTATGTAATGTGACCCCCGGTAATGGCTTGGCCTATCCGAGCCCAAAACGACTTGTTGTGGGTAGGTATGGAGTGATTGCATGTGTGAACTCATGTGTCTAGCTAAAGGTAGTGGGGAGTGACGAAAATGAGGTCTTCTGCACGAAATGTGGTCAAAGGAGAGAACGCACTTACGAACTGATAACTAAGAGGATTGACGGTGGTGATATTGAGGCTATACAGGAACAGTGGCTCAAACGAACTGGTCATTAAGGCCTCCGAGCCATCGTGGAACATTACATCCTAAGCTTCTAAAGCAAGCTCCAGCAGTGTCTCATAGTATGGTGTCCCCAGCCCCGTCACCGGATCCCAACCCGGAGTTGCATTCCACCCGGCATACGGTACTTGCGCTCCCGACGGATCATCACAGCCAATTGACCCTCCGTCGACAATATCCGTAAATCCCTTCTGATTAAGCGAGTACAGCCATGGATTGAGGAAGCCTAGAGTTGGTTTGCCCTGCTCCAGCCGTGCGGCGTTCAATCGGGAGATGATAGCGGCGAAGACAGGCGCCGCGGCACTGCAAGTAATAGTTAAGTCAAGAACGATCACTTGATGCCATATAGGTAGGAGGGACAGATCTTACCTGGTACCTCCCGTCTTCATATACTCCCCGTGATCCACGAGTACAAAGTTGTTGGCCTGAGTGGACACGTCCGGGATGCCGCGGCCCTGGGGGTTGTAAAGTCCTTCCCAGCGGTCCCCGAGTTTGTGGAGATAGCTTGTGACACTCGCATCTTGGTAAGATGGCCGCGCGAAGATGTCGGAGAACCCACCTCCCGAGAAGGATACGGCCGACTCTGGGTCCATGCCCTCCGTGCCGCCTACTGACGTGACAAACGGACAGGATGCAGGGAAGACAGGCTGGAACCGAGTCCGATGTGTCCCGTCATGCGTCACACAGGTATCGCCAGGGCCCCAGTCGCCACTACTAAAGATGACGGAGACCCCGCGTGCAGACAGCTGCGCGAATAGATTGCACACGGCTTCGGCGTATGCCGCAGGCACGAATGGTTCTTCTTCCCCGTAGGAGGTGCTAAGAACCGCAGGGAGATCGTTGTCTGGTAAGTCCAGGAGATAGTGTAATTGCTCCAGGTAGGGCTCGTTGGTCGACTCGTCTACGGTCAGTGCTCCGGATTCTTGCACCATTGGACCACGGCCTGCAGTCGTGTAATAGACAGCTGATGCGTGGTATGCCAGCGACAGCGCGTATTGGACGTCAAGGGAAGCCTCGCTGGACGGAATTAGTGAATACTGCAGGTTACGCCCACCATTGATGGAGACAACCGTGAAATTGACGTCGGCTTGATCCGGGGCATATTTTGCCAGGAATTGCTCGAGGTCGTTGTAGCGTGCATATTCCTCTAGAAAGCCCGAGACACCCAGTCGGTTGCGTGGGTCGGGGATGCTCTCAGTATCGTCGATACCATACAACTGGCGCAGACAGGCAGGAGTCACGGTCATCGAGCAATTGCCCGTGAGGTCCTCTGCCGTAAGCGCAACCGGCACAAAGGTCTCTGGGCTATCTTGGGCTTGAGGGGCGCCGAACCGTGTTGTGGGCTGGATGAGCTGGACGAACGGCCAAATCTCCTCTGGGACTGAGTATACGAGGGTCCGGACGGCAGTCGTTTGCGTGCTCGGGTAATAGAAGTAGCTGAATCGTGTCTTCATCATCGACTCTGCCTGCGATAAGGGAACGGTGAACGTAAGCCAGTCACCTCGATCTTCAATTGACTCAGCTGGCACATGCTCCCATTCCAGCCATGAACGAACTTTGGCCATAGCCTCGTCCGAAGGACGCATGGAACCCCGGAGCTCTTCTCTTGTCAGGTGACGACCGTAGTCCGGATGACCAGGTGTCGATCGAGCTATCACTTGCTGCTCGAACTGAGAAAGGTCCGGCTTGCGCATCGCCAACCAGAATCGCATTGGGGTTGATGACGGGGGACCAGACTGTTGCATCCAACCGACTGGGACATTCTGCAGTTGATCCACAACGAGATACCCATCTGTGGGAATGGCAAGTGTTGCTAACCCGTGAACCAGCAAGGGCAGAGCCCCTAGGATAATTGTCACAAAAGCTGACCACATCTGTGCAAGTAGAAGAGAATGATGGATGTGACGGACTGCTTCCCACATGGCTTGAGAAGAAACCCGGGCCGCACGTGGTTTTTGAGAGTTCGATGATATCCTCAGTCTCTTTCTGTTTGTCCATTCATCTTTTTCTCTATTCTAAACAGTTACCACTAAGCTTTCTCCGCATTGCACCCTAGCGAGAGCTATTCCCTGTCATCGGCGGAATAAGCTCAAGCCACATCCAGTGTGTTACTGAACGTGGGCGTTTCTGCAGCATGATGAATTACGCTCACTGACTTGAGCCTCACAGCTCACCGAACGTTAGGTGGTGTTCAATCCCTCTGAAGTATAACACATTGCCTGAAGACTCTGATTCCATGATCAAGATACATAGATCCCAAGAATCATCCAATCAGTCAAACCTCACCACAACATTTTCAGTGAATTGGTCTGAATCCTTGAAGATGAACTGAGAGTTGTAAAGGCCATGGCTCTCTGCGATGCTCGTCAACCGAAACCCTCTTCAGCTTCTGGCCAGCAATGGTAGAGAGTGGTCAGAAAAGTGTCCTCTGAAGGTTATGTCACCAACAACGCCAACGATCTATGTCTTGCAGGGTATTGACAACCGCTGCAACACTTTATTGAAGCCCATATCAATATTCATTGACACCCGTTCTAAGCGATTCCACTAATCCCCCTCGGGAATTGCTTGTAGCTCGAGGCAACGAGAGAGAACGTCTGTCTGGGCTTGTGAGGAAGTCAAGGTGCAGGAATCTTTGTCTGATCCCGTGGATTTACATTCTGTGAGACCAGGGTTGTAGCGGAATCATGATCCATAGGATTGATGTTGGATCAAAGGGAGCAGAAGGTAGCCATTGTTCTCGAGTATATGAAACCCGATCAATCAGAACCACTCTCTTATGTGGCCAAGCCCACCCTAGTCCTGTAGACATGCTGTACCTATCCGTATACTGTTCGGTGGTGGCTTTCTCGAGTTCTCAGGGCATGTCAGGCAGATGGCATAACGGGTACTGTGCCACAGCTGGCGGTACTGGACCATTTTATTCTCTCCCCATTAGTATTGATTCTCAGTATCATACTCTATCCTACCGATATTGAGATACTCATTGACTAAGAGCCCTCCACCAAGTCTTCAGTCACCTAGTCGAACTCTTGGTCCCCATGCTACAGCAATTTTTTGCACGAGTTCAGCAAACCAAGAACGAACAAAGCATCCCATTGTTTCCCAAACGGGCATCCGGCTATGAGCTGTTCACGTGACTCTATTCTCACCGCCCGGGGGCAGCTCTTCCCGGCAGTTCCAAGCATCATCAACGTCAACGTCCATCAGCCTGACCATCATCATACATCGCCATTCTCTCGACTCCAGCCTTTTGACCCTTGACTCCAAACATCCATTCCTGTCCGACTGCCAGACATCCCTCAGCTTCCCTATCATCCCTCACTCCCCCACCCATCCATCCTTTCTCCTCCCTACCTCCCGCGGTTCTCTCGCAAAACGCCCTCCAAAATGGCCACCGACCTCCGCACCCTCCTCACCGAGCTCCACAGCAGCCTTAACGCCCACAACCTCGACAAAGCCACCACTCTCCTCTCACAAGCCAAGCGGACCCTGCTGCTGCAGAATGCCCTGATCCCGACCCCGACGTCCCCGCGCGACCTCCTCCCGCTGGCGCGCGAGATCCTCGAGCTCGGCGCCCTCGCCTCAATCCGCCAAACCGACGCCCCGGGCTTCACGCGTTACTACCAACAACTGCAGCCCTTCTACGACCTGGAACGCGAGGGACAACAACAAGAACAGACGAGCACCAGCAGCCAGCGGAGCAAGATTACGGGACTGTATCTGTTGCTGCTGTTGAGCATGGGTGACAGCACGAGCTTCCACACCGTGCTGGAGGGGCTGGTGGAGGAGGCCAGTCTGCAGGGGCGGAGCGTCGAGGATGATCCCTTCATCAAGTACCCTGTGGAGTTGGAGCGCAATTTGATGGAGGGGAGCTATGATAAGGTGTGGCGGGAGACGAATTCGGAGAGGGTGCCTGGAGAAGATTTTGGGTTGTTTTCGAGTGTTTGTCTTTCCCCCCTTCCCCTTTACTTTGGTTCTCTTGTTCCTTGTTTGTTTCCAGGCCTGGTGGCGGAAGGAAGGGAGTTTCAGCTGCGTATATTTTGAGAGTCGTTACTAATCGTTGATCCAATCGAATAGGTCCTCGTGGGTACCATCCGCAGCGAAATCGCCGATTGCTCCGAAAAGGCCTACCCCTCGTTGCCCATCTCCAACGCCAAGAACCTGCTCTTCATGGATTCGGAGGGTGCGGTCATCGAGTTCGCGCAGCAGAGGGGGTGGGTATTGCGGGATGGCCGCATCTACTTCCCCGTTGAGCCGGAGGCGGCCGCCCGCTCGGAGAAGGATATCCTGGTCGCGAGTGGGACGATTATCGAGAATGCCATCGGGTATGCACGCGAGTTGGAGACGATCGTCTAGATTGTCTTCTCATCTGGTTGGGGGGTGTACTTAGACAAAGATCAGCGATTTGGGAGTTGTATTGTCTACATCATAATGAGAACCTATTTAGAATGCCCTTTCTAAAAATCACGGCCGTTGACTTCTGAAGCGCTTTTGCGGTACATGCTTACACCTACGCGCAGTCACGAGATTATGTTCAGGTACTGTACAAACCTATAACCGGACCCGCCACAAACAAACCCGCCGATCATAGAAACTACTCGACAAGCAGACAACCTCTTGCTTGCCTCCTTCGCTGCGCACAGGCAAGTCATATCCACCAGCCGGCCTCCACACGTCCGACGCATAGTTCATACTTTCATGCTCCGTAAATTCTGCCAGCACCTCCAACTCCCACTCCGCCGACTCCGCGGAGTACCGCACCCGCACCACCCGCGTGCCACCGTGCATACAGCTCGCCAACACCAGCCCCGTCCATCCCTCCTCCGCATTCTCCGAGGACGAGGACGAGAGAAGCTGCAGCCGCCACACGCCCCCACCCAGCCCGATCTCCGCAAGGACTTCACCTCGCCGAGTAGCGTGGTACACCCGGAGGGACTCGTCGTAGCTTCCTGTGAGAATGACCGGACTATCATCCTTGAGCGGTAGCGGTAAGGGGAGGATGGAGGTGACGCCGGCGGTGTGGTGGCGGGCGCGGTCGTGGTGGTCCAGAACAACGCTTAGTTGCCGGTCCGCCTGGCTGTGGTCGGATGTGTAGCGGCGGGTATGGAGGGCGCCAAAATCATTCCCGGTGAATATGTACGGGACTTGCTGCTGGGAGGAGGAGGAGGTGGTGGTGGTGGTGGGGTCGTGGAAGGTCGCGAGCGCGGCGAACCAGACTTCGATGGCTTGGGAAGCGGGGAAGGTGTCGAGCTCGGTGATTTGCGGTGGTGAGTCGGGAGAGGCGCCGGGGGTGTACTGGAAGATTGTTGTGCGGCTGTCGGAGAAGGTGACGGCGAATGCGTCGAGAGAAGAATCGGGAGTTATGGATGGCCAGGTAGAGGGCGTCCAGGCGAGGAAGAGGGCGGGGATGGAGGGGTCCTCATGGACGGGTTGTGTGAGGAGCGGGGTGAGGGTGGGTGGGTCATCCTTTACACCTGATGTGAGACGGAAGAAGGCGACGGAGCCTGCGCTGGTTGCGATGGAGAGGAGGGACGGATCGCGAGGGTGGAAGTGGAGGTCGAAGACCGCGTAGGGGAGAGAATGTTTGTAGAGGAGGGTGCTGGGTGTGTGTGTGGTCAATTAGCTCGGTCTCGCAAATATACTGTGTAGGCATGAACCAGACACAAGAACTTACAGTTCGTTTGTAGCAGGATTGATCCGCCAGAGCTGTAGGGAGCCGGTCTTGGTCTGCTTGATGTTGGTGTCATTCGATTCATCTTTCTGTTCGGCCAGCAAGTATGTGCCGATGACGCAGCAGTCGGGGACTGCGGGGCAGAATTGCAGGCAGCTGGGGGGTTGATCCAGGAAGACCGTGGTGTTGGATGCAGGCTGCTGCAAGGAGGATGAGGAAGACTCTGTCATTTTGCGGTCTCGGGGTGGAGGGTCAATGGCCGGAGAGAATTGCACAAACGATGTGGAGATTGAAGATATTTTGGCGGACAAAAGATACCGTACGGAGATTGTCAATTGGAGTGGATGTGAATGTGGAACATGGTGTATCGACGTGCCCGATGAGCTGGAATATGTGGAAAGAATGTATAGTAAATCTATAGATCGGCAAACAAAAGTATACTTGCTGAGTATATGGAAGAATTGGCGAAGTACTCCGTACAAGTACACGGAAAAATACATACATAAGGCTGATGCATTGATTATGTTCCTCCTTATCTTCACACATCATCAACTCCTCCATAGTCCATCTTCTTCTCCACTTCCTCCTCCTGTGCTCTTCTTCTTATTCTCCTTCCCCCTTCTGCTTCCCTCTATATCTGACTCATCTCAATCAATCTGTGACACTCGTTCTATCCCATCCCTATAAATTGCAATACGTTTGGACCGTCTCCGTCCGCATGTCGTCATATTCTTTATCGTCCAGCGCTTCCTCATCCCCTCGACTCTCCGACCACCACCAACCACAACAACAACCACAGCAACAACCTCAATCACAGCAACAGCAACAGCAGCAGCAGCAGCAGCAGCAAAGGTCGTCTTCTCTGCATCAATCCGCCGCCTCCTACTTCTCCTACCCCGTTACCCACGTCGTCTCAGGTCTCTACCGCCGCTTCACCGATCCCCAATCCGCGAAGAACGGCACGAACAACAAGGACAGCACCATGCGGCGCCCATTCCAGTCCACCAGCAGCACCACCACCGACTCAGCCATCAGCAATAATACCACCAACCTATTCACCCCAATGCGAACCGCCTCGCCCTTCCAACCACCCCCACTCACCCCCCTAACCCTGACCGACCCGGACAGCAACTCGCACACCCTCCAGGCCCAAGACTACCTCCTCACGCGCTCCCTGGCCGAAGAAATCCGACTGCTGGTTCCCGCCCGCCTCCAACTCTGCGACACCTGGCGGCTAGCCTACAGTCTCGAGCGCGACGGCGCCTCGCTGTCGACCCTGTACGAGAACTGCCGCGCCATCTCCCAACGCAGCCCGCGGGCGGGCTACGTGCTAATCATCCGCGACGCCTCTCCATCCCTGCCCCTCTCCTCCTCAGACGGCAGTAGCAGCTATGGCAACAGCAATAGCAGTGGTGGCGCCGTCTTCGGCGCCTACATGACCGACCCCCCGCACCCGGACTCGCATTACTTCGGCACGGGCGAGTGTTTCCTCTGGCGCGCCTCGGTGTTGCAGCCGCCCTCGACCGATCGACTCCTGCAGACAATGATGACGATGAATAACAACAACAACGACCAGCAGGAGCACGACAATAAAGATGCCTTGGCAGCGCTCGAACGCGCTGGGTTACCGTTACCGCCTAGTGCGGATACCACCCACGCCGGCAGATCGACTACCCTGCGGAGTCGGAGTCCCCTACCCCGGAATGGTGGTGCTGGTGCTGGTGCTGCCGGGTCAAGTAGCATGACGCCGACGACTGGCAGTAATAGTGGGACGGCGACGCCGGAACAGATCCGCTTCAAGGCGTTCCCATACAGCGGAGTCAATGATTATATGATGTTCTGTGAGACGGGGTTTCTGAGCTTGGGAGGCGGGTGAGTGTTTTGTTCCTCCTTATTCCCTCGAATGTTGCAGGTTTGTTTTGTTTGCTAACGCGGAATGAATCAGGGACGGTCATTACGGTCTTTGGGTAGACTCGAGTCTGGAAAAAGGCGTTAGTGCCGCTTCTCAAACTTTTGGAAATGAGCCACTCTCGGACGAAGGCGTCAAGTTCGATATCCTCGGTGTAGAGGTCTGGTATGTCGGTTCCTGAGCAGTTGCATAAGAATTGGTAATAGGTATATGCGTCTTTCAAAGCAGATCGTCTATAGGAAGATCGATTGCCACTGAAAATGAGCAGGAGGAGGATCATAATCTGCGGGCAGAATGGTCTATAATCATATATTTCATTATTGATTTGATTTGATGAGAGGGCAGGAATCAGAGAAGGGGTTGGTTTGCCTGAGACAATTGTGACGCTCCACCCTACGCAGTGTAGGGCAGCGCCCACATGAATACTGTAGCGAGTATCTGGGTAATTCTCCGTCATCTCGTAATTCGTATACTTTGATTACCACTACTTAGAGCTACCTAGAGGAAGTATCATCGTCGTATCATTCGCCAGACCCAATCTGACCGTCAGAACATTCCAGCCAGACATTACAGTTCGTGGCGCAAAGCAGGAAAATTGACACACCAAGTAAAGGGTTGACTCAAAAATAAAAACACAGTAACACAGAGGGGTATGCAGTGCGATAAATTGAAACAGAAAACTACCAAATCAATTTCAGTACGGTGAGTTCACAATATCATCCCGGCCCAGACGACTACCCCACTGGGTACGGCGCCTAGGAGTCATGGGCAAGGGACCAGCGATACTCTCCCGCGTCGGCTTCAGCAAGCTCTTCTTCGCAACCATGTTGACTTCGTTGGGCAACGCCACAATGACATTCTTGTCTGAACCGAAGCGGAAGTTATCTGCCATAACTTCTTCACCGTACCGCTTGATAGTGTAGGGGTCCTTGCGGCCAGCAATGACCTTCTTCAAACTCCAGGTGATGATGAAGGGACCAGTGGCAGTGACAATCGATGTCTCATGCGAGTCAACACCCGTGTTGAAGCGGGCCTGAGTGAAGGCAATTGGTTTCTTAGTCTCATGCTGGAACTGGGCGACGTGAGCGGGTTGCAGACCCAAACGACGTGGTTGGGGCTTGGAGTCTTTGGCGAAAGAACGTTCGAAGCCCAGCTTGCCTTCGTTCTTGCCGTCCTTTTGCAGGGCGTCGATGAGCAGGAGGTAGGTGCGGCACGTAGCCAAAACCCAGCGACCGTCGGCAGACACATCCAGACCGATGATGGGCTCACCCAAGGCAGGGATATGAGTCTTTGCATTAATACCAAGTCGGTCAAACATGCGGATGTCACCCTTGTTGGAAGCAACGGCAATGTATCCCTTCTCCGTGGTAGCCACCGAAGAAAAGTCGTTCTTACTGGCGTACTGCTTCAGCTCAGATTCCACCAACTTGTTTCCGGCAACACGAGGATCAACGCGGAAGAGAGCATTCTTTGAGGCACCAATGAAAGATTGTGTGGAAGTCATTTGGGAGAATTTCTGGAAGTAGAGTTAGCAATCGAAGTCAAACTTAGTCGTATGCAAATAACTTACACTCTCGGGAGCAAAGGTGTGGACAGGGATGTCATCATGCACCTTCCACTCGTCCACAATCTTACCGTACTCCAAGTCCATGCGGTAGAGAGAGTTCGGGTCATCGCCATTCTGGAGGATCATGTTCGAATCCTCAGCGTGGAGCATGACCTTCTTAGGGCTGAAGAGCTTGCCCTTAGGGGTCTCAACCTTGGAGATGTTGGTTGAGAATTCGAGGTTGTTATTAGGAGTGTGCTTGAAGACGCCAATCTTAGAACCACGGACCACGAACGAGCGATCGTGCTTGTAGCCGACGGCCAATTGAGAGTTGACATTGCCATCATCTTCACGCGTGACCACATCGTCTTCTTCTTCATCCGAATCATAGTGCTCGCTGCGCTGGCCGTCACCCTGATCTTCCTCTTCAGACTCCTCTTCTTCAACCTCAGCCTCGGCTTCTTGCTCCTCCGTATCTTCCATAGTCAAATCCTGGAAGGCATCCAGAACATACTCCTTCTCGTTTTCTTTGACCTTGGCCCATTTCATTTCATTCAACTGCTCCCAGAGTGCCTGCATGAGGCCCTCCTGAAATCTCTCTTCCGTCTCCTGATCATGGAAGCGCAGGAGCCAAGAATAGGCCGAACCATCTTCACTGTAGGCATTGAAGATAAATGACAAGTACTCAAAGTTGAAGACGGGATTAATGTCTGCGACGACTGCCTGCCCAAGCCATTCCTTGTCTTCGCCGCTAATCTGCAGCCAGTACTGCCAGTCGCCAACTTCAGAGACCGTGGCGGTCACGTGAGCATCTTGCTGCACAAAGGTACCGGTGGGAAAATCGAAAAGGTGCAGTTCGGCTTTTTCCCGGGTCAGGATCTCGCGCGCCTCCGGTTGAGCCGCCGAGGGCGGGGCAACAGTAGACTCATCCTTAGAAGCGGCAGGCTTGATAAAACCCTTCGACTTGGAGTATTCCACGTCCTTCGCCATGGCGGTTGTTGCGTCGGGAAAATCGATCGAGTGATCGCGGGACTTTGTGGGTGAGGAGATGGGGCTTGCAGACGGGATGGGCTTCTCTTCTTGGAAGGAAAACTCCTGCAACTCTTCGCGAGTGGCCTTCTGCGCGCTGCGTCGATACGTCCGCTCGTACTGGCACTGCAGGGCGGCCAGCTCAAAAGTAGCGACCTTGTCCGATGGCACGGAAGGATCGCAGACAAATTCGAAGAGGTCACCTATGTCGCCACTGAGGTCCCTCCAAGCCAAGATCTTGGAACCACCTTCACGGACCTCGGAGCGAAAGTGCAAAGCCTGGTCGAGAAGGAATACCTTCTCGTCTTTGTCCAAGCTATCACTCGCTTCTTCGTCCTCGTCCTCGGCCAGCTCCTCTTCGCCTTCCTCGAAGGCACGTTGAATAACTAGTTGGTACTGGAATTCTTGGCCGGTACGTCTGATGGAAGCAGCGGCGTCCTTGAAGATGAGCTCAGAATATCCCTTGGGTGAGAGGGGGCGGACAAGGTAGAGTTGACCCTGAGGAATTTCGATGATAGATTCCTTGGAAGTGTCTCCGAAGAGGTACTTGCTCACTAGAGAGGAGAGAAGTGGACCGTCAGCATGTGAGGAAGCAATGAGATCAATATGACAAGTGGACGGGCAGGAGGAAAAGAGGAGGGAAGGAGGGGTCGATGGTGGGGTAAAATGAATGGAGAAGGTAACCGGTAGCAATAAATTTAGATCATAACCTGACTGAGATGGCACTGACCGTTGCGGAGCATGAACATGGCTGCTGCAGTTAGCCGGGGCGTAAGAGCCACGGCAAGTGATGAGGAGGGAGGGAGATCCTGTTGCTAGGGGAGCAGGGATGTTGATCAACGAAAGTGCAAAGGATGAAAGAACAGCTGAGATTGCAGTGGATGATGGATCTCCTGACAGTGGCAGAGGACAGGAAACAAGAGACTGACTCAGCCGACTGCAACCTTGTTATTGCGGGCTGGCACCAGATGCCTTTGAAGGGAATGTGAAGTAGAAAATAAAATGTTTTGATTTGATTTGGATGTTGTTATTTTCTGCCGTCATCGAGTGGCAACGGCTGTGGCGTTCAGAGTAGGGTGGCGCGGTGGCGCGGGTGGCGGTGCATTGTAATCCCTGTGAAACTGATTAACTTATTATCTTAGATCGTTATTTACAGAGCACAGTGCAGTACATTTTTTATTTCATGGTGCCAGCATCCATCATCTAGTTGCCCTCTGGGGCTTCCTCTGGGGCTTTTACTGCTTCACTTTGCTCCTCCTGCTCCTGTTCTTGTGTAGCAGCATTCGCTTCACGAATGGCCTCTTCCTCAGCAACACCCTCATCTTCACCCTCTCCCTCCTCAGCCTCCTCATCCTGTTGCTCCCCCGACTCATCAACCGACTCTCTCAAAGTGCCACCCTTACGCTGGGGAATGACTTCCATAAAAGCCTTGCCCCAATCACCCACCTCCAACCACTTCAACATGATCTCCACCACATGGTTCGTGGCCAATACCTGACGCGAGGCCATCTGAATGTAGTCACCGATCGGCAGCTTCGCCGTCTTAATGCCCCTCTCGACGGCCTGTTTGTAGCAGATGCCCTTGTGGCGGTTCTTATCCACCAGTCCACCAATGATGTAGGTGCTGAACGGCTTGAGCTCCGTCAGCGTATGCGGACTGTCGCTGCTCAGGTAGACGATCTCGCCCTCCTCGGGCTTCGCATCCGTCTTATCGGCGAAGACGCCCTCGAAGCGCCCACCCTCCGGCACAACCATCCACTCCTTGGCCTTCTCCGCGGCAGTTACAAAGTCCTCCTCTAGGAACCTAATCCCCTTCCAATTCTCATACGTCTTGGCCAGCACGGTATCGAACCGCTGCTTCAGCAGCTTGTTGAACGATGAGATCACCAGGTGCGACCGGAACGGCGCGCGGCTATTGTCCGAGTACGACCGGGTCAGCTGCGAGCCCAGGGAGATGCGCTCCTTCTCAATCATCAGCTCGTCGAACCCGCAGTCCAGAATCAGCGTCAGCGGCAGCAGGGTGCCCTTCCGGAACCGCGCGGGGGTACGCTCGTGCTCCTTGCGGAACTCCGCCTCGCGGCCTTCCTGCTTCGCGACCTCGAGCTCCGCCCGCCGGCGCTCCTTGCGGGCTTGAATCCGCTCCTTCCGCTTGACCTTGCGCTGCTCACGCCCTTCTTCCCATTGCTCCCGGCGACGTTGGCGCTTCATGGCGCGCTTCGAGATGGTGGGTGCGCCGGTTTCGTCGGTGGGTTCGTTAAGGGCGGCGCCATTGTTCGGTATGGTAGTGCTTTCATCGTCGTGAGCTTCGGCTGGGGCTGGTGTGGACTCTGCCGCCGGCGCTGGGTCCGCCATCGTAGCGGGTGTCGAGTGCTGTGGTTGCGACTCGTCGTGGTCGAGCTTGACCAATTTTCTGGGCCGACCTTCTTCCTCCATTGTGCTTCTTCGAAAAAAGAAGATCTTTTCACAATTGAGGGTTAAAGTAACTGAAAGAGACTTTTCAGATTATTTCCCAAATATAAATATCAAAAGATAGCAAAATCAACGTAGTGAAAGCCAAACCCCGTCCAATTCATCCAAGCAACACACAATCGGAATCCTCGCGACAGTGGGAGCAATCAATCAATCAATCACTGAATGATTTCGGAGCGGCAGGGCCTCCCCTCCCCGTTTCCCTCCCTCACCAATCATAGACCAGACAGCCCGCATTACCACATCCAGAACCACACACGTGACCTTCACTCGTCTCCCAACTTCCTTCCAAACGGCATCATATCTCCAAATCGAAGCTCGGCCCGGCCGTAAGGTACGACGACTTACCTTCTTCTCCGAAACCCCCAATTGAACCAGTCCTCCGCCCTCTCCTCCCGGTCAAAATGCCTCAGGACATGCCCCCCGCTGGGGGCTACACCCAGGTGCAATACAAGGTGCGATTGAACCTCTAGCCATCCCGAAACACACATACACATACCCAGAACGATGCGAGTCGATTTGTCCTTCCTCCCGCCGCCAGCGCATGCGATTCACAAAATTACATACCCACATCCAACCAAGAAGAACGCAACAACCAAACTGTGACAAGAAAAATCAGAATCCAAGCTAACCACGCAATGCCTTCCGCCGAAATTATAGCGCAACATCCCCGTCCGCGGATTCAGTCCCATGGTCTACCTCGCCGGCATGGTCGGAGCTGTCACCTACGGAATGTACAAGTACTACTACTCCAGTCGTGAGATGCAGTACGTCTCCCTCCCTCCACCGAACAACCAGAAGAAGAAAAAAAAAGAGCCGAAAGCAAAAGACCACCCACTGCCACCCCTCGGACGAGGGAAGACAGATCAGCTAGCTAACAAACCCCCCTCTCTAGCGAACTCGGCCGCGAGAAAATCTGGGGCCGTCTGCACATCCTTCCTCTCCTTCAGGCCGAGGAAGATCGCGATCAGGCCCGTCGGTACTACGCCGACAAGGCCCGTGAGCAGGAGCTCCTGGGATCGGAAAACAGGGTGTATCACTCTGATCGGTGCGTTTTCCCTTCCCCTGGACCCAACCCAATTGCCCACCTTCCCCCAAGATCATGGGATGTCCAAAGGGGGTATGAAGGGAGGAACGCTAATCTTGTTACAATTCACAGCTTCGTCCGCCCTACTTTTGCCTATACCCCCTCCAAGGTTACTGAAGAATAAACTTATTGAATTCGCGAGAGAAATGAAAATTTGAGAAGAGAGACCGTGTCCTGAATCTGTCTAGTCCCCGCCATATTTATTTTATCTGCTGTGTATTTTATCGATCATTGCTGCTGTGATTGTGTTTCCAAAGTTTTGCCCATTAAATAAGCCCTTTCAAACCAGGTATATTCATGTACGAGTGGGTACCGGAATTCCCGATGTTATGAGATATGGATTCTCGCAATTGCGTGTAATAGCCTGGAGACAAAAAGCGGTGCGCATTCCAGTTTGTAGAGTAATCTTATGGCTCGCTGCGATCTGCAGGTTCGGACAATTACACATACTACATGGGTTGAAGTCCAACCGTATTGCAAGCGAACAAGTTCCCTTACTAATTTCCAGGTGCTCTCAAGGGGCCCAAGGGGCTGTCTATATATTCTTTAAGTTATAACTATGCAGACCGATGAAGAGGTCGCTGTAGGCAGTGGCCGTACAATGACACTATACTATACACAGATGTAGACCGTGCAGCAGCCCACGCCCCGAGACGCTATATACTGCTTGTTCTAGCCGAACAAGTCCGCCACTCCAGCCAGATCCGGTCCATCGTTGATATCCACTTTCTGATTCTGCTGGCCTTCCATCTCGCTTGTCATGTATCTCTCCTGCAGGGCACTCCGCGCTTTCCGGCGTTCCTCGCGCGAGCCCAAGATTTTGCCTTGCTCAGCTATGCTGACACCTCTCAAGCTCTCGAGGAGATCCAGGATCAAGGCTCTTTGCTGTCTTGCGGCAGTCGACCGCACAAGGGCGGCCTCTGCATTAGCAACCCGCTGCTCGCTCATGCCAGGAAGACTCAAAATGACGGCGCGCGGGGTGGGGCTGCTCGAGCCGTAGAGGACCCAGATGGACGCAATGAGCTGAGCAAGGTCTTTCTGCATGTCGACAAAATAGGGTTCGTGCACGGACGTGATGCAGGCCTTGAGGACCTCGGAACAAATGAACTCGCGGATGGTGATGGTGGTAGGTGTGTTGTTGGGAGGGGCAAAGTCCTGCAGGATGGACCTAATGACTCGAGTGATGATGCTACAGCAACGCGTGTCGCGCATCCGGAGGGCATGGGTGCAGAAGAGCATGACTGGCTCGAATATCTCGGGTGAAGAGAGAATAAAGTGCCGAATTGAGTCGGAGAGTGCTGGTGCCGGCTGCAGAGCGCTAGGGTCCGCTAGCTCGTCATCAGGATCTAGATTCTGGGATTAGCAGGTTTCAGGCATGGGATCTTTCCTTAACTTACCCCCACGTTGGGGATCGAGCAAACTTGCTACCATGATTACCGCAGAATACGTCAACTGCCGCAGAATACTTTCGGACTTCATCTCATCAGTCAGATCGTCGGACTCAGCAAGTCCCTCTTTCCGCTGCTCGATTATCTCCCATTCCGCTGTGACTTTCTTATCAATGCTAGTGAAAAGAGCGGCTAGCATGGGAGGCAAAAAATTGCTTCGGAAGCGGACTGGACAGTCATCAATCAAGCATCTTGATATATTGAGAAGAACGGAGAATTGATGCGAGGAAAGGTGCGTAGAGTCCTTGAAGAGAGCCTCCGAGAGCGGACCAGGAAGCTCCGTAAATCCATAGAAATTATCCCTCAGTCGACTCATGCTGAACAACATCGAGTAGCAGGCTTCACGAACAGCTCGGATCTTACCTCGTACAGAAGAGGCAAATCCTTCGAGTGAACCACGAGAAGCAGTAATTTTAGCATAAAACTCATCACGACTACCGGTTGAAATGCCGGCTTGCCAAAATCTATCAGTTAGGATGCGCTCCACAACCGGGCCCATGTCTGCAGGCAAGCCACTCCAATTGCCGGGATTGTGGAAAGCATGCGCATTACTGACTAGCTGGAGGAGTGTCGGTAGGATGATAGGAATAAGGTCACGCCATACATTGCAGGCAAGCTCATATGCTGGTTCAGACCTTTTAAGCTTGTCCGTGGAGACGGCAAGCATCGTTTTGGTACCTCTCAAAGGAAGCTGCTGGAATTTCCTAGTCATTTCTTCCTGAATGAGCTTGCCCTCGTTATCGAGAGGAACAGAGGACCAGTCTTCCAGTTTCTGAGCCTGCCGTGACTGCATATATGCCCCGACGTTCTGTAGTCCAAGCATGGAACAGAAGCCCTCGAATGTGGAGCTCACAGCTCGGAATTGTTCTTCCTGCCATGCTTGCTTGATGGGTTCCACAAAAGACAGAAGACGAGATTGGCGAAGGTACGGCTCGACATTGTTCGCGCGTTGCATGATAATCAGTAGAATGGAAGTGAGCTCCATGTGAAGCTTATCATCCACCCGGTTGGCCATGGAAATCTCCTTGATCTTAGGTTCCAATATGTCGTAGAATGTTGAAAAGTAATCCGCGTAGCGCATAGCCAGGCGGCGAAGCTCATGGCTGGCAAGACCATGCAGCTCCTTGACTGATTCTGAGTACACTGGGAACTCGGGCTGGTCAGGTAGGCGAGTCATCAAAATGTACTCCAGTGCCTTGAGTGCAAAGCTAGGCGTCTTGTCCAGAGCTCTAGCGGAGATATCAACAATGAGTTTGATCACCCTTTGTTTGAGGACCGGATCTTCGAAGTTACGCTGCATCAATTTGAAAGCCCATGCCTCCAGAATCTGTTCCAGGTCACTGCGTTTCTGTTCATCTTGCTGGGGCATCCTCCCATGGGCCGACACCCATTTGTTGTACCCTTTGAGAGTTGCTTCAACAACCGCGAACTGCGTGTCGGCACGCATGAGAGGTATGGAAGTCTTCGAGAATGACTTCACGGAAAAGGGCTCCATACCGCTGTACAGGTTGTCTAAGTTGGCATCGATCCCTGCGAGTATATGAGGAATGGCCTCTTGGGGTCGCTTTTGGACGATTGTTTCGATGATGGAGGAACAATATCGCCGATAGTTGCCCACGAATGCATGTCTCTCGGGAATGGTGTCGATATCCTCGTTCAGGAACATCACAGTAGGATTTTCGTCATTCTCCGGGAGAGACTCCCAGCGAATAAGGCGCTCAGTACAAATCCCCAGCAAAGAAGGGATTAGACCAGTGACCAGGTCTGTGTTTCCGATCCTCTCGGAAGCTATCAATTTAGACCAGACATGAAGCACAGGGATCGAGATTGTGAGACTTTGATTCTGGATGACGGTAATGGTAAGGTGGAAGAAGAAAGGTAGGTCCAAGCCATGGGCGCTCTCCAAAGAGAACGCCTTCTCTTCGAGGAAACCAGCGATATACGAAATCAACTCGGAGAGCTTTTTGCAAATAGTATACTTGGTGTCATCAAAATCATCCGGCCCCACGACGGACCATTCGTACAGCTTTTGGAGCACACTGAGGGCTTGAGTCTCGTACATGAGGTGTACCAGGGGCTGGAAGCCTTCAATTTCAACGTGAGACCTGCTGTACAGCGCATGCAGAGCTTCCACGGCCGCCAAGAGCACCAGCTCGTCGTTGCAGGTGAAAGCACTGGCAATACAAGGGACGCAGTTGGAAGAGAGCACGGCCTTAGGGATGGCCCATGTCAGAACAGATTTAAGAGTAGCCAGGGCTTTCAGCGCTGAGTCCCGTGCCTGCTTCGAGCTCTGGACATTTCCAATACATTCATGTAGAAAGGCGCAAATGCGGGACATCCATCCCTCAGGTCCACAACGCAACTCCACATACTCCTTCTTCGGATGGATCTCCTCGAAGACGGCCGAGGGCGTACAGATTTCGACCAGAGCCCGGTTGAGGTCTGTGCCACGCAAGGATGATACCGTGTCTTCACGAAAGAAAATGTCCTCTGATAGAGTTTCAAGAATCGACAGGACCAGTTCCTTATGCACAAGACTGGCATTCCAGAATTGAAGCAGCGTTTCGTCCATCGAGTTCCAGTCCAAGCCCCAACTTCTCTTAGCCACTTCAGCCCAGAGTTGCGGGATCTTGTTCCGGATATAAGCCGGGTCTTCGGGCTGAATTGACTCAGCCAACTTCAGAACGAGATCCCTGATAGCCAAAATCTGATCCTGAGCCTCAAAGGAGGTGTGGCGCAAAACATGGTCCAAGAGACCCAGCCCGAAATACCGGACCAGAGGATTCGTCTGTTCGGGAAGCGCTAGCATGTACCCATTATGCGCCGCCGACTTGCTCTCCTTTTGAGCCTCGACAAATGTCAAGGCTTCTCTGCGAAGCTCGTTGGTTGAAGATGGGTTGTGGATAAGTTCCAAGGCACGAATGATGTCGGCCATGCGGCCTTCCGATAGCTCACCTTCAGCCGCCATGGATGGTTGGGAAATGAGAGGTTTAACTCCTTCCCTGCTTCTCAAAACCAAGACACAAAATAAGAAAAAGCTCAGATTACCTTGATGATCTCCGGAGTAGCACTAGCAATATTGTCATTATTGTTTGAGAATGCCTTGCAGAATGTGTCTCTTGATTTTGGCAGTCTTTTCCTTTGTTTTTGCAGTGGACTGAGACCTCTCCGGTATTCCGTGGTGGAAGCGGAAGTGCGTTGGGCAACTTTGGACAACTGGATGCGGAGAATTAATTGAGGGGAGGTAAGAATAGGATCCAAGCCCCCGGTGGGTTTTCAGCCACCGTTCTTCCAGAAGGTGAGAAGGACCTCTGGATACACACGGCAAATGGCGTCCGGAGAGGGGATGATCGGGAAAAGGCTGGGCAGCAGCGCAGCCGGTGTAAGAATTGCCCTGTTCTGCCTTAAACAAAAAAAAAAAGCGGAGTGCTTATAGATGGTTTTTGGTGTTGTGTTTTGTTGCGCTCTCTCTTCTCTTTCGTTTGTATGTCGATTTAGGGGTAGAAGAGAATTTAAAAAAGAGAAAAAAAAAACAAGGACAAGTACGGAGTGGAAGAAGTATGGATTTGTCTCTCTTGAGACTGGAATAAGTGGAGAGGAGCAAATGAAGATTACGGGAGGGAAAGAAAGCAACAACTGGAAGAGCAGCAGCAGCAGCAGCAGCAGCAACAGCAACAGCAGCAACAACAACACTGCAGTGGACTTTGAATTGATCGATAATCAATGATCAATAGTACCAGGAGAATTTTCCACGCGCTCCCGATCCAATCACCACACCGGCGCAATTTCTCCCCCAGCTACTCCGTACTCCCGTACTAGTCGCCTTCTTCACCGCTTCCTGAAGGGACTCTTTTTTCCTTATCGATAAGCCTGTTGTTTATCTGCTTAAAATGGCCTCTAGGTAGGTAGCTACATCAACAGTACTTAATTCAATGGTTCCTATTCATCGAAGACATTACCACTCAAGATATAATAAGGTAGTTGATACTCCTTGACATAATAAACTAGCACAGCTTGTGCCTGACTCCTAGATCCTATCACATGACGGTACATCCGCTGCTCTGACATTGCTCGAGGTATGACAGTTCGTCGCTTGACGAGGATCTGGCAGTTTCGCCTGGCTTGCGCTTGACTCCCTGGATCTTAATGTCGTGGTTCCCTGCCGAATGCCACCAACGCAACCGTTGAACCTTGATGGAGTTGATCTCGCTGGAGTCAATGGACCATTCTCCGCTACTGACAGAGACAACAGTGTGTCCTCCTGGAAAGTGAAACTCGGGAAGGTAAATCTCGGTCGCAGTCTCCTCATTCAGGGTCTTTTCGTTCCCAATCAGCGACAGCGTGAAAGTGCAGTTTCGAAGGTCAAACATATACTCTGAGACGAGGCCATTAGTGTAGATCGGGCTCGGCCGGATGAAGGCCTCTGCCGCACGGAACCCGAGTTTGTCCTCGTTCTGACTATACTCCGATGTGATGGAGGGAGCCGACAAGGCACTTTTCAGATTGTCAGGTCCTATTGACTGGTGTTGAATACTACCTTGGCTTTCGGAGTACGCCGGTGAATGAGGGTCAGTCTCGACCCGTGAGTCCGTCTCCAAGTCAGAGTATTTGCCACTTGGGAGCTCGAAATCATCGACCGAGTAAATCGACAGGTCTTCCCCGTTCCAGTTATCGCCCCATTCGTGATTGTTCTATTACGGTGTAAGCCTTCATCGTTTGTTCATCTGAATAGTATTGCTCTCGCTCACCGTGGTGGTATATAGCCACAATGTAAAGCCGTTTGACGTGCTCCCCTCCAGTGCAAAATGGTTGGCATCCATAGCGCTGACCTGACTACTATAATCGCCCGTCTTATAGGCATGTTTATCATCCATGTCAAAGGGAATGCCAATTTCCGTGAAGACCATGGGATGGCTGCCCATATACTTCAAGCTCTCATCCCGCAAGAACTTAAGTTGATCGCGCAAGCAATTGCGAATCGCGGTCTCTCCGATCTTGATGGCAAAAGCGGGCGTGAGATATTTGCCACGAAGGACACCAATCACATCCACATTGTATAGTCGATTCCTGCGGTGGTCATGGTCAGCAGTGCGAATGGCAACACAGAACCATGTTACTTACCAGTGCTTCGTCAACAATGTGAGACCATCATAGTAGTGTACTGCGTGCACCATGTTAGGGTCATCGTCCACCGTCCCTTTCAAGTCGGGCGGAACCTCCATGACAGGAGGTTGACAGAACAAGATCGCTTCTGGCCACACACTCCTGAGCGCATCTCTATAAGCCCGGTAGTGCTCCATGAAGTAGGTATTGGTGAAGACATCGTAGTTCAAAGGTTCGCCTGTTCGCGGATGCTTGGCAAAATAGTCCTTCCGTAGTACTTGATCGGATGATGGATCCCAAACGCCATGCTGAGCCCAGAGACATTCACCCAATTTCCAAGACGGGTCTCTCTTCCAACCATATTTATCATCGTCGTAGTCTGCTGGCAACCAAGCTGATTCACCCTCCGGGTCAATCAATTCTCTGCCGGTCTGATGAGGCCCAAAGCCACCAAAAGCCCAGGTTGTCTCCTCACATGCGCGCCCCGAGCCCGTAAGCATGGCCTGGAAGGCAGTAGGCGAGGTGCCCAATTGAAGTTGTTGATCAGGTGGGATCACGGAGATATCCTGGAACCCAATCAGGCCTCTGTGGGGTTCATTCATGCTCTCCCATCCGATAACTACGTCATTTTCGATATCCCCAGCCTCATGAACCTTCTGAGCAAAGTACTTGCATGCTGCAATAAAATGTCCCTGAAGATAGTCCTGAATATTCATGCCATCGATGATCGCCTTAGGGGCGAAGTCTCGACCTCCCCAGAATAATGTGAACATGGTCTGACAGACCAGCCTTGTGTAATTCGTACTCCAAATCATTTTAGGGAATTCTGCCGGGTTGTCGTACGTGTTTTGCACCAGGGCTGCTTCGGTCTTCTTGAATGCTCGGGGGTTTAAGCCCGCCGCATAGAGAGTCCACGCGGGAGCACCAGAGCCCCCTGATAATCTCGACCACTTGATACATATAATCAGTTTGGTGGGTATCAAAAGCGAGGCGAGCTGAGGGAACCTACCACATCCTGATGTGGATCCAGGAAGACGAAAAATTTGTACTGCTTTGCAATGCGGAGAACCTCGATGGTAAATGTAATCCATTCATCGTCATACTTTCCCGGACCTTCATGCTCGATCGCCTCCCATGTGAAGATATATCTTATCGTGTTATAGCCCCACTTGCGTAGTCGAGCGAAATGGGTGTGTGCATCCTCAAGAGAAAAGGGTCGGCCAACAAAAGAGACATTGTCTGCATCGAAGAAGCTATCGGAGACGTAGGAAGGAGTATCCGGGTTCTTCGGGTATTTGGACTCTCCGGCGACGTTGATTCCTCTCAGGGATATTTCGCGATTGTTGGCATCTTTGAAAGTTGAACCGTCTATTCGAAGTCGAAGAGAGCCCATTTTTATCTCTTGGGTTCAGGTTGCAGTACCGCAAGCGATAGAAGTAGATAAGCGGGTGCTGGCGGGCGCCTGGGACAATGCGGAGGGAGTGTCACGACAGTATAAATGATGAGAACAAGTGATGACAACCCAGTCCGACTTGGCAGTACCTCAAAACGACTATATTGTTAGAAGGCAGAGGTTAGTTAGTCCTTACAGTGAAGACAAACAGGACCAAGTGAGGTGTCAAACGGATTGGCGCTAACCTTGCAGGAACAACGGATTAAAAGCAAACGGCAATGGACTTGGCGTCTGAGGGGCGAAGTGAAGTAAATCTGATGATCTTGAATCTGAGAGACTGTATTCCGACAGGTCAGTGTGTGTTTCTGTTCCTCCTATAATCTAGTAATTGAAACATGTACATATACGTTATCAGAGACATTGGACTGAACTACGCAGTCCAGCCTGAGCGATAACGACGGGAACCTCTGACGTACCTTAGCTTTTCCCACTCGGGTTTCCCCACACAGCCCGCCCGCCCGGCCTTTTCTCAATCCTGCTCCAACCCGCTAGCAATTCGTTCCCTTACACCCAAGCACAGAGTTGCCTGAGACTTCGGCAAGGCCATGCAGCGATTGCCTTAGAATGGCAAGCAAAGCGGCTCTCAAGGCAGTGCGCACTGCGCTGGACTCGAAGGATTTCGAGCTTGCAGCCGAGAAAGCTAAGGAGATTGTCAAGAAGGACCCCCAAATCTACCATGCGTACGGATTACTTTCGCTCCTCCGAGTCTCCCTTGCCTTCATCCCGGGGGTTGCACGTCACTGACTTGATTCATCTTTTAGCAATGTCTTTCTAGGTCTTGCGCTCGACAAGCTCAACAAGAACAGTGAAGCCGAAGTGGCCTACCTCTCAGCTATCCGTGTGAAGGACAACGACAAGACAGCCTGGCAAGGTCTCATTAACCTGTACGAGAAACAAGGCGCGTATAAGCTGGACCAATATCGCGAGGCGGTCATCAAACTTGGCTTACTATTTGCGGAAGTGTACGTGTGCAAATTCTCGCTGTGTGCCGAAATTGAGTTCTGGGCTAGCTGCTGACTGAGCCCAGCGATGACAAGCATCGTTGTCAAGATCTCTTAGACAAGTATGTCGGATTTGCCAAGAAAAATGGTTCTCGATCGCAACAAAAGCAAGCCCTTGAGCTGCACCTCCCATCGTCTCCGCTCTACGAATACCTTCAAGGCAGGATTCCTCATCCTTCCCACACCTACCTCCGCTTGATTGAGATAACTGAGGCGGAGGAGAAGGAGTTCATAAACCGGGAAATAGGTGAGAGGCGTACACGTCTTGGCGCGAAGATTGATCAAGTCACGTTGGAGGTCAAAAGGGAAGCGTTCAAGCGCAGCGAGCTTGAGCAGCTCTATCGTGGTATTGTGGATTGGTCTCATGACGACCAGGTTCGACGCACCTACGAGGAGAAGTCCTTGCAGCGCGCCTATGACTTCCTCACAGTTCTCCCAGCGAATGAGAAGGAAGCGAAGCGGGCTGAAGTATTACAGGCTGCGCGGGATATGGTCATCATCAAACATCCTTTTGAACTAGCCTGGAAGATCGTGTTGGAATGGCATGATATCCAAGACTTCCAGGAATGGGATCACAATTTTCTGGATGACTTCATTGAGTTCTTTCCTGAGGACGGACTTTCTAAGGTCCTTAAAGGCTTCCTTGCTAGTGATATTTCCCCTTTTCCCAAGGAGACAAAGGAGGAGGAAGAGTCTAAGCAGAGGAAGAGTTCCAAGGACTCCAAAGCCGAAGAACACGAGTCTGATGAGAATAATGGCGAGCTGAATGAGTTGGCTGCTCAGGACCACCTGCTTCTGATGGTCGAAGGTCTTGAGACTTCATCTACCTCAATCGTCGCACATCGAATCGTAGGAGAACTCTACCTGACGCTTGAAGAGTACGAAAGTGCGGCAGATATCTGTCGTAAAGGCCTCCGAAATATCCAGGACGTGGTCAGACGGGCGGGGCTCAAACTCACAAACAGCACCGATGCGATCAATATTATGCTTGCGAATTCTCTAATCTACTACCAATCTCCACGCTACCACCCTGAGGCGAAGGGCATCTTTGAGGAGATTCTGAAGCGAAAGCCAACTTCGACCAGCTGCTTGCTTGGCATTGGCCTTATCCTCGAGGTCGATGAGGATTACCCAGAGGCTGTAAACTTCCTGGAACGTGCGCTAGCACGGGATCCATCGAATATCAAGGTTCGCGGGGAGCTGTCCTGGTGCCGAGCGCTCAACGGCGACCTCGAATCCGGTCTGGATGGACTTCAAGAGGTGCTATCGGATCTCCGTGAGTCGCAGACTGAAAATCGGGACTTCAAGGCGGAGATACTATACAGAGTGGGTTACTGCCAGTGGGAGATGGATCCGTCGCCCGCTGCACGCAAGGACCGTAACGGAGCCTACGCCAGTTTCCTTGCTTCGATTCAGACCAATATGAATTTCGCCCCTGCCTATACCAGCCTTGGATTATACTATGCAGACTACAAAAAAGACAAGACGCGAGCCAAGAGATGTTTCCACAAGGCCTTTGAACTGTCTCCGTCTGAGATTGAAGCTGCAGAGAGGCTGGCACGTGCGTTTGCTAATCAGCGGGATTGGGACCTTGTCGAAGCTGTAGCCCAGCGCGTGGTGGATTCAGGCAAGGCCAAACCAGCTCCGGGGTCTAAGCGCAAGGGCTACAGTTGGCCGTATGCAGCTCTGGGAACTGTCCAAATCAACAAACAGCAGTATCCGAAGAGTATTGTCTCGTTTCAAGCAGCGCTGAGAATAGCTCCTAATGATTACCATTCATGGGTCGGCTTGGGTGAGAGTTACCACCACTCCGGAAGGTATATTGCTGCAACCAAAGCGTTTGAGCATGCGCGAGCCTTGGAGGAGACTCTCTCGGAGGGGGACAAAGAACAAATCTGGTTTGCGAGATACATGCTTGCGAACGTCAAGCGGGAGCTTGCCGATTATGATGTTGCCATTGCGAGTTATGAGGATGTCTTGAAAGTCAGGCCGACTGAGATTGGAGTCTTGATCGCCTTGCTCCAGACGCTTACAGAAGCCTCTTGGAAGAGCCTGGAGATGGGGCGGTACAATGACTGCATTGAGCTTGCCCGGCAAGCGGTATCTACCGCCAAATCACTTGCCATGGAGAGGGTCGATGTATTCAACCTCTGGAAGGGCATTGGTGATGCATGCACTCTGTTCTCCTACGTGAAGTCCAAGGCAGACAGACAGCCCATTGCGGAACTGCAGACTTTGCTTACAACCCAGCTAGAACCGACGGCCTTAGACATCATGACAGACGTTGACGAAGTCGGGGCCGAGTCCCTGTTATCGCTCACAGCCGAGGGAGAAAGTATCAGCCCGTCGAATAAATGTCTTTATGCCGCAATTCTGGCCTTCAAACGTGCCATCCAAGTCTCACTTCGAGATACTCATGCTCAAGCTGTAGCCTGGTACAATCTCGGCTGGGCAGAATACAGAGCTCATAGAAGTCTGCAGCTGAGTCCGACGTCCGAAAACAAGAAGCAAGCTCGCAAATTTGTTAAGGCGGCTATGCGCTGCTTCAAGCGAGCCATTGAATTGGAGGCTGGAAACTCGGAATTCTGGAATGCACTTGGTGTGGCGACTACAAGCATGAGCCCAAAGGTTGCTCAGCATTCATTCGTGCGAAGTCTACATTTGAACGACCGCAGCGCTCAGGCTTGGACGAACTTGGGATCGCTATATCTCCTTCATAATGATATCCAATTGGCAAATGAAGCATTTACTCGAGCACAATCTACCGATCCAGACTATGCTCCGGCTTGGGTCGGCCAAGGTATTCTCGCACTCCTGTTTGGAGATTCGCGGGAAGCCAGAGGCTTGTTTGAGCACGCCTTTGACATTTCCAGCTCATCGTCGTGCATGCCCAAGAAGCAGTATACGATGAGCTTGTTCGACCATCTGCTGTCTGATTCTTCTGTCTCCAACGAAATCTCGCAACTAATCCAGCCCTTCTTTGCCCTCCACCAGCTCTCCAGCCAGGAACCCTCCGATCTGCCTTTCGTCCATCTTTCTTCCCTCCTAGCGGAGAGAATTGGCGAGTTTTCGGATGCCGAAATGAGCTTACGAACTGTCTGCGCGGGCATGGAAGCCGAGTACGAGGAGTCAGAGTCCGCATCATCGCTCTCACGCTATGCACAAGCCAACGCAGATATTGCCCGTGTCCTTCTTGCCCGTCATGAGTACGAGGAAGCCGCCGAAAAGGCGGAAACGGCGCTTATGCTCTCTGGTGAAGAGGACGCAGAAAAATTCGATCCCGAGACAAACAAGAAGCTGCGCCTGTCAGCACATTTAACTGCGGGGTTGGCACATTACTTCTTGAAATCCATGGACAACGCTATTGATATGTTCCGTGATGCTCTTGGAGAGGCAGACAATGCCCCAGAGGTGGTGTGTCTTCTGGCACAGGTGCTGTGGGCGAAGGGCGGAGAGGAGGAACGCGCCGTCGCTCGCCAGCAGCTGTTCGACTGTGTCGAGGAGTACCCTGACCACATCGGCGCCGTCACCCTTCTCGGGGCTATTGCGTTACTAGACGATGATAGAGATGCAGTTGAAGCTGTCGAATCGGACCTCCGCAATATGATTACTCGGGATGATATAGAGATTCATGAGCGCGGCAAGCTGATCAAGCTTCTCACTGCAGTGTCTACCCTGGGGTACGCGGACAGCTCAGACGCCCCCGAGGACGTAAGACGGATTGGGGAAGCCACGGCAGCAGTGATGCGGTCGCCCGCCGAACCCCAAGGCTGGGTGGAGTTGTCATCGGCTACACGGGAGTTGTATCCCGCTGAAATGGCTGTCAAGCGAGCCTTGAGAAGTGTTCCTCCTCGCAGCAACCTGGAAGCTATTGACCTTGCTGCTGCGTACGCCCAAACCGGAAAGGCAAGCGACGCACTGAGGGCGATTATGGTGGCACCGTGGCAACAATCCGGGTGGGAAGAATTGAGTCATGCAGTATCCACAATCGAGTAGTTGCTGTCCTGAGACGGGTCTCCAAATGTGAAAGGCGAGACGACGTAAGCTAAAGCTGTGTTAGATAGAGATGATCTACGAGATACAGAGATTAGAAAAGAACAAGAAACATACCACAATGGATGTATTCCCTGGCCAACGGCCTCACCCAGACTGACCCTCACCTTGCAACTCCGTAATTCTGGCTAACAACCTCGCCTTCCTCCCCTCCTTCCACTTTTGATCCATGTTTTCAATCTTCCCTCCCAGGAGCGTCACACAGTCTGGCGAGAGTAAGATCATCCCGCGCGCCACCGTTGCATTCCGAATGACCAGCTTCGCTCCAATCGACAACTTAGCCGTCGATATGCCCTGCACGGACTTTAATTCAAGAGCTACAGCCCTCGTTCCGGCCGCGTCCTGCACAATCAGCCGATGCGGCCCATGACTGTCGTTTGCAGCCGGCCCAATCCTGCTCCTCTCTCCACCTCCTCCTCCTCCGCCTCCGCCTCCAGCAGCGCCCTCCTCCTCATCATCACCAACATTAACCGCTCGCACAATCTCCCGTCCACGAACCGCCTCCCCGCGCTCGACGCGCTCGATTGCCTCCAGCTGACTCCACAGACTCGTCCCGATATCCTCGATATCCAGCACCTGCACGGGCACGGGACCCTGCAGCCGGCGCTCCTGCACGGTGGGATCGAAGATGTCAACCGGGAGGAGGGTGGCAGGGTTGTTGGTCTGGAGCGAGTCGCGCAAGTCAGAGGCCAGAAGGCGGAATAATGCGGTTTGGGTGAGTGCGGAAATGGGGACGTTGCGCTGCAGGGCTGTGGTGGAGGAGGAAACGAAGCTGTTAACCCAAGCTGGGGAGACGGGGAGGGATCGGGTGGATTGAAGTTGGGCGGCCATTTGGGCGGCCATTTGGGATTGTGGGCTTGTCATTGCTTGGGATTGATGTAGCTCGCACTGTTATTATAGAGAATATGAAGGGTGATGGGTCGGAGGTGTGAGGTTTAGAGAATTGGTGGGAGCATGATTCTGTCTGGTTTGGTTTGGAGTGAGTGAGGGGGAGGGAATGACGGAAATTGGAGAAATTGTTTGGGCGGGTGGGGGGGGGGGAGCGGAATCCGGGGTGGTGAAAGAGAGCATCATCTCCCCTTAATTTCTTCCCGCCTCATCATCAACAATCCAACACATTTCATTGACTTCAACAGTCATTTTTTACTCGTTAATATAATATTAACACTTTCTCTACTACAATTGCTATTGCCCACGCTATACCGTTCTGTCTCTTTTACATCAGCACGCACCAGTCCAGTCCATTACCAGCACAACTACTTACAGCCTACCCTGCCACATCCCATCATGTCGACCCTCTCCTCCCCCCGTCCCTCAATTGCTTCATCCCGCGCCCACTCGCCCACCCCGACCTCCTCCCACCGACCGTCCCTCGATACCCTCAACACAAACCTCGGCAATAACGGCGGACTCAGCGCCTCGTCCACCCCCTCCACAGCCCGCGCCGTCTCCCCTTCCCTCCACCCGCGCCGCAACCGCGCCGCCCTCCGCGATTACTACAACCTCCGCCCCTCCGATGCCGCCGCTGGCGTCGGGCGCCGTTCCCGCAGTATCCCCCGCCAGAGCGAAGGCGACGGGCCTACATTCAACAACAACAATCACAACAGTACATCGTACGTCGTGGCAACAGGCACCGAACTCGACAGCCCGGACTTCGACCCCCAGCGCTATGTCAGCCACCTCCTGGCCACCTCGTCCTTGTCCACGGTGCTGAAAGCAGAGAACACCTTGGTCGGGGATATCCGCACGCTTGACAGCGAGCGGAAGGCGTTGGTCTACGATAATTACTCCAAGTTGATCCGGGCGGTGGAGACCATTGGCAAGATGCGGCGCAGTATGGATGATCGCGGGGCGCCGTTGACCATGTCCAAGACCCTGGGGCCGGCGATTGCGTTTGTGGCGGAGACGGCGGGTAGTTTGATCCAGGAGGGTGAGGAGCAGCAAAGACGGATACGAGAGGCTAAGGTGGAGGAGGGGACGGAGCGGAGGAAGGCTGAGAGGCAGACGGTGCAGTGGGTGCTGGGTGCGCCGGAGAGGTTGGAGAAGTTGCTTGCGGAGGGTAAAGCTGAGGAGGCGGAGAGGGATTGGGAAGAGGTGAGGAAGTTGCTGGGGAAGTGGGAGGGGGTTAAGGGTGTTGCTGAGGTCCGGGAGGCTTGTGAGAAGGTGCTGGAGGGAGGGGATGAGTCCTCTTGAGATGAGCTAGACGATCGCCTACACGCACTTGGTCGACCGTTGCTTGTCAGGAGTCGGAGTACCATGGATTCTCTCAAGCGGGGGACAGCGATGGACGACAAGCTGGACCAAGTCGTCGGGAGTTGAGATTGAGATGCTATTGACACCGCGAACCCGTTCTCATACCATGATTGTGGAACCAGGACATATTCGCAGCCTGCTCGGTCTGCCAGGCTCATGACTTCATGCATTCATTATCTCACAATTGCCCATATATGTACAGTGTTGTATGAACACAAGAATATCCAGCAACTCTACCGCAGCTCACATCTCACCTCGCAACACATCCCGACTCGAGAACCGACTCGCCTTCAGTCCCCAGGGATTGTTTGCCATGATCTCCAAGTGTGTGAATGCATCACACTTGTAGTAAATGGGCTTCTCGTCTTCTTTCACCAGCTGCAACTCTATCATCTTCTTCAGCACCCGGGCTACATCCTCACGATCCTCGTGGTCTTGGGTGTATATGGCAATCAGTCGCGCTCTCCCCTGTCCGTCATCTGTTGCGACCTTGGCCCCGAACCCCAGCTCTCCGCGAACAGTCGCCTCAGCGACCACAGCCCAAACTTCATCGACCCGATCTGCCGTGATGAACAGCATCCACTTCCCAGACACCACCCCCGTCTGCCTCGCCAGCACAAACAATTCCCTCTCGAGCTCCTGGCGCCGACGGAGCAACGCCCGCGCTGCCGCCTGCCGGGAGCCAGCCGGGGCAGTATCGCGCTGCAACTGCAACGCGGCTTTGTCATTTTCATATCGATGAAGAGCCCTGGTCCCCTCCGCCACCAGTCTCGCGGTGTCCGCCTGGATATGCCTTGGCTCCGGTGCCGCGACGTAGATCCACGGCCCGATCGCATCGGCAGGGGTGTTGGAGGGCGTCAATCCTGTCGCTGTGTGCAATGATGTTCGGTGGCCCCCGGAGAAAACATCCGTCATGACCGTGTCGCCATCTCTGGAACCTTCCTCTGTCTTCACTGCAGAGGGGGGACTGGTCTTCGAGTATGTCGAGTCTCGTGGAGGAAAACTGTAACTCCTCGGCAAAGCATTATTCTTGTCCTTCGGCTCGTCCTCCTCTTGCTTGATACTGGCATCAGTCATCACGTCGTCGTCGCTTTCTGTCTCTGTCGAACTCTTCTCCGCCTCTGCCTTCTGCTGCGCCTTTAGCGCTTTCCAGCGAATCGTATTGAATTCGTACGGATGGATCCTCTTCCAGTAGTAGTTGACGTCGTAATGCCTGACTAGACCTTCTAATCGCTTGACCTCTTCATCAGAATCATCATCACCTGTTCCCCCCAGTATCAGATCAGTATTGTCTTCGTACGTTCCAACCCCCTTAAAACAACACCTCTCGACCGATGAGGAAGATGGGGGGAAGAGTGGAATCCCTACCATAAAAGCTAGACTCATCCGAGATCTCATCCACCGTGACCTCCCGAGCCATGGATAAGGTAGGTAACCGGAGGTCGTTCCCGAGTCCAAAACCACCCAACTCAGCTGCTATTGTTACGGCGATTCCTATTGGATAAACGCAAACTGTGGCTGTGGCTCAATGTGAAACTCTCTGACTGAAGCGGTACTTTGTTGTACCGACTGATTAAGTAACAAGATATGGATGGTGGAACTGAGCAAATGGTCGATGAAAAGTTGATGGGGGGAAGAGTATCGCTACGCTAAAAGTGGGGACTGAGGCTAGACATGGATGGCCATGACGCAATGCTAATTTCCTATCTTTTTTCCAAATTTTTGTTGTGAGATGGGCGTTTGGTGCAGTGAATTTGATGGGCGGGTGTTGACACACTTGTTGACTGGTCTACTTTGCTATGTATGTATTTTGCGGGGGTGCGGGATGCTGTTCCACGGGTGTGTGTTTCTTTGTCTGAGAACATCCTTGGCTTTCGCTTGACGGAGGTGTGGGCGGGACTTGACAAGTGAGGTGGAAGAGTCGGTTTGTGGTTGGATCATGTCATTTTCTTTTGTGTGCTACTGTGATTCAATTTGTGCTTTGCAGTCGGATGTTTTTGCGGCTGATAACTAGTACGTTATGTAGTATATACTTTTCGTCTGAGGGGTTCGTTTGACAGCGGGTGGCGGGGATCATATGTATCAGTGACGGCACCCCACGGTTTATTTTTCCATGCGAAAAACTAGTAACTAGTAGTATTACATCTTTGCATTTATTCAGAACAGACTAAGCGAGGGAGCTTCAAGAAAGGTCATCCCTACGACAATCAGGAATAATCTTGCTACTTCCTTTGGTCCGTGAACCTTAATCAACACCGAGTCTGACCCCCAATACTAGAACTACTACTACTACTACTACTACTACTACTAGTATGTACAGTATGATGTACTCACACTTCTATAGTGAGGGAGGAACAAACTTATACTAATAAGATGTAAATTGTTTGCCCCATCTTCTTCTCTTCTCTGTTCCTCTCAACACCTCTGATCATTCTGATCCTCTTATTCTTGCAAATCAGAATGGTTTTTTTATACTAACTCCTATCCTGGTTTCCTCTATCGCCAGTTTCTCGTCGATCCTTCCAAGGCGCCGTCCTCCACCTCTCTTGACGACCAAGCTGGACTCGTGACAGGCTCAACACTGGACTGGGCTATCATGCTTCCTCGCAGTTACAACAGCCATTATGTGAGTGACAACAAGCCTGCACCATTTGTGGCTAAGGATAAGAGCGGGTTTGGGAGAGCGATCCAGCATCAGGTTAGGGATGAGACAATCTTGGAGCTGCAGCAAGCGGTGGACGTAGAGCAGATTTTGTCGAAGATTTGAGAACCCTAGTTACTATGTATTGCAACCCTCCTGCTCTCCCAGATCTTCTGATCTCAGCTGCTTAGTTGTCTGGATATGTCCTAAAGCTGTCGATTGTCCCAATACTAGGTAGTCACGAGAGAATGAATTTTTCAGTAGGAGTGGACTCATAAGCTGACTACCTGCTCCTGGTCAATCACCCAAGTTACTTCTGACTTGCATGACTAGTTAATCTCCCCATCTTACGATGAACCGAGATTCAGCTGTCGAATAGCTGCATTGCTTTGTTGACTGTATTATGGTTTCCACAGCCGAAATCCCGAGGGAATATGTTACGGATAACGCATTTCTGAGTAGCATTAGGGGAGGGGTTGAGTCTCTTTTCTGGTTTCAGGATAGGAGTACAGACGGTTCCCCTTACTAGAGCAGCCTTCCAGGTAATGGGTCCACGGGTGGTAAGACAATCATGAGCTTGCGAATTCTTTTCGGTTGATTTTACAGCATGTGTGGCTTGAGTTGTGACCCACGATTTGACCACAGCAAATGAAGTGCGAAAGACTGACAAGCATGGAGTAGGTCTAAGGAGTACAGTACATAAGAGTAATTGTTTTCATTGGGCTGTAGCTGAATCTCCAGACTGACTCCGCCGTCATCATCGTCATTGTCATTTATCATTCCGCATCATTACTGATAAATGCACAGCAACTTTTATTCATTGCAGCTAGCCGCGCATCCACTACTGGCTCTCCCAAGTGGTCGGCACCGCAGGGTAGTTCTTCGCGTCGAGGCCAAGATCCTCATAGATCGTGTCATCGCCTGCTGGATATTAGCCTTGGTGCCTGAAAATGATTCGTCAAAGAGAATCTGTGAAGACAAACTCACCACGCAAAGATTCCACCCGTTCCTCATTTTCCTGTTCGAGAAGTTCAAGTTCTTCTACGGGTTGCACCTCATCGGCTTTCTTGCCGTCCTCCTCTGCAGTTGCAGCCTTTCCAAGCTCGTCCACGGCCTCTCCCACTACGAGGAACTGCGCATTGGGATAATCGATGAACTCAGGCTCCAAGGGCCTCCAGCGGTAATCGCCGAACTTGGCAAGCACACTGCCAGCATCAGTCAGCAAATGCAAATCTGAGTAAAAGACGAAAAAGGCCGTGGGTGGAACAGTCCCTACCTGTCGGGATACTCGGGATCCTTGGGGAGTTGAGCGTACGAGGGCCCGGGGTGTTTGGGGTTCTTCGACTGCACGACCCAACTTCCGCGGCTTCGTAGGCCAAAGTCTTCTTGAAGAGATCCGATCTGGTCCGGAATCGTGAGAACGTACGCCAGATGGGAGGTTCGCTTGGTAGATGTGATTGCGTAGACGCCTTCGGCATACGGCCGGGCATCGGGAACGGTACGCTCGCCCTGAGTGGCTGTGTCATAGTGGTCTCCGGCGATAAAACTTTCCTGCAGTGCTTTCATGGAATGTCCGGCTTTCTCGACGAATCCCATTACTCGATCCCGACCGGAAGTTGGGAACCTCTTCTTTGGAAGAGCCATCAGGCGGCATTTGGCGCCGGTGTCCACTGGACCCTGCTTCGCATCCAAGGTAGCACCCAAGGGAGTCGGCCGCAGGACCACGAAAGTGCGCGCAACATCATCCACGCTCTGGGGGTCAGTCACGTTGACTCGAGATCGGTAAAAGAAGTAAATGATTCCCTTCTCAAGGATATTTGATGGGACCTTCTCCTCTCTCTCCTGTGACGTCTGCACGCCGGCTTCGGTGTCCTTGGTAGAAGCTGGATTTTCTTCCTTGTCCTCTGCTTGGACATCCTTGGGTTTTTCCTCATCATCCACTTCCATTTTGTCCTCGGGCTTCTCGTCGGCATTGCTTTCGTTGGGTTCCTTTGCTTGTTCGGTTTCAGACTTCGCCTGTGGCTTCTCCTCTGAGGGTTCTTCTGCCTGCTTCTCTGAGTCTGCCTTTGGTTTCTCCTCTGCCTTGTCCTCTGACTCGTTCTCCGGCTTCTCCTCCAACTTACCGTCAGGCTCTTCGTCAGGCTTTTCAGGCTTGTCCATAGACTTTTCTTCGGCCTTCTCAAGCTTCGTTTCGGGCTTGTCTACCTCATTGGAATAGTCTGCCTACTGTCAATTGGCATTCGAGCTGGATGTCAAGACATAGTACCTTTAGGTGCTTGCGCCTTAGTTCCGGCCGCGGGTTTCTGAGCTTCATTTAGCTCCTTGTCGGCCTCTTTCTTGCTGCGCTTGGTATCCACCCCTTTGTCGGCACTGCCTTTGCGCTTTGCGCCCGCGGTACCTCGACTTTTCACATCAGGAGCCGCCGCAATGGCTTCCTTCGCCTTCTGGGCGGCCTGGCGCGTGGAAGTTCGGGTTGCCATTGTGACTATGCGCGCTGGCTGGTTAAGCGAATTTGACGGCCAAGAAGATGAGGAGTTGATGACAAGAATTGGTGCGTGGAGATGAATGATAGCAACAAGAGGATAAGGGGATAAGAGGATAAGAGGACGGACGAAGGTCAGAATTCCATCTATTGGCCGTAAGCCGTCGACATAGAACAGTCTCAAGTGACGGCGATGAGTAGCTGGTGACGTCATGGAAGAATCCAGCTTCTTCGGGCCTAGCGTAACTGCACTACGTCACGTGTCACATGCTGCGAGGACGCAGAACCCGCAACAACCTCGTAGGAGTTGGAGCTGAGGTAGCTTGGATAACTTCTGAGCATCGATGATACTGGCTCAATCGAGGTCCATCCGATCAAGCGCAGTGGTCTGTTGGAGATGAGAACTACTGAGGTCCGCGGAAGGTGATTGAGACTCGTGACTGTCTGCTGGCCCTGTCTCACTGGCTTCCCCATGCCAGAATACCTCAGTGAATAGACCTAAATGATTCCTTGAACGCTGGCTCCGCCTACGTTGTCTCTTGGGACGCCCGCCAATTCCCCCCTCTGAAGTAGCGGAGGAGGTGTTAATCCCAGATGGCCGGACTAGACGGTTTGATGCAGTCGGAGCGTTTGACGGCTTTCGCTTCGTCCCCCTTTTGGCGGCAAAGCTTGAGCGACGGCTGGTAGGATCGGAATCACAATATAGGCCCTCCATCGAATCTGCTAAATCCCCTGACTCGTTATCCACGCTTCCACCGAGAAGCAACGCAGATTTTGGTCTCGCAGTTGTGGTCTCCCATGCGTCGGCAGGCTCGTCGTCAGGTTCTTCAATCGCATACGGCAATACTACTGTCGTCTGGGGTTCTTGGTGGCTGTTAACGGAGTGCTTCTCGTGCGCAGCAGGTTGCTGTGTGGCCGCGGCGGCTTCTTGATCCAAGCACGCGGGGTCATCCCGGAGCGGGGACAAAGGAGGCATCGCGCTTTCTTTGACTTCAGTCATGGTGTTTCAGCCGGTGTCGCAACGCAATACTAGAATGAATAAATAGCCCTTTCTTCATGGGGTGTATGTGCTGCTCTGAGAAGCGTTCTCAGTGCCTGCATGTGGCATTCAATGACTTGGGCGGGGAAGTTGCTCGTTTATGTGAACGATCTCATCATGAGTCTGTAGTCTTAATTCACCATAGTGGAAGTAGAAACGCGTAAGAAGATTTCAATGTAAGTAGGGTAAACGAGAGCTCAAACAGTTCCAGTGAGAGACAAAGCGTAATGGGGCTGGGGAAAGAAGTCGTATTGGGTTGCATTATTTTGTCGCAAGCCATGCGGTCCCACCGCTCCGACAACGGGCGGAAGGCAACAAACCCATGATATCACATTCGGTCGAGCTCACTCTGCTTGAGGTCCAACAGGAGGACAATAACTCATTGTCAGGTGAAATAAGTTCAAGTAATCAAGGTACTTGTAGCTGCAGCAGAAACCTGAGCTTCAGACTAAGTCGAAAGGCCATTTCCCCTGGCAGCTGCTCACCGCCGGGGCCCATCATTGGCCCCTGGGACTCGCTTATTGGCTGCCGACACAATAAGTCCACGTTTACCGCCATCCATCCATCCAGACGGACCACGGCTGGAGTCCAGACACTCCTCCATTGCTTAACCACCTCCCCCTCTACTATCACTACTACGTCCTCCTCTACCCCTTCCCCTCCTCCTCCTCCGAACTAGTGGATGCGGTGGTCAATCCCTTGAGTTTCAATCTAATTCTCGTGTGTCGAGCTCGCTGCTATATGGTGTGGCTCCGGCCAACCCTCCTTCAAGATGCAGTCCTCCCCAAACATGCTCACTAAGGTCCGCCGGTCCCTCCCAGATCCCATTGCCCCCTCTCCCCACCCCCTAAATGGGACGGAGCTGGTCCTTTGAAAAATTGGAACTGACACCACACTCATTGCATAGTTTGAGTCCAAATCTTCCCGCGCCAAAGGAATTGCCTTTCACCCTAAGCGGTTCGTCGTCATCTGTTCGTACAACGCGTCGCAAACGCTGACCTCCGCCATAGACCATGGATTCTAGTGTCTCTTCACTCCTCCACCATTCAGCTATGGGATTACCGCATGGGAACCCTGATCGACCGCTTTGAAGAACACGATGGTCCCGTCCGTGGCATTGACTTCCATCCGACACAGCCCATGTTTGTTTCCGGAGGTGATGACTACAAGATTAAGGTCTGGAACTACCAGACCCGCCGGTGCATGTTCACTCTGAACGGTCATTTGGATTACGTGCGGACGGTCTTCTTCCACCATGAGCTGCCATGGATTCTCTCAGCCTCCGACGATCAGACGATCAGAATCTGGAACTGGCAGAACCGGTCCCTAAGTGAGTTGGTTTCTGACCACCTGTCCGGATGGCAGCTGACATTGGACCTTTAGTCTGTACCATGACCGGCCACAACCACTACGTTATGTGCGCACAGTTTCACCCCACCGAGGACCTGATCGCATCGGCCTCGTTGGATCAATCGGTCCGTATTTGGGACATTTCCGGTTTGCGCAAGAAGCACTCGGCCCCGACAACAATCTCCTTCGAGGATCAGATGGCCCGGGCCAATCCCGGCCAAGCAGATATGTTCGGAAACACAGATGCAGTGGTCAAGTTTGTCCTAGAGGGTCATGATCGTGGAGTCAACTGGGTCTCCTTTCACCCGACTCTGCCTTTGATCGTCTCCGCCGGTGACGACCGGCTCATCAAGCTATGGAGAATGAGTGGTACGTTGGGCAAGCCGATTTGGAGCCTAGTGGCGGTATTAGCTGATACGACTCTATAGACACGAAAGCTTGGGAGGTCGACACGTGCCGCGGGCATTTCCAGAACGCCTCTGCCTGTCTGTTTCATCCACACCAGGACTTGATCCTCTCCGTCGGCGAAGACAAGACAATCAGATGCTGGGACTTGAATAAGAGAACGTCCGTACAATCGTTCAAGCGCGACTTGGACCGGTTCTGGGTCATCGCTGCCCACCCCGAGATCAACCTTTTTGCTGCTGGTCATGACACCGGTGTCATGGTTTTCAAGCTGGAGAGAGAGCGACCTGCCTCCGCCGTGTACCAGAACCAGTTGTTCTACATCACCAAGGAGAAACATGTCAAGTCCTACGATTTCGGTAAGAACGTTGAATCTCCTCCTATGCTCTCCCTGCGCAAATTGGGATCTCCTTGGGTTCCCCCTCGTACCCTCTCATACAACCCTGCCGAGCGTGCCATCCTGGTCACGTCCCCAACGGATGGTGGCGTGTACGAATTGATCCACCTTCCGAGGGATGCTACCGGTGCTGTGGAGCCTACCGATGTCAAGCGTGGTCAGGGAACGTCTGCTGTCTTTGTTGCGCGCAACCGCTTCGCCGTCTTCAGCCAAGGCAACCAACAGGTAGACATCAAGGATCTCAGCAATGCGACAACGAAATCGATCAAGCCTCCTGTAGGCACCACTGACATCTACTTCGGTGGAACCGGATGTCTTCTCTTCATCACTCCTACCTCGGTCGTTCTTTTCGACATTCAGCAGAAGAAGCAATTGGCGGAACTCACTGTTAGCGGCGTCAAGTACGTGGTCTGGTCCAATGATGGCCTCTATGCCGCTTTGCTCAGCAAGCACAATGTCACTATCGTGACCAAAACCTTGGAGCAGGTGAGCAGCTTGCACGAGACGATTCGTATCAAGAGCGCAGCCTGGGATGACGCTGGCGTCCTTCTCTACTCTACCTTGAACCATGTCAAATACTCTCTCCTTAACGGGTATGCTGTTCTCCCTCCCTTGAAACTATGATTGAAGCCTGACATGAAATCTGACTTGAAACAGTGACAACGGCATTATCCGTACCCTTGACCAGACAGTTTATCTTGTTAAGGTCAAGGGCCGAAGCGTTTACTGCTTGGACCGTAGCGCCAAGCCCCGCGTCTTGGACATTGATCCTACTGAGTATCGGTTCAAGCTTGCATTGGTGAAGAGGAACTACGATGAGATGTTGCAGATCATTAAGACTTCCAGCTTGGTCGGTCAAAGCATTATCTCGTATCTGCAGAAGAAGGGTTACCCCGAGATCGCGCTGCAATTCGTGCAAGATCCCCAGACCCGCTTCGAGCTTGCGCTCGAGTGTGGCAATCTGGAGGTAGCTATCGAGATGGCTCGCGAGCTGGATCGGCCCAATCTGTGGAACAGACTGGGCGTGGAGGCTTTGGCTCATGGTAACCACCAAACTGTTGAGATGGCCTACCAGAAGCAGCGAAACTTTGACAAGCTCTCTTTCTTGTACCTGGCGACTGGTGATCAGGAGAAGCTGTCCCGCATGGCTAAGATTGCTGAGCATCGCGGCGACTTCACCTCGCGCTTCCAGAATGCTATCTACCGTGGTGACGTCGAGGACCGAATCCAGATGTTCAAGGAAGTCGATCTTTGTAAGTCTGCTAACCCATACTCAATTTGGAATTTGGTGTCTAACCTGATGCAGACCCGCTCGCATACCTCACTGCCAAGTCCCACGGTCTGACCGAGGAAGCCGAGTCGATTCTCGAGGCTTGCGGTCTCACGGAGGACCAGATCACACTCTCTAAGATTGACGAGCCCCTGCGCGTGCCTCAGCCCATTGTTCCCACCTTCAAGGCTAACTGGCCTGTCAAGGCGGCTGCTCATTCCTCCTTCGAGAAGGCTCTCCTCGGAGAGGTCGGTGCGGGCGACGATGAGGTGGCCGCGATTGAGTTTGAACCCGAAGAGGAGGATGAGGTTGCTGCTGCGCGTGACAACTTCGAGGAAGAGGAGGAAGATGTTGCCGGTTGGGATATGGGAGATGAGATCAACGTGGAAGAGGACGCCGAGTTCGTCGATGTTGAAAGTGCAGAGGCAGGTGCTGGCAGCACGGAAGCCGATCTTTGGGCTCGCAACTCCCCCTTGGCAGCGGATCATGTCGCTGCCGGTTCCTTCGAGACGGCCATGCAGCTCCTTAACCGCCAAGTTGGTGCAGTTAACTTCGCCCCTCTCAAGCCCCGATTCATGGAGATCTACAAGGGCTCCAAGACTTACCTCCCCGCCAGTGCTGGTCTTCCCCCGTTGGTGAACTACGTCCGCCGTACTGTTGACGAGACGGACAGCCGCAAGGTTCTGCCTGTCATTCCCAGAGACTTGGAGACGATTGCCAATGTCGACCTGCAAGAAGGTTACGCCGCGATGAGGGCGAACAAGCTTGAGGATGGTGTCAAGATCTTTAAGGGTATCCTGCACTCGATCCTGCTCAACACCGTCTCGTCCGAGGCTGAAGTCGAGCAAGCGAAGAAGATCATCGCTACCGCGCGGGAGTACATACTCGCTATGTCGATCGAGTTGGAACGTCGTTCCCTTTCTACTGATACGCCAGAGGGCCTGAAGAGAAGTCTTGAGCTCTCGGCCTATTTCACTATCCCCAAGCTGGAAGTGGCCCACCGTCAGTTGGCGCTGATGGCTGCCATGAAGTTCGCCTTTGCCAACAAGAACTACTCTTCCGCTCTCAGCTTCGCCAACCGCATGCTGGCCAACGGTGGCTCGCCCAAGCTTCTGGAGCAGGTAAGAAACTTTCTAGTCTCTTTTATTTTCGATCAAGTAAACTGACTCCAAACCCAAGGCTCGTAAGATCAAGATGCAGAGCGAACGCAGCCCGCAAGACAAGATCGACATCGAGTTCGATCAATTCGCCGAGTTCGATATTTGCGCTGCTTCATACACGCCAATCTACGGTGGCTCGCCTAGTGTGTCCGACCCCTTCACCGGAGCTAAGTACCATGAACAGTTCAAGGGTACGGTGTGTCGGATTTCGGAGGTGACGGAGATCGGGGCCCCGGCTAGCGGACTCCGCTTGTTTGTCCCCGGCCAGTATTGAGGATGACGATGACGAGCCTTTTTTTTATACTGTAATTCCCCGTGTCTTGATGTGCAGATCTGATAGAAAACGATTTCTTTTCTACTAGTACGGCTGGAGGGGGCCTTGGTGCTTGCCTTTGATTTATGGGTGAACCTGCTCTGCTTGTGTAATTTCTCAGCGACATTAGGCTTCATCCCGATACTTCTTCCCAATACTTGTTCCCGTTACTTCTGTCTCTTACTTTGGAGTCACGTTCTCATGTTCCCGCTATGGTTTGTGCAAAATCAAAAGTAAAAAACGAAGAAGTAAGATGATATCACATATAACTCCAACCAATCTTCCCATGCAACACCAAACAAGAGTAGAGACTTATACAAGGGTCAAAGCCCCGGCTTATGCTATGCGAAAAGCGCAGTCCGGTAACACTATAGTACAAACAGCCCCCGAATCCCTCCCTCCCTCCCTGCCTTATCACACCCATAAATTTACACAGAACATCACATCAGCAATCAACTCCAACTCCCACACTCATTGTCCACAGACGGAAATCGACCCCATGAGCGAAGATCGAAGAACTAATCACATCGGCCATCCTTCCATCCAGTCCGCCACCTCTCCTCCCAGAACCGACAATCAAACTCCTGCTTCCCCAGCTTCCGATTCACCTCGTTATGCGCGCGGCACATCCAATCCCCAAACTCCTTCCGCCCCGCCAACCGCGGCTCGTTCTGCCCGCTGGGCTCCGCCATCCAATTCCGGAAATCATCCGCGCACACCCAGCACGGATACAGCCGCGAGAAGATCCCCAGGAAGGTGCGCATCTCCGTCTGTTGCTCCGCCGTGGCCTGCGCCGGGTAGGACGCTGTGAGCGAGTGCAGGAACGTCCAGGTGGAGCGGCCGAGTTCTTCGACGTCGGGGGGACATTGGCCGTATTGCTTTTGGGTCGTGTTGGTGGTTGTGTTAGTGCTGGTTGTGGTGGTGGTGGTGGAAGAAGGAGGAGCGGCTTTGGCTTTTTGGGTTAGGGCGCGCCAGGAGGCGGCCGAGGTGCAGAGGCGACATCTATATCCGGTGTTGTTAGATTTGGGAGGGAGAAGGTAGAGGGACGGTGGATTGGATGGGGAGGTATTTTTTGCTTGCCGGGTGGGTATGGGGATTAACGTACGGTTTGCCTTCTTTGTCGAGGATGACGCCGTTGGGGAGCTTGGTGTAGCCTGGTGGTACGTGTTCATCTTTGTTGGTGTCTTTTGTTTGGGAAGACGAGGAGGACGAGCCGGCTGCTGCTGCTGCTGCGGGGAATTGGAATTGATGCGTAAAGAGCTTCTTTGGCGACGTGGTTTGCGCTGGGTCTGTTGCGTCGGGGTGGGTTTCCGACATCGTGATGCTATGCTTTTGATGGGCTGATTAGGTTGGTCGTGAACAGATGAAATCAAAGTGATATATACGACAAGTGCCAATGCAATGAACGAGCAGATTCGTGAAATATGCGACAACTCGAAAAAGACAGAGAAATGAGTCTATACAGAGAACACACAAAAAAAAAGAGGTATAGTGAGAGGAACAATATGATCGCTGATTGGTAATATCACGCCGCCATCTCCGCGCGAAGTTTATCGACTGCCCCGATAAGCGGCTTTGTCAGCGGCATTGTTGCGGTGCAATGTGCAATTGGAAACCCTCCGACCGCTCAAGGATGCCAACCTTAAGCATACCGACGAGGTCTAGAATTAAGCTATCCTTACTGGTAGTGCCCTCAATTTATCTTTCTGACGTCTCCTAGGCTTGATGTCATATGATGCTACATACTATTGCAAATATCTGACCTAGGAATCCGATCTACTTGCGTTTGCCTCCCGTCGCGTCTGGCGCGGCCTACCCCCCGTTCGACCCCCACACGTGACGGACTCATTTACTTCCGTTCTAATTGCGTCGCATATTTACCTCGATCCATGCAGCAAACTAAAGCACAATGGCCCGAAAGTACGCGCTATCAGAGTCCGAATCGGAGCCCGAATCAGCAACCAGCCGGTCAGCTGTTCCTTCCGATGACGCGCTAGAGCAAGCTTTACGTGACACCGTCGCCAATATCTACAAATTGGGCAAGTTGGAGGAATTGACGGTCAAGCGCGTGCGACTCGCTGCAGAGAAGTCGCTCCAGCTGGACGAGGGCTTTTTCAAGACACAGGGTGACTGGAAAGCTAGAAGTGAAGAAGTCATTCGCAATCAAGTGGTTCGTCTGCCTCCTCGGGTTACTCTTGGGTTATGACGCCATTGTACCCTTCCGCTTTTAGGTTTGGAGAATCGCACTCTAACATTTTCGTTATAAACAACAGGAGAGTGAAGAAAAAGCCGCCGTGGAGTCGGCCCCAACAGACGATGAAAGTCAATCAGACCATGAATTATCTTCGGAGGACGCGAAACCCGCTAAACGGATCAAAACGAGTACTACCGCCGCATCACGCAAGCGACAAAAGACTAGCCCCTCGAGTGCCAACCAGGATAGAATCTCAGAGTCAGTGGACGAGGATGATGAGGACGGAGTAAAGCCTTCCGCGAAAAGACAGACCAAGGCCACAAACAAGACACAGATCAAAACCAGCGAAGAGCCCGCTTCCGACACCGACGCCGTCAATGGAAAAGACGACAAGTCAGAGGATAAAGTCGAGTCTGAGAGTGAAATGTCGGTGGTTATTGATGAAGAGCCGAAACCCATTCGCAAGCGACAGAAGAGCGCCGAGACAACCTCGCGAAAAGGAAAGAAATCGGCACCGGCCAAGGGAGCCAAGGGGAAAGATGCAGATCAAGACCCCAACCAAGCGGAGATCAAGCGACTGCAGGGATGGTTGGTCAAATGCGGGATTCGCAAAATGTGGGCGAGGGAGCTGGCTCCTTTCGATACTCCCAAAGCCAAGATCAAGCACCTTAAGGACATGTTGAAGGAGGCCGGCATGGAAGGGCGTTATTCCGTGGAGAAGGCCAATCGCATCCGCGAGGAGCGTGAACTCAAGGCTGACCTTGAATTGGTGCAGGAAGGGGCCAAGCGATGGGGAAAGGAAGCTGGCAGCGAGGACAGTGAAGATGGCCGGCCTAAACGGAAACTGAACCGAGGGCGTCGAGGCTTAGCCTTCCTGGAGGATGAGGATGGCGAAGAGACAGACTGAGGGGGCTGCATGGATGCTGCTGGCTTGTGCAAGGTCTTCCCGGGGCAGGCTCTGGATGTCCGAGTTGTTCAATAGTATAAGATATCTGAGATACCACTAGCATTCCCTCTGCCTTCATTTTCCTGACTTCGTTCCGCCCATGCGTTGAGCCACCAAACTGAACACAGCGACGGAGGAGATGAAGAGGACGAGATTGTAGAACTGTACAGAGGTCAATCAGTCTGATGTTCCGATGGTTCTACGCTCCGGCGAGGGAAATATACCGCAGTTCTGGAGTGCTCGTTTTCTTCAGCCTCGGTGCGAGCCTCAACGAACAGCCGTCGGAGATTGGGGAGGTTTGCCTGGTGGGAAACAGTAAGCCATGTTGTCATAGTTGCGCACTGATTGTAGTAGACAGAGTAGACATCTTACCATTGGGTCTGTATTGTAGGGAGAGACAATACTTGGACAAAGAATCCTTGGTTTTTATTCTAAATTGGTGGGAGGAAGATATGGGGTTTCATGGGGAGACAGTCCAGACCGCTGGGGGAGAGAGAGTTAAAGTGGGTGATTGCGCTTAGTCGGGCGCCGCAGGGTGCGGATTGGCTGTGATGCTCTCTCTCCCGTCCCTCACTCACGCACGCACTCCCTCCTCCTGATCATCAACTGTCTTGCTCCGCCGGCCAAACTTCCACCTCAACTTCTTGTTTTCTTCCCTCTGCCTCTCACACCTCGCTCTCTCCTTTTCTGTTGCACCGAACATATCCTTTTCATATTTCTCATCATTCCTCAAACTTCGCTCGGAGGAGAGAAGCGAGAGCATTGGCTTCCCCCGCTCTATTTCTCCGTCTGCGGCTCACCCTGAAGCTCTCGCCATTCCCCGCAGCCTTCTGCATCTACTTCTCCAACTTCAACTACTTGCGGTGGAGGCGCGACACTGTCGTCGCTAGATCATTTCTGGCATTATGGCGATGAGTAGGATTCGGGGGGCCTTTGCGGTCCCCAGAAAAGGAGAGACCTTTGAATTGCGATCTGGTCTTGTGTATGCTATCTATCTGTCCTGTCCAAGCTAACCGGTTCTATTACTGACGCTCGCCAACCATTAGATCCCAGTATGCATATGAACGGTACGTCACATGCGAATTTTCTTTACCGATGAGCAGGCAGCATATCTCGGTCGGCGCAACAATCTAATGCACCATCAGCAAGGAGTCGATCCAGAAGACTATCATGGCCATGACCCTCGGCAAGGACGTCTCGTCTCTATTCCCGGATGTTCTCAAAAATATTGCGACTAGCGATCTCGAGCAGAAGAAGCTGGTCTACCTTTATCTCATGTAGGTGCCATATTATCGCCTGGCTAGTCGGACTTTTGCTCATTGCCCTTCGTACCTCCACAGGAACTACGCCAAATCTCACCCCGACCTCTGCATTCTCGCCGTCAACACCTTTGTTCAAGACTCCGAAGACCCCAATCCTTTGATTAGAGCCCTTGCCATCCGCACCATGGGGTGCATCCGGGTGGACAAGATGGTCGATTACATGGAGGAGCCGCTGCGCAAGACTCTCCGGGATGAGTCGCCGTATGTCCGCAAGACTGCGGCCATCTGCGTTGCGAAACTTTTCGATCTGAACCCCGCTATGTGTTTGGAGAATGGATTCCTGGAGATGCTGCAGGAGATGATTGGGGATCCCAATCCCATGGTCGTCGCCAACTCGGTGACGGCGCTTTCGGAAATCTACCACGCCGCCCCTGAAACACAAGCCTTGAAGGTCACCACCAACACATTGCGCAAGCTTCTCATGGCATTGAATGAGTGTACAGAGTGGGGCCGGGTCACAATCTTGACGACACTCGCCGAGTACAAGACGACTGAAGTAACTGAATCGGAGCACATATGTGAGCGCGTTGCCCCTCAATTCCAGCATGCCAATCCGAGTGTTGTATTGGCCGCCGTCAAAGTTGTTTTCCTTCACATGCGGAATGTCAAGCCAGAGTTGGCTAGTAACTACCTGAAGAAAATGGCTCCCCCTCTAGGTAAGACTGCCCTTTTATTGCATAAACATTTCTCAAGCCGCTGACAAGCGTAAGTGACTCTTGTATCATCTGCCCCCGAGGTGCAGTATGTGGCTTTAAGAAACATTGATCTTCTGTTGCAGAAGCAGCCAGATATCTTGAACAAAGAGCTCCGCGTTTTCTTCTGCAAGTACAACGATCCACCTTACGTCAAGTTTCAAAAACTTGAGATCATGGTACGGATAGCCAACGACCGGAACGTTGATCAGCTTTTGGCTGAGCTGAAGGAGTACGCACTGGAGGTCGACATGGATTTTGTGCGTCGTGCCGTCCGGGCGATTGGGCAAGTCGCGATCAAAATCGAAAGCGCCAGTGAGAAGTGTGTCAACACTTTGTTGGATCTCATCAATACCAAGGTCAACTATGTCGTACAAGAAGCTATTGTGGTGATCAAGGATATTTTCCGGAAGTACCCTGGCTATGAGGGTATTATCCCTACATTATGCAAGTGCATTGATGAGCTGGATGAGCCAAACGCTCGTGCCGCACTCATCTGGATTGTGGGTCAGTATGCGGAAAAGATTAGCAATGCGGGTGACATTCTGGCTGGGTTTGTGGACGGATTTAACGAAGAATTCTCCCAGGTATTGCTCTCTGCCAACCATTAGAGCGATATTTATTAACCACAATGACCCTATTTAGACCCAGCTGCAAATCTTGACGGCTGTTGTCAAGCTTTTCTTGAAACGGCCTGAAAAGGCCCAAGGGCTTGTCCAGAAAGTGCTGCAGGCAGCCACTGCTGAGAATGACAATCCCGACGTGCGCGACCGAGCCTATGTCTACTGGCGCTTGCTATCCAATACCAGTAATCCCGGTGCTACCAAGGACATTGTCCTGTCTGAGAAGCCGCCGATTGTGACTACTATTCATTCCCTACCGCCTGCCCTCCTCGAGCAACTACTCACTGAGCTGTCGACTCTTGCCTCGGTCTACCACAAGCCCCCAGAGCAGTTTGTTGGTCAAGGAAGGTTTGGCGCTGACGCTGTTCAGCGAGCCGCTATTGAGTATGATTTGGTCCATTTCATCCTGCTGCAATTAGCATTTAGGGCTAACCACTGGCTTCAGGGAACAAATCCAAAATGCACGCGAGAATCCATTGGCCGCCGCTGCCGCTGCCGCTGCAGTCACTGGCAGCGCGCCTCCGGCCCAGAGCCAAAATAACGTCGAAAATCTGCTGGATATCGATTTCGATGGGACCGCACCGGCTTCAGCCCAGAAAGAGCCCAGTGGTGGAATGTCTGGTCTTGAAGGCCTTGCGGGCACGCCCGTGCGAGTTGAATCACCTGCGGCAGGTGCACCCGCTGGAAGCAACAATCTGGACGACCTCTTGGGGGTCTTTGGTGATGGTGGTGCAGCGGCCCCGGCCAGCAGCAGCGGAGGCGCAGACCTTATGAACGGGTTCGCTGGCTTGGATTTGTCGGGTAATGGCACGACATCGCCTCCTCCTGGGGGCAATCAGCCAAAGAAGACAAATGAGGATATCATGTCGTTATTCTAAGGGTATGCTAGCAGCTGTATGATGGCATGGTTAGGGTGTGAAGGAGGCTGAGGTGGGAAACGCTTGGCAAAAGCACACGATAATTCGCAATTCATACACATACTTTCACATAGACACTCTTGAAGCTGGATTAATGAGTTGTACTTTTATCAGTCCGACTGGATGATGGCTGAACGGCTAGCCGCGTCCACGTATACTGTAGGAGATATTCTAATGGCAATTAGGCTTGCTCAGTAGCCTAGCTAAGCACTATCTCAATCAACCAAGGCTATCTGAACGGACTATAGCTAGATGAATTGAAGGCTGATAGAAACAAGGGTGGCAGACTGGGGGCCCACCTTACGCCTGCTGCTGCTAAAACACAATATGACTGGAATTCCTCTGCATATCATGAGGTAGGCATAAAACAGCTTTCATACACGACTGTCCCCTACGGTTCTGTAACTACACAGAGTATGCCATCACCGTCATGAATACCGACTATACCAGGGGTAAGAATGGGCTCTTGGGAGCTGGTTCCTAAACACGGCAAGTACGTTGATTCTGCCCCGTGCCGTCTTCATCAACAGCGCCTCGTGGGAAGATCGTGCCTCTCTTGTTCCCCAGGTCTTTTCCGTCAGAGTCCTAAGACTTTTCACAATTCAAGTCACCCTCGACATCATCCCTATTATCTCACAGAAAAGCCGACATTCTGAATTAAAAGTGGCAAGCTGCGAACCCGGGGGATGGAACATCTTAAGGGTCCAGCAATTGCTCGCTGAAGCATCCTGCTCGAATCTCCAGTTTTCACGACCAAATCGCTCCGAGAGCGAACAAGAGGTCGCCTGGAAGACTGTTGTATGTCTGACTTGGATGGACCAGAATTCCTAAAGTTCCGAAATGCACTGAAATTCGAACCCAGACCAGAGGTTGACTAGGCATGGCACTAGTTCAGCGATCTTACTGACAGCGTGAGTCACAGCACGAAATCCATAAAATCTCCAGGTTTACGCCCCTTTCCTTACCCCCTTTCTCTCCATACATTATTACTCTTTCTCTCGCCAGTGATACATCAACAGTAAGATGGATCATCTCAAAAGAACATTCGCTCAATGTCAGCAAGAGGACCGTCCGGCCCTAGTGACCTATGTCACTGCTGGCTTCCCTACGGCAGAAGAAACTCCAGATATCATGCTGGCCATGCAGGCTGGAGGAGCAGGTCAGTCAACATCAGTGCGCATAGCCATAGATTCAGTATACTGAAATTCTCAGATGTCATCGAACTCGGCCTTCCATTTACAGACCCTATCGCTGATGGGCCTACCATCCAAAAATCAAATTTGAAAGCACTCGAGAATGGGGTCACTATCTCTTCTATGCTACAGATGGTAAAAGATGCACGCCAGCGAGGCCTGAGCATCCCCGTGCTCTTCATGGGATACTATAATCCGGTCTTACGCTATGGCGAAGCTGCCCTGCTTGCCGAATGTAGGACTGCCGGCGTTAATGGCTTCATCATCGTGGATCTCCCACCGGAGGAGGCGGTTCGATTCCGCGACCAATGTCGCAATGCTGGGTATGTTCTAAGTTCCACTATAACGCTTTGGTTGCCATGAGGGTATTACAGCTAACACGCCCTGATCGTCTCATAGCCTTTCATATGTTCCCTTGATTGCTCCATCCACCACTGAGGACCGCATGAGGACGCTTTGCGGGATTGCTGATACCTTCATCTATCTTGTATCCCGCATGGGCGTCACCGGAGCTACAGGTACTCTGAACAATCAGCTTCCTGACTTGATGAAGAGGGTAAAGGACCTCTCTGGTGGAGTCCCGGTGGCTGTCGGCTTTGGCATCAGCACCCGTGAGCATTTTATTGGTGTAACCTCGATCGCGGATGGCGCTGTGATCGGGAGTGAGATCATCAATCAGCTAGCCAATGCCCCTGCTGGACAGGGAGCCCAAAGAATCGAGGCATACTGCTCGCAAATCACGGGGCGAACGGTCACTCGCGCAGCAAATGAACCTTCCTCTATCTCGTCCACAATAGTCCCCACTGTTGCGAAGGAGGAGCCTGTACAATCCCCAACAGCTAGTGGGACTAGCCCAGCTTCTACTCGTGGACGCTTTGGGGATTTCGGTGGACAATATGTCCCGGAGGCGTTGACGACCTGTCTCAATGAGTTGGAAGCTGGCTTTCAGGCTGCTCTGGACGATCCAGCCTTTTGGACAGAATATCGCTCGTATTATCCGTACATGGGCCGGCCGTCGACGCTCCACCGAGCCACGCGACTGACTGACTCAGCGGGAGGCGCTAATATCTGGCTCAAACGTGAAGACCTGAATCATACAGGCTCTCACAAGATCAACAATGCCCTAGGACAGATCTTGATCGCCCGCCGGCTGGGCAAGACAGAGATTATCGCGGAAACCGGGGCAGGCCAGCACGGCGTGGCCACGGCGACTGTCTGTGCGAAGTTCGGAATGAGATGTACTGTCTATATGGGTGCTGAGGATGTCCGCCGCCAAGCACTGAATGTCTTTCGGATGCGCCTGCTTGGGGCCACCGTCGTGCCGGTAGAGGCAGGCTCGCGGACTCTGCGAGATGCTGTCAACGAGGCGTTTCGAGCATGGATCACTCGGCTTGATACGACGCACTACATTATCGGGTCGGCCATCGGGCCGCATCCCTTCCCGACGATCGTGCGCACTTTCCAATCCGTGATCGGAACTGAAACCAAGGAACAGCTACAACGGGAGATTGGGAAGCTGCCTGACGCAGTGGTGGCCTGTGTTGGTGGCGGTTCAAATGCCGTGGGGATGTTCTATCCCTTCGTCGAAGACAGCTCGGTGAAGTTGGTGGGCGTAGAAGCGGGCGGCGATGGTGCGACGAAGCACTCGGCCACTCTCGGGGGCGGCAGCGTCGGGGTTTTGCATGGAGTGCGCACGTATGTTCTTCAGGACCGCCATGGCCAGATTACGGATACACACTCGGTCTCGGCTGGGCTGGATTACCCGGGCGTGGGACCGGAGCTGGCCTCTTGGAAAGATAGCAACCGGGCAACCTTCATTGCGGCCACGGATGCGCAAGCACTTGAAGGATTCCAGCTGCTCAGTCAGTTGGAAGGAATCATTCCGGCACTGGAATCCTCGCATGCGGTTTGGGGAGTGATGCAAGTGGCTCGCAAGCTTGGGCCCGGAAAGGATATTGTGCTTTGCTTGAGTGGTCGCGGTGATAAGGATGTGCAGACGGTGATGGATGAACTACCTCAGTATGGAGGACACAATGGATGATGACTGTGTATAGTACCGAGTACGCAGTACTAGAGTCGTAAAAATTCTGAGCTTGTTGTTCCCTACCCGTTTACTATGTATGCTTGTCGGTCGGTTGTGGTTACTTTGGGTATGTCCTCGAGTAACTACTGACTAACTGTTTATGACAGACCAGCAGGTGATAAGAAAGGCTTGATCCGCTTTTCCGCGAACTGAACTTCTTCTTTTCCAACTGGAACCTTTTCTCTATTCTTCTTTGCGGGCTGCCGCAGTGGATCCGCCGGGTCTGCTTTACTAATGGTTATTGGAGTCTTCAAACGCCATGGACTGATTCTCTTGCGTCAGAGACCGTGTCGAATTCCGCGATGGATAGCAAAAAAATCAGTCGATCAATCCTCCCTCGCGTGAAAAGCTTCAAGCTTCAGTGCAATCCTCTTCCGATCCCGACAGTATTCACCCGGCCTTTCTATCGGAACCACTAACTAGTACCCATCTTAGTTAATTCTTCTACCGATTTATGAGCAAGCATTTCCCGACCCAAGGGGAAAACTTGGAAGACTCCGCTTGTTGCCCCATAAATGTTTTTGACTCGCCATGCTTCGGCCGCCTCCTTGGCTTTTTCGACCTGGTGGATCACGCCCATTTGGATTGATGAAGCCCTAACTCGGAAAATTATCTCGCAAAGTGGATCGATATGAAGGGAAGGGCCCGCGACGGCAGTTGTCGGCTGACTCGCATATATAAGTTGAAGTCGGGATCCCGGGGGGAATGTCCTGGGCCTCGTAGTAGTAGGAGACAACCACTGAGGGACAGGCTTTCTGATCGATCTAGTATCCACATCGCCCATCATCACCATGACTGACTACAAGTTCGAAGGATGGATGGGTCTCAACAGAGACTCAGCCGACGGTAAGATGGTCTGGCAGGAGTTCGAGCCCAAGCCCTGGGAAGAGACCGATGTCGACATCAAGATCTCTCACTGCGGTATCTGTGGCTCTGATTTACACACTCTGCGCAGCGGATGGGTAAGTCTTCCCGCTGAGATTCTTTCTGATCTTGTCATTTTTTCTCATCTCTTGCCCTTTTCGCATCGATCGTCCGATTATCAAGCCCGCATGCTGATCCACAATCTACAGAAGCCCACCCTGTATCCCTGCTGTGTCGGCCACGAGATTGTCGGTGTCGCCGTCCGCGTCGGTTCCCAGGTCAGCGACATCAAGCTCGGTGATCGTGTCGGTGTTGGCGCCCAGAGCGATTCCTGCCAGGGCCGTTTCGGCGATTGTGCCGAATGTGCCATGGGCTGGGAGCAGTACTGCCCCCACAAGTGGGTGGGCACCTACAACAGCGTCCACTTGAACGGCGGCAAGTCCTACGGTGGTTATGCGCTGTACAACCGCGTCCCCGCCAAGTTCGCCATCAGGATCCCCGACGGCATCCCTTCCGCCGAGGCCGCCCCGATGCTGTGCGGTGGTGCCACCCTCTACAGCCCGCTGAAGCACAATGGCTGTGGCCCCGGCAAGCGCGTCGGTATCATCGGTGTCGGTGGCCTCGGCCACTTCGGTGTCATGTTCGCCAAGGCGATGGGTGCCGAGAAGGTCGTTGCCATCTCTCGCAAGGCCGGCAAGGCTGAGGATGCCCTGAAGATGGGCGCGGATCTGTACATCGCTACGGACGAGGAGCCCGACTGGGCTACCAAGTACGCTAAGTCGTTGGATCTGATCGTCTCGACTGTTTCCTCCACAAAGGTATGTACATGATCATCGGTAGTGACTGCTGGTTGCGAAGATCATAAACCACTGATCCTTGCAATGTGTAGATGCCCATGGAGCAGTACATCGGTCTGCTGAGGGTCAATGGTACCCTCTGCCAGGTCGGTCTGCCGGAGGATGGCACCCTGGTGGCGCCGGTCAAGCCTCTGATCCGTCGCTTAAAGTTGACCAGCTCGCTGGTTGGTAGTCCCGATGAGATCCGCGAGATGTTCCAGCTTGTTCTCAGCAAAGGTATCAAGCCTTGGATTGAGGAGATCCCGATGAAGAATGCCAACGAGGCGATTGTCAACATGGAAGCTGGCAAGGCCAGATACCGCTACGTGTTGGTTAATGAGGGGCATTGAAAGAGTTTTTTGGGTGATGAGTTATGATGACTGTATAACTAACTAGACTGTATAATATCATTAAAAGAGACAATAATGAACAAGAGCTGATGACTAGTACTGTAGATGGTAGCCAATGGACCCCAACAGGCCAACCACGTGACAGCCTCCGCCATCGGAGGCACTAAGCCGAAAGCGGCAGGCAACCCCTCCGAATTTCTTCTTTGGGCGAGGGGCGAGTGAATCATCGCCTCTCAGCCTTGTCTTTCGTCTTCCTTCCAGTTTGCTTGGTCTCTCTTCATATTTGTCTTTTTGTCGGTGATTCTTTTTCTCGTCTTTTTCAAAAGAGCCGGTGGTCTGCAAATAATTGTCTCTTTCTTTTGTATCCTACCCAATTTCTGCAGATCTAATCCCCAGTCAGCATGTCGCATACTCTGTCGCAAAAATATCTTAGCACGCGGGGTGCCTCTTACGGAGTATGGCGACACTTCCGTTCCCGCAGCCTTTTTTTGATTCCATGGCTAACACTTCCTGTGCTTCATTTAGCTCTCCTTTGAGGAGGTCGTCCTGAAAGGTCTGGCCTCTGATGGCGGTCTCTTCATCCCCGAGGAAATCCCCTCCCTCCCCGCTAATTGGGAGTCCGAATGGCACGATCTGAGCTTCGAGGACATCGCGTTTCGCATCATGTCGCTCTACATCTCCGAGTCCGAAATCCCCCGCGAGGACCTGAAGGACATCATCCGCCGCTCCTACGCCACCTTCCGTCACCCTGAACGCACTCCCACCATCGAATTGGACGGCAAGCAGAACCTCCACCTGCTCGAGCTCTTCCACGGCCCTACCTTCGCCTTCAAGGATGTCGCGCTTCAGTTCCTCGGTAACCTGTTCGAGTACTTTCTTGTGCGCAAGAACCAGGGCAAGGAGGGCAAGGACCGTCACCACCTGACTGTGGTTGGAGCTACCAGTGGTGATACTGGCTCGGCTGCCATCTACGGTCTGCGCGGCAAGAAGGATGTTTCCATCTTCATCATGTTCCCCAAGGGCAAGGTCTCTCCAATTCAGCAGGCTCAGATGACCACTGTGCTTGACGCCAACGTGCACAACCTTACCGTTGAGGGCTCCTTCGATGACTGCCAGGACTTTGTCAAGGCCCTCTTCGCCGACCCGGAGCTCAACTCCACCCACAACCTGGCGGCCGTCAACTCCATCAATTTCGCCCGCATCCTCGCACAGATCTCGTACTACTTCTACTCCTATCTCTCCCTCACCAAGTCTCACTCCTTCAACAAGGACGCCAAGTTGCGCTTTGTTGTCCCCTCTGGTAATTTCGGCGACATCCTCGCCGGCTGGTTCGCCAAGCGCATGGGTCTCCCCGCGGAGCGCCTGGTCATCGCGACCAACGAGAACGATATCCTGGACCGCTTCTTCCGCAGCCAGGGCGCCTACACGAAGAACGACGCCAACGGCACCGGCGTCAAGGAGACCCACAGCCCGGCCATGGACATCCTGGTCAGCAGTAATTTCGAGCGCCTCCTCTGGTTCCTCGCCTACCAGAGCAGCGACGCCGAGTCGGCCGACGCCCGCCGCAAGCAGGCTTGCGACAGCGTCAGCGGCTGGCTCCAGCAGCTCAAGACCGAGGGCGGCTTCCAGGTCTCCCGCGCCGTCTTCGAGGGCGCCCAGGCCGAGTTCGAGTCCGAGCGCGTCAGCAACGACGAGACCATCGCCCAGATCCGCCACACCTACAAGACCTCCTTCCCCGCCAACCTGGGCCCCGGTAGCGCCAAGAGCTCCAAGACCGGCGGCTACATCCTCGACCCCCACTCCGCCATCGGCGTCGCCGCCGCCCTGCGCTCCATCCAGCGCAACCCCGGCACCGTCCACATCTCCCTCTCCACCGCCCACCCGGCCAAGTTCGCCAGCGCCGTCGACCTTGCCCTGCGCGCTGAGGACGGCTACGACTTCACCGAGGTCCTGCCGCAGGAGTTCATCGGGCTGGAGCAGCGGGAAAGCCGCGTCACCCCCGTTGGTCCTGGCGCCGGCTGGCAGCAGGTCCGCGAGATCGTCAAGGCCGAGGTCGAGCAGGAGCTGGAGGGTAAACGGTAGTTTGTACTTATCTCCAAAAAGAACACTACCCTCCCTTCCCCAAAAAAGGCAAAAAGGATCTTCGCATTGCATATACTCTCTCCCATCATTACCACCACTAGTGTACCAAATCTTGTTCTTCCATTGTGGTACATTCCATACATCCGACGACCACCCCTCCTCCTCACTTGACGTATTTTTCTTCTTCTGTTATACTCATCTATTTTCTCTCCTACTTGTGATATCATATGCCACTCGTCAATAGATATATAAGATCACGACTCTTCTTTCCTCCCGCCTATGCCCCGCGCGCTAGATCCCCGTCAGTTCTATATAAATCGTTTCTAGTCTACAAGGAATACAATGCCATTTGAAATGCCGTTTTCATTAATAGAATGGCTGATCTCGGTCAAAACAAGTTGCAATGTGGAGTAAATGGAAGCCGGAGCCAGAACCATTGACATGCAACTTACATGTTATCAGGTATCATGATCATGATCCAATGTAAGCATGATTCATCTTCATACTGGGGTCTGTCTAGCATTGGAGTACTAAGAATCCATACCGAAAAGTAAATCATTGGGACTCGTCGTATACTGCGTCAGAGATGTAATGGGGGGACATCCATGTCTTATCGCCTCGTGAGGATAGGATTGGACTTGTTAATCGTTGCCCTGTTATTGCGTATTGCTTGCCGGTCTTACTTATATCATTGCGTTGCATTCGGAAACCCCCCTGCGCGTGAAGTGGGTGATTTCAATGTGCTCACTCTCATAGTACAGTGTTGAAGGTACAGTGCAACCCCCACCCCTCCACCCCCCCCTTCCGATTTTGGAGCACAGGATTGCGCAAGAGAAACTTTGGAGTCTGCCATGTAGCCACCTCGGGGTCAAGAGAATGGAGCTGCGGTGAGAAGGGGTAGCAGATTCAGTAAGATTAGGAGAAGCGGCGATTTTACTCGAGGAAAGAGAGAGAGCTCGATACGGTTTTAATTCAGCGGAAAAAAAAAGTAATGCCATTTTTATTGCACGTACCGTACTCATTACATATTACTTAGCTAGTATTTAGAACGACTGTTGGTGAGATCAATCAGAACTTGAGCACAGAGATTCTTGTCGTTCATATCCATGAACTCCGGCAACAGAGAAGATGCTCGAGTAGGAGTCTCTTGGTCGTCCTGTCTCAGTCTCTTGTTCTGACTGATTATTCAAAAAGCAGTGTTCCTCGTGACATAGGAAAATCCGACAGTGCAGCAAAAATTCCAAACCAAACTCCAAGCAACAATTGTTTTGATTGAATGGGTTTTCTTCTTTGGGTCAAAAGGGACGATGAGTGGCTGTATCCGCCTATTGCTGGAGATGAAGGACTCATCTACAGAAGGGCCATCAGGCCCATGACAGCAGCGAGGAGACCGGCCATGGGCTGCATCTTGGAAGCAGCACCTGTGAGGCTCGAGGCCGAAGGCCCGGCCGGTGAGGCGCCCTTGGGCTGCTCGGGTGTCGAAGTGCCGGCAGGAGTGGCAGGGCTGGAACCCTCGGGAGCGGCAGGGCTGGAACCCTCGGGAGCGGCAGGGCTGGAACCCTCGGGAGCGGCAGGGCTGGAACCCTTGGGAGCGGCAGGGCTGGA